CTAAAATATTTAATCAAATAGAAAGAGTACCTATAATCAGAAAACACTTAGGAACTCAAATCTAACCTCCACTGCCCTAGGCTTCTACGGGAATTCTATCAAAGAAATCCAGGTTTACCTAGAAGAAAGGGGACCTAAGGTCAGGGACCGGGTCCTCGAAGAAGGACACTAAGTAGGTGTTAGGTTCGAAGGTAGGGAACTAAGAAGTAGGATTATCCTCGACAGGCTTAGAGGGAAGCGTCGGAGGACGAGCAGGAGTCGCGGTTTTTCCTATCTTAAACCAGCACATAGGTCGTTTAGGAGTAAACCTCTTAATATAACCCGAGGTATTGCAATCGCAACGCTTTAAGCGAACACACTCGGAGTATCGTTTCGAAATAGACAAATCTAAGAAGCAGGTACAGGAAAAGCTACGGTAGAAGGAACAAGGCTTTACGAGTTACGCGGCACGCTCAATACGGAGCACGAGCTAGATACTCTATCTTTTCTTTATCTAAGCGATACTCGATTTCTTTATAACACTAGATATAATAGATAAGGAAGATAGTCGTTAGTAACCATCGACGTTTCTCAAGGTCATACTTAAGCGTGGGGACCACACTAGGCTAAGAGGGGGATAGTGTTACAGACCCTTGGCGCTACGGTTCAATTAGCACCCATATGATAATAAAACCATCAGTAGTACTATAGGGGCATTAGTACTAATAAGGGAGCAGTACTATCGATAGGGTAGTACCAGCTAGGGAATGATATAGGACAGCGAGTAGTACTACTATACACTCACGCTTCAGTAGTAATAGTTACTTAGATTACAGTAGATAATAAGTCACGTGATAGATCCCTAGATCCCTGGATCCCTGGATCCCCTTATAGGAAAACGGATCCAAGGATCTAAGGATCTAGTATCCTAAGGGATCTAAGGCGAACAAAGGTTCTATATAAGACTGGCACGTCTGCTATTAGATAAGAGCTTCGTGCTTAACTTCAAATAGTATTCTGATACTTCGTAACTATCTTCTATCTACGTGATACACTTACCTCTCGATCATTAGAGATCAACTATAGCCTTCTGTATTTATAGCGAGTAAATACCGGACTGTTACAAATAAGTACTTATCTGCTTTTAGCTAGCCTCGCAATTCTAACTAATAGTAAAGCTAAGCGATTCCAGCTTTTAAATAACACTAGGCTAAGTATAGTCTTATAACTTCGTATAAGTTATTTATTATCATATAACTAAGTAAGTAGCGCTAGTAAAGTAGTAATAATAAGAGTCGAAAAACAAAAGCTCGCTTAAGGTAATAAGTATAAGTCGTTAGGATATTATTACGCCGTCACCGGCAATATAATTTAAGCTTAATATAATATAATAGCATAGTTTAGCGTTAGCTAGCACGTGAGCGAAATAACTATAGATCAGGTAATAACCTCTCTATTAGCGCGAATATTAAGCTGAGGAGCCCTCGATTCCGTAGAGGGCGCTCGAGCTTATATAGACAAATTCCCTAGGCTATTCCCGATTAGGCCTAATTACACTTAACGTAAAACTTGACGTAAACTCCTATAGTAGCGTAGAGCTATTTCCCTTTACGTATAACTAAATAGGTAACTATCGGTAAACCCCTTCAGAGTTAACCGAGCTCTACCGAGTCTTACCGAGCTTTGCCGAGCTCTAGACTCTTCCTAATCGGGTATAGTAAAGAAGTGGTTACTACTACCTTTACGAGATTATCCTTAGTGCTCTGCTGTAGAGGCTATATGTATATTTGATATTAAGGATAGACTACGATAGTTATAGCGCCAGAGAAAGAACCCTTATATGGGACGGGCTGTATTCTAGCTAGGGAGAGAACTATACCTTGATTCTACGGAAATTAAAGCTATTTGGTATTATATTCGTAATTAATATCGTACTAGATTATCTGCTAATTGATAGATAATTCAGGAGATCGTTTTTATAATACTGAGGGCATATGATCTACCTTAAAGTTGTTCTGAATTATATATTAGAAAGCTTATAAAAACAAAGCTTATAGGTGTGAAGAGTAGGAAAACAAAAACCCTGGATATGAAGAGGAAATATACTTAAAAGCTGAAGGAAATCGTCTCCTGGTTTCGTAGTTATTAAGAGTATATCATCTCTTATAGTATTACTATAGACCGTATATAGAACTTTGATAAGAGTGGTTTCTGTATTAGAATATCTAAAAGAGAGATAGTTTATGTTCTAGAAGACGCTGAAGATGTTTTTTACTAAGATTCGCCTGAAAATAGGAAGTAAGTGATGTTAGTTAAAAGTATCTATGCTAATAGGCGTGAGATTCCTCCTTATGTTATTATTAAAGGTCAGGAGTATATAGAGAAGTGGTTTAATTCTAACTAAAAGGGTAACAAGAGAATTAAAGTCTCTAATACTAGTTATACTAATAAAGAGATTGCTCTAGAATAGCTAGACTATTTTATCTAGCACGCTAAAATTTAGCTTAGGGGCTTAGAAACTCTTCTTTTAATAGACGGTTACATATCTTATGATTCTAACGACTTTAGAATCAAGTGCTTTAAATATAATATTACGCTATATACCTTTCTACCTTATATAACATATGTTATATAACCTCTTAATGTCGGGCTATTTTAACCCTATAAGCACTGGCACGTTAAAGCTATATAAAAGGCTATACGATTAGGTAAGATTATCTATTTAATTGAAGATTTCCTATTTAACTTACCTGAAATACGACTGTAAACCTTTACTCCGGTAAATATTAAAGCTAGCTTTGTTAATTCCGGGTTATAGCCTATAGACGAGGTGAAACTTAAAAATAAGATAAGGGTAAGGAACTGTCTATTTGTTATAGTGTGTTTTACTTATATTTTAATAGGTCTACAGTGTTCTATTGATTTCTAATAAGCTATAGATCGTAACTGAAGAGCTATGTGTTTTATTAGATGATAAAACCCCTTCTCTAGTTCAGGAGACTATGCTTCCTCTTACGCGGGGAGAGCTACTAAAGATACTAGAAACCTTCCGCGAGGCTATAAATATATTATATTACTAGTAAAAGAAGATATAACCTCTTGTGGATACTGTGTTAAGTAGTCCTTCTAAGGCTATTTATACCGATTCTTTTGATACTATAAGAGGGATTATATATACCAGCGTAGTCGCGGCTTACGAATATACGACTATATAAGCTGAAATCGCCAAACGTAATAAATAGAAGCTTGAATTTGTAGCTTATAGTAATAAGAGAATTAAGACTAGTAGTAGAGCTATAGATATAGCTTTAAGCTTTATATAAAAGAAGAAAAAGAGGTTTAAGGAAGAGGCAGATCGCTAGCGCGTGTAGTATTATTAGAATAAAGTTAAGAGTAATAAAATCAAGAAGTGTAATACTACTATTAGAATTACGGAACGAAAGCTTTAAAACCTATAATATTTAAGAGACTAGGAGGAGATTAAGCTAAATATCGTTAAGTTAAACGAAGAGAGAGATTCGTATATCATCTATTATAAGGAGTAGCTTACAACTAAAGGGGCTACTCCTATAGAGAAAGCTCTAGTTGACTTACAATTTGATAATGACCCCTTAGCGTTTATTTTGCCTCTTAATAGCGACGACGACGATAACAACGATATTTAAGCTTTAGTTGATAGAGATTTATATATTGCGTAGGAGTTAGCTTTATAGAGTGAGAGGGAGGCTCTATAAGTAGAGGTAGATTATACCGCAATTCCGCGGGAGGTATACTCGTCTCTAGACTACCGACCGCTGATTTATAATCCTGTATATTTCCGATGATCTTTAGTGTAAATATAGCCTTAATTAGCTATTAATTTGAGTAGATTTCTATCAAGTTACATTTTGGTGATACGGGATATCACGTGAAAACGACTTAACTATTTCCAAACGACTAACTATTTCCACCGACTACCAGAGGGGGGGTTAGTAGGTAGGTGGGGTCTCTGGGGGGGCTACGCCGACGATTACAGCTACTCTTTCGTAATGTTGCCTCACCTACCCTGGTACTTACTTTGTTAATGAATAATTTTGCCTGCTCACAAGCTCAAAAGTATAAACCCTCACGTGTCCACAGCCAGTACCGGGTACCGAAATTCCCGAAAGTGGATTAGCTGCACCCAGGTCGTCGGACAAGGCTGCATCTGGAATCCCCCGTAAATTACCTTCTATATTCGAATAATCACTCATTTTATGATTGGGTGCTGTATCACGATGTGGGGTGGTGGAGGTGTCCAGGTGGAGATGGAGAAATTTTCTTCCTTTCCATGATTTTCAGGGTCTTTTCGTCTTCAGGGGTCCGTATCCCATTCTTATCCACATCCCATTTATGAAGTGAAATGAAAATGGATCCCGTTGCCGAAACAACAGAAAAGGGATGAATCAACAAGAGTTAAGGTTCAATCCCGGGGTAGGAAAGGAACAGCTAACAGAATAAACAAAGTCCAGGGGTTTGTAGAATGGGGGTCGGTTCTCGCGTCAACGTGGCATCTCATACAGATCTTGGGGTCTCATCGTATCATATTCCGAAAAGAAGGTGTATGTCACAAAAAGAGAACTTGGGATGAGATCATGAAAAATATGGCAGGAAAGTGCTGTAATGGGATGATCGGATCGGCTGTATAATCAGGTGAGAAAGCCAATCATTGAGCGCGCTCGAAAGGAGAAGCCATACAGAGCCCTGCAAGGTACATCAATCAGCATATTGCTGCTGATAATACTTGATTTTCATCCCTGCAATTGTCCAATGGATGCTGGAAACGGTAACGTACCTCGCTCTCCTTATCGTACTTTCGCTTTTGATTCCCGCATGAGAATCAGCTCAGGTGTTGGGGTTCCTCAGAGTATTTGTTTCGTTTGTTTACTTTTGTCTTGCTCGCTGCTGTCATTCAGAGATGCGTTACACGTGTGACTATCTTTACTTTTCATATGGGTATACTTTGGGCCTTCTTGTACAGCCAGCAATCCTTCCAGCCTGACATTGAATTCACTTGCTTCATACTTTGTTGTTTAACTATCCAGCCGTAATTCAATCAGCGCCGGGTATCTCGTCTATCCATTTATTTGGTAGGTAGGCACCAAGCTGCAAACAGCGACGACGGCTATCCCAACCGCGTCACCACCTCATCTCTCTCGTCAATCTACGATTCTCCAGACTTCTCCTTATGATCACCAATAGCCTCTTCACTATTCAAGCTCTAAAGTATTCTCTCATCGATTATCTCACAGGCTTTTTACATCTGATGTCACCAGATTCCTTGCTCCGTTTCAACTAGTTCTTAGTACCGCTGATCAGTCCACGCTTCGTCCACTCCGGCCCATACATCTCGACGATCTTTTTTAACTTCCTCTTCGCTGTCAGCGACCGATTAGGCAAATTTAATTTTGACCGCTATTCGCAATGCAAGATAAATCCCTATTCTACATCATACCACGTGATGAATTCTCAAGTTTGTTGGTTCATGTCTCCCCTTTCTCTTTTCTTTTCTCCTGTTTAAATTGAATATGTACCATGTGTATTTTGCTGGAAAGAACGTTTGAAGTTGATTAATCGATGCTGTTTTGAAGATGTATCAGAGTTGTAAGGAACACAAGTCGTGTGCCCGACTTAGCTCTATCTAGGTACATTGGACTGTAAAGGCGTAAACAATCCACAAATATATCCAAATGCTCAGCTACTTAAACCAGAATGCAACCAAATCATCGAAATCCCTATCAGTCAGATCTTCCGCCTTACTTTTTACCGTCCTCTTCTTACCTGTCACAGCGACTCTCTCAACGACCTGTTCCTCGTACACTTGAAAGCACTTCCTCAGCTCTTTACCCGCGTCTTCAAACCTTCCAAGACCTTTCAGAGCCTGAGATCGCTTAAAGGAAACTCGTGCTCTCTCAGACAGGTAACTCTTGGACATGGAATATACTTTGAATGCGTGGTCCAGCAGAGCTACAGCGGTGTCATATTGACACACGCGAATGTTGTGCTCCGCGACTTTGACGAACACCGATGCAGTGAGATGGTGGTTGTTTCCCAGCGTGGCTTTGTAGTGAAGAAGGGCTTTATGGTGATAGCTGAGACTTTCTTCGGCGGACCCTTGATCGTACATTACATTGCCAAGGGCATGGTAAAATCTCCCTGAGCTATGTAGCCTCCTGTCAGCATCGAAAATGGCAAGAAATCTGACGAATATGTTGACTTACATGAACGATATCCGATCTTGAATGCCATATTTCTCCTCGCGGTCGCTTACGCCCTTCTCCAAGACGTCTGCGGCGTCGCTCAACCTGCCTTGTAGCCAATACGCGTACCCTAGATTAACCATCGGAAGCGATATTAAGACCGGCTCATACTCGTCAAGTTGTTGAAGTAGCTCGATGGACCGCTGAAAGTATACTTCCCCTTGAGCCCAGTCCTCTTTAAGCATGTATGCAAACCCGAGTTCATTACAAGCAAGGCCAAGCCGCATATCAGTGCGCGGAGTCTCTTTATTAAACTGTTTCTCCATCATGTCGTGGAAGATTTTGAGATTTCTCAGTCCTTCCATAGAGTCACTCGAACCACACGCAATGACCCCTCTATTGTGATAAAGTTCGGCGCTATGGTCAGAGAACTTAGCAGACGCCGATTAAAATGCCACAATAGACGGAGAATACGTACAGTGTATAGTCAAGCTCAGCATGTGTCACCCCGTGAGAGGGACCAACATCTGAAGGCACATCAAGTTGACACTTGAGAGACTCACAAATTGACTGGGCCATGTTGTTATACAGGTTAGTGTCAACCAACCTTCCACGCTCATGCAAATACCTCATATGTCAGCTTTACTTAGAGTGTGGGATTCTGATCTTACCAGCCAGTATCAGTAAGTAGTCTGGCAAAATGATAATCATCAGACGTCTCCGCTGAAGGGTGAATCGCTGGGAAGATATCTTTGAGCCTGGAGATATGTGGAAAGACTTCCTCGCAAATGGGCCAACGTGCAACACCATGGCGCCAAGTAAAGTCCTCAAAGGGCCATATTGACGCAACTAGTTTAACACAAGCAACGAAAGTTTGTCGAAATTCTGACTGTCCCATTTCTGCTCTCGCAACATCTTGTACCAGTCTATGAATGAAAAGCTTGCTTTCCTGTTTGTTCCCAGTCACCAGAGAACAAGCTAAAAGCTCCCTTTTAGCATGCTCGTATTCATTGGCTGTTGTAGGATATCCCGGAAGGTTGATCCCACTAATAGCATTGGTAAGCAAACGCTCTGGTATACTATCTGGATCAAGCATCGATAGCACATTCAGGAGTTTCCTGCCGTATTTGAGATTCTCGAATGCCCAGACCGAGGCTACGGTGTGCTCATGGCTCAGTGACAGGTTATCTTTAAATCTTAAGAGTTCACGTTGGCTTTCCCGCTCGTTGTAAGAGTCGAAGAATTGGGAGAAGCTGAGCTGTTTTGTGACAATGATACTAGCCATCTGTGTCAAAGCCAAAGGGAGTCCACCCAATCGGGAGCTGACATTGCTGACGCTTTTCCGGTCCACATTCGATAGTTCCCTGTTTGTTAACCTCAAAAGAAAAGCAACAGCCTCTTCCGCAGTAAATTGTTTCAGTGGTAACGACTTTGTCCAGGAGAACGGATTTCGGCTTGTGATGAGGACAGAGCCTGGCCCATCATATGGCCAGAAGTCGTTCAGGATGTCCGGGTCTTGTACGCCATCGTAAATTAGTAGCCAAGATATCTGTTGCTGAGAAATATCATAGCTATCACGGAGTGATGGCTTTACAAGCCACCGTTTGACAAGTTCTCGGGTATGTACGAGGTCGTTGGCATCAATCGAACCTTCTGGGATGAGGCCAAGAACACGAGCAATTTTTTGAAACCCCTGAGCCATCTCGTTGGCACTGTCTGCATTGACCCATAGAATAACATCAAAAGCATCTTGGTACTTCCGTGCAAACTGTATCGCAACTTGCGTCTTACCCATTCCTCCTGGCGCACATATTGCAAACGACAGGGGATACGTGATTGCTTTACCATCGGCAGGAATAGTGTTGGTTTCTGGTATCAGTTCTGTCGCAATTGCTTTGAGCGTGTTTTTACGCCCGAAAAAATTCTTGTTGAGTGGTGTTGGTGGCATCATGTAAACAGGAAGGACGAGATCTGAATGTGGTTCTGTGGTGGAGGAAGAATCGAGATAAAGTCTTCTGAGCAGCTTCTGTAAGATAGGATCCCTATCATGGCCGTAGTACTCTGCTTGGGGCATAAATCCCCATTCAGCTTGATAGCTTTCGTACGTAGCACATGGTTTCAAAATAATTCCACAATCAGCTGCCGCAGGATCGACAAATTGCCATGCGATGTCGTGGACAGCGTCGGATTCATCATTGTGAACAGCCAGTGTAATCAAATCGCCAGCCAAATGAGATTCAAGATCATCGTTGCTTTTATGACCTTCGTCGGCATGCTTCGATGCCTCTTTCTCGCTTGACTCTTCTTCAACATCCTCCTGCCAGGGCAGCGCTTTCATTGAGATGGCTTGCAAATGTCTTGCCAAGTGTTTACCAACATCCTCTGAGACAATTTTGCTTCGGTTTTGTTTCTGACTACTATGAGAACCGGTATTATTCAGTAAAGAGTCTATCTGTTCTTCAGTAGGTGCATAGCCACAAAGAGGACATTCAGAAAACAGGCTTGAGGCCGGACCTTGGCTACGCTTCTTGTACCATGGTAATTGACTTTCTTTGAAGCCATTGGCATGATCAAGTCGTATGTGATCTTCAAACCCGTCTTCGGTCTCGAAAATGATAACTTTATGGCCTGGTGCTCGACACGTCCACTGTCTTGTGTGGGTGTCTTGCATATGCGAGAGCCACGCAGCACGGTCCCAAAACAATCTGTGCGCATCACTGCAATCTTCAAAAACACACACATAAGGTTCGAGGTCGTTTAAAACGTGACGCCTAGCACAATATTTAGTGAGACTGGTGGGGTACAGATGAAATGTGACGAAGACCTACACCCAATTGGACCGCATGGCTTCCTTCATTGGAAGCATCATACAACAGTAAGGGCATTCAAACTCTTTGCTACCGGCAACCGCTTTTGGAGGATCAGAAATACCGATTGCTTCTTGTTGAACAATAGTACCGGAAAACTCTGTGGGTGCTCGTGATGTCGTCGGACGAAACACATCCTCCGTCCTGAACTTCCCATGAACCCTAGAAGCAGAAGTCTGCGAAGCCAGAGCTGGCTTGAGTAAGGACTTTTGCTTAAACTCCACTTTTTGAATAGAAGTATCGACAATAGTTCTTGCCACAGCTGTGGATTCCGTATCGAGATCAACGCAAGCTGGCCTTTCAGGTCGAGCTGGCGGGTTCAGAACAGCTTTGATACCCAATTTCTTTTGGTGATGTTGACGGAACATGAAACGCCTTCTGCGAAGAGTTATCGATCTCGCAAGTCGTTCTCGAAGGAAAACGGACGCCTCTTGAAAGGTGTGCGTGATCCAAGCGAGCGCGAATTCCTCAAACTGTCTACTGACATCGTTACCCTCCTCGTCTCTGATGAGAAAAGTTGCGGCTTTTGTGTTTTGATTGATGATTGATGGCTTTCGAATAGCTACGGAAAGTCTATACAGGCGATCAATCGTCTGCTCAACTCCATGCAGACGCTGTTCGAAAGGAGTTCGGTCTTGATCGACCGAAATTGAAATAGAATCATCTGTTACTGAAGCCTGATATGACGAGGTAAGGATGGAAGAAGCAGAAAGAATTTGCTGAGACCCAGTGTTTATCGTCTCCTGGCTTCTCGCCGAGGGGTTCAACAAACCGTCAGCGTCATCAGAGTCCCTGACGGTGTCCGTTGCTGTGATTCATGATCAACATTCATCTGTGCATTTTTGGTTCAAGTCCGATATATACCTCGACGAAGATAGTTCTTTAGACTTCCCAGGAGATCAAGCATCAATTTTTTGGCTTCCCAGCTATCCCTTAGTCTATAGTCCAGAGATGCATGGCCGTCTGCGAAAATCCCGATGTTTGCTGCCCAAATTGAGAAGCGGGCAAGTTGCTCTTCGCTAGTCAGATCGTCACCATTGTGATGAATTCCGACAGGGGGCTCGACCATTAGCAATGCATTGAAATCAGAGACACATTCACTAGCCCGCGCGTGAAGCTCTACAGATTCCATCTTACTTAGACGCTCTAGCTTCGGGGGCGAAGGGGAGCCAGAAGTGGTAGAGATTGAAGAAGTCAAGACACTGGAAGCAACAGTAATGTTGGAGCAGTCGGGGCTTAGAGCTGAGGGAGAGTATTTGGTAGCCTCATGCACTACATGGATGTAGTGTCCATGTAGTGCATGCATGCAGGAGGGTGTGATGATGTGGGTGTTGGCGAGTAGGATCATTGTGTTCATCTGCATCTCGATCCAATATCGCATAACTCTCCATACATTGTGAGCAAAGTAAGTCATGCAAGAATCAATAACCCTGGATAGGAAGCTCCATATCCAGTCAGCTTGGGTATGAACCTCAACCTGTGGTCGAGAAACCAATGTCAATGAGGCTCCCTGCCGGGCTCCCAGAACAGCTACCACGGCTGGGCGAAGCTTGTGTAACGACGGCTGCCTGAAATAAGCAGTTCCATTCCCCCATAGAATAATCTTGGCTCTGCTCTTCAGCACAGAAAATCGTGCTTTACTGAGCTTTTCTTGCGAATATGACCACTGGTCTCGAATTAGCCTTGGCTTTGGTGCCGCTCGTAATTACAGCAACTGAACATCACAAAAAAGCTTTTCGCAAAGCTAAGATGATCGCATCACCAAAAACTAGAGATGAAAATCTCCTCGACTTTCTCCTAGAACTTCACGATGAGGTAGCTTTGCTAGGACATACCTTGCGACGGCTGATTTCTGACCTGACAACGCTGACAGAAAAGCAAAGAGAGCTACTTTTGGTTCTCGATCGAGAACAATGGAAGCAGGATGACATCAACGTAGCTCTAAGGACAAGGCTAGGGAATGATGCAGAAAATGCGTTTACAAGTATTCTCGATCGCTTGCTGAAGGCTTTGGACGACGTCGTCAGCGAGAAGTCTCTACAGTTCATCAGCTCTGAAAAGGCAAGAGATGCTTTTCTAATCCTATGACACAAACGACCTTGATTTGTAATGCTGATATTTGTAGGCATCTTCTGTCGGACTTTTCAAGAAATTAGAAGGCTTCCGTGAGGAGATGAAGCACGGTACAACAGTACAAGACCTTCGGACCCGATTTCAGTTCACCACCAAAGAAGAGCGGCGCAACAAGAACCTGAAGAAAATCCGAAAATGTAACGAAAAGCTGGAACGTTTTGTTCACGGCCGCTCTTCCAGCGTCACTTCCGAAAGACATAAATCCATTATGAGCAGAAAGACACGACCGCCAACGAACAGGTCTCGTAGACTTTCCCAAGATGCACACAAGAAGATTTCTCGATGCTGGTCCTGTCCTTGCTCATCGCCCCATGAGGCGAAGCTGAGTCTCTTGAAGTGTTTGGCGCAAAACGAAGGTTCTGATTCTGCTATCAATCTCGACTTGTTAGTGTCTATGATGAGTGGGGAGCAACCAAAGGAAATCTGGCTGGAAAGTAGAATTCGGATTCTTTCTGGAAAGTGAGCGATTTTAGAAATTCGTGTACAAAGATTCATGCTGAGCAGCATCAAATAGGCACGAAAAGAATGGCCAGACCATCGTCAGATTCACAGATGATCCAGATCCTGCTCAATCAGTACCAGTCTTCAAGGATCCCCGGCGGTTCCTCGACACGGACTCGGTCTGCACTTTCATCAAAGAAGCGCACAAGAACAACAGCAGTTTGGAACTTGTGTTCGATGGCGAAAAGCTCTGGCAAGGGCGGCCAACTGGAAGTCGCGTGCATTACAAACCTGAGATTGGTATACCACTCGACACCCTTCTAGGTGATGCGCAGACTCGGTTGAAACTGAAAGAAAGTAGAGTCCTGGCAGTCGTTCTCGCTCATGCCATCCTACATTATTGCGAAAGTCCATGGGTTTCCAATAGCTGGAACAAGCAGCATGTGAGCTTCTTCGCTACCCTCAATGGACCTGATCTCATGAGACCTTACCTTGAGACGCAATTCGAGGCTAGAACTGCGCCTTCAGATGGCGTGGTGGACGATTTGTACAGTCATCCAAGTCCAGCACTACTGTCTCTTGGTATATTGTTGCTCGAACTCTACCTATCAAAGCCAATTGAGTCTTTGTGGGAGGCTGACGATACCGAGGATGGTATGGAAGGCGTCAACACGAACTGGATCACAGCCGAAAAGCAACTAGAGAAGATGGGTGACGATCTGTATGAAGGGTACAGAAATGCTATACAAGCATGTCTTAAAGTCGATTATGTCGATAGTGAGGACTTCAGTCTGGACAATGAGAGTTTCAGAAAACTCATCTATGAGCGGGTTGTTATTCCATTAGAAGATGAGCTGGATAATGGTTTCCATATTCGCCCAGAGCAGCTCGGAGTATTATGAACTTTATTATAGTTGATGTTTGCTCGGAGGATCAGGGTTCTATACGCACAGGCAAGGTATCGTGCTTCAAAGTACACAAAGATCAGTATTAGTCATGAGAATATAAGCATCTTTGAGCAGTTGCTAAGGTACCTGAGAATGTGCTTAAGCGAGCCGAGCCAAACATCCAATAGAAGGTAGAGTATGATTCTCGAGAGCCCGCTTTTGTCTTCATCTTATATAATGTTGGCTCGGTCCACATTCCGTGAGAATTCTTTGGATAGTCAATTTCTCGTCTACTCCGGCAGATTAAAATCGTCAGAATGCATGTGAAGATGCAGCTGCAAGGATTTCTGCGAGCCGGCGTCAGCCCCGACAGCCTCACTCTCCGGGTAATCTCAAGGCATTCAGTCACCTATTCGTACTCGGTCAAAAGCTCTAAAGAAGCGGGGTAGTGTCTCGATCAAAGGATGTACCAGTTTTAAAAGGAGTGAACGGCCAGAAGCCAACAGTACGACATCCACAACATTCTTCGCCGCCAGTCGTTATTTGCCTGCTGATCAGCTGGACAACGCGATAACCAAGGGTGCACACTTGGGAAGGGTTTTACCCTCCAGCGAGATATTGCCTAAACTCTCAGAATCTCACGCTTCAAGGCAGCCTTATTCCTTCAATCCCATCCTTCAGCGGCTCAGCCCACCAAATTGAGGCCCCAATCCCGTACAGATCACAAAGCGTACATTCTGCAGGCCAAACGACCGAAACCAATCCAGATGTAATTTAACATGCCCATAGCCCGATGATTGGACTCTGCTGACACATCTTTGTACTTCTAAGATGGACCCTCCAAGCGCGCCAGAAAAGATTCAGCCTTGGAAGGCTCAATGGCTCGCAAAACAATCCGCGAAGAAGTCTGAGAATAGCGAGAAAGACATGGCTCTCCGTGAAGGTACTAGTCATGGATTTTCGAAGGGACAAGAGGTCATTCTCGATGGATCGACGACTGGAATGGCGTCCCGACTACTGCACAAAAACAAAGCGGAAAGTCTGAAGGAGTCATGAAAGTTAGGATTGTGTGGGAATACTCTGAAAGACATCTTCGACCACTGGCGGATAGTCTGGTAAATCGATGTAGAACACAAATGCTCTACAGTTGATACTTTCACGTGGCAGCTCTTCTGGTGCCACCTTCGGGTTATGAAAGGCAGCATGAGGAGAAGCTTTCTCAATCAGCATTGTGTACATCAAAGGAAACTTCGGCCACCCAGGGTAAATATTATTGGACTGACCGGGCGCTTCTGAATGATCACTGTCTGCACTCTTGAATATCAAGACTTCAGTTGTCGTTTGATCTGGAAGATAAAACCATTTCTGGTCTACATTATGCATAATTTGCAAGTTCTCGGTCGCGAAATTCTCGTAGACGAGGTCCCCAGCCATGATGTCGTTGCGATAGTCAACAGATTGTGCGTCACAAACTGCCAGTGGCCAGTCATTCAATGGTCCTCGGAGAGGCCTCCAAATACTAAAAGAGTGTCAGAAATAGTCTCGTCGGCACTATCAATAATAGAATTTCACTTGAAAATGATGCCTACTTAATGATCTGCCAATGACCACTCAGTAACTCAACTGCACGCTCTCCATACATCACTTCTATGAGACGCTCTCCTTCTCGCACTGTGAAGTCTATTCATTGTTAAGGAAGTCATAAAAGGCAATATATATCACTGACCAACGTGTGCCAGTGCCGCGGGTTGTAGCGTTTCGATCTCTGTCCCAGTCGAGATTGGGAACTGGGAATGCCTTCTCCGAACCTGACGCGGTGAGTACTCTGAACAGATAAGGGAAGTAATCGCTAGACACATACGGCAAAGTCTATTACGTGAACATGTCTACCATCGAGTTCTTTTAGTAGAGCAGTCTGTATCTCTGGCAGGTACACATCCCTGATCATTTCGTCGTCGGCAAAATCCTCATATTGCATGGCAGAATGCAAATGCATGACCTGAAATCCCTTCTTCTCCAATAGGGGTGCCTCGCCCTTTCGTATATCTTTTATAGTTACTTTGAACTTGTCTCGTCTTATATTTGATTGTGGTAAATCTCCATCGGGACGATATCGAAGACTGTATGGTTTCTCGGTTTTATAAAGTTCGTCCCTCGCAAGAAAATACAGAGTCGTATGGATGGAAGTATCATCATCTTGAACGATCAACATCAGAGGGAGATAATATAGAGAGGTGTAAGTATATGCTTACCTTCATCTCCTTTGATGGACATCGTTGCCAGACTCATAATATGTTGCTGCTAACAGTTAATGAAGAGCTCGGCCACAAAAGCTTCACCTGGTTCGAAGCGGGCAGCAAAACTTAGGTAATCCGGGAAAATACCGTGGCTCCTGTCAATCTCGCATGATGACCTCAGAAACGGTAGGGAAACAGTGTTATCCAGTGAACCTCTCAGTACACGACATACAACGATTCCTCCGTCAGATTTCTGGATGATGCTCTTTGACGGCTATGTCCGCTCATTTGCCAGCACAGATGAAGCAATCCTACTTTCTCCCCTTGGTAATATTACTCTTTCATTTCTGAATTACGAAATGTCAGATACAATCTTCTCTATTGAAATTGTAAATACCTTGTTCTCTCGTTTGCGGGGCAAGTGCGGGGTAAATCGCTCCATGGTGGTTTGAAAGTCTTGCCTCCAACATTTTAGATTATTCTGCAACCCTGGAATTGTGTGTCAAGTGATCCTATCAAGCTGACAGGTTTCGCAATCTTTTATTATGGACGGTGACCGCTCTCAGAAAGCAAGACCAAGAGGACAATTTGATCAATTTTCATGTGCATTCCTTCAATTCCAGTTCGAATTTCGAAGCATACGAGTATCACAGAGTAAGGCAACAATCCAAACGGATCTATGTCATCTTGAAGTATTGCAAGAAACGTTCAGTAAACAGAAAGTTCAAGAATGAATAAAGCATCATACATATATCAGAGACTAGACTCGTATTATGCATAGGATTGGCATACTTCCTTCTCAAACATGGATGCCAGAAAAATCCAAGCCAAAATCATGGACCGCAGGATGAGCGTCACTACAAGAACACTGTTATGCCGCCTCACTCCAAGAACACGCTCGTATTTCAATTCTCCTTCTCTCATATCTAGGCATCGTCAGCCTGTACGGCCGACAGCTGTTCCATTGCGTGCTCGGCTTCCTGCCTGAAGATCCGAGATTGGCTTCCAGGATTTGAATTCGAGCTTATTGCGTTACTATTTTCCTCGTTCCATTTATCCCACAGTGTCGCTTCAAGCCGCTTCATGAATGTCGAGTTTTCAGCCAGAAGTTCCTTCTTATACGTCTTCTTGACTCGAAATTCATGAAGTTCGAGGAGTTGTGGAAGCAGCATGAGTTGACCCGTGACATGGTCAATGACGCCTGGTGTTTCTCCAGTTTCAGTGATGTTCTCAGGCACGTTTCCAACCGCGATTCCCAAAGCTCGCCGATTCAGGTACTCAAAGTCTGCTTTGGTGCGTTGCTCTACTGTTGTGAAATGGTCGCCGATGTAGAATTCGAAGAATGAATCAATCCGAGGTCCACTCTTGTCTTTTGAGTAGGAGTATCTGGTCTCTGGCTCGTATGATTTCAGGAAAATTCCACATGCGATGACGCCAGAGTCCTCAGGTCCATCTTTCTGCTAAGGTTCGGCCCAGAGTCTGAGGGACTCTTGGTCCTGATGAGCAGAAATCTTGCACATGAACTTCTTCTCTCCACTGGGGCTATGTATTGCTTCTTGGTTGTTGGACAGAAAACATAATGAGCAATCTCCTTCGAGAAGCTTGCGCCGTGGAAGTGGTGGCTTTCGTCAAACGCTGCAGGTGTGACTTGAAATGCTGTGCTCTCTTTGGGGTCAGTTGAAGTTGAGACTCTTTGGCAATTTGAAGATCTGCTGCGCGAAACTATGTTTCCATCCTCCCTTGGATCTATGTTATCGTTGTATGAAGTGGATCTGGATGTATTGGATTCTTGCATCTTTGAACTCGACGGTGAAGCCATTGCTGGACCATTGTCGGCGGTTTGGTCGTATATACCAGGTTTGACTGTGTTCTGATCTTCTCTAGAGGTGTTCGCTAGGGTAGGGTTTTGTGCTGCAAGAACAAATCCCTTTTTTACGAAGCTCACAAAGCTGAAGCCTCCATCTTTGCTACGACGTCCGATGCTGTCATTCCGGCTCATGATTTGTTGTAGCTCCGCCTTCACAATCTTTCGGAGATTTTTCCACCATGATGGCAGTCGTGGCTCTTTTATGGGGTATGGCTCGTGGGTAGGTGCTACATAGACAGGTCAGCAATCTCTGTGTCGCCATCAAGAAGTCGATTTTGGATCTCTTTGCCAAAAGCTCTCCAAATTTGGCACTCAGCCTCAAACACAACCCATCGTCTGTCCTTTCCGACAAGATCTTCGTCAAGTTCGATTGACACATCTACTTTGCAAGCGTTTCTGATACATTCGGGGATGGCATGATCGGCGATGTCAACCAATTCCTTGACCTCCTGCCATGTATACTCGAAGCCAACAGCTATAGCATAGCCTTCGAGCCGATGCCGCCTTAACTCGTCGTCAATCATCCTGTATGATGAGGGTGCGGGGATCTCTGATTTCATCTAAGGTGAAGATAAAGATGAAGAAGGCGGTTGGCGAGGAGAATTCAAGTCAAAATCAAAGGGAGAACGGTAGCTAAACATACGCGAGGGCGGTGACAACAATTGTGAGCTCTGATACTCAGTATCGACACTAAAACTCCATGGTACTGATCAAAAACCACCACGTTTAACTTATACTAGGCTCTTGACTCTTATTGAGATGAAAGGTCAATTCACGACCGCAAGTGCCTGCAAGATCACGATCCCACTCGCTGAAAAGCCGAACCTGTGATGTTTGACGACCCCGCATTCATAATTCCTACATGCCATTCATCATGCTACCTTGAAATGAGTCCGGCAGTTATCATCAAGTAGGTTATGCAGTATCCATCTTCACAACCCTCAAATCAGCTAGCCAAGCTAGCAGGGAATGCACAATGGACACAGGAGAGGATTAATGTCTCGCTTCACGCAAACATTCCAGTTTGACCGCAAATTTGCTGATCTGAACGACATATATTTCTAGGATCGCCAATGGTGAAATTTATGAGTGATCTACACTACTTTCTCCAGGTCAGCTGTTGTGTTGGATGGCTTCCGTTATCTACCCACAAGCCAGCATTGTCTTTGATACTACTGCTGTCGAGTACTACTTTTTACCAGTGATATCATGGTCAAGCAAGAAGTACAAAAGGTCATTCGTGTCTATATCGCTATTCAATTCCAGTCTGTTCATTTTGCACTTATGATTATGGGGAGAAAGCCAGGACCGTTAGGCTATCCTTTGTTCTGACACATACAGGAAACAGCTGTACTTTCACTTCTGAGCCCCGTTTTACTAACTACTTTTTCCCATCGTGAAATGTGTGACCTACTTAAGTAAGATAAGGGAAGCAATCGGCGTGTCTGCTTTCGGAGTCAACACTCCCACCATCGCTAAGCGAGCCGCTTTCTTCTCACACGGTCCAGAGGAGTTTCTGGAACAGGACTGCTCACTCACATAATATCGAGTTGAAAAATCATTCTAAGGTTTGAAACACCAAGTTCTGGGGATGAAAATTAGTTTCAGGTCTTCTCAATCTTACGCTGTCTATCATTTGCGTGTGGTCCTCTTGATGTCCTGCACAATCCTGTGTTTGTGGAACGTACCTCTAGCGCTCGTCACCAAGGTGCACATGGTCCAGCTGATATTGCCATTCGATAGCAATTTGATTGACACTTTTCTTCTGTGGAACAAACAAGATGCAAGTTTTTGGATGCTCCAATGGGAGCAACCGAATGATTTCAATGTACTTTGGGGCAAGTGCTCCCCTCATTATGCAACTTTGCTGTCATCAGGTAATTTTGACTGGCAATGAAAATATTGTCCAAGCGTTAATTCAAACAATGAGATTTCAATCATGGATCAAATAGCCAAGTATAGAAGGCTTCTTTCAAGATGCACTTGCTGATCTGTTGTCGGTATTCGCACCTAACTTATCCTTATCCCCGAACACCCTGTTTGGTGGGGCACCAGGGGGAGCACCCGGCTGACATCATCATCACTCTGCCCCGCTGGAGGGAGCTTTGAAATGAAACTTCAGCCCACCATCTACAATGTGTCCAAGCCTGCCCTTGATTATCAAGCATTGCAATTGGCCAGCATTCAGTCCACATTAAGTCCGATCTCTTGACTAGAGTACATGTTTCCTTGAGAAAAGTACAAATAGCCTCGTCTGCTCATGCGCCTGCTGTTCCGCTTCATCCTCATCTCCCTCACACTCTTCATGTTTAACTCTCCACTCCGAAGAATATATCAAACCTCCAAACATTTCATCCAGGTACCCGCCACTGCACTCCGCACCATGTCTTCCTCTTCAGAGAGACCAACAGGCCTGATTGGCAAATCGGGCATTGAACTCCTCACGTTCGGCACCCCCAATGGCCATAAAGCATCTATCATCCTCGAGGAATTGAAGGCGGCCTATGGAAAGGAGTACATCTACCAAAGCATCAATATTATGGAGAACATCCAAAAGGAGCCCTGGTTCACCAAAATTTCTCCCAATGGACGCATTCCAGCAATTGTCGATCACGATCGCAACGACTTCACTGTTTTTGAGGGTGCAGCCATCCTGTCATATCTTACAAGACATTATGACCCGGAGCATAAACTTAGCTTTACCGACCCAGATGATTTGAGCCGATGTGAGCAGTGGGTGGCTTGGCAGCACGGCGGCTTGGTAAAACTTCCATTTCATTGATTTTACTCTGATCCTATTCTGGTATCCATATCGTGACCTGTTCTCTTACTGACAGACTCAGGGCCCAATGCAAGGACAAGCCAACCACTTCTACCGGCTAGCCAAGGAGCGCATCCCATACCCCACTCAGCGCTACGTCGGGGAAAGCGAGCGTCTCTACGGCATCCTCGACATTCAGCTCGCTGACCGCGACTATCTCGTAGGTCCCGGCAGAGGCAAGTACTCCATTGCGGACATCGCCAGCTTTTCCTGGGTCAACGTCGCGTATTTCGCTGGTGTGGATCTCGCGAAGTTCCCCAATGTTGAGAGGTGGTGGAAGAGTATTGTCGCAAGACCCGCTGTAAAGAAAGGATTGGCAGTTCCTGGTGAGAGTAAGCTGGTGAATGAGGCGTATCAACGGAGGTTGAAGGAGGAGGACGGATTTAAGGAGGCGGAGGATAAGTTGAAGGATTTGGCTGATAAGGCTAAAGAGCAGTATGGTTATAAGTTTGCCTCTCCTTAGAGATGGCAGGAGAGGCGATGAATAGAGAATGTATTATCTAGGAGCCATGCTTGCTACAGGTTGGAAGATGAATTGTTCAAAAAACAATGAGTTTGCACGTTAATCGTCTCAAATCAAGTACTTGATCTCTCTAACCAGTACCACCCAACTTTTGCAGGCACCTTTTTTGTGCACCACTTAATCGACGTTTGGATCATTTCCATCTGTGCATGCATCGGTAAGTCATCAATGGCGCGGAGGCTTCCCTGGGATCAAAATCAAATAAATTTCACAGTACTTCTCGCACAGAACGGCATTTTGGAGCGTCTGAAAGTCAAGGTATTTGTATTTCTCGCTCATTGTCCATTCGGCTGGCAAACAGGCTACCAAATATACTCAAAGGTGACCGATCATCAAATCTCCAAACTCGCATATCAGGTAGCCTTCGCCCGCTCTCTCAGAAAGCATGTTTTCGATTTAACAGCTCGTGTCTCGATAGACGTTGACGTTGTACCCATCCGTATCCCATGCCTGTCCTCCGACGAGTCTCATAAGGCCGACTTCGTAGGTGCATCTCTTGAGAATATCTTGTGCGTATGAGGCCACTGCAAAAAGATGACAAATCAGTGATTTTCTTTTCCCCCTGATGAATGACGCCACTAATATAGTTGTTGAGTGGCCAGTGATGAAATGGACTTACTGTAAGCACACGAAAGACCCTTTCTCTGAGGCGTCTAAGAAACTCGTCAGTAATCCATACGATTTGAGCAATGCCTCAACTCCTCTAGCTAATGCAATCACAATATCTAGGGATTAAACTCACAACATTACAGAGAGTGATAGCTGATTTATAAGAGCAGCTGATTCTCGAGCAAGCATGGCCCTCAACCCAGCAAGGGTTAGTGACTCTCTGCAAGTGGGCGATGCCGTCTCGGATGTAGCGAGTTTCGACGGCTCTCCAGGCGGACTGGCCAGGGACAGGGAGGCATGCGAGGTCGGACTTGGTTTGCTAGAGGGTTGTTAGCAGCTTTGCCTTTGTGTGGTCTTTGGGGTTTTGGGGTCTGGGGTGTGGCGGGGGTTTGTTTACATCCTCGCGAGCGGCGATCATGCTTGTGATGTTCAAGCCGACGATCTCATTGTCCACCTCAAAGCTCTTAGTCTCGACTTGAGATGATTGGATATCGTCAGCTGGTGCGGCGAGTGTTGTATTGAGGGTGATGAGGAAAGTAAAGGCAAGGAGGAGGAGGTATTTGAAGGCGAGAGAGTGTGATTTGAGGAAGTACATGTTTGACGTTAGTTGTAGGTAGGTTTATGTGTGTCTTATGTGTGTTTCGAGGTATTTCTTGAAGGGGAGAGTCTGTAGCTGGGATATACGGAGGTGCCTAGTTATAGGTGTCGCGATGAATCTGAGTGCGAGGGGCTCCTATGTCGCTTCACCATACTGGAAGAGACGACTCGGTAGCTTTAGCCTACACAAACCGCGCTCGTAAAGATGACGCTCAATATCAATTGGTTCTTTTACTGTGGAGAATGAGACTGATTCGACTGATTCGGTTTCAGAGCAGAATGAATGCCCACCCAGCTCAGAGGACAAGGTGATGTGGGTTAAGATGCCGAAGAGTCTAAGTCCTCTATAGGTGAAGCAAACAACTCACGAAATGAAGAAGCAACGATTCACCAAGACTAAACAGTATATGTTGTAGCAAGTTCTTCAAAAGCAACGCATGTCTATTTTGAGGTCTCCGTTCAGTATTCACTATCCCAAGATACAGCGCTCCCAATCCCACCACTACGTACCCAAGTGATCAGATCAGCACTTGTCATTGAAGACATTGATATTGTAGCCCTCAGTGTCCCAGAATTGCCCTCCACATCTGTCTGGTTGCTTTCTCTCCCTAATGGTACATCTATCCTTGATCTCTTGAGCGTACGAAGCCACTGTAGAGTCGAACATTAGCATGGATCTTGTGAGTAGTCGGAAGCTGCCTTTATTCATTGGAATACAACCAGGAAATGGGATGGAAATAGAGATGGCCTACTGTAACCGCAGGATAGACCTTTAGTGACAGGTGTCTAAATTTCACAATCAGCTTTTGCCTTCCTCAACGCTGCCACACTTGAGTAGAAAGAGAAAGCTCACCACATTGCACAAACTAATAGCACTTCCCCACGAACAGCTGATTCTAGAGCACTTATGCCCATCAACCCAGCAAAGACCCTGGACACGCTTCAGATACGCGATGCCCTCAGAGATATACTTGTTCACAGCTGGTCTCCAAGTTGGTTGGCCATCAAATGGCCAGCAGTAGAAGTCGGATTTGGTTCGCTACATTATGACACCATCAGCTCAGTACTGGTAATGGGCACTTCTATCACTTGAAGCTGGTGTACTGCATACCTTGTCTAGCATATCAAGAGTTTCAACATCGGCTCCAGCTGCAGTGAGAATATCCTCAGCCTTGAAACCGGGGTTCTCAGCTGCGACTTTGGCCAGGATTTCTTCGATGGTACCGGTATGTTTCAGTGCGATATCGCCGATTGAGCCGGTCATGCGAAGAGGAGCGTATTCGAAGCCTTGGGGGAGTAGCTCTCCTTTGACGACGTTGAAGTCTTCGGCTGTGGCAGCGATTACGGAACTGCTTACGATGAAGAAGACGGCAAGCGTGAGGAGGATCAAGTGCTTGATTGTAGCTGTGAGGTTCATATTGGAGGTGGGTTGGGTGTCAAGATAGTGGGTGGTGCTTCTCGGAGGATGGATCTCGAAGCTTCACACTGTAGCTGGAGCTGTCGAGGATAAGGGGGATTGTTGAAAGAGATTATTGATACTTGTAGGCTAGAAGATTCTAAGGATGATTTTATGTCGAGTGTCGACGAGGCTGCGGTATTATCCTTAGGTGAATACGCAAGTCAAATTGTCGCGTGATTTTCGCGAGTGAACAGGACATTGCGAACATGATAGGCTGACCTTGCAACAGCGATCCCAAAGCAACAGAGGTAAGAACTCTAGTTGAGAATCTAGAGTTTTTTTGTCCACATTCTTTCCTCTCCTAGCCACCAGGTTATTGCATTGGTAAATATTCAACCAAGGAGGCTCATTCAACGACAGAGAAAACCTCCGTCGGTACTCCGTCATAGAGACATGAGGAGGCTGACAACGGCTTTGGCATTTTGATGGTTGACACAAATCTCGGACTTGAATGTGAAGTGAGAAGTTGGACTTTCTGGTCTTGTATTGTTTATCGATTGTGGATTTGTTGACAGCGGCCCAATACTGCCTCAGAGCGAGTCTCGCTAAGCGTAATCCCTGGTTCCCAGGCAGGCAACATCTCAGCGAGCGCTTCACGGGCCGCCGTCTGCCCTCAAAAGACCAAAAAGCCCTTGAGTAAAGAGCAGAGATGGGTGCAAGAAAGGAGAAGAATCAAAACAAGCCATTTTTGTTTTAGGTTGTAGCTGCCAAGTGTCTGTGTCCCTTGTGGCAACTGCCATTGTTGACCCGATGAGGGTGATGACGTCCAGATAGGGGGGACTATAATTCGATCTAATGAGCGATGTGCGAGGTGGTGGTTACTGATGATGAAGGAGCTTTGCATGGTAGTATTCAATACGTGGATACAATTCCTCTATCAGACCAGGTATTAAGGAGAATTTGGTGTTGACTGGAGCTTGGACTGGAGGATGAAAGGACATCCTAGCTGTTTAGTCAAGGAATGATCCACAGCTAGTGCAACAGGTGGAAACCTTGCAAGTCAAGAACTGCGAGTGACAAGCAGTTACTAAACATAAATCCAGTAGTGGAAGCACTTACAGTTTTGAGACGCCATTTGCCACCATATTCCCTTCTAGATGATTGGCCGCTTGATCGAACACCCATCATGACTCGCCGAGAGCACTGACTCTCGCATACCCCTTGGTGACACCTTACCGACTTACCTGAGGTCTGATGGAGGGGTAAATATTTCCGTCCGTGTAAAGCTGCACTGTTTTCTTTGCATGCACATATTTCCGGGCCAGACAGGGGAGTGTATTTTCTAATGTGGGATCAATTCCGGGCTAGACTACCATGAACCTCCATCTACCGCAAGCTTTTATACCATGCTGAAACACACAAGATTGCACCGGTAGAGGTAGGAAAGTCGAAAGGCCGAAAAAAAAGGGACACCGCGCGCGCAAAAATAAAGGGAAGAACGAGCCCTGCAATTTCCTCCGGGGCTAAATGTGATGCAAAAGCCAGGGAAACTCAGCAGCTTGATTCATCGTACAAAGACCACCCTTGCGCCTCTTATGGAAGTGGAAGAGAAGAGACCTGAATGATTCGTGATGGAGAGCACCATTGACCGAGAGATGGGAAGGTGTATGGACGTTTGTTCGATTGTATTTTTGGGAGCTCGTGAAGACAATCGAATGATGGAAGAGATGACGCCAAATTTACTGGTGTCCAGCCTTTCGGAGGGACTGCGCGAGCCACTCCAATCCTTCGTAAAGACCATCTCCGGAGGTAGCACAGGTGGATTGAATGTACTGCGGAAGTTAGGAATTGGTATGTCTCGAGCAAATATTAAACTTACCCAGGCACGTTGTCTCAAGCTGTGGAGGCCCAGCTTATCTGTGATCTCGGCAGCGTTCATGGCATTCTGTTGGTTGATTAGTCAGGTCTTTGTTGATCTGGATTTCTGTGACATACTGGCAAATCTTGCTTGTTAGCGAAGACCAAAAGAATGGCATCCCTCAGCTCGTCCTCGTTCAACATGCGTTGCAACTCCTCCCGAGCCTCAACAACACGATCACGATCGTTGGAATCAACAACGAAGATGATACCCTGGGTGTTCTGGAAGTAATGTCTCCACAGAGGTCGGATTTTGTCCTGTCCACCGACATCCCATACGGTGAATTGAATGTTCTTGTACTCGACAGTCTCGACGTTGAAACCTGGGTATGGTCAGCGGTAGGTCGCAGATGATGGCCTTGTATGTATCGTAGAGATAACGTACCAATCGTGGGAATAGTTGTGACGATTTCACCAAGTTTCAGCTTGTATAGAATTGTGGTCTTTCCGGCTGCATCCAAACCAACCATCAAGATTCTCATCTCCTTCTTTCCCCAGAGCTTATCGAACAACTTTGAGAATGTAAGACCCATGATTGCGGTTTGTGTGGAGAGTTAAGGGGTATGTATCTGGTTCGCTCTTGCGTAGACTCGATTCTGTTGGGGAAGAAGGACGTTAGCACTGGATTTGCGATAAAGGCAGTCCTGAGATAAGATATATATAGCGAGTCGAATAAAGGACAGATGCCACGCTACGATAGGTTGCGGCGGTGAATCGTAGGGCGAGAGATAGGCTGCCATGGATGGGTCTGGTAGAGAGCGGTATCTGTATCCTGACCACCCTGACCGTCGGCCGGGCACATGCGCAGGCAGCGCATTTGAAGATCCACCGGCATCGTAGGGAGGCGGCAAAAGAGGCAGAAAGGACAGAGAGGGCAGCTTACAGTTCCGTAAGGTCGACGATGACCAGGTGGAGATAGATGTGAGGGTATTAGCGAGTTGTTGATTGTCGGTAAGATGGGGTGGGAGCAGGACTGGGAGGTGAGGACACGCAAAGTGCGAAGGCGCTTTCTTGAGAATTATGCGCTAACCGCCTTGGGCCCGTCGATTTGGCGTCAACGCGAAATAAAGTTGACGGACACTCAAGGCTCTCCTGGATTGCATCTTGGGTCTGGATATTTGGCAGCTCGGGCTTCACTTCTGCAATCGCACTGCACGCCTCGAAATCACCAATAGACATCCGCTCGGTCCTATCAGTTCTAGAGATCATATCCCAACCACAACAGTACTCGAAGGTTGCATTCGTTTGCCCCTTTCTAAGTCTGCCAGTACCAGATAGCCGCACGGGAGTTACCACGTTTCCATAGCGCGATCTCCTAGATCTTTCACAACTCCACCACTCTTCTCTGTTCGGAACCCGACCACATTCATTATGCGATTCTCGACTTCTTCGATACTGTTGGCGGCGATCAGCCTGCTAGGGACCGCTGTCGCGCATAATATCCAGCTTGCGGCCCACGGCAGAGAATGTTTTCACGAAATGCTGCACAAGGACGATAAGATGACGGTCACATTCCAAGTTGGCGACAGAGAATTTGGAAGCGCAGGAAACTTGCATGTGGACTTCTGGGTATGGTGTTTCGTCCCTCTTTGGAAGCGCTTGCTAATTTTGGCAGATTCAAAATCCTACTGGAGGTTACGAAACACATCAACGATCTGTTTCCAATGGAGATCACTCATTTGATGCTAAGCATGATGGCAAGTATCTCTACTGCTTCAGTAATGAGCATTGGTCTGCATCAAGCAAAGACGTTTCTTTCAATGTCCACGGCATAGTCTACGTTCCAGAAGCAGAAGCCCCATCAGACCCATTGGAGGCTGAAGGTAAGCACATATCCTCCTCGTCATTGTGACCAATACTAAGAATGCCCAGTCCGCCAACTCTCCGAACTTCTTGCCCAAGTCAAGGACGAACAATCCTATATCGTCGTCCGCGAAAGAACACACAGAAACACCGCAGAAAGCACAAACTCAAGAGTCAAGTGGTGGAGCATGTTCCAGATGGGCGTCTTGGTCGGCGAAGGTATCTTCCAAGTCTGGTGGTTGAAACGCTTCTTCGAGGTAGGCAAGAACAGTTCCGAGCGCTATGGCGTGTTGAGTCGGTAACTGATGACTTTCAAAGGTCAAGCGAGTTGTATAGAAGGAAAGCGGTTGGGTTTCAAAACATTTTGGGCGGCGCAATCAGCATACCGGTGCAATGGAATGATTCAGCATGATGTACGACCAGTTGTGGTAAGCTGGGCACTTGACCTGTAATTTACCTCGACAAAAACAACATACCATTCTGAGAGGAAAATATGAGGCACGATTCAAACCGAGGTTGTGATGGACCATGCTGGACTTCTAAGTGAAGCAAGCAATCGAATGGGCGCCAGGTGACAATTCGCGGTATAGCTGTGCATGCTTCACGTTCTGTGGCTGCACACAATGTGCTTGCTCTAAGTGGAACTGTGACTATTCCCATGCAGATTCTTGGACCCCAGCGGATCCACAAAGACAGCTAGCGCTTGGCGCGAGAAAGTCAATATGGGAGTGACTACATGTGCCATAACTAGCAGTCTTATCAGTTTGCTCTTCTACTGTACATCCTCGAGTCAGGTGCCTTTGTTGTAGATCGCTTTGTCAGCAGTATAGGCGGTACCAAGTATATCTCGCACTTCTCGCACAGCTGTCTGTGGTCATTGCTTCATCCTTGCCAGAGGTCAGCCAGTTCTGAGAAGTCTGATATTTCTTGTCGAGTTACAAGGATCATGCTCTAAAGCCTTTTCTTTTCATCTTATCCTAAAGCCGTCCTCAAACAAAGAATAATTGACAAAGTCAAATGTAGAAAATAGGCATGTCGGACAGCCGTCTCCCGAAATTGCAACAGCAGCTGTGAGTAGCTCTCATATAGTAAGCAAGTCCCTGGCTTGCTCGCGTGCTCAAGTTGTGCTATCTTGTAGGTAATATTCCAGCAATACTTGGGTGCCTTACAAAATTCCCTTGCAAGCGTAGCCTCATGATCGGATGGCACCTTCTTCATCGCTGTGTTCAGGTCCAGGTCCAGGTCCAGGTCCACGGTATCGGAGCATATACTCTTTCTTGACTATGCGCTCCAAGGGTTCCTCAGGCTATTTAGCCTTCAAAGTAACCCTTGACCTGTCAACGGTTTTCACATCCCATCAACGTGCCAATCACCAAATGAAAAGCACCTCCCTCGGCTGCAGAAGCGTTGCGGTTCTAGCCTTCCAAAGAAACATGGTCGTAAGCCTTGCAAGCAATTGCAACCGAGATCATTGGGCAAACAAGCAGACAGGCCACCAGGCCAGTCAAGCCTTGCGAGGGATGCCGCCGCCGTCTTCAGCGTATTCGGGTCTGTATTGCGCCCGTCTATTGGTCCAGTCGGGTGAACAACGCTCAAAGATCTGCCCGGAAGAACGCCATTCCGTTTCGTACTCGTGAAGGCAAAAGGGAAAAAGGAGGGAAACAAGTGTTCACGCCCTGCCTTCCCTCTCCTTCTCGTTATGTTTCCATTTCTTCTTCATCCCATCACAGAGAACCGACTTACAAGCGTGCGACAATAAACATCGCACGCGTACGTACACAACGATATCTCCCTCTCCCCCGCATTTTCGCCAAAAGCTTCTGTCACTGCGCCGACGGGGGTTCAGAGGGTCCCCCAAGGGCTTGATCCGCCCACTGAGATCCAATCACAGCCCCGCGCTCCCCGACACTCCCGCCCAGATCATGGCAAGTTCCGACGCTGCACCGCCCAACACGTCTGGTACGACTGCGACCAACCCAGTCAACGAGAAGCATAAGCCAACGACATTTCATGAGGGCGGCCATGCTCCTTCGTCTGCGGTTCCTGAGAATGTACCGGTGTTAGGCGCGACTGGGTTTGTGGGTGAGCCGTCTGAGAAGGCGGAGGAGGCTGCGGCTTCGTCTAAACATCATCCGAGGGACCCACCGCTGGATCATGAAGATAAACATGAGCGTGATGCGGAGAAGAGATCTCTTCAAGATGAAAAGGGTGCACATGTTCTTGAGGATGGGAAGGAGATCCCGGTAGGTGGAGATGGACATGCAAGTACAAGCAATGAGAACACGGATGGTGAGGAGGAAGATGGGGTTGTGTATCCCGGGAAATATCAATTGGGATTGTTGACTTTGGGACTATGTTTAGCGACTTTTACAGTTGCATTGGGTAAGTCACTTCTCATTGATTCGAGCTATGATTTTTTCAATTATTTCATGTTTGGTCAATCAACGACACGCAGTTGAGACTACTGAGTTTGACAGCAACTTGACGACTCTAAAATTTGAAATTCCTTTGCGTGATAATATGATGGACTGACTGACTGTTCTAACTTTGAATAGACAACACCATCATCGCGACTGCAATTCCAAAGATCACATCAGTCTTTGACTCACTAAATGATGTCGGATGGTAAGTTTTCTATCCGTTATCTTCTCAACACCCTCAACATGATTCCCGAACAATCGGCACTCGCTCGTGATCAAAGAAGACATCATCCACATTTCTCCACCAAGATAGATTCTATTCAAGTATATACTAACAAAGCCAGGTATGGCTCATCCTATCTCCTCACAACCACCGCATTACAACCCTCGTTCGGTCGAGTCTACACCTACTTCAACGTAAAATACACCTACATAGCCGCTCTCGTCGTCTTCGAACTCGGCTCAGTCCTATGTGCCGCAGCAAAAGATTCCGTCATGCTCATCGTAGGTCGTGCCGTAGCGGGTGCTGGAGCAAGTGCTCTTTTTTCAGGAGGCATGACGATCGTCGGCTTTAGTGTTCCGTTGAAGAAGCGACCAATATTTATCGCGGCACTGTCGAGTATGTTTGGTATTTCCTCCGTTGTGGGACCGCTACTGGGAGGAGCTTTGACCGATAAAGTGTCTTGGAGGTGGTGTTTCTGGGTATGTTCTTCCCATCGTTTCGTGTGGGAACCTGCTAAACGTTTTAGATCAACCTGCCATTCGGTGCAGTCTCTATTGTAGCAGTCTGGTTCTTCTTCAAGCCACCAGTGCGCAAAGACTCCGGACTGACAGTCAAGCAAAAGATCTTGGAGATTGATCTCCTCGGTGCTCTATTCCTCATCTGTGCAATCGTCTGCTTGCTCCTGGCGCTGCAATGGGGAGGCACAACGTATCCATGGAAAAGCTCGAAGGTATGGGGTTGTCTTTTGGGTTTTGGACTGTTAATTATCATCTTCATTGTGCAGCAATTTCGGCGAGGAGACAGAGCTACCATTCCGCCAAGGATCTTCGGCCAGAGGACAGTGCTATTTGCGAGCCTGTACTCTTGTTTCTTGTCTATGGGACTCTATGTAAGTTCTGTAAGAAGGTTTCGCCACTACAGAAGCTGATGATTCTCAGGCACATATCTTCTACGTACCTTTTTACTTCCAAGCAGTGAAAGGCACCACTGCTGAAGAATCCGGCATCCGCACGATCCCTTACCTGGGATCAGTTATCTTTGCTTCCATCCTCGTCGGTGGCGCAATTACTATGCTAGGATGGTATAAGCCATTCATGATCGGCGGAGCTGCCATATTCACCGTCGGCGCTGGACTGATCTACACCTTCCAAGTCAATTCCTCGACAGGAGTTTGGGTTGGCTATCGTAAGTTCCAGCCAGTTCAATCACTCCAATACAGCAAAACTGACATGATCTAGAACTTCTCTCCGGTTTCGGTGCCGGTGCTGGTGTACAGAGTAAGTCTTCTGGTACCAATCTCTGTGACTCCTTGCTAACAACCCCCCCAGTCCCATTCATAGCCGTACAAGTCGTCCTCGACACTAAAGACATGCCGACCGGCAACGCCATCGCCATCTTCTTCAACTCCCTCGGCGGCGCCATCGCCATCTCGATCGCGCAAAACATCTTCTCCAACGGCCTGAGCGCCAACCTCCCCAAGTACGCGCCGGGCGTCGACCCAAAACTAGTCATCAAGGCCGGAGCGACGTACCTGAAGAACGTGGTGGCGCCGGATGATCTGCCCGGCGTGTTGCGCGCGTATATGATGGCCTTGCAGCAGGCTTATGTTATTCCTATTGCGGTGGGTGGCATTGCGGTTATTTGTGCGTGTTTTGTTGAGTGGAAGAATGTTAAGGGGAAGAAGATTGTGGCGGCTGCTGGGGCGTAGGAGGATGGGATGGATGGGTTGGAGGGGAGGAAAGGGGGGGTTCGTTTCGGCTGTATATCCTTGGGATGGATTTGGTATGTTGACTAGAAGGTAGAAATATATCGAGCTTCTTTCCTGTTACTTAGCTTATGAATAAAGTGTACGAGTGCCAATATATCGAGATTCCCTATGGTATAATATGCAGACGGCAGGGTCGAGAGGTGTTGTCGCTCGCCTGGATAATGTTCTCTTTCCTTTCCTCTGTTCGAGTGGAATGAATCAGCACGCTACTGGAGTGAATCTTGAAATTGTCGTATCGTATGAGGCAATGACTGCCAAGGTGTAAATTTAGCATGGGAAAGGAGAGACTACTATGCTTTTACTACCAGGTACGCTCACACTTCCACAAACGGATCTCTTTGAAAGCATATTCTTGGATATGGCGCTTGCCATTTCTTAGATCAGAGAAAGATCATAAACCCTTGATTAAGCGAGGACAGTAAACAGCACTTTTCGAGTCGCCTATTGTAAAGAATGGAACAGTAGCAATTGAGATTCAGACGTCCAAATAGTTTTTTGATTCATGATTCGCTAAATACATATCAATTACCATGCCACCGCCATCCCTCTCATCAGATCATCCACCAACCCAAACCGCAATATCCTATCCTACCCTAAATGAATTCATACGAGAGCACGCACGCCAGTGCTTTTAAATCTTCAACTAGGCCGCCGGTGCTTGCTTGCTAGCTTGGAAAACGAGAATGCCTTCCTTTCCAGATCAGATAAATCGCCCCAAAAAGCACAAGAGGTAACAAAAGCTGTATCTTCCAAGCCTGATAGCCCAAAACGCCGAATGCAAAGCCGAACAAAGCTGTACATTTTATCCCAATCCAAACGCCGACCAGACACCAGAGAAACCAAGACGGACAGAAAGTGTAACACTATAATATGCCAGCTTTTCATGTCCATAACCATACACAGCCACAGGATACTGAGTCGAGATCCCGTGTGCTTATCCCGGACTCTTGATCAAGGTAAGCGCGCTTCGATTCCATCTCGGAGGCGACGGAGGAATCCGTCTCGTTGAGGTAGATTATTACGGGCTGCCCGGTGCTGTTTGTTGCGACTGTTGCTGCTCCGTAGTCATCAATGATGTGCTGGACGCCTGTTTGAATGTTAGCTTGACTTGATTTATATTGGAAAGGCTTATGAAGGAGGTCATGCTAGAATGGGGCTTACAGTATGGCGGGATTTCTTGCGGGCCTGGGATTCGACGCTCCTCAATCTTTAGAACATTTGGGTACGCAGGAGGGAATCTGAATTGCTGGGTGGTGCCAGATCCAGACGAGCCGGACGACGGGGCGGCTGTTGCAGATGGTACTGAACCGTCATAGGAGCTGGTGAGAGAAGCTACAGCAGAGGCTGGAGATGTGGAGGCCAATCGACCTGCACTGCTGGTCAGGTTGACCTACAGAGATGTTAGTGGGTCGAAGAAAACAAAATACTGATAACCCCAAAAGGCAGAGCAATGTGCTCAGGTCTGATGCGCTTAGAGAGGACGGGAACTTACGTATATAAACGCCTCGAGTAAAGTACCATTCCAGAAGCAGAACCAAGGCCTGTCTCCAGGCTGTGCAACATTCTTTCGCATGAAGCCCCCTGAAGATTTACCGTCTTCTTTCGCTTCGTACCCCCGCTTACTGACTGCGCCAGGGGCAGTAAGAGCAATTTCTGGCAAGATAACAACCTTGTTGTAGGGCATCTCAAAGAACCAGGCAGGACCTTTCCCGGGCTCTTGGGAATCAGTTACTAGATTCAGGACTTGGTCCTGGTTTAGGATCGGGGGCTGTGTGCCAAAGGCGTAATAGTCACCGAATGTGTTGTTGCCAAGGCTCAAACTGACTTCGTTATTCGCGAGTTCACCGGCGCCAACCAATGGAGTCACCACGATAGTGTACGGTGTCAAGGGTATCGAGCAGCTCCATGCTGCACTCTGTTCTGTGTTGGATAAGCAACTGTTTTGAATAGCCGAAGGAGCTGAGATGGGTAACGCGAACGTTCCAGTGGGGAGATCTGGCAAGCCTGTGGGCGCGGCAGTAAGAGGTGTGGCATCAAAGGTAGTAGTCATAGTTGTTACGATAATACTTTGTCTATTGGGGTCAGTTCGTATCAAAATGGTGGTTTTAGACAACTCACGGGCTTTTGCCTGGAGGGCGTTTGTTGTTCGGATGCTTGGGCTTCAATACTGCGAGCACAGTTCCCAGAATGATTCCGAACATGATGAAAACCAGTACAACGAGGATCATTACCCACAAAGGAACGATACCACAGATCTTCTTCCGTGCTGTCCTTTGCCATTTCTTCAATTCCGGCTTCTCTGACATTTGAATAGCAGCCATGTTTACTTGATGTTCGCTAACCGCGGAGTTCAAGGTACGTGTAGACTGTCGGGAGGGAGAGTTGAGATCCTCCCGGGAAGCGAATTCCGGATTTCGCGTGGCAAGACCCATTCCTCCAGCGCCAGCGACCGGAATTGCTACAGTCGGCCGTGTTTTCCTGGCAAATGCTTCGTCCGGATATTTGGTATATGGAGGAAGCTGCTCGGTGTGTCCATCTGGTCCTATCATGTCGGCAATCTCTTCGCCCTCCGGACCTAGTCGACGTTGATAATTATTATTTAAACCAGGGAACCCGACTGGAACAGGCGCCAATGGACTAGGTTCATCCGCTGCTTCTGCTTCAGGTACTGTATTTTGAGGGTACATTCCGTACGGATGCGTCGGGCCACCAGGGCCGTTGTATGGCCTGTCTGGAACTGGTACCGTCGAAGTCGTTGCTATGCTAGCTGTCCTAGCCAAGCGTGACTCTTGCGGGTACATTTGATATGGGTGAGATGGACCAGAAGGTCCGCGATAGGGACTTTCTGGCCTGATATACGGCATGTCTGTGGACACACTTGATGATCTGGTCGGGGCTGGAGCGTTGAAATTCGTTGCAGCCGTTGAACTCCTCCTGACGCTGGCCCCCATTCCCCCATCGTGACGCAAAGCAAATGTATCCATTGCCTGGGGCTTTGTCGTACTCGAGGGTCGAGGCGGGGGTGTTCTCCGTCCGTTTGTGAGATGTTGTGAGGCATGAGACGACATTCGACTGTGACCTGTCATTGCACCGTGCGGACGGAAGCCATCCGATATTCCCATCGCCTGTAAATCATAATCGTCATCAATCTCGTTGTCATCGAATTGCATCGACGTCCTCTGTTGAGGCAGGATGGAAGAGCGTGTCGATATTCTCCTGTCGACTCCCGTCGACGACCGACGATCAGGACCAGCCATTTCCACTCTTCTCCCGCAATGCCGAGACTTTAGTTGCTCCTTTTGTTGTGACGCCCAATCCACCAGCTGAGGACCTGGGACTCGGAGGTCAAGTACTACTCATCAATGGCGTGGACTAGGTGCGGCCGAAGCGATGGAGTCGTGATGAGGGCGTGGATGGGTGGTGGTTGAGTGGTGGTCGTCGTGGCAGTGAGGAGGTCGTGGATGTTTGAAGTTGTTCACCAAGAATCAAAGAGGAGCGGAGCACCAGAGCCATTCAGGGCCAAAAGGGACGAGGCACGGCACTCCTGCCTTGGCTGCTTGGCGCTATTTGCCAGACTGAGACGCTCTCTGACTGGCTGCAGCGCAACCTAGTCGAGGGGGCGAGGGGGGTGGAGTCACTGGAGTGGCCTGCTGCAGAGTAGTGGAGCGTGTGGGTGGATATTTTGGGATGGGCACGGAGACGGCTGAGACAGTTGGCTGGAAGAGGACAAGTGAGAGCACCAAGAGAACCAAGAGAAGGTAGAACACGAACTGGAAATGCTGACTGTTGTCTTGTGCATCTGGTGCAGATAACTGACGACGACAACTCTACAACACACTCATACAACAGCTTGGAATCAGTCAGTATCATGGATTCTGCGATCTGGCTTTGGCTGCACTGCACTTGCAACCATTCTCCCATGCACTTTGACCTCCCCAACCACATCTCCAAAGGCCCCTGGTCCTTGTCCGGAAGCACATCTCTGCCCTGCTTTTGTCCACGTTAACGGCGGTTCTCTACAGTATCGCCCTCCACCTTACTGTATGTCCCCTTGCCTCACCAGCTCTCACATCACAGAGTCACAGGTACCTTAACTTGAATCAAGCCCACAGTGCCACACTACTGTAGGTGCAAGGCTTCCTATTCCAGCCTTTCCCGCGATGTGGAGGCAAGTCTGCCCACCACCAGACAAAATCAAACCTCAGAAACACAAAGATCGCCCCTCCCGCTGTTGCTCTGCTGCTCTGCTGCTTTACCTCGCATCATTTGTTTGGCCGAGCTTGCAGTCCGAGGCTCGTCCCGAACTGCCCCTTTTCAAGTTGGCAGAGGCTTCCAGTCGACATGAGAGCATTTTAACTTTTCCGCATCTCAGATTCGACTGTTTGAGGCTATTGATATCTTGGCATTTGCCGGCTTGTTCCATCTCTTCTGCCCTGTACCTGTACCCTCTGCACGTAACTCGCGGAGTACCTTTTCCCAAAGTGCTCGCCCACCAACTTTTGAGTATCCTTTTGACCATGTGGATGAGGTCGATTTAGCCTGACCACTCAGCTGTTTGCAACACTGCGAACGCATTTCGATGCCAAATTTTGTTGTGCGACGCATTTCTCCGAAGTCACAACTGGACAGCTACTATTAATCTACCTCTGGCCAGCCTCGTTACATCTCTGGTCGATCTCATTAAGCTTTCCACATTCCAGTCGTTCGATCAGAGTGGCCATGTGATTGAAAGTCTTTGGCACTTGCTGCTATTAATAATGGCTCTCTCGATATCACAAGGGAGTGACATGATTTTCAGACGACGGCGGCTGTTATCGTCGGATTGGTTGGAGATCTGGGTATTAGCCTCATTTGCTCAACTTTCAAAGACCGGACGGAATAATGCAAGAATTCCGGGAAAATCATCCGGAGGGAGAGAAAGGACGGACGATGTGTTGTTTGTGAAATCGTCCAATAGTGCATCTGCTTGAGGTTTGGCTGTCTCATCTGTATTGTGCTGATACTTCAGATGTGTCTTAGCCTGGGCACCGACCGATGCTTCGGTACCGAATTGGAAATACTGAGGCAGATGTCTTCAGTGCCGAAAGCTTAGCTTCGACATTTCCACATACCTTACAAATCAAGCTGATATCACATGACCATAACGTGAGTGAAAGTGATTCCTGTGGTTGACGAGACAGCTCAGAATTTTCGAAAGTCCTTGAACAAAACCAGCCCAAAAACAGTGAAGATTTGAAAGAAAAGTCAAGATTGACGCGTTTGCCATTTTTTGGATGGATGAGTTGCTGATACTTAAACTCAGCAGAAGGACCTGAATTGACATGGCCAGGCTAGGATTGAGCAATATCTTTTACTGCGTTGAAACCACAACACCCAAGACCAAGAGCCGCTTCTCATTATCTAGTTAGAGCTCCCGTTATCTTGAGTCTTGAAAGAGCCCTATAATTGTCGTGGTTGTGCTACCTTCCCAACTTTTAAAAATCATGAACACATAATTAATGAGAAGAGAATAAAGTACTTGGAGAAAAAGTAACGGCTCCGATCAAGGAAATATCTCGTAATGGAATGAGAATATGTCCACGTCAACCCATCGTAGCCAACCAAATCCATCAACGGACGTCCGCTACAGTGCATGCAATGGCGGGACGATTTATACTTCGGCACATGTCATGCTTGATCTAATCTAATCAGATCGCTCATGAAGCAGAATCTGACTGGATGCCATGCTTTAGCGGATGATATTTCTTTTGAAAAGCGGTTCCTGATGCATATCAACCAAGCGAAAATCACAGTCGATATTGTTGGTTGAATTTCAGTCCTGTATCGAAGCCCAAGGTAACGTTGAAAGTCTCGTATCATAGGCAGACGATATTGAGGACTCGTACGAAGATTGTGGCTTATCCATCAGTCTACCATTCCGCGAGGCACGCAATTCCCGATCAGGCATCTTTGCACTGGCTGACTTTCTGAATCCGGTCGATGCGACACGATGTTCCTGTTCCTGCGTCATGTTGCCATGAGACTATGGCATACTTCTGGTGTTGGTGCTCGGTGGCCCGACGTCGGCGGCAACTTGCAGAGCAAGTGGCGTGGCAGTGCATTGCATTGCATTGCAGACTCTTGAGTCTTTGCCTTTCTTCGCTATCACAAGAATCCGAAACTCTTGTCTGGACACTAGATAGACAGGCCACAGGTTCCATCTGTATGCATAGTCCCATAGGGGTCCTCTCTGCTGGTGTGTGGTGACTGGTTGTAACAGGTTGCTGTGATGCAGAGCTGCTGGCTGGTACGATAATACATGTGCTGTCCTGACTCCTGCCCCGTCCCGTCCAAATAAGGCAAGGCACGTTCATACAGTAGCGGGCAAGATTGCGTCCCTCCCCTGTCAACACCCCCATGGCAGATCCTGGAAAGTTCTTTGTTGCGGCGTAAACAGATAAAAGCCTCCGCTCCCCTTCTTTTCCCCTCTACTCGTCTCCTTTCCCACTCGCCGCGCCCTGTTATTGAAGAATTTGCCAGGTTCAAGATAAACTTTCTGGTACGTGAGTCTCTCCTTCTTCTGCCGACCGTTAGCTTTTGTTGGGGTTTGCGTTAGTGGCGGAAGCTACTGTAAACCCCCCAAAATTAATTATCTTTTGTTGACGCGATAAAACCCCCTTTCCTGCCACTTGCCACTCTCTCTGCAGAACCTCCGAACTGACACCCCTCACAGTCAAGATTGCTTTTTTGAAACATCCTCAATTTGGTACCATACGTCCCTGCAGATTTCCAATTTGCAAGCCCTAATCGTGCAAAGTACCCCGCTTCACCGCCTCACGATGTCGGCACGCCCCCAAAACATTGGCATTAAGGCCATTGAGATTTACTTCCCAAACCAGGTACGTTGGAACATCCTGAGCATTGGTCTTTGGGACTGTGAGAGTCCACGCGCGTTTGCTAATTGCGTCTTTTGAGTAGTGTGTTGCTCAAGTTGAGCTCGAGAAGTTCGATGGCGTTAGCACTGGGAAATACACAATTGGTCTCGGCCAGACCAATATGAGCTTCTGCGATGACAGAGAAGGTAGAAATGCATGCAGGTGCTCCTGCGGAAACAACCACTGATTTCTACAGACATCTACTCCTTCGCCCTGACCGCCGTTTCAAACCTCCTCAGCAAATACAAGATCGATACCAACTCTATTGGTCGCCTGGAAGTCGGTACCGAGACGCTCTTGGACAAGTCAAAGTCTGTCAAGTCAGTTCTGATGCAATTGTTCGGAGACAACACCAACATCGAGGGTGTAGACAACGTTAATGCATGCTACGGAGGAACCAACGCTGTATTCAACGCTGTCAACTGGGTCGAGTCTTCTGGCTGGGATGGACGAGATGCGATTGTGGTAGCAGGTGATATTGCGTTGTACGCAAAGGGTGCTGCACGCCCAACTGGAGGTGCTGGTGCCGTTGCCATGTTGATCGGACCTGATGCCCCTGTGGCTTTCGAGGCTGGCCTTCGCGGAAGTTATATGCAACACACCTACGACTTCTACAAGCCAGATTTGACCAGCGAATACCCAATTGTTGACGGTCACTTCTCCAACAGATGCTACACCGAGGCCGTGGATGCGTGTTACAAGGCATACAACAAGAGAGAACAGACTCTCAAGTCCATTCCCAATGGTGTCATAAACGGCACTAATGGCCACACCAACGGTGAGGCCACCGACTCCAAGACTCCTATCGATAGATTCGATTATATGACTTTCCACGCACCAAACTGCAAGCTTGTCGCCAAGTCCTACGCACGCCTGCTCTACAACGATTTCCTCACCAACCCCGCATCCTCCACCTTCGCTGAAGTCCCAGCCGAGCTCCGTGATTTGGACTATGAAAAGTCACTGGCTGACAAAGTGCTCGAGAAGACCTTCATGGGTTTGACGAAGAAGCGCTTCGCCGAACGAGTGTCACCTAGCATCCTCGCCCCAACAAACTGCGGAAACATGTACTCTGCCAGTGTATACAGCGGTCTCGTCAGTCTGCTGAGCACCGTCGACAGTGCAAGTCTGCAAGGCAAGAGAGTAGGAGTTTTCAGTTACGGAAGTGGTTTGGCGTCGAGTTTGTTCTCTCTCAAGATTGTCGGATCAACAGAGACAATCGCGAAGACATTAAACCTCAAAGAGAGACTAGACGCCAGAACAGTCGTTGCACCAGAAGTCTACGACTCGGTAAGCACTAACCGTCCCCATTCATCCAAATCATATGTCACTAACCATGTGCCATAGATGTGCGAACTCCGAAAGAAGGCCCATTTGCAAAAGAGCTACACACCCACCGGTAACCCAGACACCATTGCCTCCGGTGTCTACTACCTCGAGAAGGTCGACGATCTCTTCCGCCGCGAATACAAGATCAAGGCATAAGCGAAACCAAACCATCCAGCCATCCATCTTCTTTCTTGCTTGACGGCATAGACGGTGTTTAGGGTTAGGGGGGTGCTCCACTTCATTTGCTTGATCTGCATTCTAGAATTGCCCACCGAAATTTTATTCCTTCGATAGACCATTGGCGACGACCTAGTAACGCGCCATACATATGGGTTTTAATAGGTTCCGAACTGCTTCTTCATTGCTGGTTTTGTTTCGTCCGTCCGTCTGGGATGGCGTTCAGCAGTTAGATTAGCATGATTCGGACTGCATATAGCATGGGGAACAATAAAAGATTCTCATTTATGATCTGTTAATTGAACACTAGACTGCCTGGTTGGTGCTGATCATAACTTCAGGTGAATTTGTTGGTTGATGCTGATTAGCGAGATAGTGAGCTGAGGTACGACAGTGTTGACCTGGGACTTCGCGTAATATGTGTTACCATGCAATTACTAACTCTATATGCCAATATAGACCTCTAGATCTATTTATAATGCGAACATGCACCTAGCTTTCTTTTACTCTACAATTTCGCCATCGGATCCGGCATCTCCCCACTCATGAACTTCACCCTCTCCCTCATCCCCTTCCTCACCTCCTCCCCACTCCTCTCACTCAACCCCTTAACATCCACCACCTTCACCTCCAACGTCTTCGGCTTCACCACCCTCCCCTTCCCCTCCACACCATCCGGCCTGTCCACAACCCCACGAATAAACCCGGCCCAGCTCTCAAAAAACATCCTACTCGCCGGCAACGTCTCCAGCACCATCGCAAAACAATGCGGCATCGTCTCATACTCCTCATACACCACCTTGACACCCTGCCTCGCCGCAACCATAGCTACATACCTATCCTCGTCCGTAAGCAATTCCTGCCCCGTCTCAATGAACATCGGACATGACCCCGTCCAGTCTTTCGCCGCGAGGGGCGACACCAGCGGATGGCAGAGGATGGCGTCTTCCGCGTAGAGGTTCTTGCGGGGAGGATTCGCAGGCCAGATCGAGTCGGGAGGGTACCGCGTTGAGGCGTTGGTTTCTGCCAACGAGGGGAGGTAGTCGAATTTGCGGTTTGTGGAACACGAGGGAGAGGAGTGCGTTATGTCTGTCCAAGGGGAGCAGACGGCTACACCGGCGGCGAGGGGGATAGACTGCTCAGTGCCGTTCCAGGTTATGGTGAGGTTTTGGCGCTGGAGTTCGAGGAGCGTTTGGAGGAGGACGAGAGAGAGATTGCCGCCTGCGGAGTCGCCGGCGAAGACTATGTGGGACGGGGAGACGGGGGCGTGGAATGAGCCTAGGGGTGGGTAGAGGAGGGTGAGGTAGGAGACGAGGGCGTCGAGGAGGGCGGCGGGGAAGGGGTTTTGAGGAGCGAGACGGTAGCGGACTGAGAGACAGCGGCCTTTGGTGAGTTTTGCGAGTTTCTTTGTTGTTGGGCGGTGGGTTGCTGGATCCACTGGATTGAGGTTAGTATTGATTTCAAGCGAAATATACATTAGAGAACGTAAACAATGACTTGTACAGAAGCCGGGAAGATATACTTACTGAGATAATAAGCACCTCCATGAAAGTACAGTACCGTGGTAGGCGATTGCACCTCTTTCATCAACTCCTCATATTTCTGCTTTTCCGGAATTTTCAATTCTACATTCGCCTTTGTAGCACCAGCTCTATACCCAACCCACTCGGCCTCCACAGCCCTCAGCTCCGGCTCTGTATATCCTCCCTCGCCATCACCCTCCTCCCTCAGCCCCTGCATAGCTTTAAACAGCTTCTGTCTAACATCATCTTCCTGCGGCTTCGGCATCGTGATCCTGCTCACCCACATCCTACCCTTGACCTCTGGTCCCTTGAGAGACATGCGTTGTAGCTGAGAGAGAGGCCGTGGCGGCGAGTCGTTGATGAAGGAGCGGAGGACATTGATTATAAGTTCGGTGCGGAGATCCCAGTATTGGGAGTGTTCTGAGAAGCCTAATGTGTGCGAGATGGCGGTTTTGCCTATGAGGGGGACTTTGGGGAGGATGGCTTTGATCATGGGTAGTGGTGACGTATCCATGTTACCGTTCCGCTCTCAGCGAGAGGATTAATTGCAGGAAGTGCAGACGGAGATGACTGTCTAAATGCAATATATGCGAACTACGTGAAGCCAAGAGAGAAAACTTGTGTAGAGGAAGAGAAATAGAGAACGAGGAGATGTACCCACAATGTTGGAAGTTCCTAGCTTGGGCATCACCAGCACGGTTTCTCGAGATGCCGAGGCATGCTTCCTAGCCTCGTGGACTTATCGAAAGCTCGAAAATGGTCGCGTGGCCTATACTAAATATCATGTTTCAGATGCTGAAAAGAGTTGTTGGTTTTGCCTCGGGTTGGATGCGATATCCTGGGCTGGAGGTGAAAATGGCTGTTTGGAGACTGGTTCAGATGTTGTCCCCGGATTTGTGTTGCTTTGAGTTTCAAGCATCTTGCGAAGGGGGAACCTGGGAATTGTGGAACCTTGCAAGGCTGACTTAATGCACGGCCTCCACCACGTTTCTGGAAAATGGTACTTTTCTGGAACGAACGTTTGCTTGGGACAGATGACATGTATTTGTTTCACTGCGACTGGCTCGTTATTATGGCTATATTTGGCCCTGAGAAGTAATACATTGAATATATAATCATCGTAAATTCAGCCACCCTTTGACGCCATCACATGCATTTCGTCCCAGACCCGAGATTCCTTTATCCCTTTACGCAGATCCGCTAGCCTCCTGAGATCCACTACCGGTAATAGTTGTGTTGCCCGCGTTGAGACTCTTGTTTGCAGCAGCCATTTGCCAGGCGGGGATTGCTGCCTTTCCAGCTGGTGCACCGGTGTTGAAGGGACTGCTTCGACCTGTAACGGTACTTTGACCGGATGCAACAGATTCGCTGCCAGTTCCGTTGCTGACGGAAGCTGGCTTTGGTGTGACTGCTTCTGTTGTTGAAGATCCGCCGATAGATGATGTGGTTGTTGTTGGAACATTCGAAGATACACTCGAGGCTCCAATTCCCGAAGGACGACCATAGGAGTTGGTTGTGCTTACTGACGTTGTAGGGTTCATTCTTTGGCCCATCAAAGTTTTGAGACTCTTCAACTCAGTGTTGAGCTCCCTTAATCTGGTATCTGTAGTCTCCTTTTGTCCTTCCATTGCTCTGGGTATCAGATCCTTAAGTCCTCGGACTTCGTCGCCTATTCTTCTCGACTCTTCCTCGCGTCGTCTGCTTGCGGTCTTCAATTCGCTGATAACCGTTTCCACTTCCGTAAGAGCCGCATCAAGTCGTTCGGTTCGCGCCTTTTCGGAGGACTTGAGAGTCTCGGTATCCTTTGCAAGTTGGTCCAGAAGTGAGAATGCTTTCTCAAAGGACTCGTCGATGGCCTGCTTGTCTTGTTCGAGCTGTGGTGGAGTAGGAGGCGCAATCATCGGATAGACATAGCGCTGAAGAGTTGTCAGTGACCTATGATATTTTTATGAAATACGCAAAAGTACCTTTGCTACGAAATATAGCCCATAGCCAACCCCGCCCATGACCGTTGCCATGATAAACCAGTCTCTCCAGTCCCTCTTTGGTATCTCTGGAGGTGGCTGTTGCCATGGAGGCTGCTGATATCCGCCATATCCTGGCTGTGGTTGACGTATTACTTGCTGTTGTTGGGGAGCATAGTTTGAATAGTTTGCTGGTGCCGACTCGCCTCCAGCCCTTGCCAGTGCGATATCAATCTCCTCCTGGGTCAAGTTCTTCGATTGCAGAAAGGCTATTCGGTTCTCAATCGGAGATCCTGCGACACTGGGATCCTGCAGAACTGATGAAGTCAGTAAGCTGAAAGGTTATTCGTCTCTTGGTCTCTCACATGTAACCTTTGACTTGATCAGCAATCGTCGAGTTGGGAGGGAAATGTTGGTACTTACTGCAGACGCAACGATGTCTTCGCGAATCGCCATGGTGACAACGCCGACTTCTGCGCCAGTTCACTTTCGCTCGAGATGTCCAACAATGCGATGCGATGGTTGGAATAAATCCGGGGAAGCATCAAGTCAAGCGCGGGTCTGGTAAAGACAGTGGCCGGAACCGAGGCTTGTCAGTCGGGGCTTGGCGTAATTTTGCGCTAAGTGCATTGTTTACTTTGCAACGGGCTTTTGTTGATATATCCCTGGTCGCATCCAAAACCACCACCTACTACCGCGTGCATCCTCAACACAACTCATACACCAAAAGTCACATACTTTCCAGTCCTGCGCATTCGACTCAAATACTGTCATCTGGTAAATTCTCTACTACAAAATGTCGCAAGACACGGGTCTCTTCTCCGTGCGACGGCCCCGAGAGGTATGTTGCGCATGCAGAACTTGCGCGGTTCTCCTCTCGGAGCGCACTCATTTACTGATACATCTATAGACCCTCGGTGGCATCAATCATAACTCTAGCATTCCGCAACCTGCTTCTGCGATGAAGCGCTCGAACTCCATGTCTGGGCCTAACATGAACGCGCCGTTCACCATAAGTCACGTACGATCAATTTCTGGATCTCGCGCATCATTGGCACCACCTCGTCCGAGCCAGCCTCAGTTCCAGAGATCTTCTTCTGGTACCAATCTGGCAGAAATGGGAACATCGTCAGTGAAGCGCACATCGTTCCAGAATACCAGTGGCAGGAAGAGTTTTGCGCCAGGCACTACAGGACGATCGTCTGCAGAAAGCGTGGAGCGCAGGAGCAGTTCATATCATAGGTCAAGAAGTTCGACGAACGGAGCTATGGGACATCAAAGTTTCTTCCAACAAGCACCACAACCAGCAGGCGTCCCCAAGGATCCTCGACCACTCAGAGACCGTACATACCAAGCCAAAATTGGTCAGGAGCTTCTGGACTACATGGCCGCAAACAACTTCGAGATGGAAATGAAGCATCCACTTACACAAAACATCATCAAATCGCCAACCCAAAAAGACTTCAATTTCATGTTTCAGTGGCTTTACCATCGTATTGATCCTAGCTATCGATTCCAGAAGGCCATGGATCAGGAAGTGCTCCCTATCTTGATCCAGCTGAGGTATCCCTATCATAAGACCATTACAAAAAGTTCCCTAACGGCTTGTGGATCGGCAAATTCATGGCACATCTTCCTCGGCCTACTTCACTGGATGATGCAGCTCTCTCAGATGCTGGATGGCTATGCCGCGAATCAGTATGATGATGCCTGTGCTGAGATGGGCGTGGATGTTAGTGGCGACAGGATCATCTTTGGCTTCCTGAGTGGCGCCTATCGAGCTTGGCTATCTATGGATGAGGAAGCTGGAGACGAGGATCAGGACAAGGTCCTTGCCCCACATATCGAAGCCATGGCCCAGGAATTCGACAGATCAAACTCGAAATATCTCGACGAATTGCAGATTCTGGAAGGGGAGCATGTGCGTCTTCAGAAGGAGATTGAGCTACTTGAGAGATCTGGATCCGATGTTGCTATCCTGGACCGGAATTTCAAGATTATGGAGGAGGACAAGGTCAAATTCGAGGAGTTTGATAGTCGCATGAATCAAAAGTCTGAGAAATACGAATCCCGGATCGAATTCCTCCAAGGAGAGCTGGACAAGGTCCTGGCTGAGCTTAAGGAAGCTGATGAGGAACGAGCGAATCTTCAGAAAGCTGTCGATGATCAAGGAATCAGCATGGCTGATATCGATCGCATGACGGCCGAGAGAGAACGTCTTCAGAAGGGCATCGAATCAACGTCACAACGACTGGAAGACGCAAAGAAAAAAGTGTCAGAAAAAGAAGGCGAAGCAAGCCGAAAACTTGAAGATCTTGAACGCATGGTCGACAAGTATAACAGCCTTGGTTACCAAATTGGCCTCATCCCTGCAACAGCTGCAAACGCCAAGGGGAAGAATTATGAACTCCAAGTCACAGCCAACGAGGGACCAAACTTCTCTTCTTCGCAAATGGCCGCATCTGGAAGTGGCAATGCCGACAGTGACAGACTTCTCGCGGATCCGGTTACCGGGTACCAACCAGCACATATTCTCAACCTGGATCTCCGTGGTCAGGTTAGGGCTAGCTTCTTAAGCTTGCGAAAGGAGATTTCGGAAAGACGTACTGTGGCAATGGATGAAATGATGAAGCACCACGATCTACTTGATGGGATCAAGGAGGCTATTGAAGACAAGCGCGGTGAAGTTGAGGCTCTTGAGCATCGTGTTCGGGCAGCAGAGGAAGAGTATGAGAAGACAAAAGAGGTAAAGCGAAATGGATTTCAGTGGAACACCCATGAGCTAACTCTTCTCTAGGTCACTACCACTCAAAAGATTGCTTCTGATACGCAGATCGAGAAGATGGAGAAGGAACTGGCAAAGATGCGAGCCGGACTCACCGAGTCCGTCCAGCTCATGGAACAGCGTGAGATGAACACCAATATTGAGTAAGTACCATTGAAATCAGCGGGAGAATTATCCTAACACAAACCAGATATGAGCAACTCACTCTGAAAGCAAATGCTCTTCGCGAAGAACTGCATACAGAAATTGAGAAGATGCTGAACGACATCATCAAATTCAAGGTTCATATCCAAAAAAATCTGGAAGACTACGAGGGTTTTGTCGTAGATGAGGTGGAGCACGAACTTGGAGGTGATGATGAGGGACGAGAAGATACCCAGGATGTTGAGATGAGCTGAGTGCGACTAATCAGTGCTTTGTTTCTGCTTTGGGGAAGGTTTCGGGATTGTGCACATAAGTCCTGACTGTTGGAAATATGGGTGCGTGGTAAGGGGCGTTTGTGATCAAGATACCGTAGGTGATTGAGGATGGAGGGAGTTTGGTTGTTGGCTGGCGGAGTTGGGTAATGAATAGGAACGAATTGAATGCCACACAGGATAATCTTATAACTTTGAGACCTCTTTTGCGTCGTTGTATGATATGACCAGTTAATATGTATTATTTCAGAGATCATCAATGTATTTCGAACCAAGATCTGCCGCAGTTTCCAGAGGCAAAAATGAGATGGGAAAACAAAGCGTCAAGGCCACGTGATGAGTAATCTGAGTGGCTTGGTTGCTCCGGCCAATCGATCTCTACACCCTCCGCCTCGTCTGTGTTGCGGTCTCTTCTCCTCAACGCCCGTCTTCAGTGCTCCCATCTGCGCATCGCACATCGTCTCATCGCATATCGCAGCAAACACACTTGCCGCCCTTAGTTCGCGCGACGGCGACCTTCTCAATTGTATCTGCTAGCGCCGACAAAGCGATAGATACCTTGCTCTACCCCGTCGCGCTCCTGTTCCTTCTCGCCACCTCCAGCTTTCGTTAACCCCACAACAATAGCCTCACGATGACTGAAGTATCATCCACCAGGTTGTACCTGGGCAATCTCCCTCGCAGTGGTCAGTACCATCGGCGCGACTCTTCCCTGATCTATTCCAGCCTATACGCCGCGCCCGGTTGAACCTTTACTTACATCCTCACAGCTACAAAGGCCGATGTCGAAGCGCATTTCAATACTCATGGCACTGGAGAGATCACCGAGATTAAGCTCATGAATGGCTTCGGATTCATTGAATACAAGGATGCGATGGATGCCCGCGATGTGGTTCCCGGTATGGCCGCATCAACAACTCCTAGGCTCGATCATATAACTTACTCCTCGTGTAGCCTTCCATGGCTCGGACTTCATGGGGGAGCGCTTGACCGTTCAGTTTGCTCGCGGTACGCGCAACCGTGATACCTTTGCGAACACCGAGCGTACTGCTCCACGTCCAAGACGTACTCCTCATCGCATGCAAATCTCTGGACTTCCAGGTGAGACCAGCTGGCAGGTCTGTTACCCCCGTTCCTTCATCCGGACTCTTGGATCTCAAAGAATAATGCTATTTGGACTCTGCGCAACATGAAATTGATATTTGGACGCCTGCATTGTACAAACAGACCTTCAGCAGCAGAGTTATTGGTCAGTCAGTCCTGGCCAGCATCACGCCCTGCGTTGGTGATCAGAACCATGTAGCGTGCTAGTGCATTTGCCTGAGCAGCTTCGGACTTGATCGACTTCTCTCTCCCTCTTCTGGCCTTTCTTATCCTGTTTCGACTTCTTTCTGCTATTGTATGTTGCTGCCCATTGCATAACTGGATAGCGATCACTTTGCGCAGAATGGAACTCAACCGTTGGACCATGTACCTATCTCGGGAACTGTTTGGATGGCAACAACTACTACTACCTTGGCGTTTGTACACCAACCTGCCTGGATGTCGACTTACATGGATCTGGATATAGGACCTGAAAGACTTCGCCCGTCAATCCAGCCTCGATGTTGTTTACTCCGAAACTGGTCGCGACCGGGATGGCAAGGGGTAAGCTACTTTATCTTTTTTTTGGCGTGGGCTTTGCTGACATCTTATGACAGGAGCTTTGTCGAGTTTGAGACTGCTGCGGACCTCAAGACTGCTGTAGAGAAGCTTGACGGTCGCGAGTTCAAGGGAGTTCGCGTCACTTGTATCGCTGATGTACTGGCTCCATCTTGTCCTCCTACGAGTTTATCTAATTTCTCACAGACTCAACCGGATATTCCACGCGACTCCCGCGCTCGATCCCGATCCCCAATTCCCCGCCGAGCTCACCCTGGTGATGAGTACGATCGTCGTGGCCCATCCCGTGGATACAGCCCTCGACGTGATGGTGGTTACCGTGACAGGAGCCCCCCTCGTCGTGGCTACTATGATGATGACCGCCGTGGATACCGCTCTCCCCCAAGAGCTCGTGGACCCGTTGATGACTACCCACCTCCACGTGGTCGATTCGAGGATCCGTACCGTCGTGATTACCCACCCGACCCATATGTCAATGGCAGAGCTCCTTACGACCGTCCTCCTCCAAGAGACTATCCCCCAAGAGATGCTCCTTACGATTATGAGAGACCTCCTCGCCGTTACTGGTAAGCATGAATCATGTGTTCTGTTTTTATTGTGCTAACACTAGTCAGATTCCAACTTCAGGAGCGGACGATACGTTTTGAATGAAGAAAGACGGCTCAACCTAACTTCTAAGCATTTAAATCGTATTTGGAACGACTGCGATGTGGACAAACGAATTTTCTCACACTAACGTCTCGTCTCTTTCCCTCTTCAAAAGTAATCGTTCTCTTTATGGATCTTCCAAGGTGGGATGGACATTGTACAACACCATGATGAGGTCAACTTTGTGATCGATTCATCAAGATGTACTCCATAGGAATAGGGAAATTTGCCAATAGCTCTTGCAAAATGAAATTCATGATTTGTGATTAATGTTATACAATGCCTGGTGATCAAGCTCTGTGCCATTACAGTTCTCCTACCATTACGATATCTCAAAATTCTCTACTCTCCCCAATGTCACAAACATCAAAGACTCCCGTCTCCGGTAAGCCCTTCCATTTCATAGCCTGCTTCAGAAGTTGAGGCGGCTCTAGCACATCCTCCGAAGTCAGCACCCATGTGCCCCAATGGATGCCCATAGCTTTCTTGCACTTCGTATCGAGAAATATATTCACACTGTCGAAGGGATTCGCGTGCATGGAGCTCATAATAAACCGCGGATCATAAGCACCAATCGGAATAAGACCCAAATCGAACGGTCCCCTCAAATCACCTATCTGCTTGAACGCCGGACAATGCGGAAGATCCTTATACTCCTCTCCATAGTCGTCCACGCCCTTAGGCAGTTCAGGAACATGACGATATCCAGTATCGCCTCCAAACCATACGCTCTTCCCGCCAGACTCGACGGCCCAGGAACACCATAACGTAACGCCTTTATCGAATGCCGTTCTCGCGGAGGTATGCTGGCAGGGCAGACATGATATCCTAGCCTTTATATCCTCCCCTCCTGATTTTGGATTTGTGTTGTCTGAAGCTGTAGAGATGCGCTTCTCGCCTGTGCTGGGCGAGAGCGTGATATCAACATCGTTCCACCAATCCATCTCCTCCACATTGGTGATCCCACACTCGTGGAACCACTTCTTCAGGCCCAGTCCGACCAGGAAATGCGCATTTGGGTGCGCCTCATGGATTTTCATGACGGATGGATGCGAAAGGTGGTCATAATGGCTGTGAGATATTACGACGAGGTCAACTACGGGTAGGTCTTTGATATGGCATGGTGGTTCGGTGTAGCGTTTTGGGCCCATGAAGGAGAAGGGACTGCAGCGGTCTTCGAAGACGGGGTCGAAGAGGACGCGGAGACCGCTGGGGAATTCAACGTAGTAGCAGGCGTGACCTAGCCATGTTGCGCGGAGGGAGGAGGATGCTGTGCGGGAGGGGAGGAAAGTCGGTTCGATTACGGGGACCGTTGGAGGGGTTGTGTCGGGGAACTTCCATTTGCCTGTTATTCTGCGCCTGAAATCCGCATTAGAGTTTTCTTCCTTGATACATGTTTGTTTTTAGTCTTTTTAAGAGAAATTTGGCTGGAGGGCAGGAAAGAGGATTGAGAACCATATCATAGTCCCTCCGATAGTAACCGGATTGAAATCCACCCAACTCGGCCAGGGATTGACGAAACCCTTCCCATCTTTTGCATGATGCGCTTTCGTCGCAGAATCCTCAGGTACAGCTCCCAAAGCTTTGGGACTGCTCACAGAGGCAGCATAAATTACCGCAGCCGTCATGCCACCAGACATAGCTCTCGTCACGATCGGGTTCTGAGGCGGAGGAGTAGATCCGGTTGTTGTTTTCAGTGGACGACGCCTTAGAATTGATCGGAAGAAGGAGCGCATTTGTGAATTGAGGAATGAGGAGAAGAACGGGAGGCAAACTGAAAACTATATACTGTACAGAGTGAGGCTTGCGTTGCGCGTGGTTGCGACAAGCTTGTAGGTTGATGTGTATCCCTAGCTCGCAGCTGATGCACGGAGATAGGAGTTTGGCTGTCCTTTGCAAGGGCCGGAGCTGCAGCACAGCGGTGGAGGACCGGCTGTCGGGCTAATCTGAAGAACCGTTTCTTCTGTACCTCTTGGTTTTTGGGTGTATATTGAAGGGTTTAGAACATGTCTTACGATTTATTGGGTGAGTGTTCGAGAGGCTGATGTATGGTTGTCAGCCAGCTGCAGGGCCAAGGTCAACAAGGTCTAGTCGTCATACAAGGAGCCTGGGGAATTTTGGCGAAACCGAACCCGAAGCTATGGATGCTAGGGTCCTGGATCTGCGTACTAGCCACACGACTTAGACACCTAGAACAATGAAGTCAAGAACGAAAAGGCTAAGAAAAAAGATAAGTCAGAGAGCGAGAAAATATACCTACCTATCCATTCTAGTGGATGAAGGGGAGGGGTCTCCACCCAGGGTCTCCTGCTAAAAGCAACCCCACTTGCATCAAAATTCAACCCAACCCACGATGACCAGCACATGAGTCATGAATTTGCACGACCCGTAGCCCGTATGATGGCACAAATCCCTAGTCCAAGTATGTATTCAAATAAGAAAATTTACACCATCTTGATCCTTGTTTACAAGGCACAAACTTCTCAACTTCCTTTGTTGAGGTCGGTTGCTTGGTGTAATGGTCAGCACATCAGATTCTGACAGGAGATTCTGGGGATATTGGTTCGATTCCTATAGCGACCTTCATGGTCTTGTGCATTTTTGTTTTGCTGGCGTTCTAGTGCTACTGGTGCTTTTTGGTTTTTGACTGGTGTGGAGCCGACAATCTGTGGAGGTTTTTTGGGGGCGCAGTAAGCGAGGTTCTAGGCGAAAGCAAACAACCCCCCTTTCTTCACTGTGCCTCTTTTGTAGGTGCATAATAGTCCGTTCCCTTTCTGTCTCCGCTTAGCCGCTGACAGAGTGCCCGCAGCCTCACACAGGGGAACCGACTATTAACCGTGAAGGCTTTATTTATACGAAAGGTTGGGCATTATTTTTCAAATATGGACAATACAGATATGAAGGCTATGATTATAATACAAACAGGAAAGAGCTTGTAGCAAAAGAATACTACTATGGCGGTATGAAGAAACGGATGCGATGATAAAGTCCGCTGGTGGGTGAAGGATACTTGGGCATACGTCCAGAAAAGGCGTAACTAAGCTCATGCTGGATGTATAGCTGGATAATTTCGATCAACTTAACTATCAAGCGTATCCGAGGATGTACAAGCGAGTTGAAGAGGCTATGAGGCACCAGCATGGAAGAAGAGTGCCCAACACAAAACACGGGGTGTCTGTCACCAAGAGGCAGCAGAAGCCCCATGAGAAAGCAGTGATAAAGAAAAATTCGCAGATCATATGAATAAGGGGTACCAACTTTCCAAGATTAGTTAAGATGATTTTCTGTGTGTATGGTACTGCATCGTTAATATAGTTTGAAAGGCACCCAGAGGGGTAGCGAGCGGTTACTTCATTTCCAACCAAGCTTAACGTCAAGTGTACACAGATGACAATCTGAGTTCTGCCTTACTACAGCACCACACTTTTGAATCATCTAACTCTTGAAAAGCTTTTGATTAGTATTTTCTAGCGTGCTTAGATTTCTAGCTACAATTATTGTATTACTTCTTCTAAGCATGCGTATGAAAAGTCGTGCAATCGCACCAGGGAAGGAAAGAGGCTCGCTTCGCTTCCCGGACTTGAAAGACAAAACAACAAAAAAGACAAAACTTGATATGCATTTCACACATCCTTTGTACTCAAAGTGTACACATCAAAGGGCTTGAAAGCGAAATTCATTAATATAACACAGCAAAACTCCGAGACCGATCGCGATGAGGCGGATAAATCCGACCGAGAAGCGACCAGTCTATTAGAAACCATAAATGTGTTCTGATTTTGAAGAGGCATCACCGTGACGTAGAACGTGGGTGTTTTTAGTAGTGGTTTAATATTCTCTTATTTAGCTACATTACTTGAGTAGAACTTTGTAAGGAAGTTCGTTGTGTTGGGTTGGCAATTCACTTTATGCTCGCCTTATTTGTTAAGCTGTATTTGTATGCAGGGAACAAGCGAGGTGAGTGTACAGAATGATTCTATTAAGGATGATAAGGTCAGTATCCGCAGCTTCTGATTGCTGTTGGATACGAGAATTCCAAGCGAGTTTCTTTGATTATAAAGGACCGACCTCAATGGAGGGTCATTCCATGCAAGGTTATGATCGAGCGTACCCAATACAGAGCGTATCTGGGGGAAACCAAATCCTAGACATAGATAGCAACATCATCAGAAGCTTCCAGGAGATATCAGCCGACCGGACCTGTTTCAGAGGCTGACCATGAACTAAACAAGGTCATACAGAGATCATCAGCCAAGTTAACAGACAGGTCACAACAAAAGCCTTTAAAGAGAAAGCAGCGCAAGAGGTCACGAACGAATCATTTCAGGATATACCAAGCCTAACGAAAGTCTTCCAAATGGAAGTATATTAGTACCTATATTTACCGGGATTAACTATCTATCTACAGCTCCAATTGAGGCAACTAAGAAAACGCCGTGATATGCATGTATGCCTTCAGCTCAACCAGTGTCCCAAACGCCTACGCCAATGCTAATTCGCAATGCATAATCAAACCCTCCCATCACCAAACAGTACATCGACAATCTCGTCTAGCAGCGTAAAAGCAAGATGGGCACTGTTCTCATTAGTACTAACTCTAACGGAAGCTCGCTGAACTGGGAGGATGGGAACACGTACTTCAATCGAGGATTATTAAACGTCGCAAAGATCCTCCTACTTGCTGCCTGCGCATTCACTCTTCCCACAACACTGGCCGCTAGGTCCGGCACAAGAGTAGCAAGCATCAAACTAGCTTCTGTTCTGCTCTTTGATTTCTCGAGCAGCGTACGAGGTTTTCCGTCCTTCTTCTGCTGACCTCCTGGCCACATGGAATCCCTCAGCAGCGTGATGTATTTGACGATCGCTTCTTCGGAGACAATACCCTTCACATTCTCGCGGACTTTGCGCTCGATGGTTCCACCAAGGAGTTGGTGGAGTACCACAACCACGGCACGACCACGTAACCAGTTGTTGCCGCGATTCAGCTCAAAGACTTCGAGGAAGATGTCACAAATGGGTTTGACGAAGGGTTCAAGCTCGCGGTCTTCGAAAGCGTTAAGCTCAGCTTCTGCTTCAGCAACAGTTATTGGATCTTCGCTGATCGTGGTTGGCATTGTGATTAGTTGACTCGTGGCCGCCGAGAGGAGATTCTGACCAGCAACCGAGAGTTGGTCGAGGACCGGGATATTGCCCAGGATGTCTTCCATTCCGTCTGTGACGGAATTATAGAAACGGGTCATGATATCCTTCTTGTCGTCTCCGTCGAAGGGTCCGTCCATACTTGGTGCTATAGTACTCTGTGACAAAAACGCACGCAGATCTCGACTGCGGCAAACATCTGGTAGGAGCAGAATCTCATGAAGGTACTTCTCAAGAGCCAATCGTCGTTTGTGTAAGAAGTCGCTCTGCAATTTCATGACCATCCGTCTGCGAGGGAAGTCAAGGTTCCGGACCGATGGATATTTCATCCTGAGCCGTTGATGGAGATCGTGGAATTCGCTATAGCGGCGAGTGATTGTCCACGTAGCTGCTGGCATCTGCTCGCCCGCTTTTCGTTGAACCTCTACGACATACAAAGCATATTCTCGCCCATCATCTTCTTTACCTACCATAATAGATTTGATCTTGATAGTTGATCGGCCGTACAGACTATTGTCGCTTTCTTGAATGACGTACTGCTGTCGTTGCAGCTCCTTCCGGCGAATCTCTCGCTGCAAACTGGCCTTGGACTTTTTCAAAATGCGTAACTCGGCGGTATTGTTTGTGAGCTCAGCTTTCCGTGTCAGGGAGTCAACTACTGCGTCTTGAGCGACCAGTCGATCGATGTCTGTGGTAAGTGCAGTGATGGCTTCGGCAAGACCCAGGTCTCCTGGTGCAGCTTCATGAACCTCGTCATCGTCGTCTTTATCCTTGTCATCTTCAGGGTCCTCGTGCTCATCTGAAATAAACTTCTCTTCGTCTGGAAACAGGTCATCGTCTGTAAAGACGCCAATACGAGACGATGTATTGACGAGACCTAGCGACGCAATACTGGGCCTCTCAACTCGCTCTGATTTATTGAGCTTTTCTCCAAATAGATCTGTTTTGTCTGCCTTCTCTGGCTTATCTCCAAATAAGTCTGCTCTCTTGTGGTCAATAGAGCTTCTTGTTGATGCATTTCCCGGAGACAGTAAACTCGGGTTGGGAGATTCCAAAGGATAGTCATCACCAAATAGAGATTTCCGTAAATCGTCAACATCAGGCTTGTCTTCCATGATATTATTCAATGCTGCCTCCATAGCTTCGACAACATTGTTGTCCGGCACGTTATTCTCTGTTTCCTGATCTAGGCTATGAGTGGAGTTGACCATTGCCTCACTATCGAAATCTTCATCGTCGAACAAGGGTGACGAGCCTTCGTCAATCGAACCTCGAGATGAAGTCATCGGTTCGTTTCCTTCTCTTGCAGCATGTAGGTCAACAGAAGAAGCGGCTTGTCGACGTAGATCGGCGCGCTTGGGGACGAGTTTAGCAGATATTCTATGGAGAGGTGCGGGTGCGGGTTTGATTGGCAGAGCCTGGGCTGAAGCCGATCGAGTTGGTTGATTTGGCTTATGCATCATATCAAGCCTCGAGGGAGCAATTGGAGACGCAGGAGGCGCAATATTCTTCATCGCTTCTTGGGATGTGAGGCATTTGTAAAACAAATCGGACTTTTTGAAGTTCCGGAAATGTTTGTCCTGCATCAACTCAAGGGCAGAGGTTTGAGCTCGCAATATAGCTCGGCGGGCCAAAAAGTATTGCTGGGGAGATGCTTCTTTTCCCGCTTTGAGGAAGTTCTGCACGAATCGCTTCGAAGCTTCGGACACCTTCAATTCTGGCTTTGACAGATACGCCTCGTTGATCTGAGCAAGGTCATTTCTATCAGCTTCGGTCCAGGGGGCAATTGTGGTCGGTATCTCATCGTCCTCAGCGACATCATCCTCAAGAGGGTTGCGGAATCCGTCTACAACTATCCAGAATTGAACCATAGGCATGAGCTTCTGTCTATCCATATACTCCATGAAGTATGAGAGTCCAGACGGATCATGAAGAAGGTCCACCAGAGAAGCATTCTCAAGTTTTGACACTTGGGTCCCATTAGCAGCAGAACTTAGAGGCATATGTTGTCGCTCTCCACCTGCGGCAAGTTGGTGAACTTTCTGATCTAGAATCTTTTTTCCAATATCCAAACGCCGGAGATACACAGGATCCATGCCTTCTTGCAGGGCATCTCTTTTTAGTTGACTTGAAACCTCGCTTCGAAATCGTCGAGCATCCGAAAGGTTGTTTACTTTTCGTATAGCACGAATGAATTTCTCAAACCTCCGTTCATGGTCTCCGGGAGATAGGCGTGGGAAGGGGGTTGCTCGCTTTGACCTCGGAGCTGGAGATGCATGCTCATCAAGAGCAGCTCGAAGCTTTCGAACCGTAGATCTGTCTTGTAACATGGACCGTCCCTTGATATTTATTAGAACGTAACCATCAAGCTGTAATGCCACTACCTACATAGCCTTCCATAACTTGATTCCATGTATCGGGATCAGACACTAGTTGCATGACGGGTGTGAGCACAGCACATGCAACCAGTTCATTGATAAGAACCCCCACTGCTCCACTCCCCATAACTGATTCTGGCAACAACCGTGGGAGCAAAACCTTTGTCAACTTTCGCAAATAATCCTGCTGCACGAGTTTCGTATCTGAATATGCCAAAGAAGCTGCCGGGTGTAGTTTTCCATCTCTGTATTTCGCAGCAATAGCCAGGTCTAACTCCTCCGACTCCGTAACACTGCGATTTAAATGCTTCCCTCTAATAGCCCTCTCTGCATCGTAGAAGTCCTTGAAATGCGCCGTCAATATCGGAACAAAACGTGTCGTCACCACCTCCGTTATATCCACAGCCAGAAGCTCATCTCGCAGACTGACAAGAGCTAGTCTGATCGTCTTGTCGACCTCATTCGTAAAGGCAGGATTCTTGCTGATATTCGAGTACCAGGACTTCACGAAATCCCTTATTATCAGCTCCAAGAGCCCGTCCAAAGCGCCAGACACTGTCGCAGATTCCGGATAGAGGGGCTGCTTCTCGTAGGCTTGTCGTGTTCGCAGGGCGGCAGTCTCTTTCTTCCACCTTGTCGGGGCCAGGAACGCTGCTCCATGCGGGCGTCGTATAGCCTTCCTTTCCCCATATCTGCTCCCTCTCGATGTGAGCACAAGCAATGCGATCAAACCCAGGACGGGGAGCACGAGGCCAACGACGAAGGCATATCCGGCCCAGCGCAACGTTGGAACCCAGTTGACAGCATAACCCCACGCGACGAAGCTTGCGACACCGGCTAGGATCACATTTTGTCGTCTGAGAGCCATATCAATCTGTGACGAGAGAAAGCGCCGGGCAGCATGATTGAGTGCTAGTAAACAAACGAGGTGTTGTTCCTAGCGACCCTCCGCAAGCTCCGGGGCTTCTTCACCTTTAGCGATTCCTCACACTGAGCCTCAGCCCTGAAGGTTAAATCTAGAGTACGAGGGTACTTGCGCCCTGTCACGTCTTTACAGCGTATGTGCACCCCTGTACGCAGGTCCACGGGTGAGCTCTGAACCCACTAAATTACTGCAGCGTCGGGTAGGTAGGCGCGCTCGCCTCTGTACCACTCGCCCTGATTCGCCCGGTGGGTGGCGTGCCCCGCGAGCACACATCATACATTTTTGTCCTCCAGGCGACCGAGATGGAAATCGATGACCACACGCTTTGATATCACAGCTTCGACGATTGAGTCTGAGGAGCGGCTCTCGTCATTTGCGAAGACATATTACGCTTCGAAACAACATGTCATGATTACTCTGAGAGGGACAGGAGGACGATACAAGGCAAAGTAGTAAAGAAGATATGCGGTGACCTGCACAACAACCATCCAGCTCATCAGCCATGAAGTAACGCTACAACCTGAAAATCCATGATAAACCCAGCCAGCTGGCGCCTGAGCCATGCGTCTCCCTTGCCCATCATGCGGTTCTGTCTGGGACAAAATAACCGGCCCCTTTGTCGCCTGTCACACTTTTTCCCGCCATCTTCTCCCCATCTTGGAATTATAGGCCCGGGCATCAGATGGACGTCCTCGGTACATTACTGTATGGTATTTTCCAACAGCGGACGAGTATTGAATACTTCGTAGCTTCCACCACGCTCGGATGTTACAGCCTTCCACCTTCTAAACATTTCAAGACTCCGAGACCCAGGCATGCGAGAACGCCTCGTAGGAGTTGAGTCGCTCTTCTGGAAGCCAGTGGAGCAATCCTCGAACAAGATCGAGAAACTCGTCTCTATCTTTACCTTTTTCCAATGATGTTGCGAGGGACTCAAAATCCCTCCCCGTGGGTATAGGAACGATGCCTCTCCAATTGCCTAAGAGAAGATAAGTTATCGGCTTCGTATATAGCGACATAAAGTGTATTGGCCTTACCATTCTTGTCCCAGTATTCGTGTGATTTTGAGCTCCTCTGTAGGAATTCCACTGGCGGGGGACCAAGGAGGGCAATCATATTGGCCAGATGATGCGCTTCATTCCGTGCTGGGTCATTAGCATCATAGAGATGGAATAGACTTTCCCGTTCGAGGAGATCCCAGGCCTGATAAAAGGCAATACGTTAATTATTAGAAGTCAAAATTGAGGAGCAGAAGAAGGGGGGGGGGGATATACGAGGAGTCCAACACTCCACATGTCTACTGAGTGCCCCCAGGACATGCCGAGAATGATCTCTGGCGCTCGATACTGAGTAGGCATAGCAATTCCCTCATGCTGGTTCCCAATACGAGCCTCGCCAAAGTCGCAAAGGTAGAGTGGACCAAAGCTTTCTAATAAGAATTGAGAAACATGAATTGTGATACCGTCGATCATTTTTCTCGATGATGGTCTAACGAGTTCAGCCTCCTCAAATTCAGCAAGCTGCGACATATCGTCAATACTGATGAGGAGATTGCCCGCATGGATATCTTTGATTCAAGTTTAGTCGAGACCAGGTGGAGAAAACATAATTCGATCAGAGTGTCTTACCAGTATGGGTAAGATTTGCAGGGCCGTGAAGGAAGTCGAGAGCAGCCAGGACTCGCTGAAGGGCTATCACTACGATTGGCTGAGCGAAGATATGGCCCGGCATCATGTCTTGGAAAGCCCTGAGACTCAGACCAAGTGGAGGCAAGATAAAGGTTTCATGCGCTCCGTATGGACCTTGGAGCTTGAAATGATCCTCGAGCATTCGAATCATCTCACGGCCTGGGTGATCTGACTCGACGCCGTTCAGAAACTGATAGATCTCCAGCTCTCGGTTCGACGTTAGAGCATTAATATGCACCTTTGATGTCACATATCTTTGATCCCTTGAAAAATGACTGTCAGAACAATTTTTTCTCTCCAGGTGGAGGTTGGGGCATACAAGAGATCATGGCAAAGCCACGTTGTCGAGGTTGTGCCATAACCAAGCTTCGCAACGACCTGATATCGGTTGCCGAAGACTTCGCCAATACGGACGGGATAGAACAGCCTCGGATTATAGAATGGCAACGTTTCCTCTTCAATCTTGACCGACACGTCAATGATCTCGAACCCGCTGGATAGAAATTTACGCGGCTCCAGTGGCCGTCTCGGTGCCGAGGAGGCAGCGCGGTCCTGGGTTGCCATCTTGTTGATTTGAACCGATGCTGGTGCAGTAGAGCGAAGAAAAGATGCTCGATAGATTGAAGAGAGCCGAAGCAGTCGCTTCGAAATCATAATTCCAAGTAACGAGGAGCAGTAACGAAAAATCGTCCATTCATACGAAAATGCTAAGCGCCTTGCAAGTTGAAGGTTGAACGCAGCAAATCAAGCAAAATGTTTGGACGGTATCCATTGGCAGCCTGGCGAATGGTCTGATGAGCAGCAGCAGTGGACTGCTTACCACAACAAGTTTTGGCACGGATGGATGTAGACATTAAAAGAAAAGTTTGAGTGTAGACGACAAAGACACTTGATTCAGTGTCTACGAACAAGGTGTGCTAAAATATGTCAAGAAGAGGATATAAACGGGTTGGCGTGCCAACGCCGCGGAATACGTCCTAGTAAATATAACGCATTGGATTCGCACTGAAAAGTTATTGAAATTTACGCAAAGTTTTAGCTCAGCTCGGCAGGTTTGGACCAGGCCATACAGCTCTAGTAGATTCGCGTAATCTTGCCTTGTTGAATCACCTGCGCTGAAGAATGAAAAGCATATTTAAGACAGTTCAGAGAACCAGTTTGGCTGTTTTACTTTTGATCCTGGTGCAAATATCATTGGGTATCTTGTCTACCAAGGAGGATTCTCCAGACGCCGGAATAATGCTACAAATTTCTGACCTTGATTTCGCTCTACTTTCTTCCCCTCCTCCGTCTCAACTCTCATAATCTTCACACATGGATCTGCCTCCTGCTCCTCTTCTGAAACACGCTCAAAGGACAAATGTGCTTCGAAGTGTTGTACCATCCAATTGTGTAGATCCTCCACATCGGTAATTGTGTAGATGATGCCTCCTGGCCGTACCACATAGGCATATTCGGAGTTCAGTGTTGTGGAGACAATGCGAGCTTTGTGCTTCCGAGCCTTGAAGTGTGGATCTGGGAAGCAAAGGAAAATCTTGGAGAGTTGGTGCTTCTTAAAGAAGTTTGGGAGGAATTTCATTGTGTTGGCCCGGACGCATGCCGCATTTTGATATAGACCTTCCTCGGGATGTTGCGCTCTCAAAGCCTTGATTCTTTCTTGAACGTATTCTGTGACTTGTGTGCGAATTTCCATACCTATGCAAGATATCAGCCCATAATTCTTGAGTAGTCTGGACTTTACTAACCCAGTATTAGAGTGTCTGGCATGATGGGAGCGAGTGCAACTGTCAAACCTCCGAAGCCGCAGCCAATATCTGCGACTTCAATATCTTTCCTCAAAGGCTTCACAGTAGGCTTGTTGTCGTCCTCGATATGCACTTCAGCCATACTTTGAACAGGCTCTGTGGCTGCGACGAAGGCAGGGTAGTAGGTCGACCAGTCCATGTGCGCAGGACTTATTGGGCTTCGTATTTTTAGCCCTGCTTGAGGATATATGAGATTTCTGGACGACGTACTAGGTCAATTGGTGGTCAGAAAAGGGATTCGCATGAGCTCTTTGCCGATAGAATTTCTTCTTTGGAGCTTCTGTTGACGGTCTTTCATTTTGTGCTTTTTTGTAATCTTCCCTCTTCTGTCTTTTATTCGCAGCTCCGGCCATAGTGAAGAGGTGTGGAGAGAATTTACCCGGTTTGCGCGCAACAATCGTGGTGTGAGCGATGGTTGTCTTGAAGTCGGAGAGGTCGAGGAAGGCTGAACATTTTTGCTCCACGGCAGCCGATCGGGCCTGAAATTAGCGTCCTTTCCCCTGTCAATCCACCACTGTTCCTCAGCCTGACGAAGCTGCAGCCCACGCATTTCCGCGCGAACGTCTAAAAAACATCTCCCATCCAACAGCATGGCTTCAGAAACTGGAAATCTCTACGGCATTCGCCCACCTAAAAAGCAACCGAAGGATCTTGCGTCTTCCAGCAGTCTAGCTTTCACATCCAGCATCTCCAGCCTCCTCTCATCCACAGCATCCTCGTCTCGAACTGCTGGTCGCCCCCGCCCCTCTAAGAACAAGTCGGATATATTCACATCACATAACAAGAATGCTAAGAAACGAGCAGCGAAAGACCTAGAAGATGACGAGTTCAGAGGACGCACAGGAAGGCAGGATATCGGAGGCGTGGACGACAATGTGCTGCATCGCTCGAAGAGGAAAATGGAGGAGAAAGCTAAGATTTATGCGAGGATGAAGAGGGGAGAATATGAGGGAAAGGATGGGGAGGATGGGCTGATTGACTTTGACAGAAAATGGGCAGAGCGGGAAAGGGAAGGGAGGAAGGAAGACTCGTCAGACGACGTTGAGAGCGATGATGGACAGGGCGAGATGGTAGATTATGAGGATGATTATGGACGTCAGCGGAGAGGGACTCGAGCAGATGCAGAAAGGATGGAACGCAAGAAACGGAACAAGATTCTTGGAGCCGAGGAACTGGATAGAATGAGTGCCCGTCCTGCAATGCCTGGGAAAGTTATCTATGGCGATACTGTACAGGTTATGGCATTCAATCCCGATGAAGAGAGCGCGGAGAAGATGGAGGAGATTGCAAGGAAGAGAGACAGGAGTTTGACACCGCCAGATGCACAGCACTATGAGGCCGACAAGGAGATTAGGAGCAAAGGCGTTGGTTTTTACAGCTTCTCAAAAGATGAGTCAACCAGGATGAAGGAGATGGAGGCTTTGGAGAAGGAAAGGGAGCAAACTGAAAAAGTACGGAAGGAGAGAGAGGAGAAGAAAGAGGAGAGAAAACGGGAAATTGAGGAAAGGAGAAAACTCATTGGAGAAAAAAGGGCAAAGAAGCAAGCAGATTCATTCTTGGATGGACTTATGGCGGATATGGAGTCTTCCAAGAAAGAGGGCGAATGATACTTGGAGTCGAATGCGATTTAGCGAGGCGTTGGTAGGCTGGTCTGGAGAGCTGCTGGGCGATCTGAGACAGATGTTTCTTGGAGCCCATTAAATAATCGAATTATGATTTATGGAGATCTTGAGCCCTTAGATACATAGGTCATGCAATCTTGATTGCCAAAGGTCACTTTCAAATCTCTCAAAGTTCTTACGGTATGGTCCGAAGGAGCGAGCTTATTGAAGTATAAATAATTCAACAACCATCAAGTTTTCAATACGTTCCTCTCCTACGTCACAATTGGCCTCATTCCAACTGAGAATCTAATATATCTGATTGGCTTATCTCAATAAATGAAACTGTACTTGCTATTCGCTATCAGATAGTATCCTCGCCCCCAAATCACAGAATCCAAGCCTCGTGCGGCCGTGCACGCAAGGCTGATGATGTCCATGAACCCCACCAAGGCACAACATCTGAACATCCTCAATCTTCTATTGCTTCACTCTCAGAACTTCGCGATCGGCAAACCATGACATCAAATTACACACCTTCCTACAGCCCCTCAACCGCACCCTCCTACTCAATACCACCCCCTCCATCATCCTTCACTCCAAATACCACTACAACAACAACCTTCCCCTTCCCCCGCCACTACTCCTTCCCACCCTTCTTCACCGCCCAAAAGAACCTCACAACCCACCATGCCCAACTAACAAAATGGTCATCCCTAATCCTCTCCTACTGCCGACACCACAAGATCTTCAAGCTCTCCCTCTCCGAAGCCCTCGACAGCGAATTGTTCTATAATAAAGCGATAGGGAAACGGTTGAGTCGCGAGGATGCGAAGGAAGTGGTCGAGTTCATGCGGAAGGAGGGGAGGGCGGAGTGGATTGTTGATGGGAAGGGGGGAGGGAGGGGGACGGGAGAGGGAAGTGTGTTCTGGGTTTGGTGGAGGGATGTGGAGGAGTGGGCGGGGTTGATTGCGGAGTGGGTGAGTTATAGCTTCAGTGTGTCGTATGGGTGGGTGAGATGGAGTGCTGATATGGTTTTCAGGTTGACGAAACGGCTCAGAAGAATACAGTGTTGACGCTGTATGAGTTGACGGAAAGTGAGGCGACGATATCTCAAGGTAGTTAAATTCAGCGCTGGTGGATTGTAACTCGCTGACACGAAACTCAGATTTCCATGGTATGGATCCAGACTTATTACAAAAGGCTTTAGGTGTGCTGGTCAGGCGAGGAAAGGCACAGGTATTCGGACAGGAGGATCAACAAGGTGTCAAATTTTTCTAGGGATTTGGTTGGTGAATTCATTACCATGTACGAGATGCATCGGGAAGGAGTTTATGATTTGAGACGCATGATTCTATTGTTACTAGAATACCCGATGTCCCTTAGGACCTTCATGACCCGTTCCAAATACAGGGTATTACCATACAAAAGCCGTGACTGCGTGGGCTCCAAGAACAAGTACAATACAGCAATCATTGATAGCCTGAAGTCAACTACTTCCTCGTGACCAAGAAATTGTCACTCCACTTATGTTGTTGGGCCATGGCAACATCCAAGAGCCATTCCACTGGCACAATTCTCGGGATCATATTTCCATCTCTGGCCATCGCTTCAAACTTGGGCCAGAGCTTTCGTTCCTCTGGATGCTCGCCAGTGAGCAGGTAGACTGGCTCTGCCGGGCCATCATCTTTCTCAGCAGATATCTTCTTGATCATAGGTCGTCCGCGATACTCTGCGAATGTGCCTCCATTTGCTTCTACGATTGACTGGTATATTCCAGGGTTATCGATGTTCTGAGTGCAGTAAATAGGAACACGGAGTAGAAGTTTGCGTTTGTTCTTGTTCGCTCTGGCAATAACATCCTTCAACTTTACTCCGAATCTCTTCTCACTCTCCACATCTTTCAGCAGGAAATCCTCAGCTTTCGGGACCTTGTGAGTCTTCACACATTGATTGATGTAATTCGAGTTGACAATCGTTGGTCCTGTGGCAAGAGCGCATAGAAACTTTTGCGTTCTGACGATATGTGGAGCTGCGAGATGTGTACATTTGAGAGGGTCTGTTACTACGAGGATTCCGAGCTCTCTCATCTTTTTCTGAGAAGCTGTTAGTATTGCATACTTCAATATATGTCAAACCTGGTTACCTTGTCACTTTCTTCTTTGCTAATGTTGCCAATCCAGTCTTTGTAACCGGTGATTAGTAGACGAATAGTCGGTGGCGGGAGTCCTGTCCGTTGGCGTTTGGGATTTCGAGTCTCTTCCTCCACCTCCTCGTCTTCAGAAAATTCATCTTGCACGTTCTTCTGCACCGGACTGGAGCTGCGTTCCGCTGATTTCTGCTTCTCGTAGTTATTGGCAGCTCGCTCTCCTCCCCAGACAGAGCCCTTTCGCTTCTTCTCCTTTTCATACAAAGCAATATCTGGAGCGATTTCATTCAACCTTGACATGGCCCTATTCTTTGCGCTTCGGCTGCCTGTGGATATCGGGGTATCATTCTCCTTGCCTGCACTTGCTCTCCGCTTTGTTGCTGGGGTCTCTGGTGGGACTGCTCCTAACGACTTGGCTTTTCTGGGGGCTGGACCCTTTCTTGCAGGCTTGACAGGGCTTTCATCGGTCCCTTTTCCTGCCACAGCAGTGTCACCGTTGGACTTCCTTGCGCTTGCGTTTCGATCTTTCTCGTGCATGATCGGACGTCTAAGTGGCTTAGGATCACCTGGACTTGGTGTTGGATCTCTGGGATAGTATTTCTCTTCCAGAATGTAGGATTCGAATTGCGTACGCCCAATGATCTCCCCTAGGTTTGTCCTTGGGGGGAAGTGAGTGTATTTTGGCTCGGTGAGCTTCTGGATAGCACACTGTGCGTAGCTTTCCTCGATCCACAAATGGTTTATCATCTCAATGTTCCATTCCTTCGCTGCATCGCACTTTTCACTTCCGTTTCTGGCTGTAATAAGATGCGTGTTGTCTTGCTTCATGCTCTTAGTGAACTCAGCACCACAGGCTGTGACAAGGTTTTCCAAGTATGTTCGTGCTTCGCCGCCATAGTTCGAGAGTGTGATTCGAAGGTCTTTGAACCCGGGAATACCATCCTTGGGAAGAGGATAATGAAGTAGTCTTTTGAGTGGCGAAGTCCATTCGTTGTTGGCTATTAGATAATAGAGCCAAGAGAGGTTGCCAACATCGATCCCAGCACGGGAGGCGAAAACATACTCTCTACCTTCGCGCCAGTGACATATATACATGTCAGCATTGTGAACAGAAGTCGTGATACTTCCACCACCATTGACAATAAGGTCCTCGATGACTTTCAAAATCCGGTTGCTAAGATCGAGCTCTCCAGCAATCATCACCTTCTTGTCCTTGAAAATAGTGAGGGGTCGGACTGGCGAATTGGTTGAAAGCAACAAGGATTCAGGGAGGGCTGTAGTAGCTCCATGGATGCTCGCAGATGACTGCATGGGAAGATCTGCCTCTGGTTTCAACGTGAAAATTTCTGGATCAGGAAGCAAATATGGCTTTTCGTCGATGCGCTTGCCAAGTTTCAGGCAGTCATCAAACCTACACGTTATCAGCAATGTCGAGACCGATCTTGGGAAGCGTTTACATACCAGTGAGGCAGCACAACCATGCACTTTAGGTTTTTCTCTCTGGCTGACTGACACTTTGGGTGATCGACAGACAACGCGCAAATATGGGTAGTCGCCTTCGTAAGGTTGTTTGTTTCCATGCCACCCATGGCCAAAACCGCGCCTATAATGGCATCTTTGTCGCCGGTGGGAATATCGGCGCACGAGATCGTCACACCAGCAAATATGTTTTTGGGATCTGGCGTATACGAACGCATAGGCGCCTCTTTGCCCTTCAAGAGGGATTGCGAAACCCAAGCAGGTACAACGACCGGAATCATGTGTTGTCGAGAGTCCGCATATTGAGGAAAGTCGCTCGTCGCGGAAATGATATGCGTAACATTTTCAACTAGAAACTTGTCATCGAGATCCGCAACCTCGCCGCTGTGGCTTTCAATGATTTCCGTCAACTGGCTCGTCAATCAGCGCGACTCGAACTCGAGAATATACATGGAAGAGCCTTACCTCCAAGGCTTGAGAGCGCGGAAGTTCTCTGTTGACAACGATTCCAAACCGGCAGTTCTCAAAGAGCTTATCAGAAGCACCTTCAGGCATTGTGATTTTTGTTGCGGATTGGTTGCATGTATGTGGCGGGCGAAGGCGTGCAGTTATGTCGAGCGATGATGATGGTTTCTGCCTCGCGTCGCGAGATCAACAGGGAGTCGCGTCTGGAGCTAAATTGATTCTGAGAACGAGATCACGTGACACTGTGATAATTGACCCTGGCCAGCGTCAATTTAACCTGAATCTGACCTAGAACGTTGCGAACATGTCTGCTGTGTCTTATTGCATTGTTATTGATCACCCCCATCTTATTTCTTGAAAATATATGGGGTGGCGCCGTCGTCGCGTCCACATCTGTGTTTGAAGTCCTCCCCGAGATATCTCGTCGGCTTGGGCCTCGGCTTGCCGAGAACAATAGCCGTCGAACGAAGATAGCTGAAGTTAATCTGAACATCAAAACCCAGACAAACATTTCTTCCATCTACCAGTATTTCTCCTTACTTATTTGATTCCTTTGTATTGTGATCTGTACATTGATTGCAGTGTCATCGTCAGCTTCGTTGAAGAAGTGGTTCGTTCGAGGTTTCTCTGAAGCATCGTCCAGTCATGACCTCGTCCGTCTTCCAGATAAAAGAGCATGTCTTAGAATGTCAGCATATCCGGGAATATGCCCGCGCTACATCTGCATCACAAGAAGCCGTCTTACATCTCTCCATCAAACAGTATACGCCATTAGACAATCTTGAACCACAAGAGGGCGATGTGACCATTATTGGAGCTCATGCCAATGGATTTCCGAAGGTAAGGCTATCGAATTATGATCGAATGCTTTGACTTATGTGAATTAGGAACTGTATGAGCCCCTATGGGAAGACTTGCAGGCTCGTTCAAAGGGCAGTGGATTTAGGATACGAAGTATCTGGATCGCAGATGTCGCCCAGCAAGGTCAAAGTGGAGTGTTGAATGAGGAACTTCTAGGGAACGATCGTAAGTGCTACATCACAAAAACTTTTCAAAATCTAAAGCTTTAACAGCTGCCTGGAGTGACCATCCCCGCGATCTACTCCACATGATCAACCAATTCCGCTCAGAGATGCCCCTTCCCATAGTCGGAATAGGTCACTCATTCGGTGCCAACACCCTCTGCAACCTCTCTTTCATCCACCCACGTCTCTTCACCACTCTCGTTCTCCTCGATCCTGTGGTGCAACAAGAAGCCTCGGCGCCCGTAGGACCAAGTCCTGCCCAGGCCTCGACTTTCCGTCGAGATCTCTGGCCATCTCGAGCTGAAGCTGAAGCCGCTTTCCGCAAGCAGAAATTCTACCAAACCTGGGACCCTAGAGCACTAGACCTGTGGTGCAAGTATGGAATCAGAGAGACGCCTACAGCGTTGTATCCTGATGAGACAGGATCCGTGACGCTATTGACTACGAAACATCAAGAATGCTTCACGTTTTTGAGACCGAGCTGGGAGGCTATGAGTGAGGATGGGTCGAAGATCATAAACCGAGACCTTGTGCCAGATATGCGTGATGATAGTCCCATCAAGTTCCCATTCTATAGAGCGGAACCGCCTAATACGCTTGCCAGACTAGGCGAGTTGCGACCCAGTGCTCTGTATGTATTCGGCTCAGAAAGTGCAATGTCTGGACCTGCTGCTCGCAAATACAAGTTAGATGTTACGGGAGCCGGACCTGGGGGCAGTGGTGGTGCCAAGGAGGGGAGAGTTCAAGAGGTGCTGCTGGAAGGTATTGGGCATTTAGTTGCTATGGAGGCAAGCCACAAGTGTGCCGATTCGTCAGCTGCTTGGTTAGGAAAAGAATTGAAGCGATTTGAAGAAGAGAAGAGGAAGTATGTGGAATGGACCAAGCAGAGTCTGGCAGCGAAAACTACGCTCTCAGAGGAATGGCAGAAGAGAATTGGTGGTCCTATGAAACGGCCAAAGAGCAAAATGTAGAAGCCATAGAAGATCTCAGGCTCGAGTTTTGAAGTGGTCTAGAATTTAATTCCTCTATTTATCTTATCATCATGAGGGTGAACTCCCATGGCTTGCTGGCAAAGCATGTCTGGGTGTACAAGTTCTCAGAACTCATCATCCGCAGGTACCCAAACGAGGATTCCCTCTTTCTCGACCTTCATTCCCTCGGTAGGTGCTATCTTGAGTACCTTCTGGAAATATCTGTCTCGAATGACGCAATGGATAGGTCCAATCCACTCTCCACGCACTGTTGGCAGCAGTCGAAACCTCATTGTCCTTCTCGATAAAGGGACAAGTTGTAATGTTGATGACTTGACGCCAGAAAAGGCGAACTTCTCGCTAGGCTCCATTGTCAAGCCGAATGTCAAGAAGTGATTGGAAGGATTTTCGATTGTGACGTCGAAGTGAATCATAGATGGCAACTTGGTGGAATAGGATACGGATGCAAGGACTCGTGGCTCACTACTAGACACAAGCAGTCGAGGAACTGCCAAAACTGTCGTGTTCACTGGGAACCCCTCTCCATCGCGCCGCCACTTGATGGCTAGAGAAACATCCAGCGTTGCCGTACCTCGATCATCGAGCGAGAATTTTTGGGTAAAAGTATCGAATAGGGCCTCTTCCAGGCTCTTAGGGGAAACGCGGAGACCGGTGTCCGGAATTTTCGTCAGCTTTTCTGTGTAGCATGTTATCCCTCCATTGGAACCGATAACCTTCACATCGATATCTTCTACAATAAGATCTTCTACGGCAAAAGACGCATATCTGGCTGTCAAGCACCATTTCTGTGCTAGGCCTTGAGCCCGGACCTCTTGATCGGCTGCCGAGTCTTCACCTTCATCATGAGAGAAAAGGCTAGGCCACGGATCAGGATGGACTCTTGGCGAGAAGTCGTAATTAGCCTCAAACGGATTGATGATTTCCAGCTGTATTGACATGGACTGATATACTGGTGTGTCCATGTCAGACACAAGATTGTATGCCGCCTTCATTGCTAGCTCGTAAACCGCTGGCAAGTCCAGTGGGGGAATGACAATGTCCACAATAGTGGATGCTGTACTTCCAATCCGGCCAATCGGAGATCCAGCAAGTGAAGAATTGTCGCTGTCTTCTGCTGGACGCACGTCGGCACCATCAAGTTTTATCATTATAGCCGGTGCCTCTTCTCCGAGGAGGCTTACTTCGAGATTAACGACAGTGTCAACTTCTTCTGCATTCGTGATTTCGACCTGTAGCACGATCTGTTCGTTCATATAGTACTGGTCTTGGATTCCAACAAGTCGGAGTTGGATTTTCGGCGGTTTTGGAAGGATGATGATCGATGCTGCATTGGCGCGAACAATCCTCCTCTGGACAGATTTTTCGCCCCACCAGACATCAGGCGTGATTGTCTGCGAGAATTTGTTGATATATTCGAGATCAAAGAGGTCAGTAGACATGGAGAAGGTAGCAGATACAGCAACTGCATCCCCAGCTTCCCTCAGAATGCTGTTGAACTCGAAGATCTTCGTCTCACCGGGTCGAAATATGAGGCTGGCTTCTCCGATCAGAGTAGGCTGGCTCTCATTAGCTGATTCTGTCAATGAGACGGTGCGAAGCGATATTTGGCTCAAATCTCCCGCCCCATCGTCGCTATGTTGATGCGATATCACTACAAGCTTCATTGACCCTTCGAAAGCGATTGTGATTCCCGAGATAGTGACAGGAGCAGCTGATGGAACAGCGGATGAGCTGACCGCAAGCTGAGAGAAGCATGGTTCTCCCACTTTGCCCTCCGAGTGCTCAAAAGTGTAGGTCGCAGACAGAAAGGAATTAATTTCGTGGTCATGTAAAACGACGGCAGGTTTAGTTTTGACCGTGTCTAAGCCTTCTAAAGATTTTGACAAATCATAAGGCCAACTGGAATGATGCGTGAAACCTACTTCTGTTAGCACTGAGAATTGTGCAGAAGGCATGCACATACTTCTATTCATTAATTCCCAATCCACGGCGACGACCGATCCACCATCACCAGCGCATACAGCAGCTTTTCTTAAAGCCCAGCTAACTTCTTCGACTGCATCCCACCATCCCTCACGTCTATAGGACATCTTTTGCCATAGAGGGCGTAGGACATGCACGGCATCTTCCCACGCTTCCTTTTTCATACTCTCCTTGGCAGAGAGAAGCTGCAGCTCTTGGCAAATGCGAGACTGGTTTCTTTTCTGAAATTCGTATATTGCTTTAGCTAGAGTATCAATGATGAGTGCCGAATGGTCAATACCAGGACGCCCAGGAAGCGGGTTTTCTTCGTGTGGCTCTGGGCAGAGATACGTGTCATACGTATAGGCTTTACTAGCAATATGGGATGCTGGAGAGGACCCTGGGGGAGAGCGATCTTCCTGCGGTATAACCAGTGCTAAGGCGCGGCGTGCCATGAGATGCGTTACGGCAGTACGGAACCAGTATCCAGGATGGTGAAGGTATTCCCAAGGCTGTATTCGCTCGCCGATCGCAATGGTCTTCTCCGCTTGTAAGAAGATTGCCTGCCCTGAAAGATCAACGAACGAGACTCTCTTGATCATTTCAGCCATGACCGTGGCCCACCGAGCTTCCCATGCTTCCCATCCATATGTCGATGAACCTTTGCCTCTGCGATCCACAAAATCTCGAATTCTCTCCCGGTGCGACTGCCACCTCCGTACAGCTGCTGTGCTATTACCATTCCATAGCAAGCAGCGTATGATCCGAAAAGCAAGAATGTCCGCCAAGAGACGGGCTTCATTCCATCTTGGGCTCCAACTTGCTATTGCTTCAAGAACATCAGGCCCAAGGAGACCCTCATAGCCGCTTTCAAATGAGCGAACAGCCGAGTCCATTTCCTGTCGAAACTCGGCAAAGATGCCCAACTTAAAATCATATCTGACGTTCCAGCCTTGACTTGACAGCGTCTGAGAAGTTCCTGACGTGGGAGGGGCTGTCGGAGGGGGAACTACTCCTCTGTTCCGTTTCCGTCTAGAATGTTTGCTTAGATCCCGGTAGTATTCGATACATATGGGATATATGGTCGTGATTATGGTTTCCACAAATGCTTGAAGCTCAACAACAGAGCTTTGTGGAGGTAGGAAAAAGAATGAGGTTTTGGAATCTAAGCCAGTGGCTTTGCGAATATTGGCAAGACGTTCTTCAACATCCGGGGATTGCACGATAGATTTCTCGCTGAGCAGCGCCACTACCAAGCGACTTTTGTATCCAGATTGGCTCAATATGCTCTTGGTACTGTTTATATCCGTCTTCAACTGATTATCATGCAAGGTAGACAGGTTCGGGTCTGAGGTGAATGTGTAGAACATTACGAATGCGCTGGGTATTTGGTCTTGATGCTTCTCAATCCACGCGTAGTCTAGCAAGCCGTCGGGGAACAGTCTCGAACCTGGACTTAGCGGTGACAGCACAGAATGTAAAACAGGTTTCGATGTTGGGCTGGTATGTGTCTCAGCAGGTAATTGGGCGCTGCGTAGTGGTAAAATGTATTCCTATTGAGGTTCAGTGACTATACAACTATACACTGATTCGGCTTGACTACCCTTCCCACAGTCTTCACTCTGAACTTGTTTCTACCACTATGCTCTCGAGAATTCCATGCCAGATTAGAAGCATCTCCATCTTTGAAGATCTTCAATAAGGCCAATGCGTCGTCAGACTCAACTGTCGGTACTTCAGAAGATATCCGTGTCCCTTCCTTCAGCTGAACATCGTCCTCTCTACCCGGGCCGAGGCCAGAGACAACCAGCAGCGGGATGTTATGTGCCACATAGGCTGGTGCGTAGCCGTCCATGACGTCCAAGTGGTATATCCTCCATAAGCAAAGGTCGCGACTCTCGTGGACGAGCTTTCTCGGTGCTCGAGCTTCAATTTGCGCAACGGACTCCCTCTCACTTGTCCAATCATGCAAGAGTAACAGCCATATTCCGCGCCTTGCATTCGCAGAAAAATCAAGATCCGACTGTCCCAAGAATTGTGGTTGTGCCGGAATTCGTTGTCATAAGGCTTAGTTCTTGCTGGAGTTGTCACGTTCGAGCGACTGCAGTTGGTGGCTGGCCTTGTCCCCTGGACTCCACCAAAGTTTTAGCGCGTCATTCGGCTCCAGCCTTGCCCGTCCTCCCAAGTTCATCCATGCTTCACACTTCACACTGGCCGTCACTCTTTACTCTCACTCTACTCTCTGATCCTCCAAATATTTCCGCCACAACCCCAACTGAGATTACGACTCGACGAAAACTCATTGCTACTCCATGCCAATCTACCGGATCCTCGACTCTTAATACTGCCTCCTTCTTTTCGTTGCGCTCGTCAGAGTGCTTCTGGAACCCCTCACGGCAGTTTGCAGATGAGCGCGAATCTAGTCATAATCGACCTCTTCGAGTTGGGCAAGCAATAGAAACGACTGCCAAATACCTCTGCGAACCGGCGCAATGGCATCCCAAGCTGCGATATTCGCAGAGACCATTGCTGGCATGAAAAGAGCTGTGAAGAGAAAAGCTTACGGTAGGCTCCCTCATTCGCAGCAGGTATTCTTATCAATACTCATGAATTCAATGTGCAGATTCGGATTCGGATAGTTCAATCGAAAACCTCACAAACCGTGGGAATAAGTTGAGAAAGAAAGCAAGATTTATCCACGAAGGTCAATTGGCGCCCCCAAGCGGTCCTCAAGTGTACAAGAGGGTGCGTTATCAGCTTCCAAAAATACCCACGGTCTAGAGTCTAATGCGCAGCAGAGAATAGAGCATGCAGGGTACCAAAGAGACATTATAAGTCGTAATCCTCCTCTAGTTGACGATGATGGTTTCGAGGTCGATAGCGATGATGACGACGAAAGGGTTGGAGCCGCTTTAGCTGCTGCCGCAGAACTAGACCCCTACGCCGATGTAAAGATTGAACGTAGGATCATTCATTCACTATGTTCAAAGGATTTCAAGCTAACATACCCAAAATAGATCTCCTTGTTCCATTAACAGCAGCTTCCGACCTGCCTAACCATCCTACCTTATCGAAACCGTTCACCTCGAAGACATTGACCGAATTGACACGGAGCGCTGGCGAGATGGTCCAGAAAGAAAAGGCGTCACTCTGGAGAATCAAGCATTTATTGACAAGGCTGAGCGGCGACGACACGTGGTACCCTTGCGCAAGCGTTGAGGCCGAGAATGACTATACTCTGTTCATGGATGAGAGAGATACGAGTCATGGAAATATGCAAACAAAGGCTATTGCAAGAGTAGAGGGCGATCAGGTCTCTACTGGCACCCTCGCTTCGGAGGAGGTCGACCAAGGACTAACGATCGATGACGATACTGTTCTCCCGGATGCCATACAGACCACCGAAGGAGCCGCAATCGAAGACGTTACCACGGCTTCAGCGACGAATACAGAAACTCCAGGCAAAGATGTTGCTGGAAAGCTGAACGAATCTGGTGCTAATGCTACACCTCCTCTACAAAATGGCCAGAATGGGGTTTCTGGGGACGGGCCTGCTAGCACCGAGATGGATGTGGACGAACCGGGCAAAGAGCAAGGGGATGGAGCGCCTGAAGACCAGGCACATTCTACAGAGGAAGCTGACATGATCGATGGTGAACTTGGTGAAGATCAAGATGGACCAGCTACGCACCGAATGAGGACACGAGCTCAAGCGCAAGCAGCATCGGACAACAATACAACAAGAACTAGGTCAGCAAGCCCAGACTCTGGGAGCGACATGTTTATCCACCCCATATTCTTGGCACCAGCATCATCTCGCCCAGACCGAAATGTTGGACTACCGCCACCAGAAGCAGACGAGACTCGAAGGTTACTGCAACTGTATATCCAGAAGCAAGAAGAAGTATGCCGAGGTGCCCAGAAAGTATACGACGGCTTGCTAAAAGCAGATCGTTACCGGAAACTTGTCATGAAATGGGCCAAAGCCGAGGACCATGTGGGCTTGAATCGGGATATGTCCGACGGTGAAGACTGGTACGATAAAGAAGAATGGGGTCTGGAGGAAGATCTGAAAAAGGGACAGGACGAAGAAGAAGAGGATGCTGCAACGACGGCGAAAAAGACTCGGACTCGTCGGCAATAGCCATGTTTAGCAGACTTCTCATTTGTTTGTGGATGGCGGCTCGGGGCGTTTTTGGGTTGGGACACTCTGCGTAACGATATCCAGGGTTTTAGCGCTTGAATCAACGATGCATTTACATCATTAGATATTCGTATGTATAGGTTGGTTGTAGGTAGGTTGGTTGTAGGTACAACTTGAGAACAACTTTCTGCTCGGTTTCAGTGTTCAAATTTCAGAGAACGAGCTGCCCCTCTGCCACCCCGGATTCTCGCTTCGACGTCATCTGTAAATTTGCTCGTGATCGCCGTCCGCCCAGCTCCACTTGCAGTGTCTGGCGAACTTCACTTCCGTCAACAAAACCCACAACCTTTGCTGAGGACACAAATTGCCTTCTACGAACATTAATTTGTAGATAGTGTAGCTTCCCATCCATCATGACAAGCTTCGTAGGTCAAAATAAAGGTCTGGTCGACTTTGACCAGAAGAGTCTGGCAGGTATGATTGTCTTTACAACACATTGAAATTTAGAAGCTCACAGATGCCACAGTTGCTGCAGCAGCAATTGCCTTCAACCCAGTCTTCTGGAAGTAAGCTCTCACCCCCAATATTCTAATACCAGATACCTGCTAACATCGAACACAGCACTGTAGCTCGTCAAGGTAGCTCTTCCTTCCATGTCACACCTCTCCCAATCTTAACCAATTTCCTCAGAATACCACAATAAGATTTTGACCAAGCTCGCCGGCGGCAATTCTCGAATGGCATGCTACGGACTCGCCGTGACCATTTTCTCCCTAGGCATCTTCCGCGACTTCCTGTACGAACGAGCCCTGCGCGCCCAACCCAGCCATCCCCTCCTCCAGACCGCCCTTGCAACCTACGTCGCGTACGGCCTCCTCGCCGTCGGCAATATCCTCGTCTTGTCCTCCATGTGGGCGCTCGGCGTCACTGGCACATATCTTGGTGATTACTTTGGCATTTTGATGGATGATATCGTGACTGGGTTCCCGTTCAACGTTGTGGCTTCGCCCATGTATTATGGCTCTACGATGAGCTTTCTGGGAACGGCTATTTTGTTTGGCAAGCCTGCCGGTATCCTGTTGACTGCTGAGGTTTTGATTGTCTACTTGATTGCATTGAGGTTCGAGGACCCGTTCACATCTGCTATCTATGCAAAGAGGGAGAAGGCGCAGAGCAAGAGTGGATTGAAGAAAGCCAAGAAAGAGCTGTAGATGTGGTCGCCGGTGTGGAGGGAGTGGGAGCCACTGGTTGATATGGAGTCGACAGCATGATATCGAATGAAACCATTCGAGGTGAGTAGGGTTGAGTTGAGTTGTGCATGGTCGTGGATCGCATTCATTGGGAAGGTATATCAAAAGTGATTCAACATTAGCGGGGCGTTGCATAGATATCAACTACTTTGCATCGTGGGCGTTTGGGAGAGAAAAGTCATTTTTAGACTTCTTTTGATAATCAAGAGCTTTATAAGTCATTCTATCTGCAAGATATCTATGCTGTGAGCTTTCTAGTGTTTCCAGCGCTTGGAGGAAGTGCCTATATCTCAGGATAGACATCCCTATTACAAGTCAGCATCATACCAATCGCATTCTTATACTTAGTTGTTACTCACGTTCTTCTTAACAACGGCATGGACTCCTTGATCTTCTCCCTATACTCCAAATCGATATCCACGATCGCAATTTCAGCTTCATTCCCCTCGCCTGTCATGTCCAGCAACACCTGGCCCCAAGGATCGACTACCATTGAGTGTCCATAGCTCGTCCTCTTCTCATTATGTGCCCCAATCTGCGCTGCCGCAATGACATATGCTTGAGTCTCTATAGCTCGAGCCTTCAATAACGTCTCCCAGTGTGCCTTACCTGTTGGGACAGTAAATGCTGAAGGGTAGGTCAGGATCTGAGCGTTGTGGCGTTTGTGTGCCAAGCTGATTTCTGGGAAGCGGAGCTAGAGAGTTGTAAGCTACATATTACTCTGTGATCTATTCGGTCATTCTTATGAGTATTAAATTCGACGAGGGCTATTGCCAATACAGTAGTAAAACAAGCGAACTCACATCAAAACAAATCATCAGTCCAACCCTCCCAATAACAGTATCAAGCGGCTTCACAATCTCTTTCCCCCCATCTACACTATTGCTCTCCCTCAAAGCACCATAATCGAATAGATGCAATTTGTCGTAATACGATTCTATCTCGCCTTTCTCATTTACCCAGCAGCTCCGATTTGCCATTTTACCGCTGGATGTGGGAACATGGATGCCTACGTTGATGGCTAGATTAGATTCTTTGGCACATTTTTGAAGGCCGAGGACGAATGGACTGCTTTCCATGGGTTGGGCGAGGGAGAGTGATTCTTGAGGGCTGGAAGCGATATAGTCCTGGATTGATGTTAACCTCTGTACTCAGGTGTGTGGAACTTCTGCGAGATTTGGAGAGAAGTGCTTACTGTTGCTTCTGGTAGGAAGAGTGCCTATGAGTAAGTTAGAGATACTGTTTCATATTCGAAAGTATTGTTTACTTACCTTTGCTCCAGCCGCTACAGCTTTCTTGACGAGAACTTGACAGAGTGCCAAGTTATGGCTCACAGATGCTGTTGAGCATAATTGTCCAATAGCCTGATAGTAATCAGAATTTATTCAGTAAGATAAGATTAGAGACCTTACAGCTATTGCCATAGCTATTTACGTATTCAACAAGAGTCTCTTGTGATATAACTAGGACTTGTAATGCTATGTGATGGGAGAACAACGAATAGTCTCAAGCACGACTAACAGAAAGAGAGTGGTCTTTGCGTCCACTTCAAGTAATGCATAAAGTGTAGGGAAGAAGGAAGGCAGAGTGGAAAGATCAATGAAAGAAGCTTCAGCTAGACTAGATGTCTCAGAGTCTCTTCGCATGATCAGCTGAAGGCATTCCCAATACAAATCAGCAATGAAACATCGGAAAAAGCAAATAAATCTGATAGACGACGGACTGATTTCAATTTTACCTCAACCCTCGAAATATCAATTATAACTTTCCTCCATCAATTATCTCCCACAGGAGTTGCTTACTATTCAGTAGCACGTGGATGTGGGTCATGACGTCTGCAAGCCTCCCCAAACAAAAGCTTACTCCGAATATTCTCAGCCTCTCCCTAATACTTCTCGTCCGCGACTCACCGAGCAACATCTCTAGCTATATCTAAGGACCACGGTCCCCCAAATTGTTACAGAGAGTAGAAGCCGCGAGTTCATCTCTTTTATATCAAACGATGTCCTTGTAACATTAGTACGAAATGTCCAATGGCGGCCAAGCCGGGAAATCGTCAACTTGTAAGTGCCAGCTCTTTGATTTCACGATCCTAACACTGTTACTAATTCTATATAGCATTCCAGTAAGTCTTTATCTCAATTCAAATTCCAACCTACAAAGCATATGCTCGGCATGCGTGTAATTGGTCGAGTGGTTTACATACTTTCTGTGCTACATATCCAGACGGCAAGGGCAACCACTAACACCCAAAAAGCTTTGTAGCTGGTCTGGGGTCTGGCATCCTTTCCGCAGTCCTCCTTCAACCCGCCGATCTCCTCAAGACTCGAGTCCAGCAGTCGGGGCACAGCTCACTGCTGGCCACCATCCGCGAGATCTCCAAGTCACCCAACTCGATCCGCTCATTCTGGCGAGGAACCCTCCCCTCAGCCCTACGAACAGGCTTCGGATCCGCCATCTACTTCACGAGTCTGAATGCCCTCCGTCAGAATGTTGCGCGCTCAAATCTCCTCCGAAGCATAGGAGCCATCGACAAGAAAGCCCTCCCTAGCCACTCCTCCGCGCTCCCGAAACTCTCCAATCTAGCGAATCTTACGACCGGCGCGATTGCAAGAGCTGGGGCTGGATTCATATTGATGCCGATGACTGTTATCAAGGTCAGGTATGAGTCGAGTTACTATGCGTACAATTCAATCGCTGGGGCTGGGAGGGATATCTTGAAGACGGAAGGCTTGAAAGGTTTCTTCGCAGGCTTTGGAGCAACAGCGATACGAGACGCGCCGTATGCAGGACTGTATGTGGTGTTCTACGAGCAATCGAAAAAGCGGCTCAGTCTACTCGTACACAAGGTCCCAATAGCAGGAGAGTTGTCCAAAGGCATGAAAGGGTCGACTTCAGCATCGATCAATTTCGGGTCTGGGATACTGGCCGCAGGACTAGCTACAGCGCTCACGAACCCTTTCGATGCGATCAAGACCAGGATCCAGCTTCAGCCGAGGAAATACCATAATATTGTCCATGCAGGACGGAAGATGGTGAGGGAAGATGGCTTCAAGTCTCTGTTTGATGGCTTGGGGATACGGATGGGTAGGAAAGCTGTCAGTTCCGCATTGGCGTGGACGCTCTATGAGGAGCTTATTAGAAGAGCTGAGCATGTTTGGACACATACGGAAGTCTCAGCTCGCGCGCTGTAAAATCACCACTTTGTATAACAACACAGAAGATACTGCTCAAACGAAGTCCCGCATGGCCTCCAGTGGGGACCTGATACCACAAACCTCAGGTGTACAACGCATCAGAAATGTACAACGCATCAGGGCATCAGATATCACGGTCTCATCTTCTTTCCTCGGCAGGATTTGTTTGAACGAATTTCCATTTCATATTGAGTGGGTATTTCAAAGACCAGGAAGAAAAAACAAACAAGAAGCAATTTCTCGCGAAGCCAAAAATTCAAAACACAACTCCAAATCCAATCCAACTCCACCGATGTTCCAAGAATTCATTAATCAGGCACGTATATTATTTCTTTCTTTCTTGCTTTCTTTCTTTCCAGCAAAAGTCTACCGTTTTCCGCCAGCCAAGAAAGTCAACAGTGGAGATGGCGAAGGCTTTCTCTCGTGCTTCTTCTTGCGTACGAACTCGAACTCAGTCTCGTGATGGTGGTGTTTCTTGCCCTCGATAGACAGCAGCACAGGCTGTCTGCGCTCTCTGATCTCCCTAGTATGAGACCACAAGAAATCCTGCTCGTATTCAGGCACCCAGCGCTTGATCAGGACATAATCAGGATCCTGGTTTGCAATGTTAGGATTTGGTCTCGTGAGCAGGCCACGGGAGACATTTCTTACCTGGTCAAATTCGTAGTCGATTCTGTACCGGTTGAGCGTCTCGATGGAGAGATGGCGGCGCGACATTCGTGTGTATGTTGGTCTGTTTGGGTCGACACCCTTGTCTTTCTTGAGAACCACCGCAATCTGCCTCTCATCCATTCCAGACTTGCGCAAATCTTCCTGGAGCCGTCTCTGGTACTCCTCTTCCCTCTCCGCCTTCTCCTTCTTGGCCTTAGCAGCCTTTTCGGCCTCTTCAATCTTATATTTCTCAATTGCAGCATCCGCCTCCTTCTTAAGCCTTTTCTTCTCCTCCTCAGCTTTCTTCTCGTCTTTAAGACGCTGTAATTCCATCTCTTTCTTCACGCGCTTCTCTTCAGCCTCCTTCTCCTTCTGCGCCTTATACTCTTGGAGTTCCTTTCGGGTCTTCTCCAGCTCGATATCCTCCTTCGTGGCAGCGACCTGCTTCCTCAGGCGGTCTTCCTCCTTCTGGCGCTCCTTGTCAATCTTATACAGTTCTAGCTCCCGACGAGTCTTCTCCATCTCATACTCATCGCGCGTGTGCACCGCTCTGTACGCCTCGAGTTCCCGGCGCACTTTATCTTTCTCTTGCTGGTCCCTAGCGAGGCGGTAGGCTTCGAGCTCGCGCCGAGACCTGTCCATCTCATACTCGTCTCGGGTGTGCACTGCTCGGTAAGACTCGAGCTCTCTGCGCGCTCGCTCCAATTCATATTGATCTCTCGGGTCTTGAACGAAAGAGTTTGGTCTGGATCGAGAGCGAGAGCGGGAGCGCTGTGGTGGAGCGAGGCCCAGGTAATCATCGTCCTCATAATCATTGTAGATGCGATTGTTGATCACGATGGGAGCTTGGGGTGCCGCGGCTGGAGGAGAGGTTCGGCGATGGCCGGTTGATCGTGATCTATGGACGCCGCCTGCCCCTATGCTGACGGCTGGTACCAGATATGAGCTCCCGTGGCTTTCGTAGAATGGGCGGGGTGCTGGGCGGTAGCGATGTTCGGGGTAAACAACGGGTTGGGGAGATGCTCTCCCGCGACGGACTCGGATGTCGAGCTCGTCCTCCTCGTCGTAATGGCCGTGGTAACTCATTTTGGTAAGGCTGGATTTTTCAAAATTGAAAGCCTTGTTTATGATTTTTTTCAATTTTTTTTTTCCGTTGGCGCAAGGCTGCGGTTCCTATCTCCGTAGAAATTCGTACTGCTTTCGGGCGTGGAGCAAGGCTGTCCTGAGCTGTCAAAAGACGGTAGACCCCGCACCGTGGGTGTTGGGGTGGGCTTGGACGGACGATCTCGATAGGCGAACTGGTGGTGTCTCGAACTTTATATTATCCTGCGCAACGAACGTCCCTCGATATGAAAAGTATTGTTTCGTTGGGATTGCGATATCTACGCACGCTCGCACTCGGATGGGAAGATGTGTAAGTCGACACAGAGTAGAGATGAGTGAGAAGGAAAGGAAGAAGGGAAGGAGAAAGTCGGTGTCAGCAGGAGTGGGCATGGGCTGATTTAAGGTGAGACTACTGGGCATGGGAGAGCATGGAGGTATGGAGGGGTACGGTACGGTACGGTACGGTATGGGCATCGGTACACATTTATTATTGCTAACACAAGACTGTAACCATCCCTCCCTACCTGGCCCTACCTGGCCCTACCTGGCCCTACCTGGCCTAACCGGACGCAGGAGCTGATCTGGCCTGGGTCTGGTCTGGCTGAGGTGCAAGCAAGTGGTCTGGCGCCTCCGATCCATGCTGGTGGACACCTCTTATTAAGTATTATTATTGATCCGTCTTTCGGGCTTTAGGTGCAGTTGGTGGTGCATTGCGAGTGAGCACTTGACCAGCCACCAGCAGCCAGAAGCATGCTCACAGGGTATTGTAGGGCAGGGGACCACCAAGACAATGTCAAGACCTAGCTACAGTGGACAGGCGGGCGGGACCTTCCTCTGACAAGCCAGACCCGGCCTCATGCCGCTGTATGGAGATAAGTCTTCAGGCGCAATTCCAGCCAGCAGAATGTGGAAAGTAAAAAACGCATGGATAGGATGAGATAGAACGCCACGACCAAAACCCGAAACTTCTATTCTGTTGCCGCTGCCGCGCGCGGGCTCTGGATGTGGATGTGGATGTGGATTTTTTGTTTGTGTTTGTGTTTGGGATTTGGGATTTGGGATTTGGGTTTGTATGTGGCACAGCTGCATGTCTATTCCAGGTCCTTCTTCATGATCCGCGCCCGCAATAGGACAGCCCTAAGAAGATACATCCACCTCTCTGCAGTTCCTTGCCTCAAGCGCTCGCCAGCCTCCAACTTGGCTCGCAGTAGTGCCGTTTTCGCCTTCTCCCTTAAGTTACAGCAATTTACAGAGGGAGGTCGAGACGGGTTAAGATAGACCATAGCGGGGGGTGCAACAGAGCGACTACTGCAGCTCCTAGACGGCTAGAGCCAGTGGTCCTTCGACTCTCGTAAAGCGAACCTCACATATCGTCTCGCTCCGAGAAACGCACAATTCATCCAGCTGTTGAATGCCCCGGTAGGTATTCTAGATTTTAAGGTACTAATGCAGTCAGAGAAATGTAGTAACCAACTCGTGCGTCTGCATGCCTACATTTAAAGCATTCGGCTGCCCCGCTCCCCAAGGACAGTCAAGATGTGCGTCCCTGTGTGATTGAATTGAATGCGCGGGGCACCCGAACAAGCTTACCTTCGTTACCTACTGCTCACGGAATAGTGATGAGAATCAACAGCAACGAAAGATATTTGAAAAACGGAAATCTAATCTACGGCGCCTATCAATTCCCGCGATACGCTTGCTCACCTCTTACACGGGGATCGGGCCGCATGAAGGGTTTCTTCTCAAACTTGCTGGTCCCAAGACCGGCCGGCGGATGAACTTTGAGAACTGGGCAATAGGTAATAACGAGGTAGCTAGCACAGTCAGGATTATCGTTCCTACCTTATCTACCCCTCCATCCTTTTCTGGGGCATGTGGGTCGGTCTTGAGAAACGGCCCCCAAACTTCTGGAGCTGCCCAATGCAGATTTGATTTAACATTTTGGAGGGTTTCTAGGCGGAGGATTTGAAAGGGGGTCTTGGAGAGCTTTTCGAGCTCGTTTTCGGCATCCTTTTTGGTCGGGGTATGGTGGACATCGTTATTTTGCCTCTGGGTGACTTGGTGATGACCGGAGCTGAAGCTGAGGTGAAAATGACCAGACATGCTACAGTATGCAGGAGGGGTTGGTTAGGCGAGCCCAGCAAAGAAACGCGCGCCTGTAACGGGGTCGGGGCCTGCCTGTCTGGCTGCTGGTGGGTATTACAGTAATTGCCCCCTTCACCGAGTAGGTAAACGGTCTCGGGCTGTGGATGATGAATAAGATGAATTGCTTTGCCTCGTTTGCTTGTATTCCGTTGGGTATCGCGACGACGAAAATTCTCCTGCTTTTTGCCTCCGAGAGGATCTTCTGGGGCTTTCTATTAGCATTACGATATTTACCGTGATATCCTAACGAAACCGGCAGCCAGTAACAATCTCGCTGTCGCAAAGCTGAACAATCCTTACACCACCTTTTTCAGCCCCCAAACCTTACAGAGGGAATCTAAATTACGGAACGAAACGAGACACTACTTGATTGAAGGGTACTGTAGAAAATTTCTATTTTTGGTATCATTTGCTTGGTGATATTTTCTTCGTGCTGCTTTTGAGTTTGAGAATAAAGGACATTATTCCTTCAACTCCTCCAACCGCCGTTGGTATGGGCTATGCTTCGGGCGACCCAAACCATCGGTGCACTCCTATCCCCACATTGCGGATATGCCATTGCCCACGATCGAGGTCTGGCGCTGGCGCTGGCCCTGACCGACCCAGGCCCAAGAAACAAAATCGACAGAAATAGGTAATTCTCCTTGTTGGGCATGGACGAAGCAAGTGAGGCGATAGCATGCACGGCGGCTCCTCCTTTCCCCTGCCACTTCGCCTTTCGCTCCCTTCTTCCCCCCTCATGCACGCCCTCCGCTCTTGAAAATCTGGTCCATGTGCTCCCGGCTATTCTTGAACGTCGTCTCGAGATACTGGAGGCGTTTGCCTAGATTCTCGACTTCTGAAGAGAGTGTGCGTGTCTCGGTCGTCAGGCGGGAGTTTACCTCGCTCGTAGGGCTGAAGACAAACCTAGGTGTAGCCAATCAGCTTTCCATTCTAAGATGCGTATGCGTACTCGTTGCTTTTTTTTTCTGGCTTGAAATCTGGGATGGTCTCGTGATCGTGACTCTTGAGTTGGGATCTGGCGGTGTGCCTGCCTAAGTGTGGAGGGAAGGACTGATGAGAGATAAAGAGGGGAGGTAGAGGCTATGATAGATGTTAGAAGTTGTGTGAGCTTACATCTTCCCTACTCCTTCGTACATGCTGGTATCAGATGGTAGCTCTGATACCTCTTTGGCTGTCAATTCAAGCTTGCGAATTTCGCGTTGCTTGATAGCGATTTGCGATCTGACTATGCCGATTTGTTGTTGGGACTGAATGGCTTGATTCTCAATCTCTTGGACCAGCTAGAACAAAATCCTGTTAGCCCGAGCTCGACAAGAAGGAGAAGTTGCACATTTCCATATCGAGACATGCTTGAGGCAGGAAGGGTGAGGTTGTCATGTAGACTGGTGCCAGATATACCTTTTGAAGAGCTTCATTTGAGATAGACATGTTGGACGACTTGGTGCTCTGAGACCAGAGCAGGAGGTGGCTCAAATCGATATGCTGTTGCCTCAATCTCCCGGGCTCGCTTGATGAGATCTCGCGATGGCGTCTTGAGTTCGGTACGTGGTCATGTGAAGGCTGGCACGTGTTGGTTGGTACCTTTCGTACAGAATTTGGTCAGCTTCCGAAAGGTCCTTACGTTATCAGTGTGATGCTCCGCTGGATCGTGAAAGCTCGTGGTGGTTTTGGTTTCTGCAATTGCTGAAAGCAGACTGGCCAATCAATGTCAGCAGACTCCCCACAGTTAACATGATTGGTCATCGTACAGCGGGGATTTGCTCCGGACTTTGAGCTTGAGATCCCACCAGAACGGTGAAGCTTTTTGCTTGTGATAGTAGCAGTATCAGACTTGGTTTATTAGCATAGTTGATTAAGCTTGATACAAGAGATATGAAATTCACACTGGAGATTCCGGCGATCAGTCTGGCCATTTGCTCACTTCCGACTGTGAATTTGCACAATTTCTTCACCGTCGTTCCGTCAGCAGAAGGATGTTCGGCTTCGCCAAGCCGGGCACATCCTTGTTAGGGACTTGAGGCACATCTTGATAACACACTCTAGCGCCCGAGGATTCCGTGTACCTACCGAGGATGGCTTCCCTGTGGAATAATGGAGAAAGCGATTTCGAAGCAGCCATCCGCCGCTCGAGCTGCTTTCTTCGAAAGTCAATCACGCATTTGAATGACTGAGGATATCTTGAAAAGCACCATGATTTGAAGCGCATTTGACGAAGGTGCGGGATCCTGGACAATGAATGTATTCAGGACCAGCTGCCACTCACAAAGTCACCAGCATTGGAGGGGTCGTCTGGAGGGGCTTCGTCTTGAGTCGAGCGACTCGAGCTTGAAGGTCCACGGATGCATGACGTTGCAGGTCTAGTGCAGGGGTTCTTTCACGGTCTTTCCATGTCGGGTCAGCCAGTCAGTTGGTGGTGTGGTCCAGGCTCCATCGCATTCGAGGGAAGCAAGACCAGGGTAGGCAAGGTCGCATTCCAATTCCGGTCAAGTAAAGATCAGTTAAGTACGAAGCTCTTCCCTTCCTCGTCCTCTCGTCCTGCCTTTCCTTGTCTTGTACCCAAACATGTGGCCGCGCCCTTTCCATTCCAACAACTCATCTTCAAACGCTAGCCTCCGAATCATCTGTGTGTAACTTTCTACGCCCAGCTCTTCCAAGATTCCAAGGCCGTTTGAAGGAGTTCCCCAAGTACTTCCTACACTCTCGCTCCTGGGAAGAGAAACAACATTTAGTTCTTCAAATAAGTTTTAACTTTTTGGAATTCTTCCCATCTCATCTTCACACCATTTCGCAATGGGCTTCTTTTTGCCGTCGATCAAGTATCCACCAGCACGACCAGATGAGGGTTACTGGAACCCGGTCACTTCAACAATCAACTGGTGTGAAGGTAAGAACTTCTGCCCTGTACAGATTTACCAATTCTTACTTATACCGCCAGAGGACTATTACGCTACAATATACTCGGCTGAAATTGTCAATACCCTAACCAATTTGTTATTCATTGCTCTGGGAGTCAAAGGAATCCGGAATTGTTTGAAGTATGGCCATGACAGCATCTTTGTGGTGTCTTTCTGTGGATGTAAGGAATCGTGGTTCTGTAGATGTGGGCGAATTACTAATGTTTGTAGATTTGCTTGTTGGGAGTGGTTCTTTTGCCTTTCACAGCACATTGAAGTGTAAGTCACTCAGTGTGGTGAAATTCCAGTTGCTAACTTGAGTACAGATCCGATGCAATTGCTGGATGAGCTTTCAATGATCTACACGGCGACCATTATGTGTTATGCGACTTTCTCGTTTTCTCAGTCCAGACCTGTCCGCCAGTTGTTAGGTGCAGGATTGCTTTCCTTGGCAGTATTCATTACGGTATGCTCGCATTCTCCCTAAGGAACTGACATATATGCTAACTGCTGCTACTAGCTCTACTACCATTATCTCCAAGACCCCGACTTCCACCAAAACGCCTTTGCCCTTCTCCTGATTGTTATAATGGCTCGAAGTACATATGTGATGGAAGTCAACATCAGACCTTCTCTGAAAGAAAAATATGGCACAAAGTCTCCAACAGGAGTTGATTCTGGCTCTGTCACGCCAGAGGAGCGTTTGGAGAATGACGATAGGGATAGAGCTATACTCAAAAATATGTGGATAATGGTCGTTCTTGGGTTGGCGATCTTCTTGGGCGGTTTTGGAATATGGACGTTGGACAACCAGTACTGCTCGAAGATCCGCCATTGGAGACATCAGGTTGGACTGCCATGGGGGATACTCCTTGAAGGACATGGATGGTGGTAAGTTTTCTCTCGTACCGATCTACAAATTGTTGATTGACTAATTGTAACAGGCACTTAATGACCGGAGTTGGCGCATACTATTACATCGTTTGGGCTGTTTGGCTACGACATTGCCTCAACGAACGACAAGACGAGTTTGTATTGAATTGGCCCTCTGTCTTTGCTCTTCCAGAGGTAATTTCCTCAGAAGACCTTGAAAAGAAGAGGTGCCAGAGAGGGACAAATGCTTCCTCCAATGGACACGTCCAAGCCAACGGGAAGAAGCAGCCTAATGGGAATGGCAATGGCTACGGCCATGGGACAAGAGAAGACCGAAAATCCGTGTAGGGAGTAGGGATGTTTGACAGACGTTTTGGATGATGATAGACCGAAGACTTGTGCATAGAATTATACCCCTTCTCTTTGGTTCCTTCGATGATCCTTGGAGATAATAATAGAATGCATTTCTTACAAGAAGCAGATATGGTGATTTTGGCCGTTGTTCAACCACAGATTTAACAGAACATCTATTGTTTCATTTAGTCTAGAATTCAACGTGGATTTCGAAATAGATCTTTACATAAATTCTAGTAACTAACAAGGCCAAATCTCGGCCTCGTCATAGCCTCGTGGGGTGGGCTTGGTTGACGAACCCTGGATCTGCAGCCAATTTAGCGCATTCGTGGCATCTCCAGATATGCATGCTACTGCACTGCTTCGACACGCAATAGGAAACATACCGACCAACCTCGTGTTCCCAACACCTGCTTTTTGCTGCGCCGCTCTTCCAAGCTCCATGTTGTCCTCATGTCACCAGAGCCCTAGAATGATAACCTTTGAGTGAATCCGACAGTGCGAACGTGGAATTGGGCAAGCTTCGAAGCTCAAATGTCCGCACGATAACCAGACCCGAACGGCCGGATAGAAAAGTGACAGGCATTCTTCAACGCGACTGCACGCGATTGATTCCTTGAAGATCCGCGGAATAAAGACGGCATTGGGAGGAGAGTGGGGTACAGAGCACTGTACCTAGGCAGAGATACAAATACAAAATACCAATAACAAATGGCAGCTCCTGCGAAACAGACATCCAGATGGGGGAACTTCCTCCAACAAGCTGTAGCCGGGGTGGAATCGAGGCTGGATAATATTTTGGCTGAGGGCGTCGAGGAACAAGCTGCTGCAGCTGGGCAGAAGAAACCTGGAACTCCTACACTGCCTGCTTCTCCTTCGAAATCAGATTCAGGTGCGTATCAAACTAATTACAATGATTGCAAGGGAGCTACGCTGACGTATTGGTACTATAGGTGTTTCTAGGACGGCTTCTACGAACAGAGCGAATGATCGATTACAAGAAAGACTTGCCCGAGCTATAGCTGCGAAGAACTCGCAGAAACCTGACAGGCCAGATTCCCTTGCCCTCTCTTCTGGAGTTCCTTCTCGAACAGGCAGTCCTGCTACCGTCAGCAGTAGTCCCAGACAAAGTATTGATGCGCCAGCGCCGAAGGTAGAAGAATCGAAGGTGGAGGAGTCGAAGGGGGAGGAGTTGAAGGTAGAAGCCAAGGATGCTGGGCCGGAGACGGCTTCGCGGCCATCGCAAGATGAGGGTAGTGAGCAGAAACGTATACAATCCGAAGCACCATCAATTGCTGTGCAGCCTGGCAGTCCGGTCATTGAACCTACGCCGGAAGCTCAACAAGAACCCAATGGACTTGTGCTTAAGTCTGAAGCGGAAGCTTCTCCTAGACCTTCGGTAGAATCAGCGAGATCAAGCATACCTCGAGATTCGATCGACTCCGTCCGTCAGCCTAGCCTACGCCCTTCTATGGAGATACCATCTGGCGAACGGCCGGAGTTGGGATTGTTGACGGCTAAAACACCTGCAGAATACGAAGCTCTACTAAAGAAATTGCAGTCAGACAATGAGACGTCAGAGTTACAGAGACAGGAAGAGGTGCACGGGTATATAGAGAGGATCGATGCCCTCCAGTCAAAATTACAGTATCTAGCCAAAGAGGGTGCTGAGGCAGCGCGGAAAGCCAGTGGATCTGCCCCAAGCGGTAGTCTAGAGAAGAAACTCGCAGACAAGGAAGAACAAGTTGCCCTTCTGATGGAAGAAGGTCAGAAGCTCTCTAAGAAGGAACTCAACCAGCTCACGACGATCAAGAAATTACGAGCAAAGATTCAGGAAGATAGTAAGTTGATCGAAGAGGCGAAAAAGAAACAGGAAGTGGCTGAGCGAGATGTCACAATTGTTACTGAACGATGGAAGAGAGCCGAGACTTTCGAGAAGCGGTTGAAAGAGAAGCAGAAAGAGGTACAGCAAATACAGAAGGACGTTGAGACTCTTAAGGCTGCAAACGAGCTTAAAGACTCAGCTATCATGGAACTGGAAGCTGAGCTGGACGAAGCTGTTGCTCAAGGAAAGCAAGCCGAAATCAAAGTAGCGAATGAAGCTCTGGAGGCAGAGAAGAAGCGGGTCGCAGACCTTGAAGATGACATTGCGAACCTCAAGATCGAAAAGAACTTGGTTGCTGATAGAGCACAAGCGCAAATCAAGGAGTTGAGAGAGAAAATGGACAAGGACGTTGAAAAGGCTCGTATGACGGAACTGGAGATGAAATCCGAGCAGCAGATGTTGGAGAGCAAGCTAGAAGTCATGAGAGCAAGGGCTGAGGAGGTCTCTTCAGGAGCTACAGGTGATGCTCAGGCGAAATTGCTGCGACAGATTGAGACTCTGCAGACGCAGTATGCTGTTGCTAGTGAGAATTGGCAGGGCATTGAAGCATCTCTCATTGCACGGGCTACGAATCTGGAGAAAGAGAGGGATGAGGCTACGAGGAGAGAAGCCGATATCAGGAGGAAAGCTCGAGAAGTGGTATGTCTCCTTGCTCGATCTCATAACTTTACTAACAGTCTAAAGACACTCAAAGCCAAGCGTAATGAAGACGAGCTTGAAGAGTCAAGGTCCAAGATGCCTAGCTTCCAGCAAGAGCTAGCAGAGCATAAAGCGAAGCTAGACGCTCTACAGCAGAGAGCCGAAGCTGCGGAATCAGCTTTGGTCGAAGCTAAAGCTTCTTTCGAGCAAGAAAAACAAGCTTGGAAATCAGAAATGCAGAACCGTATTGATGAAGAAAGACAGAAGCTCCAGGAAGAGACACAGTACAACAGAGCAGAGTCGCCTGTAGCGTCAACAAGGCGAGGTCTAACATCCGAATACCTCGGACTGCAGAACCTCCAAATTAGGCGAGCGTCAGCACGCTCAATAAACAATGATATAACGCCGGTAGCAGGCTTCCTTGGCCGCCGTCCATCCACCCAACCGCTTGGCAAGTCTTCAGGAAATGGAACACCAAGCCGACAAGACTCCATGCAGTCCCTCAAAGAATCCCACAACGGAGAAAGGGAGAACCACGCCTCCTCCCCATCTATCCACACCGACGCCGACGACTTCTTCGAACAGACCACCTCCCCCTCTTCCCCTCACCAAACAATCAACGACCTCGTCTCCGTCTCCACCGCTGGGGCCGGACCTTCCGTCCAACTCGTCGAACGCATGTCTTCGGCAGTCCGACGTCTCGAAAGCGAGAAAGTCGCTACGAAAGAAGATCTTGCTCGCCTCTCAGCTCAACGAGATGAAGCGCGCGCGGAGATCGTGTCATTGATGCGTGAGGTCTCACAGAAGCGCGCTGTTGAGGAGCGGAAGAAGGAGCTAGAGGAAGAGGTGGCGGTGTTGAATGAAAGGTATCAGACGACGCTGGAGATGCTGGGGGAGAAAAGTGAGATGGTCGATGAGTTGAAGAGTGATATCGAGGATATTAAGGCGATGTATCGGGAGTTGGTGGAGAGGACTGTGAAATAGAGGAACTGGTATGCAAAGCATTCTTCCGTTTTGGACAGCGGGTATGCCTCTTTGGTGATCTTCATGTGGCACCGAAGAGACACTTCAAACCTTCGCATTTCTATAGAAGCTACACTCTAGAAACTTATTTACGCCTGCCACGATATGAAGGGATGTATTGGCGTTGGGTTTTTGGTGGAAATCTTCAAATGGATGCTGCTTTTGCTTTCCACTTTGCACTTTTGACTCTTCTATAGTAACATTACTCATGCATGTCATGTAAGATCATGGTATAAAATAGAATGGCAGGCAGGTTTTTGGGATATTACAGTATTATATACAATGGATTTCGACATTCCGTGCCATTCCATTCTTTCGACGATCATACTTCCGTCCTTGTCTCTTTTCATGCTTCAGTGTCAAAAACTCCACGTCGAATCAATCCTGGGATCATCTGATCCACTTGAAGTGAGTCAAATTAGGGCCCATTACAAGGGAAGCAAACATCAAATTTCAAATTTCAAATGGGAAATGGGCACGGAGACCATGCGAGAACCCAGAACAGAACAAGAGAAACGCTTCTTAGAAGACAGGCAGGGAGTGGAGCTCAGACTAAGATGCAAGCTCAATACCCTCCATCTCCGCAGCTTTCAGAATGTACTTCTTGACTTGCGAGTCCGGCGCAAGTTCTAAAGCGAGAAACCCATCATTGTCTTTCTTATCAGTATCAGCACCAGCTTTGAGCAGTGCTACTGCTGTGTCGCCTGTGCTCTCATGTTAGTATCAGTACAGTACAGTATTATACTCACGGGATGGAAGAAAAAACTCGACGAGATTAAAATCGTACCATGACCCTCAGCAATAGCGTGATGCAGCGGCGTCTGGCCGGCAATATCGCTCGCGTTCACAGGACTCTTGTTCTTGAGTAGAAGCTCGACGATGGGGACTGAGCCGACGGCTGCGGCGCGGTGGATGGCGTATTGGCCGCGCTTGTCTTTGACGCGTGCGGAGGCGGGTGGGTTGTGGTCTAAGAGACGACGGGCGAGGTCGATGTTCTTTTTGGAGGAGACGAAGTGGAGTGCTGTCTGGGGGTGGGTGTTAGGATGGGTGAGAGAGTGGAGAGAAATGAGGGGGGAGAATTGTATCTGTGATTTTAGGATGGAAGGAACATACTTGGCCGGTGAAATCTAGTGGTATGTCAGTACTGCTTCTTCCATGGCTTGACATGATATGAAGCGAATGTGAAGGAGACGGCGTTGACTTACTCTTTGCATTGACATCGGCGTCTTTTCTCAACAGCAGATCAACGAGTTCTTCGCCATCTTTCAAGCTGACAGCAATCATTAATGGTGTCCATCCTGAGCCGTCCTAGACATCATCATCCAATCAGCCTCATACTACCTCTAAACAATCATCTCATCCTAGGCTTGAGGTCATAGTCTGGAGTTTCGAGCCCTCCTTTTCCATACTCATAATTCCATACTCATAACAGAAAGAATACCAGGTCATAATCACATACCTGAACATCAGCATCGAAGTCTTTCGTTGCAGCTAACAGCTTTGCAATATCGAGATGGTTGTAAGACACAGCCCAATGCAATGGCAAACGACCATCATCGTCAACTCGCTGAGCTAGTTTCGGATTGGCCTATTTCATATTTCAGCACAATACTGCTTCTGTACGTCTTATGAAATACGAGATGGCTTACAGCTAACAGCGATTCTACGACTTGAGCTGTGAGGATGTCAGTATTTGTCCTTACATGGCGGGGTACTGAGGAGGGGTAGCTGGTGTTTATGAGAGAACTTACTTCTACCATCTCGAGCCGCTTCATGGATCTCGAATTTAGAGGGTTCTGGCTCGGCCATTTTTGAGTTTCTGGAAGAAATGTTGATTTTGGGCTTGAGTTGAGAAGTACTGGGAGTTTTTGTTTTGGTTTGGGAGTCGTCGTCTGCATGTAGCCTGATCTCTGGGCCTTAGGCTAGCGAAGTGGGGTGTTGTAGAAAACCGACAGACTTAAGTGAACTAAAGCGAAGAAGTGTATTGGACTCAAAGTGGACGAAAGTGCGGTATCTTGTGTTATTAGGATGTACTTATGTTCTACATGAATAGGTAGATTTGACGTTATGGTTCAGCTCGTAAACAGTTGGCATAGCCAAGAAGGCATTGAATATCAGAAGCTTTCAACCTTCAAATTTCAACTTTCGCAGCTTGCAGTGAACTGATAATGGCAGTGGACTCAAAAATCCAGAACGTGCCAAAACTTAGGACTTGCTGTAACATTGAATTAAATATCAACTTAAAATTGCTCGCTTTAACCATTCATGATTTTCAGCTCGTTTTCCAAGAGTTCCATTCAGCTTGAGGTAGCGTATCGAGCAGGGGGCTTGCAAGATTCACTAGCTGCACGAGGCAGCGTCGCCAAAAAATCGCGAATCAGCCTCGCATGTCAACTTCAACAAACCATCTACGCCGCCATCAAATATCCCAGCCATGGCTACCACCACCATCACACCTGTTGCCTCGGCTGAAATATCAGAACCACCATCTCTCGAAAACCTTCTACTCGAAAACAGGAAACGATCAAGAGCCCAATTCGAAGCCGGCGCATTGACCGATGAATTCGACGCCGGAGCAAGCAAGAATGCCCTCGCAGCTCGAGTCTTCTCAGAATACGCCTCGATAGTGCCAGCGCCCATTCCGGAACCGAAATCAAAATCAAAAGCGCCGCAGAATGGATCCTCGACAGCTCTTGTACGGACTGGAAAGGCCAAACCTCCTACAACAACTCCTCAGAATGGCTCTTCCACAAGTTTGATTCATAGGCCATTACCGCAGAAGAATCTCCCTGGATCTAGCATGGTACGAAAGCAGAATATCGTCCAGCAGAAACCAGAATGGCACGCGCCGTGGAAGTTGATGCGGGTTATCTCTGGACATCTGGGATGGGTTCGCGCATTGGCTGTTGAGCCGGAGAACAAGTGGTTTGCGAGTGGAGCTGGGGACCGAACTATCAAGATCTGGGATCTTGCGACAGGAAACTTGAAGCTTACGTTGACGGGACACATTTCGACTGTGAGAGGTCTTGCAGTTTCGCCTCGACATCCATACCTTTTCTCTTGTGGTGAGGATAAGATGGTCAAGTGCTGGGATCTGGAGACGAATAAGGTTATCAGACATTACCATGGACATTTGAGTGGAGTGTACACACTGGCTCTTCACCCTACCTTGGACGTGTTGGTTACTGGTGGACGAGATGGTGTGGCTCGAGTTTGGGATATGCGGACGAGAAGCAACATCCACGTTCTTGCAGGACACAAGGGCACGGTTTCAGATCTCAAGTGTCAAGAAGCAGATCCGCAAGTTATAACTGCTTCGCTCGACTCGACTGTACGGCTGTGGGATCTGGCAGCAGGGAAGACGATGGGAGTCTTGACGCATCACAAGAAGGGTGTTCGAGCATTGGCTGTGCATCCAAAGGAGTTCACGTTTGCTACTGGAAGTACGGGCAGCATCAAGCAATGGAAGTGTCCCGAGGGAGCATTCATGCAGAATTTCGATGGACAAAATTCGATCATAAACACTATGTCTGTTAACGAGGACAATGTGCTGTTTTCAGGTGGTGAGTAGACCTATTATTGCACTCAGAGACAAGTTAACGAGAATCAGGTGACAACGGATCGATGAGCTTCTGGGACTGGAAGACTGGCCACAGGTTCCAAGCGCTGGATACTACTGCTCAACCTGGTTCTCTCGATGCTGAAGCAGGTCTCATGAGCTCGACATTCGACAAGACCGGCCTCCGTTTGATCTGTGGAGAGGCAGATAAGACCAGTAAGTGTCCTTCTCACAACTTTTTTACATCGCTAACTCCCATCACAGTCAAAGTATGGAAGCAGGACGAATCAGCAACTCCAGAAACCCATCCACTAGAGTGGAAGCAAACATTGGGTAGACAAAAGTTTTAGTGTAATGATTTGAGAGTGTGTTTGGGACGCATTGCGCGGCGAACGGCGTACAAAGGACATGGTGTTTTCATTCAAAAGAATGAAAAATGTGTATGATATCTATCTATTTCTCATTCAGAGTCTTAAAATCCAAGATTCTTGACCTCTGGATCATCCTTGAAAGCTTGCTTGACATCCTCCTCTCCAATACTCAATCGGATCTTCCCCGTACGATCCGCTCTTCTAGCTTCCAAGCCAATAATACCAGCTTCCATGAGATCCACAGCTGAAGACCCCATCGCTAGTAATCGTGGCGTCTTCTGAGGTTGTTTAGACAGTTGCATGCCCATTCCTTTAGTCGAAACGTGATTATCCCTCAATAGGAATTCAATCATCTGACTTCCTGTGTCCATCTTCGCCATCCTCTTCGCCTCATCCATGACCTCCCCCAAAATACTCTCCGCAATGCCTGTTCTCCTCGTCTTTGCCAACAGAGCTGCAAGTAAAACTTTCGCGGCTAAAGGCAGGCCTCTCAAGTACTGCTGTAGAGGACTCGTAGTCGCCTCATTGATGGCTCTCTTCACAGTCGCTATTGTGACTTTCCCGAAGCCCCTTGGGATTTTCTCGTTCTTGCCACTTTTGCTAGGAGTGTTAGGCGCAGGTTGAGAAAGCACGTCTGATTCAGCGAGCTCGACTGCGCGCCGGCAGATATCGAGGGCTCGACGAGCATCTCCGCTCACAGCTGCTACTTTTCGGCTGGCGAATTGTACGGCATCGGATTCGACGATGTCGCCTGGTACGCCTTCAAGGCGGGATTGGATGATCTTCATGAGTTGTTCGTGGGTATAGCCTGGGAAAGTGATTCTGGTTAAGCCTAGAGGCTGTTAGCTTAGGTAGCGGGGGCAGAGCAGGAGACGTCTTACCAAGTCGACTGCTGATCTTATTACTCAGCGTACGCTCTGGCAAATCCATGGTGTTTGCAACAGCAAGCACAATTAATCTGCTATGCCGTAGACCTGGCCAATTAAAGAAGTTGTACATGACACTTTGATTCTTGGTGACAAGTTGATCAAGCTCATCCATTAATACCACACAGGGTACTCTTCGAGGACTGGGGTGATTGAACTCTCTCTCGAGAAGATCCAGTGCATGTGTAGGACTGACACGGTCTCCTTTCAGTGCCTCCCATAATAGAGAATATGACTGGTGGGGATCCGTGACTTTCATACCATTAATCTCAACAAATATGAAATCGTCAAGCTCATCGGCCATAACCGATGCATTGAGCTGTGCCACAACTTCTCGAACAGTTGCTGTCTTACCAGTCCCGGGGGTTCCCGAAATGTAAATACAAGCTCCTGTGCCCTCGACAATGGCAGCTTCGAGATGTGAGTATACTGAAGCAAACTCGTCCTCTCGACAAGGTAGACTGGTAGGAACAGATGAAACGTGCAGTCTTGAACGAGCGGTCTGAAAAGGAGAAGACTCGACATGTTCAGGGTCCAGCATTCGAGTACCAAGTGGTGTGAACTCAAGTGGTTTCTTCACGACAACCCTACAATCTGTTAGCTAAATTCATACCCTGAACTTCTAGAATTTGTACCTTTTATGGCTTGGTGTCAGCAGCTTTGACGGAGTGCGTGGTTTCTTCGGCGTAGTCACATTCGAGAACTTCTGCTTCTTCCTTGGCGTATGTGTCTCCATTTCATCGTCATCAATAACGCCTCCCTTGAAATCATCATCACCCTTCGTGCGCCTCTGATATTTTCTTTTCTTCGTTGACTTGGTCTCTGATTCGATCCGAGTCAACAGCTCCGTAACCTCATCCTCGGTACCATGTGAAATATCTTCCCAAATAAACTCTTCCGTGTATTTGACTGCCCGAGTATCGCAGCCTCTCCGACAAATGAATGTCTTACCATGCTCTCGAGCTTTTTTGGGGATTTTGCCAGTGGGGTACTTTTTGTTGAAGACTTTCTCGGACATGATATATGCAGTGCCGTTGATCGATTCCAGAGGATTGATATCGGTATCCGGGGTGAGGTACAGCTCATTCTACCTCCATTAGCTGTATTCTTCGTCACCCTCAAGTAGTCTTACAGTAAGAAAGTCGGATCTCTTCTTCTCCTTCAATTGTGGTCGGATTTCCTTCTCGTTAGCAAACCCTAGGCGCATTAGCCAATTGTTATAGAAATTGTCAGACACAAGTCCTACATAAGAAGTTCGCAGATTTCTCTCCATCCTCTTCTTCCAAGAATTGCTGTATAATTCCCACCCAAGACTGATTTTGGCCCTCCGCCTTCAACAAAACCGTATCTCCAACCTTGCACTTGAAGGCTCCCATCTTGGCCCCTATAATTCCACCTTGCGATCGCGCAGCATTACGAGCCTTTCTCTTCCTCGGCGTCAAAGCAGATTTCTCATCATCCGCAGAATCATCCTCCTCGTCATCTTGCGCCTGCTTCCCCTTCTTCTCATAGATCCATTCCCAAGGGTACTCATCTGTGCCCAGCTCGTCATCAGAGTCCTCCCTCCTAAGTGTCGCACCTGAGAGAAGTTTCCGCGCTCGTTCTGCCTTGTCCTCGCGCTTCTGCCGTGGAGTCAAGGCGTTTGACTGAGGTGCCATCTTGTGCTGATGCCGTGGCGTTGGTCAATGGCTTTTGCGTCGACGTCGAGGAATCTTGACGTTGCTAAAGTGCTTGCATTAGCGAACTTCAAGGGGACGCGTTCCGCGACTTTTCGTGTTGAGCGGTTTCAGGGGCTCGCTTGGCACTTTCGTCAACATGCATTGCTTCATTGAGTTTCCTACCTCGAACGATCACACTAGAGAGAGAGTTTTCTCAAAGTCTTCTTGAGGGTGTCTTTCACTGATGGTTACTAGCAGGATAGGACAACATGGAAGGAGCAATGCAAGCCTGATTTTTCTCTTCTTACAATTCTGAAATTGCGCTGGTACGCCACTTGCCGAAAACAATACTATGAATGAACACCGACAACCCTTATGAGGCCTTGCGCAGGTCACATTCCAGTTTCAAGAGACATGTGTAATTGGTAATGTGTAAAATTGGGAAAGTAAACAAAGCAGTCAGCAAAGCTCTGTCCCCAGCTTTGCCCCGCCCTGTCTAGCTCGGCATGATCCCGGCAAATCCCACCACACCAGCCGATTAGATTTCAAGCTCTCACCAGGCGACCTCCTCCACAGCTCCTCGAGACAGACAAAAACAACTCCCTCTTTAATCGCAAACATGTCTTCTCCAAAAGGACAACAAGGTCAGACAGTCCGTTCCAATATATCCTATATCTAATACAGAAGCAAAAAGAAAGGTCTGCAGAGAAAGAATAACAAAAAGCTAACTGCAAACCAAAACAGTTGACCTCGCAAGCCTCACAACCCAACAGCTCAGCGCCGTCAAAAAGCAACTCGACGACGAGATAGAGCACCTCACAAACTCCCACGCACAGCTACGCGCTGCTCAAGCCAAGTTCCGAGAATGCATTCGCTCCATCGCTGGTGGCGTCAACCCGAAGCTTGATGGTAGGACCCCACTGTACTGTTTATATTCGCTTCTATTCGCATACCCTTTAATGGACTTGTGGCTGATACCTGGTGGACTAGGCAAGCCGATTTTGGTACCTCTCACAACCTCCTTGTATGTGCCTGGAACTCTGGCGGACCCGGAAAATGTCATTGTGGATGTCGGTACTGGATTCTACGTGGAGAAGGTTTGCCGAATATGTCTTTCTGGATGGGCGCGATATTGATTCAAATTAGACCACGAAGGATGCTACAAAATTCTACGAAGCGAAGGTTGAAGAGCTGGGTACCAATTTGAAGGGCTTAGAAGCCATAGTACAGGGGAAGTCGAAGAATCTGTCAGTTGTGGAAGACGGTAAGTGATATTTCCAGGAGCGCTAAAGTTTCACTTAATCATATTTTCTAGTTCTAAGGGAGAAGGTGCTGAGTAGCCCTGCTCCTTCTACGTCGGCATCTGCGGCTTGATCATTTCAATAATCTACAATAAGCGAACACATCAATACTCAAATACCCCCCCGATGACACATGTCAGAAGGATCAAATGATCTCAGCATTTTCAAGATGCGCAAAACATTCAGCACCACGCCATGAGCATTCAAAGGTGTGATCTGCGGGGGAATATGAAGGGAGAGATTGAAGGAAATAGAAAATTGGCGGCCTGTGTCGATATGTACCCTTTTTCTGCTTCTGGTGCATATTTCGGGTTATAAACTCAAATGTGTCATCGATGACTGAAAAGCTACATCAAAGTCAGAAATTGAAACTCAGTGGATTCGAGAAAGCTGTCTACGTACCTTCAACAAGTTGAATTTCACGAGATCTCTTCTTAAGTTGTAGCAGAAGTCTGGGCAGCCACATGCTGAGCCGTCTTTGCTGCATCTGCCAAGGCCTTAGTAGCAGCAGCCTCAGCCCTTGTAGCTTCCTCGACTTTGATAGCCTTCACTACATCAACTAAGAGACCTTGTGTGAATGCTACCTCGTCAAGGAACGGTACAAGCCATGCCGCTCGGCCATTAAATAAATGGATCAAGCCTGGACCAAAGTCGCGAACTCGAGTAGTACCCTCGATGGACTCCATCTGTGTATCCCATCCGGGATGAAACATAGATACACTGGTCTTCATGGTTGGTTCTCCTTTCATGCGATCTCCGATCCATTCTCGAAAGATGGAAGCCTCAACGAAGAAGCCAGAGTCCATTAACTTGTATTGGATAACACCTCGGACCACAATACTTGTGATTCTGAAGTCTCTATTGAATTCGTATGGCTCTTCCGGGGCGGTTCTCAATTCTGGGTACTCCAAGCCGTGGCGGTCCCTAAATACTCTGGACTTGACCGAGATAGACTTCTTAATGAGGTCTTCCAATTGAGACGGCACTACAAGTTGCTCGCTGTCTGTGATGACCTCCAGTTGCCAATCCAACTCTCTAGAACCAATCTGTGAGCAGGACTTCCGACAATCGAGCGTTTCTACAACATACCTCTCAACATCGATGCAGGTTATATTCAATCTCTTGTGCGTCTTATCCTTGACGAAAAGCCTAACGGAGCCAGCCTGGAACTCGCTGTTCTCCTGTTCGTAGAAGCGATCGATCTCGGCCTCAAGTCGAAGTTCTTCCCCTGTGTTCGTCAGGATGAAGAGGATAGCGGTGTCTTTAAATTTGACATCGCTCAGTGATACTGTACGGCCGCTGGCTGGTACGAATTTGTCTGGCCAACTAACAATCTTTTGGGACAACTTGATAGCAGTTTCGGATCCCCCAATCCTGTGTCATTGTTAGAATAGGGACAACCGCGATTGCTTCTGGGCACTGGGATGTGCTTACTTCTTTTCAAAGCTGCCAACTTGACGTGGGTTCTTGACCATCTCGACAAACTCTTCAAATGAGTACTCGTTTTCGATAAATGGCTTTCGGAAGTTGCGAATTGCGACATGTCCAAATGTGACTCGCATTCTCATCCAACCTTTCAGCGGCTCGAGGCATTTCAGACCTGCCATTAATGTTGCCTGGAATTCTCGCTGGTTTTGTGTCACCATGCCAGGGCGTCTCGATTTCCATTCCAATCTGTCATCTTCAGTCAAGGGCTCACCAAAAAGCACGAAGCCCGTCGCTCTCATGGGCGCCAATACTTGATACACTTCAGGCTTTACAATTTTTCGCATGGCTTCTGCGGTCGGAGGAACAAATATGTAAGAAGGAGTCGCCGATATTTCTCTCGCCTTTGCATCCTGCACAGCTCGGCGAATACCATCAAATACCGGCGTGAAATCGGCTTTGCCATCTCTTGAACTGACACGCAAGTACTGAGTATTGTCGGTGGTGGTGACACACTCAATGAAAACCTTGTGCTCTTTTCGGACTGCAATTAAGGGTACAAGCTTGGGGCCAAACAAATCGATGGGTGTCTTCGTACGATACGGCCAGAAATATGTTCCCTACGAGCGCAATATGTCAGCGGGTGCTCATCGACTATTTTCTTGTATGGCGCTCACAACTGAAGGGAAGCCTTCATCTATAGGCGGAGCCCTTAAGTATTGTTCACTCTCTTGTGTCGTTCTTGCCATGTGTTCGTTGTAGGCCGCTCGCTTTTCAGTTACCAATCCCGCTGGGTCAGCCCAGATGTCTTTGGCAGAAGATCGATTTGTCGAACTCCGTGCTTGAGCATTTCCTCGTAAGGTGCCACCTTGGGTCGCTGAGCGGTTGCGTCCTAGACTGTGAGTCAATACCTTTCACGTGTTTAATGATTGCCGGTGCTGCACAAACCAGTCTTCTTATCACCAGACGATTGCCAACGACTGCTAGGAGGGACATTCTCGCCAGAGCCTGCGGAACTTTCGTTACTGCCCGTGCCCGTGCCCGTATTGGCCCGATCTCGTCCGTTCTTCAGTCCATTCGATCTGAGGAACGAGCTGGACTGGCCACCAGGAGGAAGATGGGAGCGGCCAGCAACGCCAACATTAGGAAGTGTGCCATTGATGGGCGGTCCTCGACGAGCTGCACTATTATGAGGGAGAGGGTTCCGCGCTGCGTGTGTTCCATTGAGAACCTGATGCACAATCGGTGAAGGACGAGGTTGAGTCGATCCTGAGGCTTGCGATTGCACCATGGAGATCAATGTACCTTCAACGGCAGAATGCCCTGAAGATTGGCCATTGTCACTTTGAGCGGAGGAGACCACGGATTCCGTGTCGTTCTCCCAGTCTAGACACATCTTGTTAGCAACAATGAGGTGCTGCCCGAGATGACAACATACCTCGCGCATTTCTGGTTTCCCAGCTGTTGAATGTCAGCAATTCCACTCACAACTTGGGGAACAGGCTGGTCACTTACTCCTTCATCTTGTTGCAGAGCTGTGTGGAGATACAAGAGCACTGTCGTGGCTCTGGTATCAACTGACAGTGTTCTGGTGTCAATAGGAATCTCGTTGAGAGAAATGGTTGTGGGCCAGCGGGGAAAATTGATCTCGTTTATTTGTTGACACCGCGGTAACGATATCAGGACAACAACGGTCACGCCCCGCTAGTGATTCACAGCTTTCGCTTCTAGATGGACATGGATGAGATAGCCATTTGAATGAATTCAGAGATTCAGGACTCTCTTTTGATTACCTACTAGTTGCGCTTGCCCCAGCTGCGTGCAGGAAGTAGAGGCAGGCAAGGCCGCCAACTAGGAAAGAGCGTTTTGTTGGCTCTGTTGAATCTGCTATGAAGCTTTCAGGCTCTCTGGCTTCTTTGTGACGTTGAATATCCCTTTTATGAGGGAGTGAGCATCACCTTCGCCTATCACTGCGACTTCGTGGACTGCTTTATCCTTGTAGACGTAGTCACCTTTGACCAGGCCTTTGACCAAGTCTTCTTGGTGGTCTTCCTTCGGCCTGGCGTCACATTGGGGTATAGAAAGGCATGTTCCTCCAGTGTTTCCACTACCAGTAGCTTCTTCCGCTTGAACAAATCTGCGAGAGAAAGTGTGTGAAGATCCTCCTAAAAAGTCTCTTTAGATCTTGCCTAGAATGAGAATATGTAGTTATCTTGCTAAGATCGAGGAGCGCTACTGCTAGTCTGTAGGTTTATAAAGCAAGATGGTGTAAAATTTGGATTATAATCCTTCGAAGATTGAATTTGATATTGTGTTTCACAGAGTGTGTTTTCCTTGAATCTGATAGGTTTAAACTCTTGTTAGCACAACATTCTAAAGACAAGTTGAAATTTAGCTTGCAAGATGTCTCTGTTAGCGTGCGTATTACATAAAGGTGAGTCAAATAGCTCTATGCCTGTTTACCTTACTCACTGATTATTATAATCATGCGCCGGCTTTTGCTGCTTAATAGAGGATATTGGAGATTGGAGATTGGGAGTTGGGATTAGGTTCTGACGGCAAAAGCCTCAATTGTTTTTTAACTTTGATGTAAGCTTATTTTCTTGTACAAGCACAGCTATGAAGTCATTGAGTACAATTCCACTCAGATATGTGTATATAGTGAGAAGACCCCTCTGACTTCTCTTCGGCTCATTTGGATGGCATGCTAAGACCCACCACACACGAGCTGTTATAGCTTACTCCAGGCAAGAACACTCAAGGAGACTAGCCTTTCAGCTTTCTTAATCGAATAGCATATCAATGATTGTTCTATAGTCAAGCTATTACGGACATGACAGCAGACGCTGCTAACTACTTTACTGGACATTTTATAGTTCCTGGTAAGTCTACTACATACGAGAATCGAAAGACTGGAAGCATCTCTCTAGATTTCATCTGCCATATCTATTGTCATCTAATACAGTTTCACCATGAACTGAACCTGCAGTACACTTTTCCCAGCCATGACCTAATCTCCAATTCTCCATTTAATACAAACCAGGAAGTCACGCTAAATAGCACATCATACAATCGACACCCTTTCCCCTCACAAGACAGAATGTCCTTGAGGCCCCCCTCTCCGCCAATCCCTCTCCGCCTTGTCACTCGCACTGTCCGTCGTGACCCTCGACGCCACCCTCAAATCCCCTGGCTTGGCAACCTCATACGTCTCTTGGATATCCCACTCGGTAGTCTGCCGAATAATCATAGTATCACTCTCAATTGAACTCCTCGCCTGGTTCTCCTCCGGCGTCGCGCGACCAATCCGTATGAAATGCGTTCCCTTATCCGGTCTCAGCGGACCCAGATCATCTGCCCTCTGTCCCTGGAATCCGAAGTGGAAGTCGTCGTCTGTGGAGCCGCCGCGGGTACCCTCTGCTGTCTCTTTGGGCGTGCGAGAACGTGTGGAGCTGTTGGGAATTGTGGTTCGTGATTCGCTGAGGCTTTCGAGCTTGATGCTGCCTTTTGGCTTGGATGCTTTGCGGCTTGTGTCTCCAGAGCGCGAACCGAGCTTGCTTCCCGCGCCGTATGTTGAATCCATATTCGCTGCAGAGGCAATGTAGGAGCCTGAGTTCATGCTTTCCATGAAGGGCTTTAGGAATGGTATGCAGGCTGCGACGATGGCAAAGTTGAGCTGGACGGTCGTGGCTAGGTATGTGTGGTAGGATGCGAGGGTTTGGTCTGGGATTGATGGTCGAGCATCGACGTTGATAACTTCCAACCGCCAGATTGTGAGGGGGATAATGCTACTCTTGTTAGATACGTTCTCAGTATGAAGATCCGATGGGAAAGACTTACAACATCCTCGCGCCGAATACCAGGATCACCAGTGCTTTTTTGGATTTAGGCATCTTTACGCCCCATACGAGGTAAGCGGGGAGGATGGTGATGGCCATATCTGTGAGAATGTCGAAGATGCCTGTGACATTCCAAAAGGTAACCTGTGTATCTTCAGCGTCTTGACTGGCCGCGAAGACTGTTTTTGGCTTACCGTATTGAAGCACTTTGATGTGAGAATAGCATAAGGTGTTGGAAGAGCACACTGAAACGCGATTGCGAATTCTGAAGCAATTGCCCATACTATCACAAATGCCTCAATTGCTTGATTGACGATGGCAAAACGCGCCACAGGTGAAAGAGCTCGGAGGTATACAACAGTCGAGAGTTTGGCTAAAGCCAGCGCTGGTATATAGAGTAATTGGGACGTGTACCCGAACTGGTGATTCCATTGTCAACATTGGCCATATAAGCTTCAATGGGGAAGCTCCAGCTCACTTTCTCAATCTCTATAATCTCGTTGTTGGAGACTGTCGACTGTGGCGTCCCGAGTCCGTTCGCCACCATAGAAGATAACATGACTGTATGTAGAGTCGCAAATACCTATTTCACGAGTTAGCTGATACAGCCAAAGAAAATATGGAGGTATCTACCATTGTCGCTAAGATCAAGCCATCATCAACTGTTGCTCGCCGAACAATCGTATACTTAGAGATGACTCTAGTAAGTACACACAGTACCATGATCGTCATTCCTATCCACTTCAAGAGCGTTAGCGCTATCAAAGTCAAAATCCGAGGATCCGGATCTCAGATCTTCAGACGTAATCCACAATACATGTCTGTAGTCGAGGTCCGAGATCTTGGAGAATACCAGGTCGTAAAACACGTACTGCTGCAATGTTGACAATCGGCCCTTGATTATCATCCGATATGATAACTTGTCGAGCCAGAAGAGTAGCTAAAGGCTGATTCATCTTGAAAGTAAGCTTTGAAGCAAGTCAGGGCCTTCACATTGACCGTGATGTTCTTCGCTCTACACATTCCATCAGGGAAGCAGTGAAGTATAAACCGTTTTCACACCATCTCTCTGTCGGTGGGCGTTTGGAATGCTAGCAAGCCTCCTGCAAGATTGGCGTTCTATGGGAACAGGAGCATGCCCCTGATATCTAGTTCGATAACGTTCTAACTAAGCTTCTGTTGGAGAATCAACGTCAAGTCAACGTGAACAGGGGGAATAGCACCAGAACTAAAATGTTTTCGATCGGGATAAAGATTCTGGGAAATTGCTTTTGCAGGTCCAGGTGGGCGAGTTCCCAAGTCCAGAGTACGAATATCCGGAAGAAAGTATCCTGGCGCAGAACTTGGAAGCATGGAAAGTATCAAACCCATCGAAGGAATTGAGGCCGGCTGCGTGCACAATGCAGGGTCACTTTTGATGCTACTACTCTTCGGGACAAGTTGCGATGAGCTCATGGAAGTGAAGCCACTCGTGGAGCTGATAGCGGACCAATAGCCTGCTCCATACCAACATCCTCACAAATAAGACATGGTTGCTCAGGCCGATTCACCCCCACGGACCCACGTTTCCCTGGAATTAGCAGCGATGGGTATGTATGGGATTGCGACTTTTGGCACCTGCCACAGAAATCCAGTCCATTGTTGAAACCCAGATCAGGGAGTATTGAACCAGGCAAGGTGCTTGCATGATTCACATCAGCACACAAAGCTGGGTAACGGTTTTCCACGCCAAGGCTCTGAGGTTGAGAAATCTCGCCCAAGATAACGCACTTCACTTCCCCGACCAGTCTGAGATGTGCTTGCGACGAAACGACTTGCCCATGACGGTGAAGTGATCCAGAGACCAATCATTCGAATCCCTTGAGTTCCTCGAATCAGCTTTCATACAGTATCTCGCCAAAGCAGGGCCCAGCTCGGCATTAGAGTTTCCGGAATCGGTTTTCTCCCAGTATGCTGGGGGAAGGCGTAACTTGCATATTTCAAAATAACAAAGCATGCAATATACCCTGGTCTGAAGGCATCGCTTAATTCTTCCTTCAAGCGTCACGACTTCCAACAGCGCTGAGCTGTCGGAGATTCTTTTTCGCGCCACTACGAACTGCTATGGACGACTGTTGTGTACACACGGTACAGAGGTACCGCACCCTTGTTTGAATTTACTGCAGATTACCCAGAAAGTAATGATTGGAGCGGATGCAAGCCTCATACTAGAATTGGAACGGTGGTGACTTAGGGCGGAGCGTCTAATCTTGCCTGCGCGCGGCACTGCTGTTGAATGTATAATAAAGTGGCGGTAGACGCAAAGAAGTTTTGTTTGGACGGGTGGACAACCAACATCGTTTGAACAGGGCTACGAGTAGCTGGCTGGTCCATTCGATTCCCCCTGGTCTGGTCTAGGGTGGCAGGAGGCAGGTGGCTACTGTAATGCTGTATTCGCTTGCTGGCCAATCATGAGCAATTACCCCCAGTGGATGTTTCGGTACGGCTCAGGGCCGCCTTCCGGGCGGGAAGAGCCTTTTCGTCGTCTGCCGTGGTGGGCTGGCTACCTTAGGCGGGCGAGGCGGGCAACCAGAATACTCCTCTTCCCCACGCTTGCACCCTCCCTCACAAGTCACAATAATGGAATAATGGAGCTGGATCCCACCCACGCTCCACGCTCCACGCTCCACGCTCCACGCTCCACGCTCCATGCCCCTCCCTTTCCGTCGGTACCTTAGCGATGAAGCAAGAAGAGGGTCGAGGGGGTCTCAAACATCTCTTAGTTCACCTTCAACTCTCGATGCCTGCCACTAAACGCCACTGTCACATGTACACAGCTAAGACTTCTCCTTCTCCTCCTCCTTCTCCTTCTACCAGGTGCTTTCGTCTGGAGAAAATCCCGTCCTTTGTAAACCTGTTGTAATCAGCTTAGATCGCTTTGTTTTATCTTTCGGCTTATTCCCATTCTCGCCCACCGGACATTCGCAATATCGCATTCCTTCTTAGTGATAGTTGCATGCACGGAGCAGCATGGGGGCTGCACCGATACCAGACATGGACTAACTGGCCCTGGCTGCCTGGGCCGGCCACTTGCTAACATGCTTGCTTCGGTTCGCTACCAACCTCACCCACCTGCACTCCGTAGTCCAGAAGGATGAGATGCCTGTAAGTGCTGCACCACCGCTGCAGACACGGCATGTGAGATTGTGTTCAACGTGTACTCGGCCATAGCTTGATTGGGATAAAGACCCTTGCTTCATCAGTTGGTGCAGATAGGCTCTAGATGTGTACTCATCTGATGGCAGGAGCTAACAGAAATGGCCTGCAGCAGGCCATTAGTGACAGAGCACTATCCAAAGTTACTTCTGCAGATCTGAACCCTCCCATCTTTCCTTCTGCACTATCCCCTCATTCTTTGGCGTTCTTGGAGCTTCAGCTGGAACAGAGTCAACGAAGTTTACAAGATGGAGGACAAAAACATTGAGATGAAATCATATGTCGTGCAGGATGACTCCGATCAAAGTCACCAGCATGTGAGCGAAGGTACTGCTACCAGAGGACGACGCGGTGGAACAGCCCGAGATGAGGAGGAAATGGCATACTTTGGCAAAGAACAGCAATTGAAGGTACGGCACATTCTATCTCTGAGCATTGGCATGAGCAATGGGCTTGACAGTGTCATGGATTTCGTCTCAATTGCTTTATGAAAGTCTCAACTGGCGTTGAGAATCTCTTACGCTCAAAGACTTTGATTTGAGGCTCTGGTGATAACTGCATTTTGAACTGACTGTCGTAGCGAAACTTTGGATTTTGGTCCATCGCGGGTTTCGTCTGCAGTTTGTTATCAACATGGGAAGGATTGTTTGCAGCTTTTCTTTATGGTTTTCAAAACGGTGGTCCAGGTAAGCAGAACCCAACGAAGTAATCCAGAAAACCCTTCTAACTTCTTGGTTTCCTAGCCGGCCTCGTGTACGGCTTCCTCTTCGCCTGGATTGGATCTTTGGCTGTTGTTGCCTCACTCGCCGAAATGGCATCAATGTAAGTGGAGCGAAATAACTCACGGCGATGTAAATCTAAATGCAACAACAGGATGCCACTGTCGGGTGGTCAGTACCATTGGGTGTCAATCCTAGCTCCAGGGCGATGGGCAAAATTCCTAAGCTACACCACAGGTAAGAATCTTCCATGATATAACAAAGCTTGGGCTAATCAGAACATGAAGGATGGCTCACGGTCATCGCATGGCAGGCAGGCCAAGCGAGTGTTGCATTTCTCGCGGCTTCCATAATACAAGGAATGGTCGTTCTCAATAACGACAGCTATGTTCCAACAAGATGGCAAGGGACCCTCATATTCTACGCGCTCATATTCGTCATCGTTTTCATCAACACTTTCTTGGCGAGATGGCTGCCGAAAATCGAAGGCTTGATTCTGATCTTCCATGTTCTGGGATTTTTTGCTATCCTGATACCTCTGGTCTATCTTGCTCCTCACGGTTCACCAAAGGATGTCTTTGTGACATTCGTCAATGGTGGCGGATGGTCTTCTGATGGACTTTCTTGGTTCGTTGGAATTGTCACTGGTGTATTTGCTTTCCTAGGTGCCGATTCTGCATGCCACATGAGCGAGGAAATCCACAATGCTTCGACTGTGGTCCCGAACGTTATGATGTTCTCATTGGTTTTGAACGGAGTGCTCGGATTTGCAATGCTGGTATGTACATCTTCTTCGTATTTAATTTCTCTGCCTAACAGAACTTTAGATTGCCGTTCTTTTCTGCCTTGGCAGCATTGACGATGCTCTCGCAACTCCTACCGGATTCCCATTCATCGAGATCTTTCTCCAAGCCACGAACAGCACAGCAGGTGCTACGGCAATGACATGCATTGTTATGCTTCTCATGGCAGCAGCTGCCATTGGAGTCATGGCTACCGCATCTCGAATGCTCTGGGCTTTTGCTCGTGACAATGGTGTTCCATTCAGCAATCAACTCGGAAGAGTGAGTAATAAGACACCATTTTAGACAGATAATTTGACTAACACTTTCCAGGTCCACGAGCCTTCTGCTCTTCCATTGTATTCAATTCTCGTCTGCACCGCCACATCACTCTTGCTTGTCCTCATCAATATTGGCAGTAGTGCCGCTTTCAACGCCATCGTGTCAATCACAACCGCCTCGTTCTTCACATCTTACGCGATCCCCACTGCACTCCTACTTCACAAGCGTCTACGAAATGATCCCGTCAAAGACAATATCCACTGGGGTCCTTGGAAGATGGGTCCGATCCTAGGCCCCATCGTTAATGTCTGTGCCTTGATCTACTCTGCCATTGCCATGTTCTTCTCCTTCTGGCCATCCACGTCCACAGTTACCCCACAGAGCATGAACTGGTCTGCACTTATCTGGGGAGGTGTGATTATTTTCAGTGTGGTATTTTACATCTTCCGAGGAAGACACAACTACAAATGGTACGTCCTAGGCGATCCTGCCTCCTTCTATTTTATAAGCAATCACTGACTTGCCATCGCGCGCAGGCCAATTGTCGACCCAATTCGTCGAAATCAGTAAAGACGGAAAGGAGTGGTGGTCGGCACGCGGACTGTACTTCTGGCGCGTATCTTTTTGGCATATCGCAAGAAATTTGAGTTGACATGAACTCAAGCTTTGATTGTTATTGAGAGATAATGAATACGAGGCCTTTGGGTCATTGTATACTATCAGTAAATTTTTTGTGTACATTTCCGTGAAGCTTTTAACATCATCCCTGTCCAGTGAAATACCATCATCTCAGAATCCAAAAGCCAATTCTGCAATCACCGGTAATTCCACTTTAAACTCCACCAGCTCTCACATCAAGCATTTGCGGACCTTTCCCAAGAGTTCCACCCAAGGAGGCCACAACTCCACCCCACAGCGGTTTTCCAGGTCTCACAACACGGTCCAAGTCCATGGTTGCTGACGGCGGGATATTCTTCAATTGGCACGCTTGTTCAAGCCACGCCGGCTGGGGAGGAGCTCGACCCACCTCCAGCGACCGACCCCCACGCAATCCGACACAACCGTCTTGCAAGCCACTATTCGCATCAAAAAGATAACAAAAGCAAATAAACAAGACTGGTCTCCACCCGGATTCAGACCGCAAATGGAAACCAGCCGATGAGGATCAGCGGCACGGCAAAAGAAATGTCGCCCCTTACTGAACTGCTCGTACTGTAGTGTTGCTGCAGGATATATTGTTGACGATGATAAGCAGGGATGTTTCGAGTCTTTCTCACCTCCCCAGCTCCGGAGTCTTGATCCCGTTCAACGCTTCAGAAACTATCCCTTGCATAGTGTTGACCCGGTCCTGATCTTTAGCATAGAAAACACGCCATTTGACAGCTGCAGTAGTAATAGATGGGCTCTTTGCTAGATTTTATTGCTTCCGCAGCTACCTACCTGAATCTACCTAGCCAGCGACTCAGCAGTGGTCCATCGCCAGAATAGAGTTTAGCTGGTGCTTGTTCTTGTTCTTGTTCTTGTTCTTGTTCTTGCTGGCCTCGCGTAGACGATAGTTTCGGGATCACTTCCCCGTCTGTGGCAGTTGGAAAGCGTGCATTCGAGTCGGACCCGTGCCGTGTGGGATGCGACCCTGTTGCAAGAGACTAGCACTACCTTAGCGATAGCCCGGGCTGCCTGTCTAACCTGCTGCACAATTTTATCTCGCCCACAAGCTGCAGGTGTCAACTAACTAACCCTGTTTTTGAGAAGGATCGCAATTGAATTTCTTTTTGACAGCCTGTCGAATCGGATTCTTGGGACGGAACACACATTGCACAATGCAGCGCAAGCGAAGCAAGTTCCAACCAAAGGGCTGGGCTGGAGATTCGGTTCCGCACCACGGGTACACGCCAGAATATAATTCGTGGGCCTTCAGCAATGGCGTTGTTTCGATTTATGCACTTACAGACTGCTACTGATAGATTGTGAAGATCCCAAGACTTGTCTGTTACTGAACAGCTTCACAGACCGTCCAAAAGACCAACCAGTCATCTCATCTTGGAGTTACTAAATCCAGAAAGCAAGACTATTAGAAACAGCTCTTCAGCTTGAGAATTGGCAACACAGCATTAAGCACGAACTCTAGCAATGGGGAAGCTACTCCTCCTTCCTGCCGAGGTGGCTGATCTACCCAAGATCCTCGAGGGCCAACGATTGGCATTCAGCGATCCTGTCGAGCCTTTCTTTTTCGCTCTCTTCCCTGAAACAGAGAGGAAGGCGAACTTCGAGCAACAGGTCAAGAGGACAGAGGCTTGGTGGACTGGCGACCCGAGTGCGAAGTACATGAAGGTTGTCGATGAAGAGACTGGTGAGTCGCTGCTATGATGGAGGCTTGCTTAATTCAACATATGGTCTTGGAAGAAAGCATTGCCTTCTGACGTATGCGAATAGGACAGATTATCAGCGCTGCAAAATGGTGTATTTATGAAACACCCCTCACGGAGGAGCAGATGAATGAGGAGTTGGTCGTAGATTGGCATTCTGATGCAGAATCCAACGAGTGGGCACAGCACATCATCCATGGTGTCCATTCGCACCGCCTCCGCCGTACCAAAGGCGGAGTATGCTGTGGTACGTCTCTCTCCATCCCTCCCTACTCTCAGCCCAGCTTACCACAGGCAGTTCTCGACATGATGTCCACCCACCCTGACCATCACCGACGCGGAGCTGCAAAAATGCTCGTACAGTGGGGCTGTGATATTGCGGATAAGATTGGAGCTGAGGCTTTCATTGAGGGAACTGCCATTGCGAGACGGCTGTATGAGAGTTGTGGATTTGTGGCTACGCCTACTGACTGGATATTTGTGGATGTGCCTGAGAAGTTCAAAGATAAGCCGCGGATTAAGTACTATTTCTTTGAAAGACAACCCAGGGCTAAGGTCGTAGAGAGTGCGAAAGGTGTGGTCAGTGTTAATGTTAGAGAGGCTGTCGTGGAGGAGGTTTTATGAACGCAGAGTTTGTGCAACTTCGAGGATTGAAACTAGAAATGGTAGAAATTGAGACTCCAATTTGATCAGCGCCAGGTACTTCATAAGTAGCAAGTATACGATCTGATGAGCGTGGAGAATTTAAGAATCATCGTGAGCATGAGAACCTACTGCACGCCAAGTACCCCTCTGCGCCCAAACGACTCGCGAGATCTCGCTTAAGGCTTCACTTTGTAAACAAACACCACTCTGAATGCTGCGAACGATGAGTTCTCAGAACATGATTGGATATTGGACAAGTACATATTCAATCATAATTCGACTCTAAAGCTTTGGAATATTCAGGCCATCTGCCTGGAAGCCAACGTGGCAACAGTACTGTATTTGTTCGTGGGTGGGAGAAGGAACATTCACTTCCATCCAGACAACGTCGTATCTTTGCCACTGAAACCCTTCGTCTATCTGCCATATGTATGAGCGTATAGTAATGTTTGACAAAGAGATAAATCGACTTGCAGGTACATAAATGCACTGTGCTCCAGAAGCTATTACCTCCAGCATTAAAACAATGGAGACAATGTTCTTTCGAGGTGTTCGAACTTTCGGCGGACACAGGAATATGCTCAAAGACTTTATTAGCTAATGAGGATGACTACGAGTAAAACCAAGTACAGTTGACCCTCGAATATGGTATGTTTATTGTGAGGAATACGAGCTGGAATGAAATTGTTGATAGAGAACAGTTATGAACGGACGCTGGTATGGCGGGAATATCTCTAATCGACTCGTGAAGTTGTCAAGCCGGTAATGACAGTACGATACAAATACCACGACTTAGAGAGCCTTTCTAGCCAGATTTATACATAGGTTCAGGAGTATAGATAGGGTTTCCCTAAGTCTAGTATCCTCTCTTGCAAGTGGGAATAATGGAATGTAAGTGATCGGGAAACGACTTGATTCGGATGCAAAAATATTGTGCATGACGCAATAGAAGCTTTTATCCATTCTGTTGATGAGATGGCTCTGAACGAGCTATCTTTTGAAGATAGATGGCTCAATGTCTCATGCTCAGATGCATAGCTCGAGTTCATGCTTTACTGAAGAAGAAACAAGATGCAATAGTGGCGCTGAGCCTCCATGACTGTATTTCTGGGAAGTGCTTGATGCTTCTCAGGCTGACCATCGAATTGCATGACAAATCCAAAACTTAAAACACAGTGATGTGCAAATGATGCAGCGTTTATGTGTACCTTTTCAACCAACGCCAGGAGTTTCATTCTATAAACCTCCGTAAAGTTACTTCCCCCGTCGAAAAACTTCACTTGCTCCCCATTTCCACCTTCTTGACGTCAAAATTTGTTGTTAAGCCGACTTTTGGTTCTCACGGCGCATCAGCACCAGTCCCAGAGTTACGTCTCGTCTGTATATCGTCCCATCCGCGATCTAAGCTTCGGTAGGCTCGCGTGAAGATAGCGAGGAGCTGCCATGTGCGACCATTGCTGCTAGGTCTGCGTTGCCTCCCTGATCATATGTCAGCATTGAAAGTATTAGTGGAAGAGTAAGTGAAGATTTACGTTGAATCTTTTATCCACACCCTCTACTGCAGTAGGGAGACCACAGACGAGTTGGGCCGCAAGCACCAGCCCGAGAATGAAGGATGTAGCGCGCATTTTGAGTGAATAGGAAAAGACTGGCCAGCAGAGAAGTTGAAAGTCTCACGGAGCTACAGAGTAAGGAAATTAGAATTCGCTATGATGAGAGAGTGAGCAAGCGAACAGGAAATAGAGGCAAAAGTGTGGGCACAGAGAGCGCATTTATCTACACTGTCGCAACAGGGGCTTCGTCTTGACCAGTACGTGGATCTCCCCGAGCATGACGATCTAGAAGATCAACCAGTTCGAAGTCCCAGCAATCCCCAGCGAGGATGAAACAAACTCAGAGGTGATGACCACCATTTCTGGCAAGAATAGGCTTCTGATAGGATATCGGCTCCACTTTGGTCCTGTGATCGCGGGACAGTCTGAAACAATTAATGCTTGATTGCTGAACCAAGACACGGAGCCGTACATCAGTCAACGAACTACATCCTGGGCGCTTCTGATGTTTCCTCATGTATGGCGAGTGCAACAGGTGCCATGTTCGATCTGAACCTTGAAGAGAGAGAAGTCAAGGCAAATTTTCGCTGCCATCAATCCTTTACCACATTCACTACTCGATTGATGGAAAGGGAATATTTCGCCCGAGCTAATCTCGTGTTTCGGGTACTTTTGGGTCGTTTTATCTTCATTATCCAAAGTTACGACCACCATGCTCGGTCCCAGCGCCATCTTTCTCTTGACGAGTAACTGTCTCACAGCATCTCCCGATCAGACCGTCCAATATCTGAATCATTTCATCCGAATGTCAAAATATCCTCAAGCTTGGTTCGCTTTCATTGAATCAGACATCGATGATGTGATTGGCCACAGTGAAGGTACCGTTCAACATGGTTGGTTCTCAGGATGAATCAAACTGTTTCATCGTCGACACACGGAATAATACAACCTTGTGTACTTGGATGGGCCAACCTAAATCTCGCAACTCTATCTTCATGGTCGATGTTGTCTGTTATGTGAGCATGAAAGATTAGTCCAACAGCAGAAGAACTAGATGTGTCTGGCAGCGTAAGGTGGAGGAGCCAAGCACGTGATCGAATGTCACATGCCGTGACCGCTATTTCTGTCCACCCTTTCTGTTTTTGTCCTTGTTATATTATTGCAGTATTTGATTTCTTCTCATCTCATATTCAAGTCATCAAATCGTTGTCATGTTTTCAGAGGACGTCCTTCATGCCAACTTGCCGTAAACCCCCTCGGCTCGGCTGGCTCGCTTCAATGCAAACATCATCATCAGCTTTAATTCACTTACCAGTCAACTCCGAAAGCCCTAAGATATTGAAATCATAGCCGCTCAATAGGCTCGAGATTTTGCCCAAGAAGCGGATGCAAGACCAATCTGCTCTCTTATGTCCTACGTGCGACGAACTTTCCACTCGAGCGTGTTCTACCCCGCTTAACCCCACCTTCAACCTCCCGGTCTATTCCCGAGCTGTTTTGACATTACAGGTTTGCTTCACTTTCAACTTTTCATGATTCTTCAAAACATTCGTCGAATATCTAAAATAAAATACTACTCATACTCGAGATCTCGGACTTTCGCAATAATGTCCAGCAAGCTCCCATTTCAGGTAAATCGGAGAGATATTGAGCTTTTCGTGCGTTTGAAATTCTAGATGAGGCTGATATCTGCAGATCAAAAACCCTGCCATCTTCAAGGATAAGTCTCTTGTAAACGGAGACTGGGTTGAAGCCAAGTCCGGAAAGAGATTTGATGTTGTAGGCAAGTCTCTTTCAGCTTCTCGTCAAACAAAACTCAATCTGACACATCTTCAGATCCCGGAAGCGGCAAAGTCTGGGCCTCAGCACCAGACAACAATGCCAATGATGTCGATGCCGCAGTCAAAGGAGCTCACGAAGCGTTCAAGACCTACAGCAAAGTCAACCCTAGAACCAGAGCACAATGGCTTCTAAAGTGGGATGCTCTCATCCGGGAGAACAGGGACGACATCGCCAATATTGTTACCTACGAAACAGGAAAACCGCTTTTTGAATCTCAAGGCGAGTTGGACTATGCTCTAGGGTTTACGTGGTGGTTCGCCGGTGAGGCCGAGAGAATCACAGGAACGATCCAAACTCCTTCAGCACCAGGACGGAGAGTCTTCACAGTGAAGCAACCGATTGGAGTCACAGCAGCTTTGGTACCATGGAACTTTCCAATTGCTATGATTCTGCGAAAGGCCAGCGCGGCTTTTGCTGCTGGATGTACGATGATTGTTAAGCCTTCTCCAGAAACCCCTCTCTCAGTCCTGGCATTGGCAAATCTTGCTCAGCAAGCTGGGTTCCCAAAAGGTGTTTTCAGCGTTCTGACGACAAGCTTGGAAAATACCCCACCTTTGAGCGAGGCTCTTTGTCGTCACCCACTTGTCAAGAAAGTGACTTTCACAGGATCTGTAAGTGGGGGAGATCCGATAGTGGGAACTCCGAACTGACAAAATCATTAGACCAGGGTTGGAAAGTTGGTTGCCAAACACTGTGCAGATGGTCTGAAGAAGGTCACACTTGAGTTGGGTGGAAATTGTCCATTCTTGATCTTCGATGATGCAGACCTGGACCAGGCATCAGATGGTGAGAAATATTGCTTCTGAAAAACTATTCTTGAACTGGTGCTTATCAATTCATCTAGCGCTCATGGCCTTGAAATGGCGCCACGCTGGTCAAGCATGTATCACCGCCAATCGTGTTTACGTTCAAGCGGGCGTTTACGACAAGTTTGCCGAGATCTTCAAGCAGAAGACATCCAAGATAGTGGTAGGACATGGTGCAGAAAAAGGAACGACGATGGGTCCAGTCACCACTCCTAGGTCTCTCGATAAGGCTCTCAACCAAGTTGAAGATGCTAAAAAGCATGGAGGTAAAATCGTTCTTGGTGGTGGTAAGGTCTCTGGTACTTCTGGATACTTCTTCGAACCAACTATCATTCTGGGAGCAAAGAAGGAGATGTTGATCACGGAGGAGGAGACATTCGCCCCTGTGCTTGCTCTTTATTCTTTTGAGACTGAGCAGGAAGCTGTTGATGCAGCAAACAATACTAGTGTAAGTATTACCGCGTTCTCAAGTCTTGCAACACAGCTCGCTAACCTGAAAAAACAACAGATGGGTCTGGCTTCGTACTTCTTTACAAAGAATGTCGACCGTACTTGGAGGCTCCTTGAGAATCTGGAGGCAGGAATGATCGGCATGAACACAGGTAAATATCCTAGTTTGCGTAATCTCTCTGAGTCTTGGTACTAACAAATCTTACAGGTAACTCCTCGGCTGCTGAATCACCGTTCGGAGGTATCAAAGAGTCTGGATACGGAAAGGAGTCCGGAAAAGATGTTGCTGTGAACGAATATCTGATCACGAAGACTGGTACTCTGACGTTGGATGGTCATTTCTAAGCCAAAATTTGCTGTAAGGAGAGCATGCTAGGGAGTTGTTCCTTCTGTTACTTCTTGATAGCCATAGCTTCTGTAGTATGAATGCCTTCGCTTCTTCAGGAAATATCAAGGACGCGTGTTATTCTTGCGAGTTTCCCATGTGAAAGAATGCTCGGTTACGTGTCCACCTCATGCTGTTTGGTTTGGAAACTCGAGAGTGTGGAAATGCCTCGGCTCGTCTGGAATCTCAAGTCTCATTGGCTGAAATGTTCCAGGACGAAGAGCTTAAACTCGCAAGGGAAGCTACCCCGTCTCCCCGCGTTTCCACTCTTTTTCAAACCGCGGCAGATCCGTGACGCTTGACTCTATTCAGTAAATCTGATGTCAGCTCCACCTTCATGTCCAAATTTCTATAATATTATCCATATCTCACCACCTATTCCGTGTTGTTCTGTTTTCTACTTCATTTCATATATCCTTTTTTGAAAATGGCCACATCAACGCTCAAGGCAGCGCGAGTCGTCACTGCGCCCCTCCGATTCTCACTCTTCGATCCCCGAGGAACAGCAGCAATTCTCATCGCCGCCATCTATTATCCCGACAAGCTTCGGAGCATGCTTCCCGCATACTTCCACTCATGGATCGACTCACCGGGCTTCATCAAGACACTGACGGCTCTGCTCGGACTCGGTGTCGCGCGCGGACTGAATAGAAAGCTATCTCAGTACATGGCGAATAACTGGAAGGGCGATGCGAAGTTTATCAAGAGTCAGGAAGTGGTGTTGATTACCGGCGGCGCGAGTGGGATCGGAGAACTGATGGCACATGATTTCGCTAAGAGAGGAGTTAAAGTTGTGGTCATGGATCTTCGACCTCCAAAGAAGCCTTTTCGTGAGTTTGCGGCCTGTTGGATTTGACCGGATAGAGAACCCTTGCTAATCGGTATGTCAATTAAGCTTCCGGCATTCATTTCTATCAATGCGATGTCACGTCTTCTTCTGAGATTAAGTCGACCGCTGCGGAGATCAGAAAGGCTCACGGAGAACCTACCGTGCTCATCAATAACGCCGGCATCGGCACGGGTCACTCCATCCTGGACGAGTCGGAGGAGAGGATCAGATTGACTTTCGAGATTAACACTATGGCCCATTTCTGGATGACTAAGGAGTTTGTCCCTGCGATGATCAAGAAGAACCGTGGTCATGTTGTGACCATCGCGTCAATGGCTAGTAAGTAATCTTCCACCCATCAAGACAGAGCCAGCCCTATGGCATGGACCCGGCGGTCTTCGCCAGGCTTGTCTTCTGCACAGTTGCTTACTTGGACGCCTATTAGGTTATCTTGTCCATGCTCTGAACGTCGATTACTCGTGCACGAAAGCAAGCGCTCTCGCCTTCCATGAAGGTCTTGCATCTGAGCTGCGATCTCGCTACAACGCACCAAACGTGCGAACCACGTAAGTTATCCGGCCCCATCCACCCCAGCCGACCGTTGTCTGACAGAGTCCAGCGTTGTAAACCCAGCTTGGATCCGGACACCGCTCATCGAGAAGTTAACCTCCAATCCCAAATTCAGCGACCCTGTCCTGGAGGCGGAAGACGTCTCGAGCGCGATTGTAGCTCAGGTTGTCAGTGGCCGCTCTGGGCAGCTGGTGCTTCCGCGAAGTATGAACGCCGCAACTACTATTCGTGGATGGCCTTCGTGGCTGCAGATACTGGTCAGGAATATTCTTGCCGATCGTCTGATGGATGAAGATTTCAAGGGTATCTAGTAATAGTATAGTATAATGAGGCGAATGTTGGGTTGACTTGCAGCTTGCTGAAGGGACACAAGTTTGGAGTAAAAGTTACCTGTTCATGTACTTTTATTGGCCTTTTTAGTCATTTTCGTAATGATAATGATAGGTGTGGAGGAGACTTGCCCGAGTGTGTCAAGCCAGTCTGAGATCCGAGCTCCTGATGTCTGTGTGTTGCAAACGAAATGGTCCGACTGGATGTGTACAAATATGTTGAGCAAAGCTTGACGTAAGTCTGATGTTTGTCTAGAGTCCGTCAAAGGACGAGTCGCGATCTGGCTTCTTCATTGGCAGATGATTATGAGGCCACAATCCGCTTGGCACGAGCGGTGCAGTGCAACAGAAGTCTATATCCTCCCAGTACAGTAGACCGAACTCCGGAACATATTCATGCAGACCCGAATGCACGCGTACGTCCCAAGCTTGCCAAGACAGGGACTCCAAGTAGGGAGAGCGGGGTTTGTCGGGAGTTCGTCTTCATAAATTTACATTTGCTGCAGAAAGTTAGATCGAATAATGCACATGCACAGTGGAGGAGGTGTCTCCAGACTGGTAGACTACCTACTGTGCCTAGCTCGCATCAAGTTGCCCCAAGAGCACCACACCACTCCACACCACAGCCAAATATTAATAAATGTTGTTTCGGGGTCGCCAAGCGACGATGAGATCCTGCAGGTGCGCACAGTCTCTCTTTTTTTTTTCTTTCACCGAGACAGATCTCCGGGTCGACGTATCATTGTCCATATCTCCATAGCTAAGCTCAAACTTTCTTCAGTAGCTTCAGCCCGGACGATGTCATTGCACCGTGCTCTGCAGCTCATGGTTCGCTAAGCTGACAGGCGCTGGGGCCGAGCAGGGTTCCGTCCTCAGCCTCAACTCCTGATATTGCGCGTTTGCCGCGAATTTATATATTGAAACCCGGCGCACCTTGTCCAGTCCACAAACTCTCGACTCCCGTCGTTGTATCTTTCAGTGTCATATCCATACTGAGTTTGGAGTTCCTGTCAATTAGCATTACAGTGGCTTTTTCGGGGCATGTTTTCCTCTATTTTCGTCTGCCGCGAATAATGCAAAGTCGTCTCTCCATTCCTTAGCCTCGCCACAGAGAGGAGGCAAGCTTACAAGCGTGAGCCGCGATATGCAGGAACCTCGTATGAGCGCTGCCGGACACGACGCCCAGATCGTTCCACCGGGTCTGCGTGAACTGCTCATCCTTGCTGATCAGTGATCCCATCACGCCGTTTGGGTGCAAGCTCCACATTGGCGTCGCTATCCTCTCCTCTTTCGCACCTGTATCGTTGTATCGTGGGATCGTGGGCTGCCAGTCGGAATCGTTTCCTGTGTAGTCAGGAACTCTGACCACGATGGAACCTGAGCATGACTGTCCCAACGTTCTGGGAACTGGCAGCCGGGCGTGTGATGTGATAAGCCGCGTGAAAACGAGCCGGCTCATAAGAGGGAGTACCCCGAAGGTCGCCGTCGGCCTATGGTAAGAGATGCGGAGTTACTTCTTTTCTCATACACGCCAAATTGGTTCAAGAGGCGGAAACTTTATTTTTAGTTATCACCTTTCTGGCATGCATCCGATATGAACTCTGAACTCTTTTCCTCTCGTCAGCCATTATGAATAACTACTCGGGCACCAACCTGCTTGATCCTCTACAACAGCAAGTTGTTAACAAGGACCTGCAATCTCATCTTAAGAACTTCACCATGGCCAGCAGAGCTATTTCCAACGTCCAAGATCATCTTCCTCTTCACACCACTCTCCAGGCCAACAACATGATGATCGTCGCCGCAATCTTCCTCCTCATGCTGGCTCTAGCCTTCCTCCTCGCTACCCAACATGTCACCTCCCTCCACCCATGGACCCGATGCTGGCAGCAAACATGTCTCCGTACAACCAGACAACCACCATCTGACGCCGAAACCAAGATTCTCCAAGACGTCAAGCCCTATCAATTCCCACCCATGAAGGAACGCACCTCCTCACGCATGGCAATGGGACTTAAGCGTCTCGATGAATCAAACTGGCTCACTCTTGATTCCAACTACCTCCCCGAGCATGCCGAACGTCTCAACCTCCTCGCAACCCGCCGTTCGAACGTCATTGAGTGCCTGCCAGGTTCCGATGCAGCTTGCCAGGAAGTCCTCAATATCGTCACTTCCTTCTTGTCTACAAGATTCCCGCAACACTTCGCAATCATCTCCTCACCATCAGGACCAAAGATCATCAACCACCTAACAGATGAAGTATACCCTATCGGACCGTCATGTCCAAATCCCCTAGAAGTTGCCGCCAAGCTCTCCATGGAAGACTTCAACATCCTGTTGCGCCATCCAGAGACAGGTGAATATCACCTCCAAGCTTCGGCAACCCTGTTTCCCGCTGGATGGAAGTTACAGGAGAGAATCGGGACGAGCATGGCGAATTTGCACAGGCCTGTTCCGGGGTGGAAAGCCAAGCTTGGAAGTAGTGTGAATAGGTTCGTCCATTATCGTGTTCACTTGCCCAACACTTTTTGTTAACAAGAAACCAGATATTTCGACCACCTCTCCCACAAAACCGCCATGGAGCGTACCAATGTCTTCATCCAAACCACGCCGAATCTCTTCCAAGATGCACCCGACAGTGCACCGGAAACCATCCTCACTCTTGACGATCTCAAGATCCGTCGCGAACGACAGACGTTCACGCGACTTGAGCACAGTGGTGCTGTCTTGTTCACCGTAAGGACGTTTATAGAGCCATTGACGCAGTTGGGTGATGATGAATTGAGGGCTTTGAGAAGTATGGTGTTGGGATGGGAGGAGGAAGTTAGGGTGTACAAAGGAGGTGATATCTGGGGCCCGCTGCTGATGGAGTGGTGCGAGGAGAGATTGGGTGCGGTTGAGGTCAAGACCGGGATTTAATCTTCAAGACGGGACAATGGATGGGGCGTTCTGGAAAACGGGTGGAATTTTCTCAAATCGGAGTTCATGGGTACCACAGGCCCAGGATATGATACCAGCGTCACTTTCGAACTTGGGGGTCCAAAAAAAACATGGGAAGACCAAAAATTGGGGAAATGGGATAATCGAAAAAGAAAAAAATCTTTAGATAGAGCAAAGATTTAGATGTAATCCAACACTGGTTTAATTCATTACACCAAAATGACACATGCATTTCCAACTCGAACCTCAAATAGCAGGTGAGAAAGCGATCTGGCCTACTCAAATCGCCCGAATCTCGTGTTGCAAGACGGTAACTCACATCCCCACCCCCCGAACTCAATTCCCATCTAGCTCGCTAAGTTACTCTTGCTCATGCATGAAACTCAAAACGAGCATACTGTTCTGGACGTAAACTCACGCGAGCATGAACCTCTCTCCTGAAACCAGCCAGCTCTCCACACCCCAGGATAAAGCTCTCAACTCTCAGCACTTGCAGCATTCCTCCCAGCGGCGACAGCTCCGAGAGCGACCCCTGCATACTGTTCTGTTCGCACACATCGAACAGGTTCCCCGCCCACCGCAGCAGCCCGACCCCTCCTTTACGAACTCGAAGCGAGGAGCGAGCAGCGAGCAGCCGAGGGAAGCCGACAGACGAGCACGACGACATCTCACCAGTCCCTTCTCTCTCGTCTGGGGAAAGTTTAAACTTTAACAACCAACACCAATACCAACACCATCATGCTCCTTGCTTACAGTACTTATACTTCCGAGACACTACACTACTTGTTACTGTATTAAATAGTTTTTGTTGCAGTACTGTACTAGAGTTGGAGTTGGAGTTGTAGCCGACAGGTCAGATAATCTTCTCAGTTTTGAGGAAGTTTATCTTGCATACTGACTGCATCGGCGCGGCGCGGCGCGGCACGGCTATTGTGTGTTTTCCTTTTTCTTTTCTTTTTTTGCCTTGAAGTTTATTTGGGTTTGTGGCTGGCTACTTTGGTGCGATACTGTAAAGCTTTGGAATAAGGTTTGGTGGGGCTGGGTTAGGAATAGGTAGGGACTTTGGGATTTTGGGATTTTGAGAGAGGAAGAGCTGGTAGACGGCTGGCTGCTGACGGCTGATGACTGATGTCTGGACGAAGTATTGTGAGTGAGATGGAGCAGATGCGAGATCGAACGCGAGGTCGAGGGAGGGCTGTGAGGATTGCAGGTTTGTGATGTTTTCATTGTACGGATATTCAAGCAAGCTACTGTTGGGCGATGTGTTGAGAATTCGACGGATGTCGTACACGTCTCTTGCATTAGGATCTTAAGCGTCACTCTCATGGACTTTCTTCAAGCGATGTTCTCAAAGATATTATTACTGACAACCCCAATAAAGGAGCATCAGGAAGTGCCTCCGACCGCCGTCATGCCTTCGCCTCTCTAGCAGCGAACCACCCCTCCGACCCAATAGATGTGATAATTGGCGACGCAAGTCTTCTCTTTTCCTTTTATCTCATCTCAGCCCATCTTGTCCCACCCCTTTCCTGCCCTTCCCTCCTGAATAGCCAAGCAAACAACCAACTAACCTCCCCCAGTGGATGTCCGAAGCAAACATGACATCCCTAGTCCTCAAGTCCTCTTCAAAATCAACCCAAACAGGCGAAGTAGCCTACGAGCGCACATTCCTCTCCTCCCTCTCCCCTGCTCTCCCAGACATCGCTCGCTACGGCATCAAAGTCGCCGTCAACGCCGGCGGCTCAGATACCCAAGGCTTATTTCGAGAGGTATGTAAGATGGTGCGGAAGAAAGGCTTAGAGAGCAGGGTCAAAGTAGCGTGGATCGAGGGCGATGATGTTCTTCGTGTTGTGAAAGAGAAGCTGAGAGATTCTGAGAATAGGAAAGAAAGAGATGGGAAGGGGAGTAAGTGGCAGAGAATGAGGAATGTGGAGATTAAGGAGGGGAGGTTGAAGGGTTGGAAGGTCTTTGATGCGTGGATGGAGGGTGCGGATGTTGGGGATGAGGTGAGAGCTTTCCTGGATGAGGAGAAAGGGGGTGAGAAAGAGGGAAGTGAGGAGGAAGGGGAGCGAGGAATCGAAGACTTCGAGAATCTTTGCACGGGAGAGAAACTCCGTGACTGGGCATTTAAAGATGACATTATAGGTGCACAAGCCTATCTTGGTGGAATGGGCATTGCGAAAGCTTTTACAGAAGGCGCAGATATTGTGATTTGTGGGAGAGTATCTGATGCGAGTCCGGTTATAGGGGCTGCTGCTTGGTGGCATGGATGGGAGGCGGATGATTTCGACGTCCTTGCGAAAGCGTTCGTTGCTGGCCACATGATCGAATGCTCGACATACGTATGCGGTGGGAATTTCAGCGGATTCAAAGACTTTGAAGCCAATGGCAACGGAGGATGGTTGGACATTGGTTTCCCGATTGCTGAAATTGGGGAGAAGGGGGAAGTGGTTATCACGAAGCAGAAAGGAACGGGAGGGGTTGTCAGCGTGGACACATGCAAAGCTCAGTTGCTGTATGAGATACAAGGACCCTGGTACTTCAACAGCGATGTCACGGCTGTGCTGGACGAGATCAATTTTGAACAGCTAAGTACAGATCGTGTTGCCGTTACAGGCGTAAAAGCTCAACCTCCTCCGCCGACGACTAAAATCGGCATTACTGCGAGAGGTGGATTCCAGGCTGAGGTCCACTATTTTCTTGTCGGACTAGACATTACAACCAAAGCGAAGATGTTGGAAAGACAGATACGGCATGCCTTGGGTGATACGAGCAGGTTCCACGTCCTGAATTTCACATTGAATGGTACGGCGGCGGAGAACCCTTCGGATCAGAATGCGGCAACAGTCGATTTCAGAGTCTTTGCGCAGGCGAGGAATATCAGAGACATTTCGACTGAAAGTTTCCTCAGGCCGGTGATCGACCTGATTATGAGCACGTACCCTGGAGCAACGTTCCATCTCGATATCCGACAAGGTTTTCCAAAACCGGTCCAAGAGTATTATGTAGCTCTATTGCCGCAGTCTGACATTCGCCAGGTTGTGCATATGCAGGACGGAAAGAAACATATGATAGAGCCTCCGAGAAAGACTAATGTTTTTCCCCGGCAGCAGCCGAGTGAGGGATTGACTGCCGTAGCAATGAGGACTTGTAGCGAGACGGTTCGCGGACCTCTAGGCTGGCTCGTTCACGCCAGATCTGGTGATAAAGGGTCTAATGCGAATGTCGGATTTTGGGTAAGACATCAAGATGAGTACGACTGGCTCCGTCTGTTGTTAAGTACGGATACCATGAAGGAGCTCCTTGCGAAAGAATACAACGGGAAGAAAATCGTACGTCGTTTCGAACTTGTAATGTAACCGTATTGACCATTCCAGGACCGTTTTGAGCTACCAAATATTTTGGCCGTCCATTTCCTACTCCATGATCACCTCGATCGAGGAGTTAGTTGCTCAAGCACTTATGACTTTTTGGCGAAGAATGTTGCAGAGTTCCTGAGAAGTCGATATGTCGATCTACCAAAACGATTCTTGAATCGCGGAAAGCTATGACTACGATTGATTGCGAACAGGCTCCAAAGTAATAGCTTTCGTAATTATTTCACTACTGCTTTTCTGATACAAGTGTTGCCTGGTCGCTATCTGCTGGGCTCTCCGCATACGGGTTGTCGAGATCGCTTTTGGCGAGGCCTACCACGAAATCTTGGATGCCCACAGCAATTCGGTATCCAGCCAGTCCCAGTAAGGCGACTATGACTAGGATGAGGTTGATGATAGCCAAGAGGACCAAAGGGATCGTATGCCATAGCTGAACACGCCTGAGAGGACAGCCTTTTGGTTTGGTGCTCTCAGCATCCCCATCAATTTCGAACATGCCAGTCATTATGAACCGGAGAGGGCATTTCTTCGGGCCGGGAGGAGGAACAACAACGGTGTCAGCCGAAGAGGGGCTGGATGAGGAAACCGATTCAGAATCCGTGTCTTTATCTTTCTTGCTCTTCTTGCCTTGCGAAATAATGACATCTGAGTGCCTTCGGGCACGCGAGTTAGCATAGTGCTTTTCTTTTTTAGACGCTGCCATGCTTGGAGTTAGAGGAGCGAACATCTAACGAGCTGCTCAAACATAGGTCATGGCCGTAATATACGTCGAGGAGAGCTCTCCGGTTCGGCATAGACATGACTGCGGGGTTGTCGGGTGATACCACCAGGCGCAATATATAAGACCCGAACTATCAAAAAGTCGCAGTCTGATGATGCCTGAGACAAAGAAAGTCTAACCTAGTGACAACCACAGTTCCGTAAGGCTGTCACACTTTCGCAAGCTTGTTTCAGAGATAAGCCCGTAGTCAAGCAGGCCTTGAATATGCAACCGGGGAAGAAGTATGCGACGTGGCAGCAATTGGCCAATTGTCCACCCACCATTAGAACATTACGAACTCATATATGTTTCAATAGCAGTTCCATCAAGTTCCAGATCTTGAAAGTTGGCACCCCACAATCCGTAGGCTTGCAGCGACCAATGATCGGAATGATATTGTAGAGGTGGTGAGCACTGCTGCAAGCCTTCGATTGGGCTCTCCAACAATAGATGCCCAACCATATGCCTCGCTATTAGTTCAAGGCACAACAGCATCGTTATTTGACAATGGATGATGGTGGATATGAGCTATTGTTCAGTCGGGCCAAATCCCACCTTTCTGCAGGATAACAATTGGCTTGTAGAGCCGAAGCGCTAGTAAGGAAGAAGAGAAAGTGGCTTCATTGCTGATTGACCAGACTATGGAATACGCGCAAGCTTTCAAAATGTGAGTAATGCCTGTAAGTAGCTCCTGGAGCTGGGCAAGCTCTGAATGTGACCAGCTTGGTCATCATTGTCAAGAAAGCACTCGGCCATAGTCAGCGGGACAGTCTCATAATGACAACATGTCATGGCTCAACTATGAAAGCAGAAATACAATAGCTTTGCACAGATTTGAAGGATAGTGTTGATAACCTGAATGTGGTAACAAGATACTAGGTAAGAAGGAGAAGCGGAAGATTGTTTTGTTTTTGCTTGCGGGGGGATGCGATGGAGCTCAGACCAGCAGCAGGTCCTTGCTTCGACATGTCAGGGACGTCAGGACGTCACTGAGAGCTTCCGCTTGCTCCAGCTTCAACAACCCCTCACGAGCACCAATATTCTCCACGGTCGCAGACGGTACACGACAACGCATTCAACTTAAGGCTCGCTCCCGACTGGAGCATCTGTAGCTTGTAATGGTACTTCAAAATGCCTCGGACTCGGCCGGGCAGGATACGTTCCAGGACAGCGCACCTTCATCAGACAACGACCCCTACGCCAGCTTGAACTCGAGCCCGAATTCCGACGAGCAGAGTTTAGCCTCGACATATCACGTCGACGTGAGCAAGCTCCCTAAACCTCTGCCATGGATTGGCTCACTGGCCGGGTATAATGAGCAGCTGCTATCGAAGGCTCTTACCAAGAAGATCGCGCATAGCTCACAAATACTTCAACGGCCACTTTCACAAGAGGAAGTCGACGCATTTGCGTTTTGGACTGCGAAGCAAGTGTCGATACTATCTTATGGGGTTCCATTTGGGGTCGGGGGAGGGCTATGGAGATGTTGGAGCACCGCGGACACTTTTCGCATGCCGTTCTACAGACCGAATGCGGAGACATTCAATCCGCAAGTCTTCCCTCCAAGAATTGCTATATTGAAGGGCAACAACGCGGTCATGGCGTGGCATGCTTGCAGGGCTGTCTTGTATGGTGGAATGGGAAATATGCTTGGACAACTGTTCTTCGGTTCATATTCTATGAGCGTTGCAACTGTCGGGGAGATGGGAGACAAGAGACTAAAGCCGTTTATTGACGCAGTTAAGGCACAGGCAGCTAAGCAGAGAGGCTCGCTACCCCAAACATCAGGCCAGCCTGGAATAGGACAGCAGCCCGATTTTGGCACTCAAAGTAGAGACGATGCAAGCCCAGGAACCATACCAATGGGAGAGCGAAGTCCGGATGCAAGCTGGGAAAGCATGAGCGAAAAGAAGCAGCCAGAAGTACAAGCACAGCCAAAACGATGGCCCCAAGCAAGACCTATGCCAACACCGCCGCCCGTGGAGGAGAGCTCTGATCAACCTTTCGGCATATTTGACGATGCCTCACCAACAGGCGGACAAGGCGTACAAGCAGATATAAGAGCTGCTCCAGTTACATCACAAGGTGGCTCGGCGTGGGATAGGATACGGAGAGGCGAACAGTCTAGTGGCCAGAGATCTCCCAATTCTGGTTCTCAGCAAGCACAGAATCAGAATGCATGGTCGAGGTTGCAGAAGGATAGTACAACCACCAGTGACGGTTATTCGTACTCTAAGACAGAGGAGACGAACTTAGCGAAGGGGGAGGCACAGAAAGACTTTGATGCCAGAGTCGAGCGTGAGCGAAGTGGTGGAGATTTCGCGAAAGGGAATGGAGATCAAAGGCGATGGTAGTTCGGAGTATGTACATTACATGTCGATATTTAAGTGAATGGCATATGGCTGGCGTCTAGGGTCTGGCAATGAAAATTCAGTGGTCTGTTCCCTCTCCAAGTCTCTCCCCTGCGCATGACAGTTTTGATTGCTTTTCGTTCCAGCTTAGAGCCAGCAAACCCACCAATCGACATCAAACATCCTAACCTTCCAATCTTTCCAAACATAATCCTCAGCTCTTTCACCAGTAGAGAGCTCAAGCACCTACACGACAGCCACAGCAACACCGACTAACAACATCTGTACGAGCACCCAGCCCGGCGATCAGATGGACTGTCAGGACGAGAGTCGACTGTCGTTTAGATTTCGTGAGTGGGGGATTGAAGTTTCCTGGTCACCGATAAAAGCCAACTTCAATGTGAAAGGGAGAGGAACACCTCAGTTCTCGGTGCCGATAGATCATCGAGGCATTTTGAAACGGTGCAAGGTCTGGCTGTCCAAGCCAACTTGTCACTAGTAGTGAGTTGATGGACAGTGGCTCGCTTAGAGTCTACTAAAATTGTGAGCAACGTGCAAGGCAGTGCTTCTCTTACGAGAACTTATAATACTTGAGGCCATTGAATATAAGCCGACTCAGACAAGAAGAGAAAATCGATGCTGCCTGGAGGAGGACAGCTGATTAATTATATCGTCTCATTCTTCAACGAGCAGGCTCAACTAGAGTTGTAGTCTTCTTTCGTTTCTCACATTTTATTGGCTGAAGAGGTGCGGCTGAGATACAGTACTCACAAGAGAGAAGTCCAGCTTCTCTTTCCTTTAAGCAACGCATCCAACAATCATTTCCGACACAGGTCATCTTAGTATCATTTTCGATAGTCGAGTCAGACCTCACAGGGGCAAGATGGATCCTATTAGTATAGCCTCGTCTGCTTCAACGTTAGCAGCGTTCGCCTTCCGCACTTCAAAGGATATCTACCAGGCTGTAGATAGCATCAAGAATGCCGACGCTACGCTGTTGCAGTGAGTACATTCTAGTATTGGGGCATGGTTATTCATTTTGTTGGTTTTCATCTCCATGACTCGACGTTGACATGTTCAGGCTGCAGAGCGAAGTGGATGCGTTGCAGGCTGGTCTTGAGGGTATCTCGACGACATTTCAAAGCAGTGAGGTCGTTCAAACGTTTGCAAGGTAAGTGTTTGGGAAGAATCATCAAACATGGGATGGTGATGTATGGGAAATTTCGCTTAGAGACTTTGGTGGTACAAGATACAGACCGAGACACCACCAAGGGCCACTAATTGAGGGACTTATAAATCGCAACTACACTACGTTTAGGAACCAATATTGACACTTGCTGTAAAACAGCCAAAACAGCTCAAATTCTCAATCCACGAAGCTTTTGACAAGTATGAAACCACTTCTAAGCGATTGCGAAGCAACACTCAAGAGATTGCATTGCATGCTCGCACGGATGGACAAACCAGGGTGGTTTCGAAAACCAATCAAGGCACTAAATATTTCACTGAAGACTGGGGACATTGATTCAATACGGCACCAAGTACGGAGTTACAGCAGCGCCATGCAGATGACTCTACAAATGGTTGCCATGTGAGTACAATCCAAGGAATCTGCTTCCAATATTATCCATCTCTTGCCAATCGTCGGGACTGGGCTTCAATCTGAGCACAGTCAATGCCTTAGTCTTTACATGTATGCTGACGGTTTCACAGTTGCCTCTCGATTGATGGGAATAATCAAGTAGACATCCTAGGAGATAGACTAGGTCAGCAGCTAGAAGATCTCGCTGTTCAAATCACAGATATCCAAGTAAAGGTGTCAAAATCGAACCAAGATCTCAGCGGGGGCACCACTGCGGCCGAAGATATTAACGGTAAAAGTCACATGAAGCACATTGAAGAGCACATTCAGACTGCCGAGATCATATTATCAAATGCCAGTGCATATTCTAAAAGTGTTTCTGCAACTGTCGTTGGACATGGTGCTGACGTTGCTAATCTTACTGGGGCGTTCGGATCCGTCTTGGGAATGGACGATGTGCAGAGACATAGAGTAAAGGATTGGTTACCAAGAGAAGGGGTACCTAGTGGTAGGCTTCTGACCTCGACATCTGATCAGCTGAAGCTCACTGAGGAATTCTGCAGATGACGATTCAGACGATGACGACACGGACAAGGATCTGTTTCTTGCAAGAGTAAAGGTAGCGCAAAAGAGGCTTGTGGCTAAAGAATACGAAGCAGCACAGTCCCAGTTCGAAGCATGTCTATCTAATAAGCCAATCATCGAATCACTGCCCCTCCATGAACTGGTAGAGCTCAGACTTGATCTGGCTGAAGCTTGCCGAGGAGCTGGAAACGCCAAGAAACAACAAGACATAATCAACCAGTTACTGACTCTAGAGCTGCCGAAGTTTCAAGAATTACACATCAAACACACTCTGGCCGTAGCCTATTTTGGTGATTTTCGGCTGGAGGAAGCACGAGAGTCTGCGGAAGAGGCTAGGAAAGGACGAAAAAAGCATCTAGGACGACAGCACGAGTCGTATTTAGAGACACTGGCTCTTCTTGTTACTATATGTAAAGCACAAGGTGACAACGATACTGCCGATGTGTACCAGGATCTGCTCCCTCCAGATTATCATAACATAATTGTAAGTCTGTTAAACAAGCCCTTGTTATGCCTTTGACCCGAGTTGCTCCATCGCAGGCTCGATGTTTTCTATGATTGTGGGATTCTTGAACTTCTTGCATCTGCTTTAGATTGAGCTGAAAGCTGGGTGACGCGACCTTCTGAACTAACTCGGCGATTCTTTAGGAAGCCCAGCCAAAGGTACTGAGAGAGGCTGATCGTCCAGTCCCTGATCAAAATAACCACGAAATAAGATGGCTGTCTGACAAGGAATACGATATCAAGAACAAGAAGACATATTTCGAAGCTCTGCAATACGCTAAGAATGAACGAAAACTGCCCATCGTCCGTTTCCTGCTGCAGTATAGCACGGACTTCACCGCAAAAGACAAGGACGGTAAGACAATGCTCACTTATGCCTGCGAGAACGGATTCGCCGATATCGCTGAAAAACTGCTCAACCAAGGAGCCGATATCAAGGTTCTTAGTGGCGAGGGAAGGAGTCTGTTATTTTATGCCCTGGACCACAAAGCAGTTCTCAAATTGCTGTTTGATCGCGGGGCAGGAATAGACTGGGCGGACTCCCTTGACTTCCTTCTCTTCGTCGGCGTGCTACACAGAGCTGTCGAATCTGTGGAATTCTTACTTGATAATGGAGCCGACTTTAACTACCGCGGAACTCACTTTGAGACCCCTCTTCAGTCGGCGGCGAGGATAGGTCACTTTGCTCTTGTGCGTCTGGTGCTGGATAGAGGAGCGCAGATAGACCTTACAACTCGATTAGCCATCTACACACCTCTGATGTATGCTACACGAGAAGGTCATGTGGAGGTTATGCGGTTACTCCTGAGTCGAGGTGCTGATACGACGATTAAGACCAGCGGCGCGAATACGACTGCGTTCGATTTGGCACAACTGTGGAAAATCAGGAATCCTGAAGTCCCTAAATTGCTGAAAGAGGCGCAAAATTGAGTATTCACCCCCTGATAGGCACTAAGATATCAGCGGATTTAAATATGGATTAGCTCCGTATTCCAACTCCGTGATCAATTGCTAACATGCCCATCTCTTGAGAGGGTTTGGTGAACATTGTGACCTATCGTGTTTCAAGGGGGCTTTTGGGATTGCCTTGTTATGAAAGCGAGTACTTGGGCAGCCGGGATCGAGTGGCATAATTGAACCAGTATACTTCAACTGTGCTGTGTACTCAAGGGCCGTCTGTACAATTTCTCGCAAGCCCTCATCTGATCTTGAAGCTTTGCTCGACTATGTTCTGGCTGTCAAGTGCCTCACCATACATAATCCCATTCATGAAGCATTCTCCCACGAGTCGATAGTATTCCCCGTCTTCTCTTAGAAGGAATGGTACTATGCCACCTTTGAGTATACAAACCAGGTCTCCAGGTCGAGTTCCAAACGGCACCTGGCCAAGATCACCTCCCGCAGTCGCACAAATGCTCCTCCCTGAACAGAACGAAGCAAATGAATTCATGATCTCCTCCATCCTAACCCCGACCGGCTTCGACTTCTCTAGCTCTAGCTGGAGAGCTCGAAGCTCGTCAGGGTCCTCTGGTATGGGCTGTAGCACATATGTCTGCATCGTTTTTATCGTCCACTGGTGAACTTGATGAGCACGATCAATGTTGGCTCTCTCGTCTGTCATGAGGAGGTCACAACACATAGTCCTTGCCAACTCTTTCTCTCGGGCGAGCCCGTCTGGGTATTTGTGTGCAGACTTGGCAATCTCAAGGCAGTCCATGAGTACAGCCGCCTGCCATACTGCGCGTTCTTGGTCTTCGTTTTTGGTCAACCAGATGAGAGGCCCAGTCTGAGATCTGACTGCCTTTGGTATGGCTGGTGGGACTTCTGGCGCTATAATAGCAATACTGTCCACAATGTATCCTTCTACTGTGAGCACCTTTTTGTCATCAGATACAGTGATCAGTGCCTGCGTGTTCCCTGATGCTCTGAAGTGGTCTTGTCCGTGAAGTGCTAAACAGGCACTGCCAATATCTTGGTAATCTGCAACCCAAGATTGCGACTGACCAGTCGAAGCTCTAATACCTGCGTTAGACAGACATAGAAGATTTAGGCGCACAGTCAGATTGTACAAAGCAAGAGTCTCCCAGACTCTGAATGGCTGATCTTCTAGGGAGTAATCGACCCGAACTCCCACATCTTCAGAATCCGATGCCAAATTCATAAGCGCAAAGACCTTGTCCACCTCTTTCGTCGCCTTGTAACCGCTTGTCTTGACGAGAAGCTGAATAAGATCGATGCCCTTCCCTTCTTTGAGATCTGCCATGGCGTTGATAGAAACAATCCCAGGCGCCGACATAGTAAATTCCAAATTTCCAATACAGCCACCTTTCTGTACACTCCGTGCGAAATTCCTAACAATTTCCCAATCTACGGTTGCTGAACCGCATGCCAATATAGCTTTCCTTGCCTTAACGACCTCCTGAATTATCCAAATTCTCTCGAAGTATGGCTTGGCAAAAACTCGTGATAGCCGAATCCAATCCACTGTTTGAGTGTACGGTAGTCCATAACCTGGGCATGGGAAGCCGGTAGGCCCGGTAAGCTGGAAGTCCAGCTCCACGAGGCCGTGCTCATCAAAAACTTCTTGGATCTGCTTGAGAAGGGCGAAAGCTGCACTTTCAGTGGATATCCCATCGATACTGATTTCCTCTCCAAGCCACATGATCACCAAGTCGGCGTTTCGATAGATGTCAGCCATCATATTGACCTGAGTCGTACGTTCTTTGGAATCTCTTTGATTTATACAAATAGCATCAATCCATACTATTCGTGCCGTTTCACTATTGTGTCGAAGGTGCTTCAGGGCGCCATGAAGGTTCGCTGTGACAGGATAAGACTCATAACTGATTATGATATCAAATTCAAAGTCTTGACTGCCCCAAGTATAAGAAAGTGCCTCGTACTTTTCCGCACAAGACGTCAGTGTTACAACTTGAAGTTCGCATACGATATCTCGTCCTGTTCCTGGCAGGATGTTAAGAAGTCGAATTTGCCCTTGATCAAGTGGTTCGAACATGTTGAAGCTCAAATATGAATTGTACCTAGCACACAATACAGCTTCCGAACTGTTTCAGATCTCGGTTTGGGCAGCAGCCCGGCGGATAAGTAGACGTCTTTGTGGAGCTTGGCGCTAATGGTCTTGGAAATTTCGCAAAACATGCTTGACAACCACAAGGCTGACTTTTCATGCAAGGCTGCGAATATAGCATCTGTGTTGCAAGCTTTAATACTCAGCAGCATTCTCGAAGAAAAAAAATGGTTTTGCTATTCTCACAGGTAACGAGTATTGACGACAACGTGAAAGGAAATCCCGGAAATCATCGGAACCCGAAACCCACACTCATTGAACATTGAAAGTACCAACAAAGAATGGGAGGAAGGCAAATGTCACATTTAGGTGTCGTTTGCATGACTGGGTTCAGATAGAGGAAAGAAGGTGCTTCCGTGAAATACATTACATCGGGAGAAATAGATTCATACGCGCGAATAGGAGAATACTAGCGAGGAGACTGAACATTGCGGCCTTCATACGTACCTGAGAGAACAAGGGCCGAGTCAGAGGGGCCAGATTTGCACAGTCTTATATGTATCAAATTCTGTCTTGGCTGGGAGGAGATAACGAAGATATCTGATATAACTTAATCTCATCGACTCGTTAGCAATGGTATATCGAGAGAGGAATGACCAATGAGAAAGTTTATCAAATTCGCCCACTCATCCAAGGAAAGTCAGTTATGCTCATTGCTACCTAATAATAAAGGGTAATTTCGCGACAGCTTGTATGGAAACTGCGTAGTGGAAGGTGCTTGCAACTGCTTGGAGTGAATGCACGAGGAGGCCAGCTTACCTGCCGTGCGCTAATGACATAGTCTTGGTGGCATCCAATTCAATTAGATAGCCCCTTGTAATACAAAGATGTACCTGGATCATGAATGGTGGTTCATGGAGTTCGAGAGGCCCTCTGATACGAAATTTGGTGGAGGATGAAGTGTAAGATTGGAATTCTGGCTCAGATGTCACTGTTGGATGGATCGAAGTTCTCGTAGCGCTAGCAAACGATTGGTCGCATAGCTTAAGTGGGGCCGCGTTTGGCGTGTCTGCGTTCTTACAGTTGAGTTGAGCTTCTTGTGCTTCTTCAACAGCGTCGTCTTATCCTTAGCAAAATGGCCGATAGCAGCAGGACTTATCGAGACAGCGATCGCGGACGAGATGAGAGATCTCGTTCACCCCGGAGACATCATTCGCATTCGCACCGTGCACGTTCTCCTCATAGGCATCATCACAAGCGCAAACGCTCGCCAGATGCGCGACCTAAAGAGCTCCCATTCAACTCTAGAGAGTTAGGAAAACGAGATTACGATGCGTTTAGACCGATGTTTGCGACATATCTCGACATACAAAAGCAGAAGATATTGGAGGATATGGACGAAACTGAAGTGAGGGGTAGATGGAAGTCCTTCATAGGCAAATGGTAATGATTCCCTGGGATCCAGCCTCAAAAGAGAGAGTACCTTGACTAACTTGTGGAGGAATCGTGGGGAGCTATCAGAGGGGTGGTATGATCCTTCTACATTCCAAAGAGCTGTCGAATCAGCTGCCGAGTATGAATCGAAGCGCCGCGCGGAGCGACCAAAACCCAAAAGAGTATCAGTCGAAAGGCAAAGCTCTAAACAATCTGCGACAGAAGTTGTAGAAGAAGACAGCGATAGCGACGATTCCATAGGACCTGCGTTACCGGGACAAGAGAGCAGGTCGAGAGGAAGGAGGAAGGGCCCAAGTATACCCAACATACAAGACTTAGAGCTCAAAAGAGGTAAGATCTTACGACCATCTTGCGATTCGACTTTGATTTAACACGACTACAGAAATGGACGCCGAAGATGGCCTTGCTCGAAGAGATGATATAAGGTTTGCTCGCAAGGTCGACCGAAAGGAGCAGAAGGCAGCTCTAGATGAGCTTGTGCCACGAGCCGAAGCAGGCACGCGGGAGCGTCAATTGGAGAAGAAGAAAGAAGTCAATGAGAAAATGAAATCGTTCAGGGAAAAGTCCCCAGGCGCGGCCGAAGTTCCGGATACTGAATTAATGGGTGGAGGGGATGGGATCGAGAGCTTCAAGCAGGAGAAGGAGAAATATGAGCGGAAGAAGAATGAGAGAGAGTTACGAAAGGAAGAAATGCTGAGAGCAAGGATGGCGGAAAGAGAGGAGAGGCTGCAAGAATACCGGACTAAGGAAGAAGGTACCATGGCTATGCTGAAAGCATTAGCCAAACAGAATTTTGGATGAAGCTCTTTTTAGGATATTAAGTTATGAACGATATATAGTAGCCTTGGGGTGCCATGGCACTACATCTTTTCCATAACGGGTTGCTCGATATCTAGCGACGAATCTGGAAAACGACTTCTTGCCTGGAATGATGAAGCCATTCTTTAATACAGTTAAAGGAAGGAGTATTCGCTTCAGTTGATCAGATGTGAGTGAGCTATGGGCCAATATATCTTGATCAACATTGTGACGTGCCTAAACCGTGGTCTTCAGCCTCGCCTCGTAGCCTTGCATGAAAGTGTGGGACTAAATTTCACTCCCAAGCACCCTCCATCAGCAGCGATTTCCCAGATAGTTGATTTCGAATGGTCCCAAAGCCGCAAGTTTTGTTACAAAATTGATGACACAATTTATGCTGGGATGAATTGAGCAGAATCTTCCTTGAGCTGAGGAAGCTTGGAGTCAGTAACTTACATCGCAGCGGGGAGTAAATATGGAATCGTTACGGCAAAGGGCCCTCTGGGGCAGCACGAGGGTATATGTGTGTTCAACACGACAGTCTTTGGGAGGCTATGCATGCCGGAGGAATCTCAGCCAAAGCACAACTCTGAAAGCCGCGAAATTGTCGAAAGGAAAGCCAAAGCCTCCAAAGCCTCAGAAGCCTCAGAAGCCCTCTCCCGCGACAACACCCAAGAAGCATAATGAATACAAGTCAGAAAAGCTCTCTTACATTAATGCTATCAAGTAGCTAATGTTATCAAAGGCCGCACACTCCCAAGTCTGCCATTTCGAAGCCCAGTCCTCAAACCTCGGCCGTCAAGCCCAATACGAATCCGAACCCTTTCAAGCACCGGATTATCCCCATGTTCTTCGGGGGAATCGCTCTAGCATGTTTCTCAGGTGGATTAGCATATCTGTATATCATGTTCAACCAGGAAGGAGATGGGCCGAGCAAGACAACACCTGATGAGCAAGAAGATGTCTCGAAACGGTACGATCAAATCGCGAGGACATTCGACGACACAGTAGACTCTACTGAGTCAATGATGGGCATATCTTCTCTGCGACAGAAACTAGTATCGCAGGCTGTAGGCGACGTCCTTGAAGTATCCATAGGGACAGGCCGGAATTTAGAATTCTACTCGTTCGATTTCAAGGGCTATCAAGGCGTGGGGAAGGTTGATGAAAAGGGACTTATCAAGAAAGGAAAGGTTAGGAGTCTCACGGCCGTGGATAAGAGTGGAGAGATGCTGGAGATTGCTCATGAGAAATTTGGGAAGATGTTTCCTGGCATTCTTGGGGTGAGATGGGTCATAGCCGATGCGGCTGAGAAAGGAGCGATTCCTGGACCGCCGAGAAGTGCTAGTGAGCGGAGTGGGAATCTGGAGAAGAAATACGATACTGTGGTGCAGACTATGGGTCTGTGCTCTGTGAGTGATCCGGTCGCGCTGTTGAGGAACCTAGGGGAGTGTGTGAAAGAGGATGAGGGGAGGATATTGCTTTTAGAGCATGGGAGAGGAAAGTGGGAATGGCTGAACAAGTACCTGGATAGGTCCGCTGAGGGTCATGCAAAGCTGTATGGATGTTGGTGGAATAGAGACATGCGGACAATTGTCGAGGAGAGCGGATTGGAGGTCGTCAAGATCGAGACGCCAAAATGGTGGCATGGCGGCACCACTTGGTGGATCGAATTGAAAAAGCCAAAGACTAAAGCAAGTCCCTCGGCCTCCCAAGCAAATGAGAAGACGAAGTCGGCTTTGCCAGAAGTTGAAGCAAACAGGAAGGAAGAGCCGGTGGCCAAATCAAAGAAGGGCTGGTGGTAGACCTTTCTAGCTGTAAAACAAGCGTATTCTAATGAATTGGTTCTTAGAAAAGCTTGTCAGCCAATAATATGTATTCATCGTAGAACTCTTCGTTCTGCTGTCCAATCCATGAGGCTATCTCACCACTAAGGTACGTATAAGTCACCAGTGCCGTCAAGTTACTACCATAACAATCTCTGTCAGGGCGAATTGCCAATTCATGAATAGATGCGAGTGTTCAACGAGCATAAAGGTGGTAAACAAGCGAGGGTGGATCGACCTCAGGTAAACAAAGCTCGCTTGCATGGTTTACGCCAAATTCCAAGGTGTTGGAAAAGCCACGACTTCGAAAAAGATGGAATTTAACAGCATTTACGAAGGAATCAAATCAAATGCTGGTGACTAAATAATGAACGCGAAAGAGAGTTGACCGCCTGAGTAACTCATTCCTCCTCCTCAGCCGCGTTCGCTGAGAGTGACTTTTTTTTTCCAATCGATTGCAGAGTTTGCAAGGAGCGAAGATTTGTTCAATTCAGCCGCTGAACTTAGTAGATCGAGCGGGTCAATTAGAATATATTCCTGAAGTCTTATACAACCTCTAGGGATCCTACAAAAGCGAGCTAGACAACCTAACACGATACTTGAGAGGGAATTCTGGATTACTCTAAAGTGTTGTATCCCAGTGTTTTACTAAAGTTTGCTCCCCTTCCTCAACTCATCCTCCAGTATCAAGCCAGGCACTCCCCCTCGACTCCCATCCATAGTAACACAATCATCGACGCACTCCGCCGGCCATTTCCACTTCTCCTTGAACTCCTCAGGACACTTGCCCTCCACGCAATCCACAATCCGATCGCCAATAACAGGCAGGAATTTATACCCATGGCCACTCCCTCCTGTTGCTAAGAATAGCCCTTCATAGTCAGGGTGATACGTGATGATGAAATCTCCATTCGGTGTATCCGTGTACCAGCAAATCTTGCTCTTGGTAAATGGCCGTTCGGCGAGTGAGGGGATCATTTCTCGCAGGGCTTTGCGACATGCTCTCTCGCCTTCTTGAGGAACCCAGAGGTTTGGGTCGTCGTGGGTAGTTTTAGGTAGCGAAACAGAGATTTTCTCAGATGGGTCATCTGGAGATGGTATTGACTTAGGATTCGAAAGCCCATACCCGTGCCGCGCTACTTTGAGAACCCGGTTTGAAGGAGGAATGATGAACATGCCTGTACTCATATTGAGTAATACAGGACACTTGGAGAGCTTCTCCTGCTCTTCTGCGGTGAGGTCAAGGTAGCAAAGTACTTGTCCAGTAGCCTGAGCGCGTCCTCGGAGATCAACCAGTTTCCCAGACCAAGCTCCTGTCGCTAGAATAACCAAATCCGCACTCTCTACCTTCCCAGATGCCAATTTGGCACCTGTAACTCTCCTGCCATCTTTGACAAGGGAGACTACCTCGCCCTGTTTGAAAACCACTCTCCCGGTAGCTTCGACTTTCTTCCTAAGCCAGAGCATACCAGCTTCGGCATCTGCCCATCCACTCCTCCGATTGATATATCCCCAATCCCCACTTCCTCCCCCGGCCCCAACAGCCTCTTCGATCTCAGCTCTTCGCTTGAATTCCTGCACGGCACCTTCATCACCAAGATCTTTCGCTATCCTAGCAACGTTATCCAGACTCCCCCTCACATACTCCTCTCCCTGCTCGCCCTTATTCGCTACTAACACCAATCCACTTTCCGTGTATCTGCCCTCCCCGCCGAGATCATTCGGTCCTTGCTGTCGCCAGATCTTCTGCGCTTCTTCTGCGAGAGCTGCGTATGCGGCGTCGTGGTAGTCGGCTCGGATTATGCGGGATGAGTCGATGGAGGAGCCGTCGGGAGAGGGGAAGGGAGAACGGTCGAGGAGGGTGATGCTTGTGTTTGCGAAGGAGGGACGGAGAGAGAGTGCGTATGCTGTGGATAGTCCGAATACACCGTGGCCTAGGATAAGGATAGATTTGGGGTGAGGAGATGCAGCCATTGTATGGAAATGTGCCAAGTGGAAGTAGAGAGATCACTTATGCAAGACTACCTGAGCCCAGGCTCAAAGAGGGGAGAGAATATTTAGACAGAGGGGAAAGAACAATGTCTGCGATGAATATCCAGAGAAAGGGGAAGAAACTTGCGAATATGACTCAAACCACAGATGTACCAAAGAAAATGAGCTGATGCCGATGGCAAAATACTTACCGTGCATGGTGGGTTGAGGGGTGGGGGAGTTGATATTCCGTTTGTGAGATAGCGGGCTGTTGGAAGTCGAGGAAAAGCGCCCCGAAAGATCTTGGCGCCAGGATGTCAAGCCCCGAATATGGTCCCGTGCCGGCGAAGAGCCGAACAACAACAACATTCGGTCGGGTATCGTTGAGACTCAAGATAGAGTCGGCCCTTGGGTAGCGAGTTTGGTTTCTCTGTCAAGAGGCTTGGATGTCACTTTCTGAAATCTGCAGATCTGGCAGTGTAGCGCTGTTCTCCTCCGATTTTTCTTTCTGTAGCAGGCTCACTTTCACGGCATCAGACTCGCCTAACCTGACCTCTTGTCACGAAGTAAACACGACACTGTGAAAACACAGATGAATCTCGGGAGCAAAGTAAAGTGAGCCGTTGCCATCTTCGATTTGATGGAGTTTGGGTAGAAACTCAATCAGCCAATTCTAGTTTCTACTACCACGAAGACCAAGCTTCGAATCGAGACAGTCTGAGGATAAGCCCTGAATTTCTCACCAATTTGTTGATTCTCTGAGCATGGAAGCTAATTATTCAACCGTTCCCTCAACATGTAATTATAGCCTGATCAACACTTAGTCATTACACGAATGTCTCTTCATATTCTTGATCTTACGACCTAATATGTCATGTAGATCTAACACACTCCCTGCCCTTTTTCCGTGGTCGCCTCCACCGCATAATCAAACAGCCCAAGTCATCATGACCTATCGAGCTTTCTGCTTTATCCTAGCTCGATTGTATCCTCGCTTCCCCTCCAGCAAGACAATCTTTTGAACGACATCCTGCGCTTAACATTGGAGACTCTCCATGAGCATTCGAGAGTGCTACTTCTGGATGGGATTTTCTGCCTCCGCTTCAGACGCAGGATGTTGGGATAGTAAGAGACGAGGCGGTCCATCCATTAACCTATACTGTATTTGCGGCAACGAAGTGGCCAGTTTAACTTCGATATATAGGGCGGCGAAGACAATGATTTTAAGGGCAAAAGGACCGAGGTTTTGCTGGTGGAGAGGGTGAGGGACCGAATGAGAAATGCGGAGTTAGTTGATGACGACGGGGGTTAGAAATGCTAAAGACATTTTTGACTTGGCTGGGGCTGGTAGAAAATATTGTGAAGTGAATGGTGAGTAGCAATTCCGGATTAGGAAAGACTCTTGAAAATCAGACTCTGGCTGTTTTCAATGTAACATATCCAATATGAACATTGAAACAAGTACACAGAGCTATAGGTAGGGTCCGACAGGATAGGACATAGGGGACTCCATCCAGAGCGATTAAGGACGTGGAGACTTGATGTCAGAAAGAGCATGTAAGCCTCAGATTTGTGCCAAGGAATAGGCTACAAACCGCAAAGAAATCTAAGAAGACGACCATGAAAAACGGTTAAAAGTAAGAAATTTCCCAAAGTTTTGTAGTTGAAGGTCTCCTGAAGGCAAGTAAGGATCCACACCGACTGAGGAGTTTCCTACGTGTACAGCCAGAAGACGAAGGATGTTCAAAGTAGAGGGCTTCTGCTAACTACGCATGGAGCTAAATAGCACTTGCTCTTGTGGTATTTCTAGAGTCGGGCTTCTGTGGTGTCAAGTTCAAGAGAAGGGGAATCTCGACGAAGAGAGCTTTGTCTGTTGACTGCGCTTATAGCTGAATCTCAGCTCTGCCTACTCTGGCGCAGCCTTGAAACTCTCACTTGATGTCCCGTACATGATTAGCTGAGCTTGCCATGACCATAAGGATCTGGTTTAGCAGTGGAAAGTAGTCTCATGCAGCGTTGTCTTCCAGAAAATATTTGATCGAGAGTCCTGATCTGCGATTAGGAGCTGAAAATTCTGCGAGCCGCCATGAATCTGGACGAAGCCGACCTCGGACGTGTAAATCATGATGAGTCCATCCTAACAGCTGTGAAAAATCAGGCTGTCATCGTCTCCACTTGGAGTCGAGTCGCTGATTTCAATGCAGAAGGCTGCAATTCGGACCATTCGATCAGCCTTGACTAACCCCACCGAGGGGTTGTTCTCGCATAATGGCGCAGCCTGGGGTGCCGTGACAACCAGGCTTTGAATATGCAAGCGGAGCCGGAATCGTGATTCCATCTCTCTGAGGTAGTACAGCCTCGTGAAAAGAAGACGTGGCTTTTGCAACCGTACTCAGCTGAGCCGAGGGTACTTCAAAGTCGTCAGACTCGGCCAAGACACTCAAAATGGCGCATAGAAGAAAAGGACGATCATAGTAGCCATTTCCCTTCGGATCCCAATCTCAAAGGCCAGCCTCATCTCATTGTGGATGTACTCGGTAACCAGGATGGCCAGAGCCTGACATGTGATGACGGCTAGCCGGTGAGCCAGCGCTTGTGGGCGGCCTACTGTAGCAGCCACCAGTTGAAGCGGACAATGGAATGGCCTCATCGCAACTTCATTGGCGTCACCACCTGCACCTCGAAACACATCCATTTTCAATCCAGACGGCGGGGTGTTGTAAAAAAATGTTGCCGTTAGGAACGATAAAGTGAGGGGTATTTATGGCATGACCTCGGAAGAGAGATAGAGTCTGCAATTGGATTTTCTTTGGTGGGGTAGGATGTCGCGATCTGGGCGACTAGTGGGTACCAATTTGGAGCCGCTGGATCGAAGATAAAGATGGGGTGGTGCAGGTGGTGGTGGTGGTGTTTTGCTGACACTCGGCGGTGGTTGGAGTTTCCGTTAGTGGATAGTGGAGAGTCGTCGCAATCTGTGGCCACGATATTAATAAGATGCCGTAAATAATAACACGATAAGTAAGAACAGCAAGAAAGGCCCGGATGAAAATCGGAATGGCCTCATGAAAGTTTCCCTCCTTCCGTATCCCTGGCCTCGTATCGTATCGCATCGCATATCGAGTCGAGTCAAGGAATGAATGGGTATTCTTCGTTTGCTGTTGCTGTTGCTGTGGCGCACTGCTGTTTTAGGCAACGCAGCCTTGAGGCTTTAGACTTTCGATAAAGTCTTCTTTGGTCTCGCTTTGGCGTTGGTTCGTCGGTATCGGGCTTGTCTCGCTGGGCCGGCAGGAAGCAGGGGAGGCAGGGGAGGCAGGGGAGGCAGGCAGGCAGGCTGGGGGATGAAAATGCTTGGGTTTGTGGTATCCCTGTCCATGTCTCATCAGCTCCTCCTTTCCTCCTTTCCTCCTTGCATCGGCATTATTATTGGGCATTGGATACGGAGTCCTGTCGCGGGCAGGCAGGCCAGGCATGGAGTTTGGGAGTGCAGCACTGTGAGTCATTATTCCCACCGCCTGTTCTCCTGCCCTCCCACAGGCTCTTACAGGCTCTCACAGCCCTGCCGCTCGCTACGCCTAGAAGTATGCGCTGCAATGCATAACATGCGCGGACTTATGCAGCCCGCTCGGCGCGCGCATTCTGTCATATCGTCCCCAGTCCATCCATACTTCTCAGCCTTCTCTTCATGCGTAGGTCAAAGAGTGATACTGTATGATACGGTATGGGATGATGTGTAGTGAGTTATCTTGACTTATCGCATCCGCAGTGTCGTGTTGCGAATCGAGTCAGGCACTCAGGCCGGCAAGCGCCTGGTTTGTCGCTACGGCCGTGGTCGGAATAAGGAATGTTCGAAGGCGAAGGCGAAAGCGTCGTAAAGGGGGTTCGATGTCGATGACAGGTGTTCTCTTTGTTCGAGAACGGAGGGAAGAGGGAAGAGGGGAGCATGAGCTTGACGGAGCACTTTCTCCCTCTTTTTCTTCGTGTTGTTTGTTGTCTGTAATCTCCCAGCCACAGGCACTGGGTATGGCAACATTCACGCTGTGTACAAGTATTGTTATCGAGGAGCGGTGGGAGTGAGTCGACATCGCACCGACATCATTGAATAACAAGATAAGGTTGGTGATCAGAGTTTGCCGTCATCGTCCTTCTTTCGCAGAGAAGTCGCGATGGTTTCTGGAAGATCTGGTCTTGTTTCTCGTTCCCCCCTTTTCTCCCCTATCGTTGCGCACTGGCACTGGCACTGGCACTGGTAATGCACTGCACTGCACTGCAACACCCTACCCTGCAAAGCTGTCCTGGTAATAACCCTGACGCGTTATCGCTCCTGCCGTTGGGATGCGACCGGGATCAGAGGGTTTCAGCGGCCTGATCCGGCACGCTGATTGGCCCAGGTGAATGCCAATTCGCACGCTAAGCACCCCGGCTCCAGAAAAGAAAGTGGCGCTAGGAGCAGGCTTGGCGGCCTGCACGCAACTGCCCTCCGCTTATAAAAAGAGCGCTTTCCCCCGAAGATTAGAGAGCCTTTTCGCGCGCGTTATCTGGGAAGTCGTCTATTTCGCAACAACCCCACCCCACCACAGTTTCTCCATCCCCATTTCCATCGCATCGCATCGCAACGAACAGCGCACAGTCTGCAGTGCCCTGCTCAATACATTCATTGATCTAGGCGATTCGATTCGAAATCCGAATTCCGCATCAAAGTACTGCGCTTGCGCCCGTTCGCGATCTCGAAATAGGAGATCCTCCGCAGCTACATTTCTCAGCCGCAAGAACAGGACAGGACAGGACCGGACGTCATCACATCCTCCCCTCCTCTCCACAATACTATACATAACCTTCCTCCTCTTAATATTGTTGTCGGTCGCAATCAATAGCGATCCGATCATCTCGTCGAGCAGCGCACTGTAGGGGAGACATTGATTTGTTCTTCTCCTCAAACGGTACGACTTCACCTTCCGACGTCAAGAACACAATCACCCCGCCCCTCCTTTGTCACCTCCTCCTCCTCCTCCTTTCATACTTCATCATCTCCTCACTCTCGACTTCGAGTCGCCATAAAACGATCTCGAACGTCATCGCTCCCCCACACTCTCGATCTGACATTTTCCTCTTCAGACCTGCTCCTCACTCTCGATCTATCAAATACAGAAGCGCATACCTTCAAGATGGATCAGATTCAGACACATCCTTCGAACGCCGCACAGGCCAAAACCTTCATCGCTCCGGGCTCTCTGTCATTCCCAGGTGGTGCTGGTGAACTGACTCCTCCATCCTCCGAGGCAGACAAGCAAAATGTTCAGAGACCAGGACAGATGAATGGTGGTGTACAGCAGGGTGCCCAAGGCCAGAACGGTAACGGGGTGACTCCTGCGACGCCTGCTGCGACCCCTGGTGCGACGACGACTGGCGTCAGTGGTATCGTTCCTACACTACAGTATGTATACCCCTTAAGCCTCGTCTTGAATACATGAGGCTTATCTTGCATGAAAAGAAACATCGTTGCCACGGTTAATCTCGATTGCCGACTGGACCTCAAGACGATCGCCCTTCATGCCAGAAACGCTGAATACAACCCAAAGGTACTTGCTGACTCTAGGCTTGCTATACCCTTTGTTCTTACTAACCTTCCCAGCGTTTCGCCGCCGTTATCATGCGTATTCGTGAGCCAAAGACAACTGCTTTGATCTTCGCATCGGGCAAGATGGTCGTCACCGGAGCCAAGTCTGAGGACGATTCCAAGCTTGCATCTCGCAAGTATGCTCGCATCATCCAAAAGCTTGGTTTCAACGCAAAGTTCACGGACTTCAAAATCCAGAACATCGTTGGCTCCTGCGACATCAAGTTCCCCATTCGTTTGGAAGGTCTTGCATCGCGCCATCACAATTTCAGCTCCTACGAGCCTGAGTTGTTCCCTGGTCTCATCTATCGTATGATCAAGCCGAAGATTGTGCTCCTCATCTTCGTTAGTGGCAAGATTGTCCTCACTGGTGCGAAAGTCCGTGAAGAGATTTATCAAGCCTTCGAGATGATCTACCCTGTGCTTCAAGGTTTGTTCTCTCACGCCGTATTTGGGCGGCTCAAACTAACCCTCTACAGATTTCAAGAAAGTCTGATCTGGCTATGCCACGATCTGCATCAGTGGTACGATCACTTGGCCTACACCCACCGCCATGTACCAACACCTCCCTCCCCAATACCAATTGTACAAGTATTGCCGATTTACGATATTACGAAACCATCCCCAAAAGCTTGCGCACTGGTGACAAGCACTGTCATTAAACACACACAGTCTTGCTTGATTCATCAGTTGCCAAAACAACTCACTGCATTGCACCGGCGTCTGGGGAAAAGAGTCGAGAAAGGCTCTCCATATTTGATTTTACTTTTAGCATGCTGCTTGTTTCTTGCAAAGAACATAGATTGCACACCCATAGGCGATGGCATGTGCGCCGGACGAAGATGCCGTCATAATTGCTCCTGGCCTTCACCGGTCCAGACATTTTTCTTCTCCTGAGCAGGCTGTTGTTGCATCAGGGGGATCTCAGGCGGGAAGCCTTCGCGCAGGGCAGCAACTCCGACTTACTTTTTGACGTCGTGCTGACCCCTTTTTTTCTTTTTTTTTTTTTTTTATATACACATCGTGTTGGCAGACCCTAGTGACCTCTTTTCCAAGGCGTACATGCGTGGCTTTAGGTAGCTGGCTTGTGCTGATGGTTTTGGGCTGTCGTCGAGGAAGTCGGCGAGTCTGCAATAGATAGACTAATTCACACGATAGATAATATTCTCTGCCTTCTCATTTGATGTGATGTGACTTGCCTCGAAACGATGAAATGTGCTAAATGTCTGCCTGTAAAGCACCTCGTGCTCATGGTGCAGCCATCCAGCCTTGCATGTACCAGTACCTAGCATCCTGAAAATATATGATCGTGTTCCAAGTCTCGCTGTCAGTACGGCTCCTTGTTGATATGCATGTCCTCTTGCTTACCTTGACTTACCTGATATAAGTAGTCTTGATCCAGAGCCCAACTCCACAATCCATTCCTTCCTCCCCGCTCACCAAAGTCCAAAACGAGGGAAAGCCTCGCATATTTATGTTCATCGCTCATGTGAAAAGTCGGTCTGCCCTCGTGGGCAGCTCCTCCGTTTTGAGTTGATATTGGGAGACTGGACGGACGGCTCCTCAAGCTTCTGATTGACTTATGGAAGACTGAATGGAAAATAAGGACTTAAACTTGAACTTGAAATTTAGAATGAACAGTGCGTTCTGCGAATACTACTTACTTTTCTCCTTCTTCTCCCTAGCGTTGGGAATCGAAAGATTGGTTGGTAGGTGAGTTAGTAATAGGAGGGTTCGGCGGCGAAGATTCACGAGTTGGGTTGAGCTGAGCGGGAAGAGGGTCGGACGGATGGATGATGATGGCAAGGGGGGCCAGTGAATGATTGGGTGCGTGGATGATTGAAGATGGTCAATCTTAAGTTAAGTGATGCTGGTTGGTTTATGATGTAGAGTGCGAGAGGGCGGGCAAGGTCAGTCAGTCATCGAGCAATGGGGAGCTGGAAGGGTACGAGCATGAGCATGAGCATGAGCATGAGCAGCGAGCGTCACAACAAAAGATTTCAGAGTTTCATGAGTGCAGTAAGAATAGTCATATGATAGTTCATAAGTGCTGATTTTGATTGTAAGGTTACATATATCTACATGATGAATCTTTCTGTTTGCTGCTGAAGATTGCTTGCTTGTTAGCTTGTTTGCTTGCTTGACATGTGAAAAGTGGTCAGTCATCATCATCAGAATCAGCAAACATATCCACAGCCCTAGGTCGCGCTCTCCTCTGCGGCCCTTGCCCCTGCGCCTGCGCCTGTTCCTGCGTTGTCTTGTCGGGCACTTGTTTCTTCTCATCTCGCTCACTGGCTACCGGTGCAGGATCAGGAGGTGGAGATGGCTCTGCTGGAGCAGAGTCTTCAATCATAGGTTCCCCATCAAGATCTTCCTCCATCGGCACGCCGTCAACGTCTTCATCGTCTTCTAGCATAGGCTCACCATCGACATCTTCATCTTTGTCCATGGGCTCCCCATCAACATCGTCGTCGTATGCAGTCCCACCATTTTCATCCCCCGCAGAATCAGAAAGAGTCTTAGCCTGTACCTCAACAGCCTTCCACTTCTTCGTTCCTTCCCTCCTCTCCCCCTCCTTTTCTTCCTCCTCCCTCTTCTTCGCTTCTATCTCCTCCTCCTTCGTCCTCGGCGGCTCATTAAACGCCTTGACAAACCCCTCCTGACTCTCAACAGGGAACACACACCATCCCTCCCAAAGACTGAGCACCATCCCCACACTCCTCTTCCATTTCTCGGCTTTCAACTTCCCCCATGACATCTTGCGCTCCATGCGTCCCAACTCTTCGAATGTGTGCCGAGACTTCAATGCGTTCTCGAAGAGTGAGCGGTACCGCCAGGCGTGGCGTACACCGGAGGTGGAGGAGGATGAAAGGATATCAGAGATGAGGTACAGACCAATGAGGGATGCAGCACTGGTGTCTTCCTCGTCATCTTCACCAGCTCCTTCTTTCTCGGCATCCCGCTCGGCTTTGTCTTTCCGTGACGTTGGATTCGCGGACGTGTATGCGAAAGGTTTGGAGATGTTAGATAAGATCATAGATACGACTTCGTCTGCGCCGCGACCAGCGTGAGATATGGCGAACGCTGTAACTCGCGCAACGTCGCCTTTGCGGAGCTTGCCAGTGCTTGTTGGGAGGCGTGAGAGAAGGTGTGTGAATTTGGCTTTCTCCAGGGGATTCAAGTAAGCTTTTCCATCATCCACAAGAGAACTTGGATCTGGCGGACCACCAGCGCCGTGATTCTGGTTCTGGCGTCTCGCTCCGCCTTCATCTCCGGATTCGTCGTCGTCCGAAGAGTTGTATTCAGAGTCTGAGACAAATTCGGAGAGTTGGGTAGTGTACTCGAAGGCCAGTGGCTGGTCTGGTGACTTCCATGCTGAGGATCCTTCGAAGAGCGGTAGGTATTTGCCTTGCCCACGTTTGGTCGTTGAGCCTGTGAGGACTTCCCACAGTCGCCAGCGGTACCATACACCACCCGTACTTCTGGGGTCCCAAATCCATGCCCACTTCTCATCCCGCTGCACATCAGGTCTACTCATCAGAAGAGCCTCGAATTCCGGGCCATGAGTGAGCAAATTCTCAATCACTTTGTGAATGAGCTTTAGCTCTTTAATATCTCGTGGAGCCTGAACTGGGACATGAAGTAAAGGGCCTCGGTTCATTTGCGGGGCTGGAGGTCCGTATGAAGTTGGAGGTGCAAATCCTCTTTGATGTGGAGGTGGAGCATGGCCTCTTCCCGCGGATGCAACATCTACTGCCTTTGCGCCGAATGGCTGTGAAGCTCCGGAACTTCCTAGAGCGGGAACACTTGTGGAGCTAGAGATTGCCGCTGAAGAGAGATGGCGATGGAGATTGAGATAGTACCCGTAGCCCAGATATCTGTTCTGCAGCCCATTGACAGCCGTATCAATATCATTTGCAGCTGTATCCTTCGCAAGCGTGACAATAGCAGACATGCTCTTTCTTTCTGTGTATACCACCGGTCCTGAAGGAGGCAGAATCCTAACAGAATCGACTTTCAGGTTCGCAGGCAATAATGCCTTAATAACAGCAGGAGATGTTCCAGGAGGGAGGGAAGCCAGTCTCAGGGTCGGCTTTGGAACAGCTCTCTCCTCCTCCCTTTCTGCCTCTCTCGCATCCTCGTAATCATCGTCATTGTTCAATGCCCTTTTCGGCGCCCTGTCGTCATTCTCATAATCATCAAAAGCCAACAATCCTCTATCGTCCCTCCTCTCCCCGCGTTGAAAGCCCTCATAAGTTCTCTTCTTTGCCAGACTCGGCGGTGGCGGTCCCAAACTCCCTACTCCACTCGGCGGCCCACCTCCTCTCTCCCTCTCTCCATATCCCCTTCCCATTGCAGGTCCACTCGGCGCGAAATGTCTCTTGGGCGCGCCCCCGCTGAACCCTCCTACTCCTCCTCCATATCTCTGCCCCTCATCGCGCCCGTATCCCGCCGCGCCTGCGGATGGCTCATCCTCGTCATCAAAGCTCTTTACGAAGTCCTCGTATACTGCTTTGGTCTCGGCTTCTTCTCGTAGACGTTTCGCTTCTTGCTCGGCTTTCTGGCGCTCGAAGAGAGACTTTTTGGAGGGGGCTTGGAGTTTGTTCTCTGCATGGTGGAACTCGACGATTTTCTTTTCGGAAGACATCGTTACATCGTCGCTGGGTACCGGGTCAGGACAGCTTCCATTCGAATAGAGCCTGGGGAATGTTCGTGTCTTTTGAAAGGTTGGTGATGGCCTGGTGTCTTAAGCTGGCAGTTGAGCACTGATGCGAAGAGCAGCGAATCGGCGCTGATTGGATGGTCGAAACAATGGGTCCAGGCACTGAGAAGCGAGCTCCATAACAACAAACTTCCATAGCGATCCATGTTCAATGTGCACCTAGGTACTTGGAAAATAGATTCCAGTACATCTTTGCAGTAGTACAGCTTTGCCCGGTAATTTCTGATCTCAAGAAAATTAGGGACGACATGTGACAGAAGACAACCTCAACAGGCTCAGTACTCTGAAAGGGCGTGAGCAAGAAGAATCGTTGGCCTCCAGATGGAAAGGCAAATACACACGATTGTCTGCAAAGTTTATTGTACCTACGAAAATCCTTGAGAATTGAAATTATATACATCTTGTATCAACATGAATCACAATAGAATCGTCAAGAGACAGATGCTAATTCAGTAAAGATGTACCTGGGCCCAGGCAAAGCATGCATTTACTAACTAATGAGCGACTTCATACGACATATATCCTTGGGGGCATTCAAATAGTGCATAATATAATTAGAAAAGAAGCAATTCTCGTGGTTTGTACGTGTGTCGACCTTGCCCAAGCCAGTAGCCTCTGATGAAGGACCCAGGGAGCCTAAATCCAGACACACCCAGTACTAGCTTGACCACAAACCATCTATGCATCAAAAGAAGTATTAGCAGATAATCTTGATTACCCTCCAGACGATCAACCATACTACAGAATTTCACAACGAAAGGATTGAACAGAGAAAGGGGATCTTACGACATTGGGACCTCCACCAGGGCAGAGCCAGAGGTCACAGGTCTCCTTCTGACCAGGGCAGCGACAGTCCGTCTGGCCCTTGATTGACCCACCGTTACAAGCGGGCACTGATTAATGGTAGATTCAGTAACCTGTTTCAATAAATTGGGGAAATAACTCATGAAAGCCTCATCACTCACGGATTCTGGTACAGTCGGCGCGGGCTTCGATGACCAAATCGCGAGACTCCAATGCGTTGGGCATGGCAAGAACACCGGCGGCGAGTAGAGCGAAAACTTCAATGGTAGTGATGAACTTCATTGTGGTAGGATACAGTATAGTCTGTGTTTGTAGTTATGGTTGTTTGATAAGGTTCGAAGTATAGGATAGAAGCGTTGATTTGATACTGCAAATAGAAGAGTTCAACTTGGGTTTTGCGCATGCTTTATATTTTTCGTCTGCTATTGAAAGCTCTCATGCATCACCTAGTATCACTTCATGATGATAAATGCCGTAATGATGGACACATTCACATCCTTGTGGCATAAGGAGGACGAGTATCTCTCGGGCTGTCCAGTTATTAACCAGACCTCGAGAGTTACACGAGCTTCAATCGTCATAAGCACAACTTAGATAAAGGAGCAGATGTCATTTCATGGTAGAAAGTAGCAGTTGCTGACATAGGTAACACAGTTTCGTACAGACTCGTCAAGACTTACGGTCCCCTGTGAAACCACGTTTGCTCGTATGCCGTGTACGTTGGTAACACACATATTTGATTTGTCTTTAGGGCTATTTGAAATCGGTTGAGTGCCTAGCTATATTTTGGTTACAATGACTTAAGCTGCCTATCATGCTATTTACGTCAGGACCTAAAGCTTCGAAGACGACTTCGGCTGCCAACTCTTCAACGACAGATAATTTGATTGTAGTAAGAGGTTTTGACCACTTCCATGGCGATTTTTCCAAAGTAGTTTTGTTTAGAGGAGGAAGTGACCATGTCCGGGTAGATGACTTCATGTGCTATCGGCTTTGCAGAATTTTAGCGAATGTCATCGGTGAGATGGAGTAAGTAGACAGCATAACATTCCATTGACTGAGGCTTGACAAAAGAAAATGGCTATGACGACAGTTAGAGTACAGGAAGAGGATACCTCGAAGTTCATTGCTCCTCTTAAGCGAGCCAATTTTGATTCCCCCACAATCACTTCGAGTTCGCCATAGGTATTGGAATGGGTTTGTAACACAATCAAGAAGCACAGAGTATCAGATGATGGCAGTCTAAGATCCGTGTTACTTTTCCCGTAAATGCTGCGCAGAACTCAAAACGTAGGCAACATGCAAGTGAACATCGAAAGCCTTTTGATAGAAATAGAGTACTAGGGTAAAACAAGCTATTTTACAGTTATATACAAATCCTAGTCGAGAGTACTTGAGGAATTCCACCTCCGACCATTACTCGAAAAACTTGAAGCTGTAGCCCTCGTTGTTGTTGTCACCGGGCACACTCTTTCTGCTGTAGGTCGTCTTGCTCCACCAGACGAAGCTACCAGTAAGCCAAGCACGATTTTCCCACTTATACTCAGTACCCTTCTGAACCCCATGAAACACAAAAGGAATGGCTGTCGTTCCGCCAGGGCTCTGGTTGACAGCGCCGTCAGTGAGAGCAAAGGTATGGTGGCCTGGTCCATCAATGTAAAGTGTCGCGTCCCAGCCGTTCATCATTCTGTCTTGGTGAGAGCCAAAGAGGCAGCCGTTGGACTTGTACCAGTCCCAAACGTACGTGGGATCGCCTCCTTTCCGAAGACGGAGATCGGCGAGGCAGTACTTGTTGTTCCAGCTTCCATTGGCAGAGTAGACGATGTGCAATTGCCCGTTGGGGTCGACAATGGCTTCAGGTCCTTCGTTTACAGCTGGACTGTCTCCTTTCTCCCAGCCCTCACGGGGTTGGGAGATGATGAATCGTGGACCGATAGGCTTCGAGGGACTGTCCATACGGCAGATGTACAGGTTTTGCTCGCCATTCTCGCTCTCGCTCGCCCAACCGGACCAGACAAACCAGCCAAGACCCTCAAAAACAAAGAAAGTACCATCAATCGCCCACTAGAAAATGCTTTAGCTTTGGTTCGAATTGTCGTGGAGGAGTTCCGTGGTATGATCTCATAGAGAGTATACATACCTGATCATCTGGCAAAGCCAACTTCTCCGCAGCCGAGTACGTGCCCAAAGGCGAGTCAGCGCTGATAACATACATACGGTGAGCAGCATCTTTTCCCGCCGAAAAGTGGATGAAGGTCCTGCCCAAGTCGGTTGTAATTTCAGGAGCCCAAACATCGCCGATATCATCGTTCCAAACTTTCTCTCGTCGAACGTCTGCAGCACCGAGACCTTCGAGCGATGATGCTGCACGAACATAGATTCCGCCGGCAGACTCAGCGGAGTAATAGGTATCTCCAACCTTCATTATGGTTGGATCGGCTCCATCTCTGATCTTGACGGCTGAGGTGGAACCGACAAGGCAAAGAATCATGGCACCGAGTACCAATAAAAGGGAAGCAGACCGCCGATGGAAAGACATTATGGGCGAGTAAGTGTTTTCAAAATGTGACTGACAATAGTAATTGAGATATAAGTTATCTCATCAAGAACCTGAGATAGCCAGCTACTCTTATATTCCCAACAATCGGCTCCCCCTGAACGACGACTTGAACTGTGCCTCTTTGCATCTTTAAAAATACTACTCTCCTAGAACACTTTCGTTTGCTGCAATCCTGCGATAACGTCACAACTGACAGGAATAGTTAGCATTTACATGCTCGACATGCACGTACAGGCGAACCTGGGTTGAGCCTGGGGTTGTGATGTAGAATTTGCCAAGACAACCGCTATTCTGAAGGTGACCTTCCTCCTCGGGTTGGAAATTCAGACGATCGCATACGTTCTGAAGTACTTGATTGGCAAGATTTAGCCTTTCCAGGGGCGCAAGTCCTGTAAGGTCGAGAGAGGTCAGCTTATGGAGGCACAGCATGCAAATTGCAGCATCAGCCTCCGTAGGAATGGGTAGCTCGCCTTGGCGGTGAGACAAGAATACATCATAGCCCTCGCCAAATCTCGCCTACTGTACTGTAATGTAACCAAGATGTGAAAATTGTCCTCCGATCTGAAAGGAGCTGCTCGCCGCAATTCAGAGGGGGAACGTCCATTATGACGTATACTTCAGCGACTAGTTCAGAACTCTCGCCGGAGTGAGAGTAATATCGGAAGTACTCAATGGGGCGCGGAGGGCTTCAATTTTGTCTAGGTTGACTGACAAATGGTGACAAGTCCGTCCTCCGCCAAAGAAGAACACAAATCCAAATTGAAGCCTAAAGGGTGCTGCTACCTGTTGGAACTCAGAATATGGTTATGATTATGGGTAAGGGTAATTGTAGATATTTCGGTGCCACTCCAGCCCTTGAAGTGCATAAGAAAACGCGAGCTCTCTGGGATAATTTTCTTTAGGAAAGGACAATCGCCTCAATTCATATTCACAGCGCAATTAGAGAACGTTGGATTTTAAAGGATTTTTTCAATTCATTCTCCAAATCCTCTTTCTCTCTCTTGAAATGTACATATCCTATCGAGCTTCTACAGAACTCTGACAAATGGAACGCTACCAAATTCACCATCCATAACCAAAGCAAGCAAATTCCCAAGCCCGGAGTCATCATATATAGACAGTCACAAATTAACCTCTCATGTTCCCCTCTCACCTCGCCTCCAATGCAAAATATGCGTCATTTAGCAGTTCTGGAGATAATTGCTTGGTACCAGACCTGGCCTGCCGTTCTTTCCTGCTACTTCGGCTTCCCACCATCCGTCATCTTGAAGTCTCAAGACAGCGAGGATGTCGCCTTTTGCGAAACTTAGTTCCTCTGGAATGGCGGCTTGATACATGTACATTGCACGAGCTAGCAGGAGGTCAGTATGATGTATAATTTCGAAGGGGAGGGAGACTTACCAAAATGAAGGATTGGACGTCCTTCTCTGTTGAATTGTCTAACATCTGCAACGCTCTTGCTACGCTGTCGAGAAGCTAGTTGTTGGCCTCCCTGGCTGCCTGCTTGACTGCCCCCATAGTAGCTCATTGTTCTCGAATTGGTGGATCCACCTGATCTACCACCTCGTTGAGAGCCATAGCCATCCTCCAGAGCAGGGGCAAGTTGCATCTGCATAGACATATCGTTATTTATATGACTGCTACTTGGCCTCTCTTGTTCACGAAATGGAGCTGGAGAGACGGCCCGCGCAACGTCGTTGGGTGAGTTGTGGCGGTAATAACCCTGATCAGAACCACGCTTTTGAGGTGTGGAAGATTGAGCACGATTACGTTGACTTCCAGCATATGGATTTGGAGAAGCGGATCGGTAGGACTGCCTTGCGTCTGGTTGCATGACTGGACGAGGGGAAACGCTGCGAGGTGGTGCTGGGGAAGTAGCTCGTGGCATGTCGCTGCCTCGGGTACCAGGACGTGATTGCGATTGCGATACTCCATATCCGCTCTGAGAATCAGGCCTCGACTGGGCACTGAACATGGTTTGGGTCTGGTCAACATACTTTTGGCGAGTCTGCTGCATGGCCTTCGAAGTAAAGGCAGGTTGTGGGAGCCCTAGTCGTTGTACCGGCTGGTCGTAGGAGGGCGGTGGAGTTCCCCTCATGCCCGCCATCAACGCACCGTTCGTCATCTGCGACCCAACAGGTCGAGAGCTGGGTGTTGCTCCTGGTGCAGGGGTTGGGATTCCATGGTAATTGTCTGCAGATACCCGAGTCGATGAAGCCTTTGTCACACCCTTCAATTCTGCCAGTGCTTGAGCAATTGGATCCAGATCCTCTTCCTCTTGTGGCGGCTTGTTCTGGGAGACCTTGCCTCTTCTCTCGGGTGTTGCAACATCAAAGACATTGTTTCCGACATTGAGCTGGAAACTGGCACGAGGATCAATTGGCTCTGGGCTGCCACTGGGTCTGTCACTAATCATGTTCTGCGAGTCATGGCTGTAGGCCTGAGGCCTTTTGGTTGGACTGTTTTGGCCACTGGTCGTAGTTCTTGCAGACCAAGTGTTGCGATTCGAAGGTGTCATAGCTGTGTGGTCTTTATCCTTATTACTTTTGCGTCTGAAGGGACTGTGGCTTTGAAAGAATCCGCTTTTCTTTTTCAAGACCTGCTTCTCAGCTGGAGGGCCGACGACTTGTTTGACTGGAGACGTCTTGCCGCTCACGGGATCGCGGCTTGAGAATGAAGTTGGGTTAGAGTACTCGCTGTTGGAGTCTCGACTGGACGGTCTAGCTCCACTGTGAGCAGAGCTTAGCTCAGATGGTGGGCCTGTCCGGCATAACATAGTCATTCCATCCATCGGATAAGGATCATGAGGTACAGCAGCAAGCGGGCCATGTTGGGATTGTTCATAAGTCAACATGTTTTGTTGTGGTTCCTGTTGTTGCCTGGACTGAGGTTGATAATCAAGCTGCTGTCTGGATGCCTGCCTTGCATGTGGTGGTTGTTCAAGCTGTCGGGTCTGCTTGGGTTGATACTCGGGCTGTGGTTGTCTGACCGGTGCGGGCTGGTAGTCTTCGACGTGTGCTTGCCTGGATCTATCTCCTAACGCCTTTTGTGGAGTTAAAGTAGCCTCGCGACTTTGTGTCTCGGGTTCATGACCCATATCCTTAGCCAGAGCAGATTGAGGGTCATGATGTGACTCGAAAACAGATGGTTGGGGCGAAGAACTTCGGTAAGCGGGATTAATGGTCCGTGGAAATTGTGCAACCGAGTAATTGTCATCCTCAGAGGCTTCGGATTGTGTATCGCTGACATCTCCTCGGCAAAAATTGATGTATTTCGGTGGATCTGGTATCTCTTGCCCTGTTCCGCGCTCCTTAATGAATGAAGCAATGTCTTTCTCCACCTCACAGTTCTCCAAGGACAGTCGGACCTTTTCGCACGAAGCGTCATCACTAACACAAACGGTCGATGCGATGTTGGCGAAGCTCCACAGACTGCTCTTCATGAAGTCCAAGCGTTCTTCTTCCAAGTCTTGGAACTTGTCTGCGGCAGCCTTCCAATCTCTGTTCCATCTCCCTGTTGTCTCCTCAAGTGCCTTCACAGCATTCTCGTACTCGGTGTTCGATGTGGCGAGGTTTATTTGAGTCTTCTCCAGCTTGGCCTTGTTTTTCCTTTCTTCTTGACCCATAACCATATGCCCTTGTGCCAGATAACCCTTAATCTTTAGACATTCTTGCTCGTACCTGTCTCGGGTCTGGAAAGTGTTAGGGGGGAAGCTGCGCGGGCGATGAAGTACTTGCCTTATTTACTAGCTGTGTTTGCTGAATTTTAACCTTCAGTACTTTCTCGATTCCGCCTTGCACAATCTTTCTTCGCTCTTTCATAGCACCTGCAAAGGCCGCCAGCGGTTCCTCTAGTTCTGTCTTCATCTGACTAGCAATGTTTTGGTGTGACTTTCCCATCGCCTCAACCTCTCCTCGTAACACATCCAGGGATGCCCGAAGAGTTCCAGCCTCCTGGGATCCAAGTGGCTTCCGTGATAATGAGAGTAGCTTGCGTGCATATTCGTCCTCGAGAGCTGCCCGAGCTGAGGAGTGTCAGTGGCAGATATGTAAACATACGGTCGAGTACTACGTACCTGTGTAGAATGACTTTAACTCGTCGCATGTTTGCTTCGCATTATGCATCCGCTGCAATAAAGGGTCGACCCCAGCATCATCTTTACCCCAGAAGTTGTTGGCAAAGCTCATTGACACCGACGGTCCTTCTGACACGACTGAAGGCATCTCGCCCAGCCTGTTTCGGTATGTTGAGTTTGGGAAGTCGCGTTACTGTGCTCCAGTCTTGAAGTACAGTAGCTCCTGCTGTCTCGGAAAGGAATGGATAATTAGGAGTGGAGGGCAAACGACGAAGTTGTTCGAGTGAGCGAAGATGGGAAAGGCTGGAATGCATGCCCTGATAATGGCCAGGGTATCATATCTGAAAAGCGGAGGCGCATATAAACATCCGAGCCGCACGACGTTGGCAGGGCAGCGGGGCACAAACGATCTTCGCCCCGCCACACTATTCCTGATACGGGCCCCTCACTCATGGATTCCAATCTCCATCAAGAGCCCCCATCATATCATGATCTTGAAGTTCGGAAGATGGAGTTTCAAATTGGCTCATTGTAAGACCGAGCTATGTGATTGCACGTTTGATCAATTGCCAGGCGCAAGGACTTATTCCTGACATATCACAGTCTGCAAGCCCTTTTCATCCCCACAGGATTGGCTCCCAAGGCAGGCATGGATCCGACTGATATCGAAGGACTTGCGGAACTTCTATCCTCGATAAGTATGACCAAGGAGATCCGTTTTTGACATGTCGAAAAGGATCATTTTGTTATGTGCCTGTTTCACATAGCTCCTGGAATGCTGCGGATACATTGTACGTGTCTGGCAGGCTAAGTTCTGGTTTTATTCACAACATTAGAGATATCGCGCAAGGTAATTAACCGTCAAGTTCAACAAATCCTTGACGTCCAAGTAAAGAGGTTTCCAGTCGTTAGATGGAGCTCTGTAACTGCTCTCAGCTTCGGAGGAATGGCCGAGGTTGTGACAAAACCGAATCTCGCGAAGTTATACGACGTTCTCATGACAATGTGCCAAATCAAGCTTGTGTCTTTCTTACTACAAGCTTATCAATCCTTTTGATACAATACGCAGTGGTTCATTACCGAAATGCCAAACAAATTCTTTGCCAGGTCGCCAGATCTCGCGTCAGCCGCTATCAAGGGGCGAGCTTCATAACCCCTGGCTTCTCCCGTACCTGCAGTGGAAGACGGCTCTCCAACATCTCTGCTTGTAACACAACGGATGCAGAAAAACGAAGCCAATAGATTATGAATATTACTGAAATAGAAGGACTCATGTTGTACCCATGTTAACCTGAGGCACAAAAGAGCGCAAACTCCAGCTTCTTCTTTACCGGAGCTTCTCGTCCATTTTGGGTTAGCGCGGAGCCTCACAGCTGGCTGCCGAGAGCGCGACCTCATCTTTCGTTCAACCTACTTCATCACGACCTTACAACCCACACCGACTCCATCACCATACCCCTCCTCTTGCAACTCTGCACTCCATACAGCCAATGCTCATACCACCCCGATAGATCTTCTTTCGTCCTCCGAGATCGAGAGATAGCTCTGCGGAGTGGGTCTGCGCAAGAACATCAACGTCTTCGATGGTCAACTCAAGAGGGGGGACTTTCACACCTTCGCAACAAACCATCGTCACAGGTGTTAGTCATTCACCGCACGGCTCTCATCATAGCACTTTCAGTGCCGGCGCCAGTCCTAGTACAAATAGTCCTACGGGGTCCAACTCGCTCACAAAAATTGTCGTCGCCCAAGTCTACCTCCTTCTCAGTACGATCAAGGAGGATACTAAGGATCGCACAAAGTGGGAACAACAAGCTGAGCAGCTCAGAAAGGTAGGATGGAAACTCGTCGTCGTGGTGGGCCAATGCTAATACCGCTGTGTAGCTGATCGATGAACACGGCATGGAAGTATTCCAAAAATACTTCAGCCGTCTTGTGGTTGGCAATGCTCCTACAATCTTTCCAGGTATCAACCGTCCGGTAGCAAATCCTGCCACCTATCCTGTTCTCCATGACGAGGTTCACAAGATATCGCATAATGTGGATCAGGCGCGTAGGATTGCAGAGTCAATAGAGACGGCAAATGAGGACATATTCCGGGACTTTGATCTTTCAACATTCATGGATCATTTCAAGCTAGACGCACTCGAGAAGACAATTCTAGCTCTTGCTTTCAAGACAGGTTCAAGATCGGATCTGAAAACAAAGGGTGAGTCGCTTGGTGTGATGAAAGCTTACTGTTGCTAATGGATAGCAGCCGATGCCATTATATCTGCGAATTTCGCTCAATTCCTTTCCGCTCTCGTTCACCCTACCTCAAACCATGACGACATGTCAACCGATTTCCTTGCCCTCATAATCGATCGCTTCATTCAAGAACAGCCTCCGAACTTTGACGAGTCTGCGCAGCGAGATTTGATAATGGCACTTCAATTCCGATATCAAAATCAGAGTCAGGAGAAGGACACAGTTCCAACAACGATTCTTGCAGCATTATATCTGATGTACGCGTTGAACAGTGGAAATCCCTTGACGGAATTTCTACAAAGAGTCGGCTCAGCATTCACAGCTGATGAAGATTCCTGCCGAGGATACTTGAGAAACGGAAACATTGGTCTTAATGAGGAATTAGTCGCTGGTGGACTAATCTACACAGCGCTCAGTCGAAGCATCCCGTTCTCCACCACCGTCCTGGTCAACAGTTTGCGGATGGAAGTCTCGCCCAACTTCAACTGGCAACGAGTGGTTGGATTCTTTGACCAGGATCAGCTGCGCATATCGAAAGACCAATTTTTGGCCCTGTACGAAGCATTCCGACCTCTGGCAGTTGACGGCTTGATCGATGTACAGTCACTTTGGGGAGGCACCTGGCAAAACTCGGAGACACAGCTGTCGTTCATCAGCGCATATGCATCTCTGTACGACAACGAGCTTGACGCAACTACTATCCCTGGTCTGGAGCCAGCTTTCACACTAGAGGACTTTGAGGGCGCAGAGGATGACGTCCGTGAACGTGCTGCCCAAGCTATAAAGCATCCTCTGGTATCTGTGGTTGCTTTATCATCCATGTTCCACGTCGCCCTACACACCACGGCCGCATCTGATACCGTCGAGGCCAAAAGACTCTTTCAGGAGGTTGTTGTACCAAATTTGGATGTATTCTTGGTTTCCGCATTTGGCGTCCCAAAGCCATGGCCAGAATTGGCAACAGACACAATCAATAATCTCTTTGATCGATTTTTATTCAAGTACGACCGCAATTACGACTTCGTTCTGGAAGGATTGTGGCGCAAGGACAAACAATGGGTAGCGCAGAGACTTGTTGAAGCGCATGCCAAGGTTCCCATGGAGCTCCCTACCATTCTGGACCATGCTCTGAGACACCAATGGCTTGACGATTTAGCCTCCATCCCGAATGGCTTCGGACTTGATCTCGTGGCAGTTGCTAGTGCTCGAGGCTTCCTAGACCTAGATCGATGGGCAGCTAGCAATCTCGCGAGAATTCCAGACCTTCCGCATTCACTTCTCACATTTCTTAACATCAAAGCAGAGCATGAGCTTGCATACCAGCGGCAAAAACACTTACACAGTGTTATGCTTCCAGTCAAGACAATAGCCAAATTACTGCAAGCGCTAGAGGATGCCATGCCCAGGGTGCCGTCAAACGACTTGATACTCGTCCAGCGAGCATGCATCACTGCATACCCTCGATTGATCAACTACGGCGAGGGTTTCGACGACATCATCGATGCCAATGGCGCAGAGAGTAACTCATTACCTAAGGAAGCCAATGAGAAAATGGAAGCCCACTACAAGCAGATGTACAGTGACGAAGTGCAGGTCCGCAGCATCGTAGAAGCGCTTGAGAGATACAAGCACTCCCGTGACCCAGCCGACCAGGATGTTTTTGCTTGCATGATCCATGGACTCTTCGATGAGTACGCTTTGTACCAGACATATCCCTTGGAAGCCTTGGCTACAACCGCTGTGTTGTTTGGAGGTATCATTTCGCAGAAGCTGATATCTGAGCTTCCTCTGAAGATTGGTCTTGGTATGATCCTTGAGGCAGTCAAGGATTATTCTCCGTCGGATTCTATGTACAAGTTTGGCCTCCAGGCTCTCATGCAACTTTTCAGCCGATTACGCGAGTGGCCTGGATTCTGCAAAAGATTGCTGGAAGTACCAGGGCTCCAAAACACCGAGGCTTGGAGCAAGGCAGAAGATGTTGTGCGTGCCGAGCAGGACGCGCGTGTTTTTTCCCCTGTCAACGGTATGAACGGAGGAGACTTGAAGACACCACCTCCGCCAGCATTCAATGCTCTCCGAGTAGACCCGCCTGCCTACCAGTTCCCTACCCCTGATGAGGATGTTACAGGCAAAATACAGTTTGTTCTTAATAATATCAGCATGGAGAATATTGAGAGCAAGTTCATCGAGCTACAAGAACTAGTCAGTGACGAAGGTCAACAATGGTTTGCTACTCACTTGGTGCAAGAGAGAGCGAGAATGCAGCCGAACTACCACAATGTGTATCTCAACACGATCAAGCTTTTTGGAAGGAAATCTTTATGGGCAGACGTATTGCGAGAGACTTATGTCAGCACATTCAAAACCCTTAACGCAGAATCAACAATGCAAAATGCCCTCGAGCGGACACATCTCAAGAATCTGGCTACTTGGCTTGGATCTCTTACCCTAGCTCGAGATAAGCCAATCAAACATCGGAATATTGCTTTCAAGCAACTTTTGATAGAGGGCTATGAGTCTCACCGGCTGCTTGTGGTAATTCCCTTCATCTGTAAGGTTTTGGCTCAAGGCAAATACTCCACTGTGTTCAAACCCCCCAATCCGTGGGTCATGGACATCATCAAAGCTTTAATGGAGCTGTACACAAAGGCCGACCTCAAACTTAATCTTCGATTTGAGATCGAAGTTCTCTGCGGAGAATTGGATCTTGATCATAAGAGCATCGAGCCTTCTGACGAGATCATGAATCGCATCTCGCTTATCGAGGAAGCAACGGAAGTGATGGCACCGGAAGTCATGGATAGATTTGACAATTTATCATTGAATGGAATGGCTGGTGGAGTTGGAGGTGGGAGATTCTCTCCTCACGAAATCACAGCCTCTATTCCAGACCTTGGTCCGCTTTTGCAGTATCCTCCAGTCAACGACATGGTCAATCAGGGTCGCTTGCAGGACATCATGAAAGCAGCAATCACCCGTGCTGTCCATGAAATTATTTCTCCAGTTGTTGAACGCTCAGTTACCATTGCTGCTATATCGACTGCTCAGATGATCCACAAAGATTTTGCGACAGAGCCAAACGAAGCAAGAGTGCGGGCAGCCGCCATCAATATGGTCAAGAAAACCGCTGGCGCTCTGGCTTTGGTCACATCAAAAGAGCCATTGCGAGCAAGCATGACAAATTACATCCGAGCTTTGTCTGGTGAGCTCCCACAGGGACTGCCCGAAGGAACTATCATCATGTGTGTCACATCGAACCTCGATCTGGCTTGTAGTCAAGTTGAGAAGAAAGCAGAAGAGCGTGCAGTTCCTGAGATTGAGGAGATGATCGAGCCGGAGCTAGAAGCTCGCCGTCACCACAAGATGACCAGACCAGACGACCCATACGTCGATCCTGGATTAAGCCGCTGGTCTTGGACCATTCCGGATCCATTCAAGTTGTCGCCAGCTCTTGGTGGCCTCAATCAGTCACAAATGGCTATTTACGACGAATTTGCCCGGCAGCCACGTGCGCAAGCAACCCTTCCAGGACCAACCCATATCCCATCGTCATCAGACGCTACGAGAACGATGGCGAACGAAATTTTGCAAGATTCCTACCCACCAGTTCCGAATCTACCGACTCCTGCGGAACCACCAGCAATGTCACACCTCCCAGCTCAACAGCCTGCTTATGCCCAGCAAAATAATTCAGTGGTCAACGGGAGAGTGGCTACAATGCAGATGGATCCCAGAATGCTGGCAGAAAGAGTAGAGAAGGCATTGGTAGAGCTCGAGCGGGTTGCAGCCGATACACCCGAGCAGCATGTCGCAGATCTCCCCCGGCCTCATGCAGTGCTCGACACACTGGACGCATTGTATGGCTTGATATTCAGAAGCTCGCAAGGGCCTGATCATTACGACTATTATATCGTAGACCACATATGCAACATGTTGTTCAGTGGTCCGGAGCAAGATCTTGTTATGGAGTGCCTGGTTCAAGTATTGGAGAACATCTGCAGAATGGCAGGTCGAACCGCGAACCGCGTGTTCGATGTCATTTCCCAACGACCGGGCGAATCTTTCTTCCGAGTTCCTCTCATTGTCTGCCTGACAAAGGCTCATCTACTGGAATGGGGTCGTATCGACTTGGAGATCTCTAGGGTCATCTCACAACGCAAGGATGGGTCACTACAATTTTTTCTATCACTCTTGGAGACCGTCCTTCTGAATGACCGCCCTGTTGCACTTTACGCCGACTTCGTGAAAAGTTTGGAAGTTGCCTGGGCATGGATCACAGAAGAACCTGACATGGAAGTTGGTCAGCAGCTCAAACAAAAGCTAACGAGCTCTGGTCTTCCAGAACCTCGCTCTCAAATCACGAATGATCGCAAGCAAGACCAATTGTTATATATCTTCGAGGAGTGGGTTCGCCTCTGCAGCAATCCCAATGCGTCCGAGAATGCGCCTGCGCATTTCATTGCTCAGATGTACAATAGGCAGCAGATCAACAACAGGGAGGACCTGCACATGTTCCTCCGACTGGCCATTGACAACTCTGTTGATCGATTTGAGCAACTCATTCAGACCGAGAGTCCTATCAACGAGGCGTACATTGCGACAGACTCCTTAGCCAAGCTCATTGCCTTACTAGTCAAGGGCCACGAACAGGACGGCGCGGTCAAGACTGACAAAGCTGCGTACCTCAACTCCATCCTGTCTTTGACTATCCTGGTACTGAATCACCACCACGTCCTTCGTGGTGAAAGTTTCAATCAGAAACCCTTTTACAGATTGTATTCTACCATCCTTTGTGAGCTGGATGCATTCGAAGAGGGCTTGTCTGAAGATGAACGCCAGGACATCACCCTTGTTTTTGCTAGAATCTTCCTCAAAATTCCACCGACCCATTTCCCTGGTTTCATGACTAGTTGGATGAGCCTGATCTCGCACCGAAAGTTCTTGCCTGTGGTTCTAGGGCTACCTAAGCAAGTTGGATGGGGATTGTTCGCTGATCTCATGGAGAAGCTACTTTTCTACCTCGGAGAATTGCTCAAGCCAGTTATACATCTCGATCCAACCACAAGCCAGATATACCGAGGGGTTATTAAGCTGGTTATCATACTTCACCACGATTTCCCAGAGTTCCTATCAGCAAATCACTCCAAGCTTTCTGTTCATGTTCCCAGCTATTCAACTCAGCTCAACAACTTGATCTTGAGTGCAACTCCGCCTCAAAACGCAGATATGCCAAATCCAATGCAGCCGGGGCTCAAGCTTGACCGTGTGGGCGAGATCCGGCAATCACCAGAGAGTATGAATGACGTCGAGGGGCCACTGCGAGACTCTGGGTTGTTCGACCTTGTAGAGCAAGCCTTAGAGCATGGCCCTTCGGAGGATGCCATTGCGCACATTGCCCATGAAATACAACGAAAGAAGACACGCCAAAATGGGCTAGGCTCACTGCTAGTTGATGCGGACCGAAAGCTGATTGATTCTTTGGTTCTCTATGTTGGCACAAACGCTATTGCCAGATCCGAACACAAGGGAGCTCCAATATTCACACCTGGAACTCCGGACATCAAATTGCTATCCATGCTTGTTCATGAGCTCCGCCCCGCCACAAGATTCGTCTTCCTTGGTAGCATTGTTAATCAACTTCGATTCCCTAACACTCAAACTCACTACTTCAATCAAGCTCTTCTCGATCTTTTTGGTAGTGATGCCAACGATCAAGAAGAGCTGGAAATTCGTGAGCAGATCACCCGAATTCTGCTAGAGAGGTCAATTGGCCAGTGGCCACAACCCTGGGGTCTTCTTGTTGTGATTCAGGAATTGGTCAAGAACAAAAAGTACATGTTCTTCGATCTGCCATTCATCAAGTCTGCGCCTGAGGCAAGTTACCAGCTTTCTATATCTTCTCGAGTCTATACTAACATCCCAGCAGGTTGGTGAGCGCTTTCTTGCTCTGGTACAAGCCGGGCCTGTTCAATAATTGAACCTAACTGATCGGACGAAATCTGAACGATTACTGTCCACTACTCTTATCCCACACAAACTCCTAACACGCATCCCTGAGCCGGATATGTCACCAAGATCCGGTTTCTAATTGTTACATAATCTATCAGTCACAAACGGCGTTCTTTATACCTCAGCATCATTGAGGATCTGTTCTCTGCATAGCGAGCGATGGTTGGGTTTTCACGGTTTTGCAACACTCGGGTGGGGCAAGGCGCGAAGAGGTTTTCCTACTTAATGCATCCGAAATGATAATGTTTCGGCCCTGCCGTCAGAGGGAGGGCAAAAGATGACATGGGAGGCTTTGGGAAAACAGACATATGGCGTGGAAATGGTTTTGCTTATGCTGTCAACCGGAAGACGGCCACTTTGTATCATAGAATGGAGTCTTGTGTTTACTAGGACGTGGTTCACTGAATAAATTCCGTGCCTCTGGATTCTGACAGCTCAATTCCAGCTGTGAAATCATCTGGCAACTTTCCTTGATTCGAGATCTTCTTTCTCAGCGTCATCGCTGCCCCGCAAGCTAAGTAGTCCCAAGCCGAGGGACAAAATGGGCAAGTTCCCGCCATTTCGAATCAAGCGCTGGTGATTAGCCAGTGACCGCTTTGGAGATTGACGGCGGAGAGAGATCTACGAGTCTAAAAATTACACTCTCAAAGTCAAGAGACTAGGAGCGGTATTTGATGATCCGCTCCATGAAGTCAAATCCACGCCGAGGCGGTCGGCATGGAAGGAGGGGACGAGAACATTTGCACGCTACAAGTATGAGCAGGAACCTTTGGGAAAACATATTTACTGCGTTTGCACTTCTTCATCTGAGCTCTTGTTGATGAGTCAAGATGTTGCCTTCTTCGCTAATCCTCCTCTCACTGCTTACTCTCGCTTCCTCCCAAAGCTTCACAACCTGGACGCCGCCAGGCCCAAATGACCTCCGCTCACCCTGTCCTGGCCTAAACAGTCTCGCAAATCATGGCTTCATCCCTCACAATGGCCAAGGTCTCACAATACCTATCCTCATAAAAGGACTCAAAGATGGGCTTAACGTAGGAGCCGATTTCTCAACTGCTATTGGTGGTGCAGGGCTGCTCTCTGTGCCGAGTAATCCTCTGGCTACATCGTTCACTCTCAAGGACATTCGGAAACATAATTTCCCTATCGAGCATGATGCTAGTCTGAGTCGAGCAGATTTCAATTTGGATAACGGGGACAACTGGATGTTCAATCAGAGTATTTTTGATACTGTCTTAAGGTATTATGACGGCATGACGACGACGAGTATCCCCGTTGCTTCGGCTGCGAAGTAAGTGTATTTTCTGCTTCTGCTGTGAGTCGGGTGAGAATATCCTGGCTAATGATGTTCAGATATAATCGTGTCAAGACTGAGCAGGCAAGAGATCCGAAGTTCACCTATACTCCCCAACAGTTCGTTCTGTCGTACGGCGAGACGGCTCTGTATCTCTCCACGATGGGTGATCCCATCACGGGTGTTGCACCGGTTGAATGGGTCAAGATTTTCTTTGGTATGTTCCCTTGACTTTTCGATCCTAGCCTTAAATATGCTGACCAGTTCATCTCAGAGCAAGAGAGGTTGCCGTACAATGAAGGCTGGAGACCAACGACTCTCGAAACGAACTTGCCTTCATTGGGTGCCATGGTTCTACAGCTGAATGCGGCGAACAAGGAGGCAGTGCCTGAGGGCTTGCTGATCACAACGAATACGCTGAAGCTGGCGTTTGGGGGTTACAATCCTATCACTGGATTATTGGATCATATTCTCTGATGGTAAATGGTTGCGGGAGAGAAAATCTTGGGATTGGGAGCTTGGAAAGTGTACTTGTATTTATGACTAATGAGCTCCGCAATTTGTACATTGGGACGATCATGGAGAGACGGCGGAATGTCCTCTGTCTGCCAGAATTTCAGTGTTTTGTTTCACTCCAACGCGTGCAATGATCTGTTCTTACTGTGTTATTTTATACTAGAGATAAAGGAAAGGGAAGTGAAACTGACGAGATCGGAATACACTATAGCAGAGCAATCTGTGTGCAACCGAACTCGTATTCAAATACCTATTATCCAACTCAACCAGAATACAACGACTCCAGCTTCGGATATCACATAAATCTCTGGCCAAAATTTGTCTCTACGGAGCAAACCCAGCATCTGCTTGTCCTACTCCTTCTCAGACCTCACGTTGGTTCTCTCCACACTCACGCTGTCTTCTACAGAAGCCATTCCACTACTCGTCGCATACTTCTTTCCCGTGACATCATGCACACTATCCCACTCAGGAAGTTTCGCCAAGGGCACATTGATCAAGCTATGTGTTGTCTCGCCAGTCTCCAAGACAATGAGTTCCTGTCGAATAGCATAACCGCAACGTTTTGGCAGGACCTTGATCCAAAAGTAGTAGTACAAAGCACAGAGAAGGAGCCTACGCCAATGAGCAAGAGTCAGGCAGACGTGAATAGGGAAATGAAGGAGACGTACAAGCTAAGACCGGTGAGAATGGCGGTTGCGTAGAAGAACGAGACGTTTCCTGCATAAATTCCTCCTTTTGGAGGGAGCCATGGCATGACGAGCAAAAAGACTTGGACGGCGATATAGAAAGCGACGACAATGTCCCAGGCGCGAAACTCTGATGGGCCGACGTTGATTCGCTTTCGTTGACGACGGATGGTGTAGATTCCAATTGCCATGAGCAGAGAGAACACGGCACTTGGATATGATGACAGATCGACAGCTAGGCGGAACTATCAACTTGGGGACTTGGAAGGAGGCATGGAGAGAACATACCAAAGTTGAAGGCGTCACCAAAGGGCGGCGCAAGAATCATGATGACAGTCATTGCATACTTGAGGGCATACGGGCCTAGAGGAGTTCCGAAGGGTTGAGTGGATGCCCAGAATCGTGGGAAAGGTAGAACACCTTGTCTGCGGAAAGATCAATATTGATATGTGATTATTGGCATTAGTACGTACCTTCCACATTCGCGAATCATCCGGGACTGTCCAATAAGTACGCTGACCTAAGTAGAGAGGACAGCAATTAGCTTATTATTCTTGCTTAATCGGCGTAGCGTTGATTTTTGCGAATGTCAAAACACAACACATGAAGATAGACTTACAAGGTTGCCGAAAGCACTCAAAAGGATGAGAATATTCAGACTTCGTGCAGCGCTTCCGCTTCCGAAAACTTTGGCAAAGAAAAGACTGGCCGCAATTGTATTTGCCCCCTGGATTTCCTGGTTTGGAACTAGATGCAAATGCATTAGCATGTGGCTGCGCCTCAACAGTACCTTTCAAATGACTTACGAGCTGCAAAGTACGCGAGGTTAACAAACATGTAAAGAACTGCAATAATAGCAAGCGAAGCCGGACCAGCCCATCTGACGGTCCTGATAGGTTTCTTTGGCAAGTCAGCTTGCATCCAGTATTGGTTTGGGGAATTGGCCAACCTTGATCTCGGCAACGACATTGAAGCAATTCTCCCATCCAGCATACGCGAAGTTGATTCTCACAAGTGCGTTAGTAATTCCATATGCGTCGCTGGTGGTTCCCGCGAAAGAATCGCGGAAATTGAATCCTGGGTCTGGGACTGCAGAGATACCGCCAGCCAAAACAACAAAACCTGTTATACTGATGAAAACCAGTGTGAGGAGCTTTACAACTGATATTCCATTGGCGAACCAGAGCGAGTATTTATTGGAGATAATGACAACTGTAATAGTCAGGAGCTGAGACTTGGTTTGGTTCCTTGTAACGTACTTGCGGTTGCAACGGTGTATCCTGCAATTGCTACGCCTTTAGACTGCCATTCTGTTGGCGTCTTACCTGCTGTGCGATACAGATAGGTAGAAAGTACTGTAAAACTATCAATGAAAGAGCCAAATCATGGATGTAGAAGCAATCGTACCAATAGCATTACTACTGCTGAAAGAGAACAGCACTTTGAAAGCAGCAAAAGCCGTTGGAAGAAAGTATTTTGGTCTCGGCCATCCCTGCTCAAGGTATACGACCTCCGCACCCGATCGATTGGGGAAATACGATGCAAGCTCGAGGTAGACTGAGAGACCAGATATGGCAATTACCAGACCTAAAACCCAGTACAACAGACTCAGGCCAACGGAGCCAAGATTCTTCAGGATAGAGCCAGCTATATATATGGGATTAGTTCTGTCTAAACACACGAGCTAAACACACGAGCGATGGTAGACCTGAACTTACGAGTAGAGAATACTCCAGTACCAACCATCTGTCCGACATTCAGGAGGATGACGGTGAGCCACGAGACTTCATATCCGAGCGGAGACTCCCTTTCGACTGGAGCACCAGATGCCTCTGCTCAATGTTAGACATGTCCCAAACATATATGGGCAAAACAATAGGTACATGCCTTGATAAGACGGCAATGAATCATTGCCTCCCTTCTCCTGGGTATAATTCAAACTCCCTTCGTGGATGACATTCTCGGTCGAAGTACTTTCAGGCACATGCACAGTTGCAACCTTAGCCGGGCCATTCAGATTAGCGAGAAAAGACTGGAAACCCATGATTGCAACTCCCGCTTAGGCGTCTGGATACCGGTAGTAGTCGTAGTAGCGCAGAGAGTGGAAAGCTACATAATCGACCCAGTGAGCGGATCAATAATGGGTGCATAGCACTATATAAATGAAGTAAGACGGGCCATCTCGCCCCCATACTGTATGGTGTTATAATCGCCATGCATAGCGAATATTTGGCCTGCAAGAGATCTAAGATACTGCGATGCGGGACAATGCATCAAATCGAATTCAGATGAATGGATTTCGCGTTCAAACAAGGTGTATAGTGGTTGGGACTGAAAACCGACAATGGCGTCACCGGCTGTATGTAGCACGACCAAATCTTGGGAGCTGTCGCAAAAGCCTGGGTTTATGTTGACATTCGGCTATCCCTCCAACGAGATTGGCCGGGACCACAACGTTAGATAATAAAGTACCCAGCCGAGAGGATAACCGATCATTATACTGGAGAATGGGAGATTTTGACCTGCTCCTTTGAGATATCACGGCTTTCGAAACTGTTATCTCCAGTGGGGCTTTCCCGTGTCTTTGTTGAAGATGTTCGTGGTTTGGAGAAGGACAACGCTTTCGGACTCCCCGTCCCTCGGGACTCCACGCGGCTTTCACGAGGCCCCGTAAATCTTAATATTTTCGGGTCTTCTCCGGATCTCCAAGTATGGAGTACGGCCATATGTGTACAGTATCTACCTGTCCCTGCAGTGCTCCGCCACAGCTCGATTCATGCCGAGGTGGACTGCGCAGTTGTCATTTGAAGGAGAATAGCTACAAGTTTACTCGTGGTGAAATCTGACGTGATTCGGTGGCTTGCGCCGAGGGTTTCTATCACAAGTTCCGAATTATGATGAACCTCCGGGAGCTCAGTATCAACCTCTCCTTTGACTGAGTTATGCACTTTCACCGGGAAGAGGCTGCACCATTTGCTCCGCGGAACAGAAGATCTCGGAGCGGAGCACAAGATGACAAAGCCTTCTGGGCGCTCCCTGATAGCCATCACCAGTATGAGTGGCATGTGAGGTGAATGAGAACTGACCTGTAATAGAAGCTTAGGGTAGAACCATACATCCATCGAGATGCATTGAGTTACTTACTATATAGGATGTACTGTATTGTACACTTTGCTCAGTCTTTCCTCCTCAACTTTAAAATATCACTCAGTTTCACCTCTCCTTTCCCACCCCAGCCGGCCACTCCACCAGCAACATCAGGTCTCACCTGAACATACCACCCCCAAGCCTTCCTATCCAGCTCTTCTCTCGAAACATGGCCATCCCAAGACTTAAACAGCATGTCCAACGCTCCCAGCAGCAAGCCCAAATTCTCCTCTCTCTCCCTATCTATCGCGACTCCTGATTTCTTCTTCCTATTCCCACCTTCAGCTTCAGGCGATCCAAATGCCCTCAAGATATAAGCCCTCGCACCCTCAGGCCTATGAATCGGCATTCCACTTCCAGTAACAGAAGAATTCGCTTTCTTCATGCCTTCTAGATCAAGGCCCCACAGTGCATCCTGGCCAACAACACCAGCGATCCTAAGACGTTGAGATAGGGCATCTCGTGAGACCATGCTCATGAGTCGCCATCTGTCTGTGCCGAGCAGGATGCCTCCATACCATCTCGTAACTACGAGAAGCACGCCTACGATATTGTCTGCTTGCAAAAGACCTAGAATGTGGCGACCGCCTCCGGACTCGCCGTCATCGTTGCTGGATTCTAGAATACCGTGGGAACCCTGAACGCGCCAGGCGGAGATATTGTGGCTTGCTTCTCGGAGGTCCTTATTCTCTGATAGCAGGGTTTGGAGAGCGGAAGTCGCGTCTGCTGGGCTCGTGATGGTAATGGAGCGAGCGACGAATGTTGAGCTCTTGACTGTCACTGGGGATGAGACCGTCCAGCCATTAGAAGTCGCGGCTTGACTTCCACCTTCCAGACCAACAGCACCAGAATTCGGCTCCTCTTTCAAGGTCTGCTCACTCCCCGCCGTACTCTGCTCTCCAACTTCTCCAGCAGGATCCGAGACCTTCTCCTGCTCCTCTTTCCACTCATACCCACTCCTTTTCAAGACACTAATCTCCCTCCCCAATATCCTCACCTTCGGCTGCCCCATTCCCCATCCTTCCTCCTCAGCCCCTTTCCCCTTCTCAATTCCAATACTAACAGCCTTACTCCTCGAATTGGCACTCACCACCGCTTGCGCAAGACTCAGCATCCCACTCAGCGGCTGCTCCGGCATCGTATACTTCAACAACTGTACTGCGAACGCCAGAACCAGCGGCGCACGATTCGTGACGACGACACATTTCGAGATCGCCTCCTCGTCTGCGGAGGGTTGGGGAAGTGATAGGGAGGCTTCGAGCTCAGCGGGAGTTTGTGGTTCTTGTGAGAGTTCATAGGCGGATTTGGTGCGCTTGGAGGGTCCGTTGGTGGGTGAGAGAGTGTCTGCGGCGGAGCGTTTGCCTGGTGTGGAGGAGCCGGATTTGAGGTAGGCTTTACAGGCTGCGAGGAGGGATTTGGCGGTCTTTTCGTCGGAGGATAGAGCTGTAGTTAGGGCTGGTAAATCGATTGCTGCTATGTCCGATATACTGCGAGCTGTTAGTAAGGGTGTAGGAGCTGGGGAGCGAGGGGAGGAGGGAGGACCTGCGTAGGTTGGCGGATTGAAGAGCTTTGACGCGTTGCATTGCTGCGAGCATGGGGATTTTGTTCCGGCCTGTTGTTAGCAAGCGGAGCAGGTCTTGCATATCCTTTTGGGCGGCCATTTTTTTGACGTGTTTGGTCTGTGGTTGTGCTGCATGCGTTGATTGAGTGAGCTCTCCTGAGGAAGGGGCTTCAGCGTGGTTGACGTGAGGCGGGATCAAGCGAAATCCGGGGTTGGATGCCTCAACGTCATTTCTCCAGGCACCAGCCAGCCAGTGGAATCTCAATCAGTGTGCCTGGTACGTTCCCGTCATTTCTTACAGTGTAACAACATGAATTGGAGAGAACAAGCTGGTATTCCCGTACTGTAATGGAACTTTCGGAGAGAAGTTAATCTGTCCATGACAGCAAGGTGGAGAATATCTGGGGTAAACATCTCCACTTCAACCGACATCTATGTCCATCTCTAAACTTCAAGTTCAAGAGTACCGATATTCATTTCCTTACTTCCCCTCCAAAATAACCCTCTTCAATCCCCCCTCCTACTCCATCCCGCCTTCCCCATCATCTCCCCACTCGCCCTCTCCAGCTCCATCATATCAGCACCCATAACCGTCTTCGCCCACAACATCCCCATCCCCCCACCCTCCGCACTCTCCATACACATCAACGTCAAAACCGGTAACTGGTTCTCCGCAAACTTAAAGAGCATGCATATCTCGGACGTGAAATTCATTTGAGCGAATGTGATCTAGCCTTTTTTCTTCTGCTTCGTTTCATTCTCAGTGCTTGGGTTGGAAGTGGAAAAGTTTTGCCTACACCGAGCAGCTAGCTCTTCGTACTGGGGCGTGGGAGCTTTACAAGCTGGGGGTGAGGATTAAAAACGTAGAGGACTGTGCCAGATACTTCGTGGGATTTGGTGAAGTGGGCGTGAGGGGTTGCGTTGGTGAGGTGGATAATAGGTGGCATCTTGCACCGCAAGTTATCTTAACGTGGATCTATTATGAAACTGTAGATGTCTTTGGAGAGTCAAAAGACGGCTGATAAGTGATGCAGCATGAAGGATTGTAGTGTAGATGCAAGGTCAGACAGGCATCCCGAAGTCGAATACACAGCAGCCATTCGACCGAGCCCTCCCCTCGTGTGGCACCTTTAGCTAGCGGCTGGTGTCAGCAATAGGATTTTCGGAGCACAGTAGACTAGATAGACATGATCAGCAGCTGAGGAACGACTGGATTCATCTATAGACGTATATCTCTCCCGCGTCAAAACAAAGACTGCGTCTCGCTTCCGACAATGCGGAACGGAGCCAAGTAAACAAATTAAACGAACACAGCCGAAAAATACGCCAATCAACTTTCCCGTTCCCTTGTTTCTGGTTCCCCATTTACTCTACAATCTCCTTCACAGGCTCCTTTTCTAGACCCTCCTTCTCACTCGGCTTCAACGTAGCTGTTGAAGCAGACAAGTCCTCATCCTCCGGTGCCGCCAAAGGCGCCTTCGTCTCGCTCTCCTGCACAACAGGTGGCTCATCACTACCCTTCACAGGCTGGACTTCGCTGCTACTCTCCTTGGCTTGTGCAATCAAGAGGGCCTTCTCAGTCTCCTCTGCTTGCGAGGCATGATAGTCCTCAATGGCGGATTGTGGAGCCGAGGCATTCTCTGCCTCTGGAGCGATTTCAGCTGGCTCGTGGACAGGAATACCAGCGGTGTTCGTCGCTAGCGTTGGTGTTTCCGACTCGGCGGCTTTAGTATCTAAGGAACCTGAAACAGCAGGCTCCTCGTAGGAGGCAACAAAAACATAGTCTTCGTCCGGGTCAATCTGCCATAAAGTGGCTGGCATGGAGAAAGCTAGAGTGCTGGTTGTTTCTGAGACGGCCGCCGCAGGAGCTGGGCTCTTTGCCGGTGCTCTACGAGCGGGACCACGTGCTCTGCCCTTGCGGGCATCAACAAGAGGAGCCTTCTCTTTAACTTCTTCCTCCTCCGGTGCAGGCTCCTCCTTCTTGGGTGCTTGAGCGCCAAGCTGCAAACGCTTATTCAAATCGGCCATAAAACCTCCTTGCAAAGCGGCAATCTTGCTTCCTAGAGGTCTGGAAGGGACAGGTGGCTTAGGCTTAGCGGCTGCAGCAGCTCCTTGATCCGAACCCACAGATTTGGCTGATGAGTTTGACGGAGTGGTGGTGAGAGGGACATTTTCTGTGGACTCTCGAGTGATTGGCTTCGCAGGTCTGGCGGGTACATGGGGCTTTGCCTTCACGGGAACTGGGGGCGAAGTTGCATCCACTTGTTTGGGACGAGGCCTTTCTGGAATGGCTGGCTGCGCCGTTTCTGGCGATTCGGACAACTTGGATTTATTTGGACGGGCTGGGATCTGAGGCTTCGCGACCGCAGCGATGTTGACTGGTGATGTTACTGGTTGCTCGTCTGGTGGGCTCGTGATATCCTTGTCTTCTACCTGGGGGCTAGCGACAGTAGTTTGCAGTTGCAAACTATCAGGAGTGTCCTCCCAGATATCTCGAGAAGGAAAGCGTTGCTTCGGATTTGGTCTGGTCTCAGCCGCGAGATGAGGCTTGTGAGCCCATGGCTTCTTCTCCTGATGCAAGAAACTGTCTTGAGGTCTGGACTCTCTCTCCGCGAGTTCTTCCTGTCTCCTGGCAAATGCATGGGCCGAGTTTACTTCCTCTGGGCTATCTTTTGATTCTGCTTCTTCCTCTTCAGGTAATTGAGGCGTCGAGACAGTAGCGGTATATTGTAAGCTATTGGGTGTATCCTCCCCTGCGAAGAAAAATTATTAGTAAATCATTGGACTGCGGCTTCTTTTCAAGAGTGTATGTAGGGGCTTGGCCCTGCCATTCAGTTTGGTGACGTCTCGTCATTACTTACAGATATCTTGCGATGGAAACTTGCGATTTTTAAGCTCCGGGCGCTTAAGTCTATCAGCAGCAGTCAAAGGCTTCTCTTTGCCTGCAGCACTTTTCTCCTCTTCGGGGAACAAAGGTTCATATTCATCCAGATCTTCGAGATGAGCACCAGGTAAGCGAAGACCGGGCATAACTCCGTGAATACTCCCAGGTCGACTTGAAGGTCTGCTGTTGTTGGCGCTCGACGCGCTTCCAGATCTGTAATGGAAAGCACCATCTTCGTAGCCCCTGCGTTCGTTCAAGGGCGATACTGCAGGCTCAAGATTATACCCAAATGGCTCTTTAGCAACCTCGTCTGATGCAAGAATGGGAGCGCTGTATTCATCGTCGACGCCGTGGCTTATTTGCCGCTCAAGCTCTTCCGTGGATTCTGCATAATCTGCGCCGTAGATTCTGCTTGAACGGCGTCCCGGGTTGTCCACATGAATTACATCATCCTCGGCTTCACTCTCTAGAGTTGTATCCGAAGGAGCTTGGAGACTCCTGGAAAGAGTCTTCTCAAACTCAGCCTTGTTTGATGATTCTGCAGCAGAGGATTCCTTCCTCAATGGCGAATCCACGTGTGTATCCGAAATATTCGAGTGCGAAACATGATACCCAGATTGTGGGCGAGGAGAGGACATTCTCGAGGCATATTCCTCGCTAGCTTGAAATCCGACTTGTTCGGAAGGAGTTCCAATGAGGTTATGTGAGCCTAGATTATATTAGATTGCTCGGTGATTCATGTGCAAAGCACACAACTGTATTCCTTACCAGATCCAGCTCCACGGCTGGCGGTATCTCGAACAATCTTGTTCAGATCATCACTGCTCATGGCCCACTCTGGTCTGCCTTCTCCGTATTGTCCAAGCTCCTTCTTGAAAAGTTCTGGATGCTTTTCGTAGTATGCCTTCTCGAATCGATCGTGGGGGATGACTCCGTGTCCGTAACGACCACTAAGTAGCAGTTAGAGAATTTCCAACAAATGTGGTCTGCTAGCAGACTCTGCTAAAATCAATGCGGGGTTCTTACTATGCATCGGGTGGAATATCATGACCACGCGAGCTAGTTTTTCGGCCATGATGTCTGGGTTTCGACCCATCGTTATGGAACCCAATGCCAGGAGCAAATGGCTGAGCAAATGGCGCAGGCGATGGAGCTTGCACATCACCAGCATTCGGATACATTGGCACACGTTGTCCAATCTCAGGAATGCCATGGTCGCTCTCAGCGCTCGAAGGAGGGCGTTCGGTGCCACCAACGGAAGTTTGACTAGCAAAACTCGCCTTTGCCTTCAATGATCTTGTGTGAGGCTCCTTATCATCTCCTGAGGGCTTGCCAATGCCGTATGCCGCAGCCTGACCAGAATCCGTACGAGTAACTGTCGAAACTCTGGCCTTGGCGCTGGAAACTGGCAGAGATGGTTTCGGAGCATGTAGCTTGAGATCATTGGCTATATTGCGAGTTTGTGTAGGAGATGATCCCAGTTGTTCCTCGGAGGGATTTGAGAATTCGGCATATTCGTTTCCCTCCTGCCCAAGGGATGGCAGGGTGACGCTGGGTGGACGGCGAGGTAGATCTGACACAGAGAGGCTCTCGCTGGATTGTAAAGACGACTTGCTGTGGTTGCCGTGGTTTGCGAGGAAGGGGGTTTCGTTGAGAGGGGATCGAGCAAAGCTCTCTCTGGCGGGCGAGATGGAGCGGTCAACACGTCGATGAGCCGGGCGTGGAGGTATTTTGGGAAGGTCGCTGCCAAGAGAGCTGCCACTTCCAGCAGACTGGTCTTGCTGTGTGGTCCTAGTAGGACGAGGAGGGACTTGTGGAATGGCGGTCGACATTGTACAGAATGTTCAGTTGCACGATTTTCAGTTAAGAAGTTTCGATGGTTTCTGACGTTGAGATTAGTACTAAAATCTGGCTGGGCCCGAATCTGAAGCGAGCAGCAGCAGTAAGTGAGTAGATAGGACGAGGACGGGCTGGCTTAGCAGCGATGCCGGCTCAGGCTGTGCAGATAAAGATAATAAAGTTTGGGGCTGGCAGCTGCAGCTTTGGCTTTGCTTAGGAGGGTGGACTGTTTTATCCAATTCGATTGCTTGAGCTGTGCAGCCTGCCTGCTCACTACCCGGTGGTCTGTTGAGAGCGTGGTGCAATGACTGACGAGAGCCACCTTGCTGGATGCAGCTGTGGTATTGTGATACCAGACCGCTGCTCGGCTGGAGGTCTTTGTGACCCAGCACGTCTCGAGAATTTGCGTGGCAAATGCAGGGGATGGAGAATCGAAGCATAGATAAAGCAGACTGACTTACTTGTAATGCTTTAGCAATCGATGACTGGCTGGCTGGCTGACTATTCAGAGCTCAATCATTGAAGCTGGATAGAGCTCCAAAGGTGCATATGCAAAAGTGTGTAAAGAAAACTGGATATCTTGATATTTGAATCAGAGATGCAAAGGAAGAGAGATAGAGGAAAGCTGGGGAACGGTCGTGTCATATGGTTCAGCTCTACTCTAAAAACAGCTACGGATCAAGTAAGGCAAGGCAATTGGAAGGTACTAGTAAGAGCAGAACCTGGATGTTCCTTCCCCAGGCGCAACAGGCCCAGAAGACGGTCCACTTTCTTGGTTCACGATCCCATCCACCTCAGGTCTTCCATTCCGCCCATGACGACGGGAGCTTAGCGGCATCATCAAAGACAACAGTTGGCCAGCCAAATCCAAAGCACGACATGGCCACCACTACGCTCATTTTTGAAAACACCGGCTTTTCCAATTGCAAACTTGACTCGTACCACAGATAAATACCACAGCTTTTCCTCCTTCTTCTTCTTCTCTTTCTCACCTCTTCACTTCTTACTCCGACAGCTCCACCAGATGCAATGCAATGCACACGATCACTCCAACCAGGGCCCGCGCAGCTATCCAATCCTGTTCTTTTGATTGGAGATCTCTCCAATGCCAAAGCCATCGAAAGCCGGCCGCTATGGCGCAGTCTGATTCGCCTTCCACCGCCTGCCCCCCTGACCTGACCCGGCTTTTAGAGCCTGCAAGTCTGTAAAAGTTCTTTCCCCTCCATGCCCCGCTAGATGCCGAACTAGAACTTCCAGAACAAAACGAACGCAGCTGTCTCACCCCTTTGAAAGGAAAGAAAAGAAAATCTTGAAGCACGATATTTGAAGTGGATGTATGCGGTCTAACATTGATTAGTTCTTGCAAGAGCTTTGTTTACGATCTTGATGTTTTCCATTCAAGTTTCAGCTGTTGATAAAGAGCTAGATACAAACCTAGCAGGGAATTGCGTTATTTCTCCATCTTTTATCCCTCTCGAAAATGATCAGCGGCGTCCAGACCTCCACCCCCTTCCACTTCCAAGCTTTCCATCAACGGCCCCTCAACCATGACCGAAACCGCTACTTCATTCCTCATCACATCACATCATCTCGGATTCTCGGGCACTCCGTAAAATTTTACAACAAAACACAAAAGACCTACCTACTGTATAACAGAAGACCAAGAGTGACGCGCCAAAAAAGGACTGAACGCTCCTGCTGAAAGTCTCAAAGAGGCAAAACTCTTCAACACCACCTGACACCGCCAAAACCCATCCGTGCCTTGCGCCATCCCGCTTCCATCTCCTGTAACTCCCTCCCTACCTACCTAGTCCCAGCTCCAGTCCGTCCTATCCTCAGCTCGACCTAAGCTACCTTTCCCCGCATCGAGCGTGTCATGCGTAGCTAGAGATCTGTACCTGCTGCCAATCATACTTTTTTTTCTTCATCACTTTCTTCACTTACATGCCGCTTTCGTTGCATCTTCTTCATTTCCTTGTAGTCACAGTTATTGAAGTTGAGCAAATTGACGAGGCGGGATGGATGTGTGTGACCGAACCGTCGGGCTTCAATGCAGATGGAGAGAGGCTCGTGACCTTTATCTACCGTGGTTTTGATATTTATCCATGGGGAGGAATGCAGTAGGTGAGCTTTGGCGGTGAGCAGGATATAGCTCCGTCTTTAAAGGGCCGTATTGGCTTGTATGATTAGAGCTTGTTGTACAGACTTTGTGGCATCTTCTTTTGCCAGAGTATCACCTTGCATGCTCAAGTTGTACAAAAGCTTTGAAGTTGCCAGTCGTCTAATCAATGAGCCCATACACATGCTCCTTCATGTCGGCCAAGGTCTTGCCCTCTTGCTTACTCCATCTGCCATCATGTTGGTTGTCTCCTGACTTCGTCATTCTGACTTCGTCTATACAGACATTATAGTAGGTTTTGATCGTCTATATCTACACAATTCGTGAAGAGACCTCTAACTTCACAAAGAACCAGTTGGAAGGAGGGGATCAATTAAGCCGTTGAAAAAAAAATCCAAACGTCATAGGCTCGAAGGCAAGGAATCAAATGAACGACGTTTTGGGAACCGGGTGATGGAATCCTAACTTGAAGCAAGATCTTCACAGCCCATGTTGCGAGAGCATTTAACACCATGGAAATTCAAAAGCCAGCGCTGGAATTGTCAAACTAAGAAGTCCATCATGCCACATCACTGTCACATTTCGCTTTCTTTCTAGAAGTCGGTATAATGCGTCGAAACAGACCAAATCATCCATCCATCCATCAATCGTTCATGCCTATCCCTCCAGACCTCATATGTACCCAACGTCCTTAGCCTACCACTTAACCGAAAACCAACTTGAAGACGTCGTTGAAGATGAAGTAGCTTCCATTGCCATCTGGGAGAAGTTGGAAAGCCTGGCTGTAGTTCATCGGTCTCTGCTCATCGTCCACCTGGAGGTATGCAAGTCAGCCAATCATTCACCAGCAGTGTTGTCCATGTAACCATACCAAGAGAGCCCCAGTGACGAGGATCAAAATTCCACCATGATCTCCGGAAGGTTGTGCGTCGAGTGTTGAGACGGCGTGCTTCACTTTCTCGAATGGGAGGCTCTGCTCGCAGAGTCTAGTTAGCGGGCTGAATCAACTTTGGAGTGCTGGAGCCTTACATCGAGCTTCTCCACGATGCCCGCAGCACCAGCAACAGATGCCGACTCGAAAGTCAACATGGAGTTGTCACGCTATATTGTATTAAACCTTTGTGTTCGTAAGGTGGACCGGGCCGGGCACTAACATAGAGAGCAGCCAACTGCTTCCTGTCTTGATCAAACTGGTTGTAGTAGAACTCAACGAACTGCTCTGTAAACCAAAAGTGTTAGCTTTGCAGCTGAAGTATGCAGACCCTTCGCCTCGTTGTTTTCCGATGTGCGGGTATTGCCGACTTGTCCAGCGAAGCCTTCGTCATGAAATTGCGGTCAACTTACTTGCGATATCTGCGAAGTCTATCACAACATGTTAGCAAAACACCCCTCATCTGGCGCGACAAGCTCCAAATGAGCTGCACAACAATTTCTCTGGATAAAATCCACGGATTAGAATGTGGTACTCACTTGACATCTTGCCGGTTTTTCAGGTACGATGTTTTGATGGTGTTTTTGGTCTGCTGTTGAGGGGTCTCTGTGTTGTTTCTCGCGGGTTGGTGGGGTAATTTTTGTGATGCATGCGCGGCGAGCTCGGTCACCTGATGAAGCTAAAGACTTTAGCGCCCTTTGAGAGGTCTCGCAAATTTATAAATTCGACCCGAACTTTCTTCTGTCTGTAAGAACCAACAAGCACGAACGGTCCGCACAGGTCCACAGGTCTCTGTGCTTCACCAGCAACAAATGTCTGTTATACATGTCTCTTGCAAGTTTACTAATTCTAGGTCCCTGGTCTTCTAGCTTCTTCTGGTACGTTCATTCTCCTACATGTTTCGCCTGCACTTCCCGTTACTATGATGACTACACTTCTGCCCTTAAGAACGGCCAACTGAACTCCCATGTTGATTCAATCAATTATCAAGCTCAACAGTCTGAGAACTTATCTACGAAATGCTCTTATACTTCTAGCTCTGCCAGATATCTTTTAGCAGTCGCTAATTCGTATAACAGATCAAGCCAGAGCGAATGTAGAATCATCAGCAAGCTGGGCGGTTCTGGGAGAGCACAAGGATACACCCGGGGATGCGGCAAGAGTTTCAGGTGCAAGTTGACAGCCAGTGAGACACTTGATCCGTCGGTTGGCAGAAGGCTGAAGCTGGCTCTTTGTCGTGTTGTCTGCTCAAAGGAAAGTTAGGCAGTCTCGCTATTGAGGCAGGATATTGGATAGAGATAACTTTGATGAATGATATGCATCGCTGCCCATGAATGGTTAAAAATGCAGGTGACGTGTCAGTCAATTATGTTGTGAATGAATGAATGTCCTCAAACTGTTCCAGCACATCTTCTTCACTTCTGGGTGTTACCCGAATTCCCTATCCTTGGGTCGTCCGTGCCCGAGCCGCGCTCAAGCTCACGGCAGGCGAAAGCGAGCCCTGACGAACCGCTCTGGAACATCGATTCAAGCGTTCCCCGACTTTTGGACATCACCTTCGCTCTCGCAGAATCACTCGCACAATCACTTGAGAAGCTGCGCGTGAAGCATCCTCGCTTGAGCAGATGCACTAACGCTGCAGCATATCATTTTTGTCGACATTCTCGCTGCACCTACAGTCTCCACTACCTTCAGCCTCTTCCTCGTCACCCACCTCCGCCTCTCCACCTCTGAGCACCCCAAACACGTTGCTAAAGTCACAGCCTTTTTCGGGGACTTTGCAGAGTCAACAAAATACCTGCGCGCAGCTTCGGTTGCCCCTCGATCCATCATGCCATGCTTTAAGGGCATAGCAGTTAGCGTACACGCTGAAGGCGCTCCTCTGCCTGAATATTCGGTACAGAAGCAGTCCAGGGTTTCGCGCGTCAATACGTATATTCCGGTACCAAAGCCTAAAATTCCAAAAGATGCTTCCTCCGACAAGGCAGAACCATCCAAGTTCGCCATCTCCATCACCCTCCTCGTTCCTGGTCTCTCCGTTCCATATTCCACCCCAAAACCAACTGCCGACAATCCACACCCCCGAGCCCAAATCGTGGGAGGTCTGCCTGGCGCAGCTGGTTCACGCGGAAGCTACAGTGGAAGTATAGGTCCATACATACCCATCACAAAGTCCGAAAATGAAACTATTGCTGCGTACATCTATTTTGATGGCCGGGCTAAGGAGGAGGTTGCTACACTGCTACGACCGGGCGAGGAGACTTGGGTAAACTCACGATGGGTCCAAGTTCCTGCTTCTGAGGGTGGTGGTCTAGCCGAGAGAGAGTTTTTGTTCCGTGAGGTCGGACTTGAGAGATGGCTGAATGGTCTGGATTTAGATGGGAACGATGCGGCGGCAAAGATTGAGAAGCGCAGACAGAAGTTCGAGAAGCGTCGCAGACGTCGGAGAGAGACAAACGGAAGTGACGAGGATCTTGACCTGACCGGAAATAACTCAGCCGCACCCAAGTTCGGAGGGCGAGAAGTACTCAGATATGGTGATGATGCACAATCTCCGGTCGAGAAGTTGGCAGATTTCGACGACGATGACCTCAGCTCAGACTCCGACGATGACTTACCAGAGGCTGCTGGGCAGATCAAAGTCGCAATGTTCCGTGTACTGGCATCTGGGGAGATCAAGAGAGGCGAATATTCTCCACAATTTGATGCTCATGATGACGACGAGGACAAGGGAAACGGCGAAGAGGCGGATATTGATCACACTACCAGTTTTGCAAAGCCAAAAACCCTGGATCCCAAGTCAATCAGCACTCAGACAGTCACGGGCATTGATGGACCAGACAAGCCTTTTGCAGTTTTCACATTCTTCTATCGCGGAGAGAGTAAGTATATCAGTATCATTTCCGAAATCTGCTAACCATCTTACACCAGAGCAACTGCAAAAGATGGGAATTCTACATCCGAAGCCAGCAAAGGGTGCTGTAGCTCCTACCAAGCGACGTTCTACACAGCTCGACTTCTCGAATCTAGCTCCATTGAAGCAAGGTGGAACTGTTGGATTTTCTTCTTTTAGAGATAATGAACCTTCCGCAGGCCGCAACAAGAATAGAAAGAAGAGCAACGGTAGTGTTGGAGCATCTGCGACCCTAGAAGATAGCGACGAAGATGATGACGATGCCGAGATTGTAGGAAAGATGGAGGATGTTGAGGACAAGGATGTGAAGACTATGTTGAGTCCTGAAGACGCAAAATTTACAGGCGAATTGGCAGACGGGGTCAACAGAATCAAAGTAAGCTATGGTTTCCGTAACATCTAATTGTGTATCTACTAATGTCAAAACAGCTCAAGCGCCAGCATTCTGCCGAACCTCTTAACGCCAATTCCCGCAAATCACCTGCATCAGCATCTACTTCGGTTGGAGCAACTCCTCCTGCTGAAGCCGCATCTGCCACTGCTCAGCCTCAACTACTCCCAAACAACGTGTTTGGTGGCGTACCAGATGAGTCTGTCGTTGGCAGTCCCCTCAAGAAGCACAGGGCAAGCTTATATGACATCGACAATGAGACTATGCAGAAGCGACTCGGTACAGGCTTCTCATCGTCAGGTGGGGACGTTGTAGCTGCAGCGGAAGCTGCTCAGAAACCCCTTCCACCAGTCGACAACAATATGGAGGATGAGGAGCTATGAGGGGGAAAGAGGATTCAGGCAGTAGCATCGGATCAACATCCTGGTCATTTCTTGCTTGGTTAGATACACAGGCGGAGAGATTGGAAAGCACATATTTAGGTGCAATGTTGAATTCCTACTATGGAGAAGAGAACTGGACTGTGGCGAGCGAGTTAGCGATATGAGCGAACAAATTCTTGTGGCTATGGAATCTGCACTCAAAGAATGAGATGCACATATACGGCCCCTTTGTAACGAAGCCTATTTTACAATACCCAGGAGCAAAGCATCCGCTTGGGGATGACATTTAGCGTCCAGGGGGCACTGGCACTTGATAACGGGGAAACCACTCTTGAATGAAAGTCCTGTGTTTTGCTCGTGACATATATGTATCTTCCTTCGTGTATTCACTCGATATCCAGATCCGACTCCGAATACACAACACGTAATATTAGTGAATGTAACAAGTCAAGCCCACAACATTCAAGCCGCACAGGCTTTGGGTACTTTTGCACTGTAAGCTTGAGTCCAAATAAGGTTCTGGAGCCTCTCGAACATGCGGGGATGCGGCGGAGGGGCGGGGCGTCGGATCAAATGCTTCTTCTGAACATCACTCCCTTGGGTAAGATGACGGCACGGAGTTAAACGCCGTTTCTTCAAGTCACCCCGTAGGCTGTTGCATCTCTGACATTTTAGTTCCTTGACTCGTACTTCTCACTAGGCAGCTACATGCTCAAATAGCTTTCAGGGTCCAGCAGAGCTACGCATTTCAGGAACGCCTTGCTGTTGATTGAGCTTTGCTTACGTTGCTTACATTGCGTGGCTCTTTGAGTATACAAATACCTAGCCGCACTTTTAAATCACATTCGTTTTTGAGTTTTAAAAATTCAGGAAAGATGATCATTCAATTATTGCCTTGTTTATGTTTGCTTCAATACCTTCCTTCTTCGTTCGCGCTTGAGCAGAAAGTGCTGAAGAATGGTTCTGGGAAGAAGAATCCGCTTGATTCGAAAGTGGAGGAATTGGTGAAGAGTTCGTTGGACAAATGGCATGTGCCTGGGATCTCGATTGGTGTTGTTGATGGGGATGATATGTGGGCGGAGGTGAGCTATATCTCATTTTAGGTTCTTGTTTGTTCTCAAAAGGTAACATGTTGAGCAACGATTCAAGCATGTCTTTCCTCTTTAAGATCCTGAAAATACGTACCAAGACTCACAATCATCCAGGGCTACGGCATGGCCACGCTTCCTTCCACACCAGTCACGCCCTCAACACTATTCTACGGCGCCAGCACCACCAAAGCCTTCGTAGCAGCCGGCATGTCACTTCTCGTCACGGACCCCTTAAACTTCACATCTCTAAACTGGAAAACGCCTATCTCGTCCATCATCCCCGATGACTTTGTTCTCGAGGACTCGTGGGCAACGGACCATATCACTATCGAGGATATCTTGTCCCATCGGACGGGTATGCCGAGACATGATATGAATTATGGGGGGACGTATGAGGGGAGGAATTCTACGCCGAGAGACGTGGTGAGAGCGTTAAGGTATTTGCCGTTGACGGAGGAGCCTAGGGTTAGATTCCAGTGAGTGGTCTTCTCGTTTAGATTCAGATTTATTAGCCTCTTTCCTTGGTCTGATAGGGTTTGGGATGGTCCCGTGCTGACACTGGTAGGTACTGTAATATGATGTATGTCGTTGCTGGACATGTGATCTCGACTTTAACTGGAAAGTCCTTGGAAGCATTCTTGAAGGAGAGGATTTGGAGACCTCTGGGAATGAAATCTACCGTGAGTCGAAAGTTTTCATAGTCTCAAAACTGGTATCGGAAAAGTAAATATTTCGTGGCCATGTGGAGAGACTTTTCTGCTCAAGAACCTGGGACTCAAAACTCCAAAAATTGTATGTCAATTTCGGAACTGATCCCTGAACTGACACCAAATCAGTCATTCTCCAATGAAGACGCCATCTCCGGCCCTGACCACTTCGCCCAAGGCTATGTCTACTACGAAGACAAGTATCTCCCCGTTCCCTACGAAGAGGACCTTGTCACCAACGCTGCTGCCGGGTCCATCATATCCAACGTCCTCGACTACTCCAAATGGCTTCATGCACTCATCCACAGATCATCACCTATCTCAAAAGACGGCTACCAAGCTCTCTTCACACCACGCATGCTTCACGATGCAGACGATGTACCATCTACCGGTCCAATGTCCTATGCTCTTGGTTGGGAGACTTCGACTTACAAGGGCTACCAATTCTACGAGCACAGTGGTGGTGTTGAAGCATTCGGTTCGCACGTCATTTTCTTCCCAGAGTTGAAGTATGGAATTTGTGCCTTTGGAAATACCGGTGTATCTTCAAACATTGTGGAATTGAAAGCTATTTGGCATCTGATTGACGAGAAACTGGGCATTCCCGAAAAGGAGAGGTTTGATTGGGATGCGAAGTAAGTTTCATTGCTTTCCCATAACTGTTGAATTCCCTGCTCCAAACCGAGATCTCTTATCATATGAAACACGAGCCATATTTCAGCCTTAACACAATCTCAGATTCAACAAAGCCCTCAAGCAAAGGACAGACGAGTACGACAACGCCACCAACATATTCTACCCACACATCCCCTCTCCACCACTTCCAGCCACCCTTCCCCTCAGCAACTACACGGGCACCTATTTCCACCCCGCTTACCGCAACCTCACTCTCTACATGAAAGACGATGTGTTGCATATCGCTAGGCTGGATGCGTCCTGGCAAATCACTATAGATTTCAAGCACGTGTCTGGCGATTATTTCATGGCCTATGCGGATTCAGTAAATGCGCCGGGATTCATCTTCAAGGGAGCTCTGCCTGCGGAATTCAAGGTTGGGAGTGATGGTGTGTCGAAGAGTTTGGGGATCGCGTTCGAAGGGGAGATGGGGGAGGATGGGAGGATCTGGTTTGAGAGGATTTGAGGCGTGGAAGATTTTGGACGGTGAAATAGAAAAAACCATACTGTTATGGATGTATATGTGATCTTGTGTGAGTTGGAGCATTAAAAGCCTAACGACCATGCACAGGATAGGACACATGAGTTAAAAGAATGTTCTATTACTCAAATGTATTTCCAGCAAAGATACAGGATTTGAGTGTTTATTCCTCAAATTTGGCTTAGAGCTCTACAATTCATGTTTGATTTACCTGATATGAACTTCTAGATGTACTGAGAAGTTAGTTCGGGGCCTACCTCATAGAAGCACTAAATCAAGTACGCGCGAGACCGAACACTCACTACACAATCCCACGACATTTAAAATGACATCTTCATAATAGCCAACGCACTTGCTTGAATTTATAGAAGAATTGGAGGTCAAACCGTAGCCGGTTCTCCTCTCTGATAGTAGACTCTTTCTACACTCATACCACTCACATATTCAGCCTTACAAACTCCCTGAAACCACTTCACATCACAACGACACCACCATCCTGCTCCCTCGAAGATCAAAAAACTAAATCCACCAAAATGACTCATAACTGCACGCTCGCCTCTTTTCTCTACGACGAGTTCACCCTCGTCACGGTCTGGTTCGAGCCATTCAGGGACTACACCACCCACCCACCATACCGACCAAGCGACCCACTAGCCTACCGGCTTTTTCCAATTTTCTGGGCCATGAGCTACACTATAGTTCTCGTCATATTCATTTTAAGGGCCAAGTTCATTTTCAACGTAGGGATGGCGACGAAGATGGCGAGAATGTCCCCGAGTGAGAGAGATGCCTGGATTGGGAGGTGGAGTGAGGTTGAGTATGCCGGGACGGCAGATACAGAGAGAGCAGATGGGGAGAAGATGAATACTGAGAAGAGAGAAGATCGCGATATGGTTTAGAGTGTTGCTTGAGAGGCGGGGTTCTTCACCCTGTCGGGAGTAGGTGAACGAGCGTTCATATCGGTGTACAATAAATGCTACCTCACAATTTGTCCGTGACAACGTGTCTGCTAGAGTATAGTTAGTAACTTATTGATGAAATCGCTGAAAGGGTTTTGATATGTTATTGGACTGCGTATATGGCGCTTCCGGGAAGGATATACTAGAAGGATATCCAAGGAAAAACTTAACCGAAGTGGAAGAGTGATAAGATTGATTCACGGCCGAGGGGAATCGAACAATAGGCATCTAACAAGAAGTTCTTTTCTTCGAGATGCCTGGTCATAATGAATGCTCAAATAAACTGCTTAATGTCTATGATTTCATTTATCGGTGGCAGCTTTTTCGCATACTTTCTTGTTTTGTTGTTGCTGTGTTAAGCGAGAAGGCCTTGGCCACCTTTTCTGGGTATACACAGGTCTCAACCAAAAGTCACTGGAAGAGTCTAGATTTAAATATAGAGGTGAAGCAGACCAAGTACAACCAGAAGATAATAGCTGATTGGATTCCTTTACTCTAAGCTTACTCGCTACGAGACTGCCAAAATTTGTTGAAACCCGAATTCTTTCTCTTGATCCTGACTCTTGTCTGTCAAATCAACCCAATGCACCAAGCCGGACCGACCAAGCCAATCCAACCCAAGATCCCAGACTAAACCAAGCCTTACGCCAAACAAACACAGTGGTTTACTCCCTCACAATATCAAGATCATCATCCGAGTCATTAAAGTCATTAGCACCACCCAGCGGTGTCTTCCCGACAACCTCGCCACCAAAGCTCTCCCGCCCAGCTTCCCTGATGCCCTTCTCAGTCACGAATCTTGTCTTTTTCTTGACCGGCGGCTGGCCCTCCTTACTGACATTCTCGCCGTTCTTCATCTTGCCCAGCTGTTTCGTCAGATCAGACCCCCAGCCCACGGCCGCCGAGCTAGACACAGTATTCGTGCGTTTCCGTTTGATAGGACTGAGCGCTACATTCTCGGCTTTCCCGCCCAAGAGACCAAGTTTCCCTGCATCGGGAGGTGCTTCGGCTTGCGAGGAGCTATATATGTCGCTGCGTGACGGAGCAGAAGGATCGCGGCGTCGCATGTATTCTGCACCTTGTCCACTTCCCATGGTTCCCAACTTTCGCTCTAGTTCTTGCTCTTTCTCTTTCGCCAGAATGCGTCGCGTCATGCGCTCTTCCTTCGTGGAGCCACGGTGAAAGGCGTCGGGATCGAAATCGACGTCGTCAAGCATATTGACAGTACTTTTCTTGTCGATGAATATTTGCGTGTGACTGCCTCTATCATAACGGGTGACCTTCTCGTCTTCTTTCTCTTGCTTGCTCTTGTATCGGAAATTAGAAGCTGCATCTTGTCCAAATTTCCCGCTGCCGCCTCCTCCACCTCCACCATAGCGACCTTTGCCAAAGCCCATGGTGTTAACTTCCATACGGTTGGTGTGAGTCTTGTTGAGAGTGAGATTGACGTGAAAGTCGCAGAATTCTGTGTGCCGTTTGTCGACCCATGAATCGCAGGTTTTACCATCTTTTTTGACACTTTTACAGTAACCTAGATCTCTTGCTGTCCCTACCTCGAGAATGGTATCCGCATTTGAGTTTAACGTCAAGCTGAATTTCCCTGTTGCTTCCTTCCCCTTTGGTGGCGGCATGAACTGAGGGTTCAGAATGGCTATGATTGTGCCCGGGGTGTATTTCCAGAACTTTTCGAAAGCGGTATCAAATAGGAACAAATCAAGCTCCCATTTTAGATCAGTCAAAGCCATAACCATGAACTTCCCTCTATTCTGATTCTTGGCATTGGCATTCGGTTGATGTGCTTTTGGCTCTGTTTTCTTGGATATTATTCCAAAAACGACGATGTCCTCTTCTATGTCTGGCCCGGAAAAATCTGGACCTTTCACTGTCTTCAAAAGGTCCGGAATGAGAAATGTTTTCTTTCCCGTAAGCATTCGCGTGAGTTCGGGATGAGGGATAATGCGCTTTGAGAGATGTTGGGCTGAATATGGCTCAAATTGGGAAGCATCTGCTTCGGATTCTGTGACTTCTTGCGGATTCTTCGCCATATCCGGTCCTCTCCTCGGGGGCGGTTTTGAGGAAGACGCTGAGGCCCTTGAATCTGATCTGCTTTGGAGAGAAATTGTAGCATCTGAACTTGTACTTCTGATCGCGGGCCGGAGATTTGGAGCGCTTCTACTAGGTGTCATTCCTGGTTTGGTGCCTAAAACTTCATCCCTGGTAAATTCTGGTGCTACCCGAGAATTATCTGGTAGTTCAACAGCGTTCTCTTTGAACCTTTGCATCTTTTGGTGATCAATATCAAATCCTGCGCTCCGATTCTTCCTGATTCTTTCCTGCCTCTCCTGCCGTTCGAGATCTTCAGACCTGACAGCTGCCATCCTCTCACTGAATGTCATGGGCCGATCCTCATTCGAAAGGTTGGCTGACGGGGTAGCAGTTCCATGAGCACGACTGCTGGCCTGAGAGCCAGTTCTTTGTAAAAATGGCCCTGCCAGTCTCTCGGTCGATATCTCATCTCTCTTCTTCAGACTTGGCGCACGCTTTAGCGATATGTCACTCCCTCGTAGCCCTTTATCTATCCCCAGCAAAACCCTGCCTGGTGACCGTTGTATCGTCGGAGGCTGTACTTTTCGGATGGGAGATACTGGAACATGTACTTCGGGTTGAGCCCTCGCCTTTTCCAGCCGTTCCTCGCGCAAGCCTGCTATCCTTGACTGTGCCCGACTTGCTGCCACTGAGTTCGCCCTCTTCAGTTGTGCTGAGTCGGACCTTGCCGTTTCGTTCTCTGATTCCGATGCATGCTTGGTCTTCTTCTGTAGCTTTTTGAGCTTCAAGCGCGCCTGTATCTCCTGCAATTGAAGCTGTAGGGTTTCTTCGTCCTCGTCATCATCCTCGTTGTCCATGTCTGACTTCATGAGCTCTTTGGCCCTGTTTCGCATGGATGCCGAGCGCTTTATTGGTGAAGGCGTTGGAGAGCCGCGTTCTGCCAGACGTCGCAATCGATCGCGACCTCCGGGCGTGCTGAGGAGGACCTCGTGAGGAGATCTCGGCGGCCATTCAGGATTTGCCATGGCTGGAAGGATGCGGTCAGTCGCCAGTCTGGAGGACCTCAAAAAGGCTGTACTCACGTTGAGACATAACAGGATCTCGGTCGGGCCATCAGGTAAATATGCTACCGTCCGTATGCAAGACTTCAGATGTTATGAAGGGTGCATTTACCTCCTTACAGGGATTGAAGTATATTGATCCATGCGTTAATCTAGGACGCGATGATTCCGCGCAAAATGGATGTTCGAGATGGGACTTTCTGAGAAGTGCGCTCTTTCTAAATTGGGCATAATCAAGGCTTTGAACTTCAATCCAGGAGCGGCCCAGTCCACCTTTGGTGGGAATACTAAATCTCCAAGAATTGTCGTTGTGCAGTAGAATTTCGTCTCAATTTAGCGACGCGTTCTGACACGCTCCAAGACGCGTCGTCCAGGATCTCAATTAAACTTGTGCATCTTCAAACATCTCGCAACACCAAAACATCACCAACGCAACAATTTTTCGAAGTGAATTTTGGTAACAATGAAGACTCGAGGGAGACCGTCAACCAAAACCGCCAAAGCAGCCACCGAACCCAAGGCTCCCGATTCAACAGCTGCAAAAGTCCAGTTAAGCACCGAGTCAAGCAACCCTCCCCACCTATTCGTTCTTCCCAAAGACCTCAGCAAAGATGCCCGAATCGTCACACTTGAGAATCCGAGATACTTTAGTGACGATCGATATGTTATATGTCCGGAGCGAGGGTTTTACGAGTTTACCAAGGTTGCAGCACCCAGAACAACTCCAAGGAGTTGGTTGCTATCAGTGACGGAGGGGCCAGAAAATCGGGAAGAGATAGACGAGAAAGATGATAAACTTACGGACTCGGAAGGCTATGTGATGAAGACTGCAAGCCTTCTGGTCGCGACTCCAATGGATCCATTGTTTATGGTTCTATCAGCACTTTCTCCTCTTCCAACCACAAAATCTTCGGAACCTGCAAAGAAGTTATTCCTATCTGGCTATGACTATTTCGAGAAGATGTCAAAGGTGTCTCCACAGTTTGCGAATTTTTCTAGGATTGAATCAATACGGCAGCTGTTGGAAAGCAGGATGGCAGCTGTTTGCGATACGGTTGAGGCTGGAGACGAGACGATGTATCGATTGAATGAGGAGAAGCTCCTCGGGGAGCTAATGAAGAAGGCCCAAAAGATGATCGAAAAAGGATTACCTGCAAGTATGGAGGAGAAGCTCGTGAGGAAAGCCCTCGATCCACCAATGCTCAGTATGAAGCGAGATGACAGCTCGTTATCCGAACCAGCCAAAGAGGACGGTGCAGCAACTCCAGATACTCAAACAACAGTGTCTGATACAGCAGCGAGTTCCTTCTCAGAAACATCAACAGCAGCAACCTCATTCTCAGAAGACTCACAGTTAAGTATAACCCCAGACAAGGCGGCAGAGCCATCTCCCATTGAAGCTCCAGAGGGAGTTGCTGAGCTTCTACGTCTCCGTACAGCTCTGTTCTTCATTTGCTCGGCATACCTTGCGCCTCACATTACTGAGAGCCTCAAGAAATTGCTTTCCACTTCAATATCGACTGTCGACTTCGCTCCCCTAGATACGCATCTTGCTCATTTGGCAAAGTTACGGCAGGATGCTCTTGCTTCACGATCATTGGGTGACTTTTCACGGAAGCGTTCAATGGCAGCAGAAGATGGAGAGACCCGTGCCGAGAAGAAAAGGAAGGCGGATGAAGATGAGAAGAGGAAGAAGGCGAATCAGAGCAAAGGCGTACAGGCGCTTAAGAAGGTGAATGTGTCAGGGATGAAAAAGATGAGTGATTTCTTCAAGAAGAAATGAGATTTGCTTGGGTATAAGCATGGGTACGGCGTTCTGGGTTGAAGTAGGATACGGATTCGAATTGTGGCTACAATTCTAGGGATCTTCAGAGATGGGCTGTACAATAGTGTCTGGAATCAGCGACTAGATGCCTTTTTAGGCTGAAACGTATTCACCTTATGGTTTCGTTCGACCTTCTTTCCCAATTTGAGTTGTCGGCAATTTGACCGCTTGGTATTGTTTGAACCGCCTAAATCATTACTACCGTCACCGAAGTCCAAGGGACCAAGAGGCGTAATATTTGATGGTGTTGTATTTCTGGCAGCAATCTCATGTATTATCTCACTCCCCTTCCTCTCCCTCTTGTGCCCCCAATTCCCTTTCCTATGCCCGACGCAATCCGACCAGTTTGAGACGACCCGCGACTCGAACCTGTCAAGGAACCTCCAGCGACGTATCCAGTCCCACTAACACTGCCCCTCGCGGTCCCTCTTGCCCGACCTCTTCCCCTCGTACCCCGCACAGTCGTTCCAGCCTGCCTCTGCCTCTCCTCGTCCTCGGCTCTCCGTCTTGCTTCTTCTCTCCTTCTTTCTTCTTCTGCGGCCCTCCTCTCAGCTGCCTGTGCTTTCAGTACCGTCTCGTTTTCCATATCTGTCACATCTTGACTTGCGCCTTGCCAATTTGGATTCAAGATCAATCGTTGGTTGTGCTCTGTTTGCGACAGAATCCGGATCCAAGTATTGAGAAGCGTAGATGCCGATGTAACTGTCCTCGAGACCGTCTGGATAGATATGTTAGAAACTAATTGTTGGTCTGTGAAATATAGTAGCGCCTCACATCCATGTTTCCTTTCGCTGTCTCCAAACTTGATACCACGCCCTCTATCACTTCATTGATGCTTCTTACACTCTCCAGCTCTCTTTGCAGATTGGAATCCCTCGCCTGCTCTGTATCGTATTTGGATTCTGCGTTCCTGGGCGCGGGCGCATCACTTTCTCCTGGCTTGGTGGGGAGTTTCTGGGTGGATTTCGAAGTGCGGGAAGGGGAAGCAAAGAGATCTTCATTGTCAGAGTCGGAGAGGTCTAACTTGCCAATATCCGGCGTAGACATTTTCGCAATATGGCAGATTTGTGTCTCGTTATTGTTACTTTTCAAACAAGCCCAATTAGGAAAAAGTGACGCGTTTGGACGCGGTTCTTGAAGTGTTGACAGGAACAGCCAGCGAAGCCCAGGGCACGGTCCACGTCGGCACTACTAGCCTTGTTGTCGACTTTCCGCGCTAGAGCCCAGCCTCTTCCAAGTCAACTTCAACCTCTCGAATTTCCATCCCGCCATCATCATAACACAACCACACATTTTCGACGACATGCTGCCAAAGTAGCTCATGATATTGCAATCGCATTCCTCGCTCTGCTTCGACGTGTTTTTATTACGATTATCCAGCTGTTGATCCGCCATCTGCCCTCGTTTACCAACCACATCCCTATTAACGACTGCTTTTGTTACAGTCAGGACATCCAACAGGCACCTTGTCCAGAGACTTGGGTTCTTATTGCAATCGAAATTTCCTCCAACACCCTCTCCAGGCGTATAATCAACCCCATACATCGGCCCAATATGGCAACCGCATTCCATTCAAGGACTCCAGAACCTCCTTCCTCTATCCGTACACCTGGGACCCCTAGATTGGGAGCATTCGACGATAATTACCAACCATACACTCCTCGAAAGTCCGTACGGGTCCAGCAAAGATCTCGCGATGCGCAGACCCCACCTCCTCCTACCCGTCGTACCCATTTGTCGAACAATTCAACTACTCCAAAACTAAGTGCTGTACCTACATCTCCTCAGACCGCGTCAAAAAAGCGAACACCAAGAAATTCACTTTCCAATGGCGGACGACGCGTCTCTGGTGCGCTCACCTCCGACTCTATGACTTCAGCTGCTGCCTCGCTTGGACTTCCAACTCCTACAACCGCAAGAACAACCTCAAGAAAGACAAACGTTGAATCTTCAACTGCTCTTCGCAATAACGGTATGCTGCCAACGCCCGCCAAAACACCCAACGAGCGACCTACACAAATTGCTCCAGCTGTTCGCTCCATTGCTCGCAACCTGTTCCCCGTTCGCTCTGGCTCCGACGAAGAAATCATGCCTTCCTTGAAGAAGAAGGGTCGCAAGTACAAGGGTTTCACTTTGGATAGCTTCGAAACTGAAGAAGATTCCACCCCAATCCAAATCTTCACTGATTCCCACGATCGCGTTCCTGAAGTCGATCTGAGCTCTGACAATCCATTCTACGGCGAGTCAAGTCGATCCATCCCTGAGCCCACGAAGCGTTCTAGCAAGCGCAGAAAGGTCTCTGTTCCTGGCGAAGGTGAGCACACCGTTGAGGAGCTTGAGCAACGTGAAGATGGTCTGGTCTATGTATTGTAAGTTTTCCTCATGATCACATGTTTTTCATTGCTAATAGTTCACCGTCTAGCCGTGGCAAGAAAGTCTTTCGCAAGTTTGGTGATGGTGACGACGAACTCAAGGGCAGTCAATCACTTATTGACGAGTCTGAATCAGAGGAGGACGTTGAAGGCGATCAAAATCTCACCAGCAATCTTCGTCGTCCTTTAACTCGGTCCTCAATTAAGCCCCGTCTTCTCTTCCCCACGGCTGAGCAGTCCAGAGCTCGCGAGGCACAATCCCACAACACTGAGGACGAGGAAGCCGATACTGATATCGAAGAGCCAATGAATGATGTTTCTACTCCTTTCGATCAGGTCAATGAAGTCGCAACTACGCCGAAGGCACCCCGATTCGGTCCAGTCACCCCACCTACGACCACCCGTGCTACTCGATCCAAGAAAGTTGAGATTTACAGTTCTCCAGCAGGTCCTACTAGTGATGATGAGTCATTACCTAGATCTCCAATGATACGAAACCACCGAACCGCCAGCGGCAAAGTCAGCCCATTCGACCAATGGCAACGTGTCAAGCCAGTCAAGCCGTCCCCTAGCAAAGGAGGAAAGAAGAGAGAGGGAGAGAGTCTGGCTCGGGACAGCGACAAGAGGCTTCGGGGACGTATGTAATGGTTCTGAGGAGTGTGGGTGGTGATCTTCGACCTTGTCTTAGTAGTACATTCGGAAGCGGTATTTATCCTTCTATGGCTTAGGGGGCGTTTTTGAGTATTATCACATGTCCCCATAGGACTTCACGACATTGGGGGACAACATCACGAAATGGTGGTATTAAGGGAGGGGTAGAGGGGCTATATATGAGTAAGGTCTTTTGCCACATTGGACTTGTTACGTAGCTACAAGCCCTACCTGAGAGTCAGCACATTGAGAAATTATTATAATACCCATCTTAGATCCTCACCCTGTGAACAGGTGCCTGTCACTTGAGGCTAATGAGACATTCAAACTGGTGTGCATAATGCGTGCACAAACCTGTAATTTCAAGACAAGTCTTGGCTGATATGTCGATGATGCTTGCAACTTTAAGAAAAGCTACAACTATTACCTTTTGCGCATTGTTTAGAACTTGATTTTCTTATTCGTTGTTATCGACCGAGTAATTGCGCAATAACTGACTCCTAGAGCTTCATCAAGATGCATTAGATTCTGGCATACCCATGTCAAATGCCGCCATCGGACGCCACCCCACCAACCCCGCCAAAGAAAACATCCCGCAAGCAAGGCTATCGTTCCACAACGTCCAAACTTGATACCGCTCGTCTCAGTTCACTTTCGCAGTTACACGCCAAACTCACCATTCCCTTAGCTTCTTAACTCCCCTCGAACTTTTCCAAATTACCAAAGCTAGTCAAAATGCATATTCTCGTAAGTTTTGCAGTCTTCGCTAACTCTTCATCTGTAGAAGACATGAACTGAGAAGTCTCCAGGTAGTAAACGACGACGGACCTCCCTCCAACCAATCTTCTCCCTACGTCCACTCCCTCGTCAAATCGCTTCAGGAAGCCGGTCACGTCGTCTCCGTCGTCCTGCCACACACACAGCGGTCCTGGATCGGAAAAGCGCACATCATTGGCCAGACAGTTAAGCCAACCTACTTCCGCCCAGGAACTCTACACAAAGACGATGGCACTACACATTCACGGCCCTTGCCAGCGGGTTCAAAGGAGGAGGAAGAATGGGTTCTCGTTGATGGTACACCAGCGTCCTGCGTACAGATTGGTCTGTACCATTTCTTCCAGGATCGTGGTCCAATAGATCTTGTAGTCAGTGGACCGAACTATGGCAGGAATAGTACAGCGGTATTCAGCCTGTCCAGCGGGACGCTGGGTGGTGCGTTGGAAGCTGCGGTCTGTAAGAGGAGAGCGATTGCTCTGTCATATGCATTCTTCTCGAGGAATCATGATCCAGAGATCATTGCTGGGGCCTCGAAGTTATCAGTTAAGCTGATCGACTACTTGTATAAGAATTGGGGGGAGGGCGTTGATCTTTATAGTGTCAATGTTCCGCTAGTTGAGGGTGTGGAAGACAATAAGATCATGTGGACAGATATGCTGCAGAATTATTGGGCAGAGGGCAGTTGTTTCCAGGAAGTTGTAGACGAGGAGGGAGATGCGGATGAAGAGGAACAGAAGATCAGAGAACGTGAGGGACAGGGAGAGGATGCTGCGAACGGAGAGAGCCAGAAGATTACACGACATAAGCATAAGCATTTCAAATGGGCGCCTCGCTTCACAGATGTTTACAAAAGTGTGGAGGACGCTCCTCCAGGGAACGACGGTTGGGCTGTTAAGGAGGGATATACGAGGTAAGATTTCCTTCCCTATCCATTTATCTCAGACACTATACTGATACGGCCAGCGTCACGCCTTTGAAGGCCAATTTTATGCATGCTGCGGCGCAGACGCAGGGGGAGTTGAAGCTGTGAGTGTGGTGATGCATAGCGTTGGAGCATTTAGAAAATGTTTAGACCAATACAAGACCATTCTCCTCCAGGAGCTTGCCAGTTGAAATGTACACTTCTGACGAGGCATTCCAGACCATCTAAACTTCCAGATGTAAAACCACTCTCACTGAATGAGCCACAAACATCTCAATCATTCACATCTAAAAATCATTTCTACGCTCTCATCAACTACGAAGACGCTTACGTTCAACCACTTATTCTGGAAGCTCTCATATCTCGCCTCGACCCCGCCTCATACACCCTAATATCAAGCCTCTCCGAACTCCCCGACTCCTCCACGCCATTCCTTCAAATCAGCTCCTACGAAACCCTCCCCTTCGAACACGTCCTCTCACACCCGACCACATCCTTCATAAACGCCTACATAATCCGCAAAGCACTGATCCGGAAACACTATCTGAGCACCACAGCCTACAATTGGACGACCAAGAACCCATTGTCTATCCTTGCAACGAATGTCAAGCCAGCATGCGAATTTGAGGTCGATTACGCAGAGTTCCTGGATGATGCGTTGGTGGAGGCGTGGGAACTGCAGGAGAGTTGGAGAAAAGGAGAAGGGTTGAGTAAGGAGGAGAGAGAATGGTGGATTTTGAAGCCTGGAATGAGCGATAGAGGACAGGGTATCAGATTGTTTAGCAGTGAGGAGGAGTTACAAGGAATTTTCGATGAGTGGGAGGCTGAGCGACCAGACTCAGATGATGAGGATGAGGGTGAGGACGACGAAGGCACTGCGGACAAAGCTACTGAAGCAAAGGAAGACGCAGAAGGAGACTTCATAGTGACTTCTCACCTCCGCCACTTCATTGCTCAACCATACATTCATCCACCACTCCTCCTCCCAGGTAACCCTCGCAAGTTTCACATCAGGACTTACGTCCTTGCAATCGGCTCCCTGAAAGTCTACGTCTACAAGCAAATGCTCGCTCTCTTCGCCGCAACACCATACGTTCCTCCCTGGTCCAGCAAATCAGACGACGCTGCATCCACTGACTTGTCTCCACATCTGACAAACACATGTTTACAAGATGGTGCTCACGACGGCTCAGTCCTCTCCTTCTTTTCCATCCCCCAGTCTCAACTACCCCTAAGCAAGAGAGAAGACATCTTCAAGCAGATCTGCGACACTACAGGTGAGATCTTCGAAGCAGCAGCGAGAGGTATGAATGTGCATTTCCAGACGTTACCGAACGCATTTGAGGTCTTCGGGTTGGATTTCCTTGTGGATGAGATGGGTACGGCGTGGTTGTTGGAGTGTAATGCTTTTCCAGATTTCAAGCAGACGGGGGATGAGTTGAGGGGGTTGATTGGTGGATTATGGAAGGGTGTGGTAGATGTTGCGGTGGGAGAGTTTTTTGGTGTTGTTGGGAAGGGACAGAAAGGAAAGGAGATGGTGCTTGTTAGGGATGTTGATTTGGGGAGGAGGTAGATGGGTTTTGGGTATAGACCTAAAAGTTGACAAAGCTTGTTTCAAATGATTCCTTCTACAGCCGAACGCTTTCACAGCTGAGAAGCAGTACCCTAACATAGCCTTAACACCTCACCTCCGAGTCTGACAATGGATATGATTATACATCATTTTGAGACCGCTCCGACGTGGAAGTATTTTGACATTCAGATTTGACCTACCGCCTTGAGTAGCTTGTTCTTGACTCACCTGGTATAGCAGAGAGCAAGACAGGACCCAACATCTGCGGAACAAAACCCTCATTACGCTTTCCCTGAAAGTCCCAAAGTGCCAATAGAGATTCTAAATCAAGTAGGCCACTTAATAATGCTCAGCAAGAAATCCCACCAGTAACGTCTCCTGCTTAGAATTGCAACCAGAAGCAACGAAAGAACGTAAGTGAATAAGAATCTTGCATCGATCGTTGTCAAAACTGTATGTAAACGATCATTCAAGCTGTGCTTCAGCGGCCCTTTCTCCTCTCTATCAGATGACGAATTTGCACAGACTTCCAGTGCCAGACCCGGTACTGGCTCCTCCATCAAGCTGACACAGAAAGTCGTCATGGGAAAACTGTTCCAACTACAACAATAGAGTGCGAGTCTTGCCCGATCTGGGAAGACATGGGGGAAACAGGATGAAAGGAGAAGCAAAGTTGTCCTGAGTTGTGAAAATGGCAGATGATTGCGTTCTTAGAGACGTTGACCTTGAAAATGCTCCTTGTGTATGGAGATGTATTCAATCTCAGTTCAGGATAAGTGCATTTACTGCCGCGCTTCATTGTAGCAAAGATAAATAGAATGACCACTGCCCACTTACCGTATAATTGAGAAAGAGTCAAAGTCAAGTTCAGCCAACAAATTACAAGTCATAGCAAGCCATTCGAATTTCCAAAGCTATTACTACTTCGAGTATGGGCAAGCGACCATAGCCGAGACCTATGTGGAGCTGTAAACATTCCAAACTTTGAGCCAATGATTGGATGAATAGTCACAAGTCACGCAACTTTAGGGCGAAAAACGCAAAAGAAGTCTGGCATGTATGTAAGTACCGAGTACCAAAGAAACAATTCATAAAGCAGAAAACAAGCCAAGAGCAGCCAGCAGAAAGACACCCAGAAACATGGAACCCTGTTGCATTCCCACTCCCATGTCTCCCAAATAGCATGTACCAGTCGTGTGCATACCATTAGATCCTTCCCATACAACCCCCCATTTCCGGACAGCGAACTCCTCAAACGCCAAAGTTCTGCTTCAGCTAGCATGACATGAGACAAAGGGGTATAGGTGCGTAAGTCATTCCAGTGAAGATATTTAGACTGGTTGTGACTGCCGGTGTCTTTGTCGAATTCCGTGCTCGTGGTGCAGAGTCAATTTCGTCTGGAGTCATCTACTTCTTCTTGGTGGCCACGACTTTGGTCTTTGGTTTAGCACCATCGGTACCCTTGATCTTCTTGGTACCAGCAGCCTGCAAGACTCATGCATTAGCAATGCGAATCAGAAGTTGGGGCTGGCAGTCAAATATGAACGAAAGAGCTTGTTGTCTCATGATTTGGAAATAACAGAGCAGTGGTAAGAAAAACAAGATGCATGGAAAGCTTTCCTCGTCACTTAATAAGGATTGCATGACATTGAATATGGGTTCCGGGTGTGGCTTTGAGACACGGGTCTTGAGACGCGTCTGACGATGATCATAACAAAGGATCTTTAGAACGCACCTTCTTTGCTGGGTTGTTGGTAATAGCTCCTTCGACCTTCTTGACAACACCCTTAGCCTAAAGAATATATTAGTAATGTGTTGAAAGTATAAGGGCAATGACCTGACCTTGGTAGCAACAGAGGTCTTCTTTGCTGGTGCAGCCTTCTTCACACCCACTGGCTTGGAGGCCTTTGTAGCGGTGGCCTTCTTTGGTCCTCTCTTTGCACCTGTATTGGCTGTAGCGCGCTTTGTGGTGGTGGTCTCTGCGACCGTTGGGAAGATTCTCGGCTTGGAGTTTCCTAGATATGCGGTTCAGCGAAGCTCGAGGTGGTTACGCGCTGAGCTATATTAAGCTTCTGGCAGCAACAGCACAAGGTTTTAGTAAGAACTGACCGGTCGCTTGACGAGTTCCTTCGCGTGCCATTGTTTCCTGCAAAGACATTAGCATGAATGTTTGTGGTTGAGGTTTGCGCTGAATTGGCGCATCTCGAGGACGCGTCTCGAGAGGGCAACAATGCGGCCAGGAACTTGGAATATACTTACGGTGTGGGGTGGAATTGAGCGGGAGAGACTTTAAATTGGTAGAAGAGTTGTCGCGTGAGACGAAATGATCTTGAAATGGAGTTGATAAGTTCGTTCGAGTTTTGTTGGTGGTAGGTTGTGGTTGAGAAGGAAGGAAGAGGGCGGAGGTGTGTTGTTGTGCAGCGATCTGGGAAACGCTAAGCCGGGGCTGGGCTTTGGAGCGGATAAAATGAACAAGAACCTCCCTTTGAAAAATAATGTATGATTTGATTTTGAATTGAGCTAATCAGATATAGAATTAATAATTCAGTTCTTAGCCTACAAATATCTTGAGATATTCCTGCTTGTTGCTTTGTCTCTGTGATTCTATTTATATCACGTGTAAGGCCTCCCTTTCGGCCCCCCTTCAACCGAGTTTCATGACTGTTGTGATTGCGAACGTCCTGATAGAGTTTGGGCACTCGCTTGTCAGTTGAATCGTTCTACTGACGATCGATATTGAATGCTCTAGAAGTCTTTGTAAATTTGGAAGAGAGTGTTATAGTAAACTGAACTCTCGCTGTACTGGTATGTATTATGTGAGCGGGACAGGCATCGTTGATGGTGAGAAAGGTTCACATATGGACAAAATGAGCATGTAAACCCTGTAATATCAAGCTTGTATATACAGAAATCTGTGGAGTAGTCAAAATAGAATAGTAATGCAAGCGTTCTTGTACAGGCTCTAGGATGCCTTGTCAAGTTGATGGAGCTTTCCATACCAAGATGCCGTTGACAGATGATTACACCAGCCTGAGAAAGTAGCCACAAACATACTGGAAGCCTCTTCTGACACAGTGGTCTCTGCTTGGGAATACTATTGCAAATTTGATGTTTGAGCTGAAATAAGGAAGCACATGCTGACGGTGAAAGGTAGCACCCATCCTGGTAGGCGGTGGCAAAGTGAAATACAGTTGCAATACGCAAAGAGCACACTTCAACCTCCATTCTCAAGGCGAAGAAGCACTGTGTATTATGTTGAAATCATAGTCTTTAAGCTAAAGTGCGAAATAGAGTGTTCAAGTATAAGACAAAAATCACAGCAACTTAGAGAAGATGTCAACACAGGTAAGCGAGGCTTGTAATGTAAACGGCTCCGGACCTGCTCAGCTGTCGAATGACGAGCATTCCGGGCGGTACTGAAAAATTACCTATAATGGACGAAACGCAGAAGAAAAAGAACTGAATAAAGACATGAACTAGAGCAAAGTTCAAGTTTAATGAGCGGTAGTGAAACTTGGAAAGGACTTGCAATAGAATATATTTCTTTTACGAAGACGAGACTCTAACCCAGGCTTGTAAGCCGTCTTGATTTCCAATGCTCTAACCATGTCCACAAAATTTACAGGGGATCATCTGGAAAATCCGAAAAAAAAGGCTGCAAGTGAAAGGTCCGCATATGCATCTACTCGGCCTTCATCTTCTTGAAGAAATCCATGACTCCTGTGAAAACCACAAGGAGGATACCTCCGCCTGGACCTAATCTGAGAACCTTTGGCAAGAAACCCTTGTATAGAGCTCCGAATCCCTCTTCCTTGAAGACAGTGCCAACTGCTGGCCAGGCCCAGTTGTACTTGGGGATAGAGCCAGCGACTTTTGGACTGTTTTGAATACGGGATTTGACCACATCCATGGGTGTGTTAACGATCGTACCAATGGTTCCTCCGGTTGCACCAGAGAGCAGATCGAAGCCCATTTGTGTAGTCTTGTTCTCTGTCTTTGGTAGGAGTTCGCGAACTTGGAAGATACACCCGAAGTAGCCAGCGTTCCACAGAATGTGTCTCCACATGGTACTTTCGAGCCCGTTGTACAACGCCAGGGGTCCCTCGGTCTTCACAGTCTTGACCACGACATCCATCATTCCCTTGTATTGCGAGGTCCGGTCCTGGAGACGAATCTTGACAAGCTCGAATGGGACGACGACCAGCGCCTCGGTTGCTCCAGCAGTTGCTCCGGTAAGTACTGAGAGAGATTGGTTCATCTTGGCCACTCCGAAGGAATCGCGGTAGAACTTGCCCCAGGCATCGTTGGCAGCGAATTTGGTTGCGCGCTTGGGAGCTTCCATCAAAATAGGAGCCTCGATACCACGGTACAGCCGAGAAACACTGGATATATGTCAGCTTCACTTCCGACTTGTGGTAGAGTGACATGCCCTTCATTTCTGACAATCTTTCTGAAACAATCCACCATGCCGCTGTATGCATCTTCTCCAGTTGCTTTCCCAGATTGCAGTTGTCTGCCGATTGGTCAATTCCTTTTGGTCGTGAACTTTTCGATGGCAAGGCGCTTACATTCTGGTCTTGACGACGTCCAAAGGGTACCTGCAGGACCAAGTCAGCTATGGTCTAAAGTGTCGCATGCACAAAAATGGGGGCACTTACATGACCAAGATCTGTTGAATACGGGTGCGCTTTAGCTCTTGCTACTTTCATCACAATTCCAGTAGGGGGAACATACTTCAGAGACACCAGCGACCGCACCTGCACATCCTGTGAGTTTCAATTGGTAGATTCAGGGATCGAGGAGCTCACCTGCGGCAAACTGGTAGATGAACGGTAAAGGTTTATCTTGAGACATTGTGGCGGTGGCTCTACAGCAGATCAGTAAGTGATACTCGGAGGTCCAGCCAGAGATGGAGATAAAGAAGGAAGTTATTTCGTACCAAGAGTATGGATGTTCTGGAGGTGTAGTGGGGGAGCTCCGGAAAAGATATCAACCATGGAATCTCGAAAGCTCGGGATTCAGAGAGCCAGGGAATGGCCCCACATCAAGCTAACCCAGACCTGCCCAGTGCTCAAGCCCAGCCTCTGGACACCTCAGGGATGGGCTTGATGGGGCAGCCTCGCAGCCAAGCAGAGGTGCATGCACACGTGACGAGACCCTTCGCGATGCCAAGATAACGCGGTCGCGTTAATGGGCAGCCACGGTTCGCGTAGTGTTTACAGAGTGACAACTTCTACATCCGAGCTGTTTGGGTTCTTCATTCAATTTTGGGCCCCCACTACCGCAAAGGCAGTGAATCAAAGGATGCCTCAGCTCACTAAGTCTTTCTCCGATCAGAACCATTCAAGTAAAGCAAGAGTAAGTTCATTTTTGCTCCCTTGCCGAGGAAGTCCAGCTAAACTCTTGTGAAGCAGCACGCTAGAGGACAATTCCACAAGAACAAGAGTTTTCAAGGACCTCAAACTACAAGATCCGAGTCGAAGCCACTTCAGGAGAAGCCCCCGATCCCAGTCTCGACTGCCACCAAGAACAAGCTCAGTGCATTTCACTTCGACGGACAAGCGAACAAAGATGATACAAAGCAAGTGGTAAATCTGCAATCGGATGATGAGAAGGAGAATAAGGGGGCAAAGGGGAGGGAACCTGTGACAGAAAAGGTTATTGGGGGACCAAAGGCATCTCAAGAGCAGCCAACGCTTCCAACCTCGGCCAGAAAGCCATTCCCATCCACACCAGCAGGCAGATTGGCTTTGCCAGACTTGATTGGCATGGGCGATGTACAACGGCCTGTGCAGAGTGTGTCCCCAGATGAGCGGATAGAATGGGACCGGAAGGAGAAAGGGCTTGGGTCTGAGTCATTTGGAGTGATTCGCAGGGCAAGAAAAAGAGCACGAAGCTCCTCACCAACAGGATCTTCACCCGCTCGCGCTCTACACCCACAAGTTGACCCAGGATCCGAGTTATGGGGGCGTTACTCGTTTAGCGGACCCAATGCACCAACACCTCAAGGACCATCCGTTCCTGCCCTCGCACACCTCATGCAAACATCGTCACCTCAACCCACAAAAGAAGGAGCCACACCTCGATCAGGGAATAGTTTAAGAAGGGCCAATAGTTGTGGCAACCAATTTCCCAAGCGGAGGAGGATTGGAGGTTCCCAGAATGACGATGTCTTCACTGAATCAGCTGCTATCGGGCCCTCCAAGCTCTCTGTCTTAATTGAGAGAGTAGCGGAAGGCTTGTCACAACCACAAGGCGCGACGCCAGCAAATGACCGAACAGATTTTCAAAGCGACCGCATGTGTTCAGAAGTCGAGGACGACTCCCCAATTCAACAGAGCCGACTTCGAGAAAGCGAGTCTGCGCCGAAACACGGCTTCGAGGAGCATCCTACAGCACAGCCAGATGTAGACGCACTTCCTGCTCTACCGGACCATTCAGACTCTTCAGACTATGGGGATTTTGAGGACGACGAGTTTGATGACTGCCTACTTGACGTTTCCGACCCGAGTGCCCAGGTGAACTCAGCTCCAATTTTCGCTCCAGATCCGCCTCCACAGGCCCGCTCAGCGGTCAGATTAGAGACGAACCTGCCGGCTGTGGCTTTCTCTAGACTAGCTGAGCCTGTCCCTGCTCCTCAAGTGGAAAAGGATGAATTTGACGATTCAGACGATGATATGTTCGAGGCTGGTCTAGAGCACATTGCATCCCAATTTGATCCACAGATTTCCATTGCGAAGCGAACATCGCCTATGGTAAAGGATGGCAGTGGAAGTGCTCGGCAGATGAGAAGAGTACCGTCCAAAGCAGAATCGGAAGATGAGTTTGGTGATGGAGGTCTAAATGATGACGATTTTGAAGCTGCTGAAGTTACTGCAACACAAGCTATCCAACAGACTGGCAATAGTCTTTTACCTGTACGTGCCAGATATTCGTAGTAATATACTATTTTGCTAAGGTCCTATAGTCCACACAAAAAGCAGCCATTCAAAGGTATCTTGTTACCACTATAATTGAATCCGAGTTTGAAAATGTGAGGGGTCGCATGCAACAAGAGAAGGTAAGATAACTACACAACATCTCGACTTAATAGCTAAGTCAATAACGTAGGTTCTGATTCTCCAAGCCGAGGGCTCGAAGATACCCAGGGCAGTCCACCTGAGAGGTATCTGGGTAGAGACACCAGTGACAGTTCAAGCATTTGTTCATGTCATTGGCCTTTTCGATAATCATGGACAGTGTGTTGTTGACGACAACGTCAACTTGTTGATCCTCCATCCAGATCATCTCATCTCGTCAACGGTAGTTGCAGACTCGTTTGGCTGTACTCGCCGAGCTGTCCTTCAAGATCGAGTCAAAGCGACAAGTGACTCTAGTGCCCCCTTGGTGTATGGCACAATCTTACATGAGATTTTCCAAGCAGCCATGCTAGAGAATCGGTGGGACTCGGAGTGGCTCGGAACACTCATTGAGAAAACAGCTATCCGTCACCTAGAGGAGCTGTATAATATCAAGAAACAGGTGCCGGATGCTGTGGAGCACTTGACGAGCAAGATGCCCGAGCTACAGGGATGGGCAGAATTGTTTATTTCTTCGCAACCAAATGTCCGTCTCCCCATCCTGCTCTAATATGTCTGAACTAATGCAGTGTAGCCGGACGCAAAGGTCAAAGCTAATAATGGAGAGACAGCTACTATGTGTGTCAGCAAGCTTCTGGATGTGGAAGAACACGTATGGTCTCCTATGTATGGCCTAAAGGGTAACATCGACGCTACTGTTCAGGTGACCATGCAAGATGGCGCTGAACATCGAACGCTGACCGTCCCTTTCGAAGTGAAGACAGGAAAAAATCCGTCTGCAGCTCATCGAGCCCAGACAGCACTTTACAACCTCCTTTTATCCGATCGATATGATGTCGAAATTGCGTACGGCATCCTGTATTACATGGAAACCTCAGAGACGATCCGAATTCCTGCAATCCGACATGAACTTCGACACATGATTATGCAGCGGAATGAACTCGCTTGCTTCGTGCGAGAACGCCATGCTCAACTTCCTCCTATGTTGAAGAAAGAAAACATGTGCAATCGATGCTACGCGAAAGTTCCCTGCTTCATCTACCACAAACTCGCAGATGATGGTGATGGAGAGACAAGTGGAATGAAAGCTAAATTTGACGAGGTTGTCAAGCACCTCACGCCCAAACACAAGGAGTTCTTTCTGAAGTGGGACGACCTACTTACTAAGGAAGAGAAGGAAAGTCTTAAATTTCGCCGAGAACTTTGGACTATGCTCAGCTCTGAGCGTGAGAAGCTGGGCAGATGCTTCTCCAATGTCATCATTGAGCCTGGTTCGGCATACGAGGAAAAGGACAATCCCAAGATCAATCGATACAGATACAGTCTTGTCAAGCCAGACCCACCACCAGGATTTTCTTTCCTTGATTCCCAAATCATAGTCGGAGAACCAATCGTCATCTCTGATGAAAAAGGACATTTTGCTCTTGCAAACGGATTTGTCACTCATGTTCGGAAGAAGCGTGTCACTGTAGCTGTTGATCGCCGACTGCACAATGCTCGCATTCGTCAACCTGGATTTGATGAGATTGAGAATCAGGTCTTCGCTAGCATCATGGAAGTAGCACCTGAGGGCTCCTCACTGGAAGAGGCAGACGGGAAAATCAAGGAAGATCCTATAAGATATCGACTGGATAAGGACGAGTTCAGCAATGGCATGGCGACAGTCCGAAATAACCTCATCCAGGTCATGTCAGATGGTTCGTTTGGGTCTCGACACATCCGCGGCTTGGTCGTTGACCTCAATGAACCTCGCTTCAAGACTCAGGCTACCGCATACGTCTTGCAGGACCGTGAGAATATCAACATTGATCAGAGAAGGGCGATCCAGAAAGTGATGAGTGCTGAAGATTATGCTCTAGTCCTTGGTATGCCCGGAACCGGCAAGACCACCACGATTGCCCATATCATCCGAGCTCTGGTTTCCCAAGGCAAGACAGTGCTCCTCACATCATACACTCATACTGCGGTCGACAATATTCTGTTGAAGCTGAAAGATGACAGTATCCCGATTCTTCGCCTGGGGGCAATCGCGAAAGTTGCCATGGAAGTTCAAGAATTTGCGACAATGGCAGCGACCACCAAAACATCCTTCGAGGAGATCAGACACGCGTGGCATGACACCCCCATCGTCGCTACCACTTGTCTTGGTATAAACCATGCCATATTCAGCGAACGTACCTTCGATTATTGTATTGTCGACGAAGCCTCTCAGATCACCCTCCCTGTTTGTTTGGGACCCATTCGCCTCGCTAAGACATTCATCCTCGTTGGCGATCACAACCAGCTTCCACCACTTGTCCAAAACAAAGAAGCCCTCACAGGCGGTCTAGATATAAGTCTTTTCAAGCACCTCTCCGACATGCATCCCAGCTCGGTCGTCTACCTCGAACACCAGTACCGTATGTGCGAAGATGTCATGGCACTGAGCAACAATCTCATCTATCAGGGACGTCTCAAATGCGGTAGTCAAGAAGTAGCCAACAGCCGGATATCAATCCCCAACATCGACGCCCTCAAATCCCACCACTACACACCTTCCACTCTCTCCCTGGCTCCCAAATCATTCTGCGCAGACGGCGCCAACTCCAATTCATGCTGGATTCGCCACCTAGTTGACCCTTTGACAAAAGTCTCCTTCATCAACACCGACCCACTGCTTCCCCTCTCCCGCGAAGAAGCAAAAGGCAACCGCATCGTGAACCCGACTGAAGCAACCATCTGCACCCAACTAGTCGAGTCCCTCCTCACAGTCGGCGTCCCCGCCTCCAGCATCGGCATCATGACACACTACCGCTCTCAGCTCTCCCTCCTCAAACACAGCATGCGCTCGCACCCAGAGCTAGAAATGCACACCGCAGACCGGTTCCAAGGCCGCGACAAAGACGTCATCATCCTCTCCCTCGTGCGTAGTAATGAAGCTCGGTCGATCGGTGAGCTGTTGAAGGATTGGAGGAGGATTAATGTCGCGTTTACGAGGGCGAAGACGAAGTTGCTGGTTGTGGGAAGTAAGGAGACGCTTGGTGGGTTTGCGAATGCGGGAAAGCACGAGGGGGAAGGTGAGGAGGAGATGGAGATGGTGGGTAGGTTTGTCAAGTTGATGGATGGGAAGGGGTGGATCTTTGATTTACCGAAGGATGCGCTGACGGATCATGTCTTTGAGGTGGGAAAGACGCAGACCCAGACTCAAGGTGCTGGGAGTGGGAGGACGACGAGTGCCAGTCAAGGGGCGCCGCTTGGTGTCAAGACTGATAACTTAGGCGGCGCTGGTGGAGGAAATGCACTTACCGCTGAACTGGAGAGGAAGAGAAAGGGTCTGAATGAGAGTGGCACTTATGGCAAGGAGAACGTGGGGCTGAATCGCAGTCCGATATCGATTATGAAGAGTGCTGCTGGGAATGGCAGATCTTCACTGGGACAACTAAGACAGCCCATGAAGAGGGTAACGGGTATGAAGCCGTTCAAGCAGCCGAGTATGATGAGTACGACGATGGATATCATCAATGATGCGAGGTCTTGAAATTGAGTATCGAGATATTGGGATATGATACGGGCTAGGTTGGTTTTGAAACTGGGAATGGTGTTTGTTGGAGTACCAGCAGTGAAAAATGGGTATGCATAGGATAAGATGGGTTCGGGTAGTTTGTTTGGAGTATGGCGATTGGGTATTGAGCGAGGCGTTCTGGGTATACACTTATTAATTGGCTTTTTGAATATAGCTAGGATAGAAAGAGCAGCTCTGAGTCTGTTTGAGGCTGCCAATACTGGAGATAAAGTAGGCTACCGGGTATGGATGGATAGATATATATACAAAGTCGATGAGACTGAATTAAAGACTCGATTCGATGAAGTACATGTACAAACAATGGGTTTCCTTCATCAATGTGGGTGCGTGATATCTTCGTACAGATCTGCGTCGATGGGATTGAAGCTGTAGACAGGTTAGCGATAATATGAACAGCAAGTAAGTTTTGCACCAAGTGAAAAGAAGGGAAGAGAGTAAGAACGACCAAGGCGATTTAGGATGGATAACTTGTGCTGGCGCTGGCTATAAGAATAACACTGACAAGACTTGATTGTCAGAAGCTAACTTCCACATTGGCAAGTGACCCACCTGGTCACTTGCCAGATGCACATAAAAGACCCAGCTAAGGCCATACCAGTGCTCGATCATAGCGTTTCCTTACTTCAAAACCCCCCTATGGCAAGTATTCAAACCACACCAGATTAGGGGTCAAGCAGAAACACTCGAGGTAAACAAGCAGGAAAACTCGTAATCAAGAATAAGCGAGCCTTCAACAATGGAGACAAAAGGAAAAAATAACATACCCTCTCTCCCCCACAATCTCCTTAGTATACTTCTGCAGCTGTTCTAGTTGCTGTACACATCCTGTCAAGCTCTGACTATACGAATAGCTGTATATCTGAGACCATTTCCTGCTTTCGCGCTCGAGGGTGTCGACTTTCAGATCGGTGTTCTCCCTATTAGTGGCTGGATTCAAGGTAGTGGTATTTGTGGCCTGGAGAGCTTCGAGTTCGGCCATATGTGAGAGGAGGCGTTTCCTTGCAGCGGCTGCGTTGGGAAGATAGCGCTGGGATGGGTATTAGTAACTTTTTGGTCTTGATTGCGTTTTGATTTGGAGATGGAGTTTGAGTTTGGTAATAGATTTGGTCGGCAAACAGTAAGAACATTCCAGAGCAATCAGTGTATGAAGGAAGGGAATTGAGAACACTTACAGGCACTTTCTGATCACCTCTCAAAGCACCAGCAAGCAGATATAGATTCATCAAAATCGCAGCCACGGCATCTCTCCGATACGTAAGCAGGCTTTCGACTGCTTGCTCGTCGTCGGACATGTAATGTGGGTGGAAGAAGAGCGAGGATTGCCGGACGGAAACGAGGTACTCGAAGAAGCGCTCACAGCCGTCGATTAGTGCCGAGTAGGGCAGAGGGTTGAAGGGGCCGCGGAGACGGATTTCGTGGCGTGTTAGAGCCTTCTTGTGTTAGTGGAGAATCTAAACATGAGGTAGTGGAGAGGACGGACCATGAGCTGTCTGATACGGACGAAGCCCTCGCGGAGGCGACCTTCAAGCATTTCTAAGATCGTTAGAAGGCGTCCACGACCTTGATACCTTCAGATTGCTTACCAGATCTTGCTATGTCTTCTGTCGTAGGTTCCTCGCCCTTCTCAAAGTAGACATACTTGGCTACCACACCACGATAGATGATACTAGAATATATCATCATGGCAGCCAAAGCTTTTCTCAACTCATGCCTTGCCACAAATGGCCATAACACCCAATTAACAACCACCGCAGCAACAACGCCTATGACGAAAGCCAAGCCACGAGTCCAGGCCATGTGGACGATTGAAGGTAAACCGTCATTGGCTTTGGCGCTGAGTGAGACAACCGTGAAGGAAACACAGCCTACGATTCCGGAACGAGGATGCGAACTTTGTGTGAAACGATAGATCATGGGTAGCATGTATATAGCTGCGAAGACGGCCATCACGTAGGGATTGCCGTCGTTTGCCCCGTAAGCTAGCCCTCCCCATACTGCACCGAGGATGCAGCATAGGCAGCGGGTGACGAGATCTTGGATGTTGCCTCCAACTCGTGGATGAGACATTACCCACACGACTAGTGTTCGTCAGTATCTTCTATTAATTCAGTGTATAACGAACAAGTATGAGATATGTCGGCGACTTCTGGTAAGAAATATGAATACTGAAGGGCATAAATAGTCTTGGACTTACCAACTACAGCCCACCAACTCTCATTCTGATTCCACCACCCCCTACTCTGCTCAAGCCAAGCAGGAACTGACAGCAGAGACGTGGTTATAGCAACTTTGAGTGCAAATCTTGTTTCAAATCCTTGAAGTCTATGGAGAAGCTCCCATAACCTGTATCTAAATAGTTTCTTCTTAGACTTCTTAGACTCTTCCTTCTCTTCCTCATACTTTCCAATCGTATCAGTCCTCTTGACTGGTTGGCTTTCCTCCTTTTCATCGTGGTGCCTATGCTGTTGTGGGCCTCGAGGAAGTGGTTTGTATACATTTGCCATCCCTTGCATGGTTCTAGCAAGTTGATTCTGGCTCTGGAAATAGAAACCAGCTGTCAAGCCGCCACGATCATGGCGGACTTGGGCATTGGTACGCTGAAGTGCCTTCTTCCAAGGGTAAGAAGGTAGGTAGAGCCTCCATCCTCGCTTTCTCTGCTGCATTTCCATTACTTTCACAAGCAATGCTTCCACTGTCCGTGCAGCCTGTCGTATAGGATGCACAAAGAGAAACAGTTCTACGACCTCGGGGTGGTCGGAGTAAGTTGGCGGCAGATCCGGATTGTCCATTAGAGACTCTTCTTCGTCGTCATACTTGATCGTAGCCTTGCGAAGTTTTGTTATTGAGACCAAGATGTCAGTGGAGACGTCTTTCGCAGGACCAAAGTACTTTCGATGTCCTGACATGTCCATCAGAACAGCATCACATCGTGATAGTGAAGTTCTCATGCAGGAGAGTAGTTTCGATGTTGGATCTGCCAATCTGCTCGCCACAAGTCTGACTGCTTTCTCGCTAGTCGATGTTCGGAACATCGCGGGAAAACTTTTTGGGGTATCGATGTCAATGACTACATCATCTGCACCTCTCCCACTTGCTACTTCATTGTCGGGAACATTCACGTCTGTTCCTCCAACCTTTGACTTGGAAGATCGACCTCGACGCTCCTCGGCTGGAAAGTCTGTTCTGGGAGAATCGAAGTTATCAAACAGTTGAGTCTCCGTTTTGAGCGAGAGCAGTGATCTAATAACACCCTGCATAAGATTCCGTAACGATGCGACATCTGACGGTTGGAAACGGGTGATTGAAATATCTAATACTAGATCTCTGTGAGCTTGCGAAAGGTTTACAAACGTCCATGCTAACTGTCGGTGTAGCGTGAGATGATCCGGCTGAGGAATGTTAAGCCCATCATGCATGACTCCAAAAGCATCGTGAAGCGAAACTGCCAGTGATCGAGCTCCAGCATCGGGGAATATGGTGCAGCAAATCAGCATACACAACGCTTGTCCAAGTAGCCATGGGATTCCATAGTCGAAAAGCTTCTTCCAATTCACTTCTGCAGCCGTATCCGCCAAGCATGTATAGCTAATCGCAATGCCCGCGCAGATGACAAGCTGATAGAATCTCACCAAATAACATCTGAGTGCTGCAATTGCGCCCATAAAAACAACAAGGAAAGCAGCTAAGATGCCTCCGAAGCCACGTCGAGCAACGGAGGTAGACGAAGAGAGCCAGAGTGCAAAAGCGCCCCATCCAAGGCCGGTGGCCGAACCGAGGATTGTGAGTACTGCACCGTCAACTTGCGCTCCTATGGATCGACCAGGATGATTGATGATGACAGAAATGACCATGATGTAACTGTATCGTCCCAGCCACTCCCTTATGACTGGTACTAGACACAATATGTACGCAATGAAAAATGCCAGAAAGGACTTAATCAACTTGATACCAGCTCTAGAGGTGGTCACAGCTGTGATCACATCCTTGATCTCGTGCCATTGGCCAGGTAAGAAAGCCTTCGGAGACTGAGGATTGGTATTTTTGAATGCTGCAGGGAGCGTATATTCGGCATCTCTCATCAAATCCTCGTGATTGACTTTGGGAGGCTTGAAAAATGCTGCATCGAAAAAGCCGTCTCGAGTCTCTTCCACTCCATACGTCTCAAGATCCAGGTCTAGATCGTGCAGCAGACTTTCTAAACGACTATGGCTCATGCTCGTCCGGGGAGTAGCCGGGACAGAGCCTGCTGGACTTCTCAACGATCCTCTGGATTTCCTTGGGGTGTAGGAGCCCATATAGATACTTGACGCGGATGATCTTGGATCACCTGACGGTGCTGGAAATCGGATATGCTTTCCATGCTTGCCAGAGCCAGAGCCAGAACCCGACCCATCATGATGACTCCCGTGAGATTTTCGCCGGCGATACAGTCCAGATCCCTTGTCCTGGGCATTTACAGCGGTCGTCTGACGTCTGGGGCCGAAAGAAGGTGCTGTGAAGAGCAATTGAGGTGTCCCGCCTTCAGCAGCTTTTTTCGAAGATGCCATTGACACGCTGCATATCAGGCATATTTCAAAAGGACTTTCTTTGGCCTTGGCTTCGGGGTGTTTGTTTACTCGTCAAAGGAAAGTGAATGGCAACCGCGCGTCAAAGCCGTTGGGATTGAATAATGAGTGGCGGCTAAGAACATGGCAAAATGAGGGACGGCAAAGTAACGTACCCAGGCCCAAGCCCGAGCCCAAGTCCAAGCTAGGCAAGACAAGACTAGTCAATTCTTTTTGTAAATCTAACCGAACGCCTCCCGTGTGCATCTCTTTCTCCGATAAAATCTTAATCTTAATTACCGTAAGGTAACTGTGTATTATTGTCCATCACAGAGTCACATCACGTCCGATCTGACCAGGATTGTGAGTGTCTTTGTGGCAAGCCCAAAACCTTACCTCTCCTCTCCTCTCCTCTCCTCTCCTCTCCTCTCCTCTCCTCTCCTCTCCTCTCCTCTCCTCTCCTCTCCTCTCCTCTCCTTGCCTGCTATTTGCCGTATTCTCCCGCAAATTCCCAGGTTCCTCAACACTATTTCTTTCCAGTTCCGTCCTACTCAGAACAGGAGTGGGGAGCGAACATTGCATTGTCTCAGGTTCAACCGGAAGCCAGCACCTGCACTCCACAGCATAATCCACTTGTGCCTCACTTCACTTCACAACACAACCCACCCCATCCCAGGAGGAGGACCAGCCATGGATACCAATGGACTTGGATCTACGCCCTCAGGCAAGGCCGCTATCACCAAGGTCATTAACCTGGACTCTGACAGCGAAGTCGAAATTATGGACGCGCTCGCGCTCCAGGGGGCGCAACGTGGCACCGTGAACGGCAATCTCGTGTTAGAGCCTCCCAAAGTCGAATACGTGGAGTCAGGTGACGAGGGGGACAACGAACTCGATCTTGGACTCGATCCCGCCGCCATGAAAACTGACGACGAGGACGACGATGGTGATGCATGGGACTTGGAGTCTGTTGTCGAGATCGAGGGCGCGTTGGAGGAGGTCAGTGATGAGAATCTGGCTGGTGGTGGTGAGTGACTTTTGAAACCGCCATGGAAGCTTGCAGCATCGCTAAACTTAGATACAGATGATGAATGTACTTTGAAAGAAGCCGTTGCATACAGAAATCTTCTTAGAGACGTCGGGCCTGAGGAGTTCTGTGCTCAGACTGTTGAAGCTGGCAATGTCACAGCAAAGAAATTATTGACAGCATTCCATGTTCGGCCTCCCGCGGTACTCGAAGGATATGATGATGAATCATACTACACTCTGCTGGGTCTTGCCATCAGTCGGGAACTCTCCAAGAGAATCAAACTTCCACAATACAATACGATCGACGACGCCGTATCTCTAATCAAGAAGGCAAGAAATATCATTGTCCTAACTGGCGCTGGAATCTCAACTTCGCTTGGCATTCCTGACTTCAGATCCAAAGACACAGGACTCTACTCCAAGCTCGCACATCTCGGGCTCAACGACCCCCAAGAAGTCTTCGACATCTCCATCTTCCGCGAAGACCCTTCCGTATTCTTCTCCATCGCAAAAGACATCCTCCCCGACACCGAACGCTTCACACCCACCCACGCCTTCATCCATCTCCTCCAGCAAAAAGGCAAGCTCCTAACCAACTACTCCCAAAACATCGACAACATCGAATCCGTCGCCGGCATCCTCCCCGAGAAGCTCATTCAATGCCACGGCTCCTTCGCCACAGCAACCTGCCAGCAATGCGGCTACAAAGTAGACGGCCACCTCATCTTCCCCGACATCAGAGCCGGCCGCATCCCCCACTGCGATCGCTGCATCGCACAAGCACGTCGTCTCCGCGCTCCTACGGCGATGAAGCGCAAACGATCGAATCAAGGCCAGGACAAGAAGAAGCGCCGCTTCGATCTCGACGGTGGAGACAGTTCCGAGGACGACGACTACGATGATCCGCAGTCGGGCGTCATGAAGCCAGACATCACATTCTTCGGCGAGGCGCTCCCAGATCGCTTTTCAGACCGGCTGACAAAACACGATAAAGCGCTCGTTGATCTCGTCATCGTCATAGGCACTTCATTGAAAGTCGCTCCCGTGTCAGAAGTAGTGCCCTACCTGCCCTCGCACATCCCACAGATGTACATCTCGCGGACGCCGGTCTCGCATGTCAATTTCGATATCGACATGCTTGGTGATTGCGATGTTGTGGTTGCGGAGCTGTGTCGACGGGCCGGGTGGGAGCTAAAGCATGAGATGTTGCCGGAGGATCAGCAGGTTGATGTTACGCTTGAGGATGGATATCCTAGTCGGCATGTCTTTACCGTTAAAGAGTAATGAATGATATGACGAATCAGTGGAGGAGGATTTATTCGGGAAGCAGAAACGATTTCACGTCTTATGAGAGGCGCATACGTTACTGTCATACATTCTGGCACATACACACCAAATTTCAACTTGTTCACACGGACGACACTGGCTTCTACATCAGCATCAGAATCGACATCAGCATCAGGGAGCTCATCACCAGCTCGCTTGCACAGCTACTCATTTGTTCTCAACATCCATCTGTCCATTTTTTTCTTGCCGGAGGCATGGCTGGCGTTTAGAGAGCGTTGTCTTGCTTTCCTTCCTTCCTTCCTTCCATCCTCCATCATGGTACTCTCATATTGAGCGTTCTTGTTTTCTGTCCTGCCCTGATCTGCCATATTCGCTTTCACTCGCATGGATATTTCTCTCCTTCTGTCGGTCAAAGAGACGACAGGAGGCGGTGTCGGAGATTGCAAGATCGTTGTGCTTTTTGGTGAGCTTTTGCTTTTGCCGTTGGCTAGTAGGATCCTAGTCTTTGATTTCGCATACAATGGTTCTCATGTTGGGCTCTGCGCTGCTTTAAGTTACTGTGGGGATGGGAATTCATGGCATGGCATGGCATGAACATTGCGTTTCGTTTGTACAAATTAGATATCTTCGAGACTAAGAGAAATACAGAGACAGAAAGGTAGCATGGTAGAATGACACTCGCGACATTTTGCAACATAATTTCAGTCACGTCAATCATGAAAATGCGTTTTGTTTGAAGGGCAGGCAATGACGCTTTTATTGCATGTACTCGGATTACAGTATGAGGCCGTCAGTCTGGCCATCATCGGCTACCTAATGAACCACACGCAGCATCCCTGGCCAACCTCCAAGCAACGAGGTAACCTGGTGCGATGCAGCCTATCATTCGCCCTTTGCCCTTCCTTTCCCCTTCACTCTCCTCTGTTGTTCCGCTCCACCATCTATTATGTAAGTAGCGACAGTGAGGTATTAGACCTCTCTTCCTCTCTCCTCCCCCCATTATCAACAGATATTATGAGGGGCAGTACAAGAAAGAAATCTAAAGTGTTTCTCCTCGCCTCCCCCATTTGTTTCTTTCCCAACTCTCTCTGACCTCCAGCCACGTACCGCAACGTAGCGTTACACAAGAAGGAGAGAGACAATATGAAATAAGAGTAGCTTCATCAGCATTGTTTTCATAGCCCACCCGACGGACAAGAAGACCCAGTGGCCCTTACTGATGATGTATTGCGGGGATTTATGATAGGAAACACGCCTAGGCGCCGGAAAACGCTGTTGGCTGGCGGACTGAGTGTTCGTTCGGAAATGGATGAACGATGTGGTATTATGTACAAAGGAAAAATTCATGCAGGGCGGATAGTGGTACATTATTGACAGATCGATAGGGTGTGTTGTTCCGATGGGTCATGTAGAGAGGAGCTTAGAGAGCTCTGTGAAGAATTCGCAGATTGTGGAATACTGCTTCACGAAGTAGATTTTCGCGTTGGTGGTGAGGGTGGGTCCTGGCTGTCAGTGGCAGCGCACGGAGAGACCTCTGGGACTTGGCTAGGTGGTAGGCCAAGGTTATGAGGATTTTCTGTGATGATGGGATCGTCTTGCTTGGTGTCTGGATGGATCTCGACATCGTCTCTGGATTCCAGCTCGGAACGTCCTTGTGACCGTGAGAAACGCATAGATTCATTGTCACCATAGCCCCGCTCGATCGGAGACCAACCAGCGACACTTCCTGCAATAATACCAGCCATGACTGTAGTTGCTCCAAGCGCCGAGTTGGACCGAGATCGGTTGCTTCTGCCACGTTTACGAGATTCAGGAGTTGGTTGAGGTGGCTGGGTATTGAAGCTATCGTCCTGAACCTCTCCGTTATTCGGTGTCTGAGGAAGAGATGAATTGCTTCTTGATCGTGAACCGCTTCTTGAGCGAGGAAGCCAGTTGTCCCGAGCATCCTGCATCTTGAATTTCAAATTGTTCAAACGGCCACCTTTGACCTTCTTCAAGAAGCTTAGCTCTTCCTTGACATCTGAAAGTGGTTGAGGGAAGTGGAATTGCTGTTCCTCGTCGGATATGGTGAGCTCCGGTCCCTTTGGCTTCCGCTTGAGGTAGGCAGGTATCATTCTGATTAATAGCTCATCTGGAATGAGACGTATAGCTGCTCCGACTGGGATAGACAGAATACCAAGTACGATGGAGTAACCCCATTGAGCGCCGTTAAGACGAACGACATTGAACGCCTTTCCTCCAACGTAGATGATCATGACCTGGCCGCCAACCATAACGCAATTGATACCAATGAAGAAGTAATTCCTGGTGATACCTTCGAAGATATTGAACTTATTATCGAGACGACGATTGCTGAACTTGTTAGTACTGATACAGTCGGGGGAACTCGATAGCACTTACTTCCATTGGTTGAAAACCTGCATCCAGACAAAAGTGTTGAAAACAAGGGCACTGATCTGGGCTTGCTCACGAGGCGTGTCGTAGGATAAGATCTTCTCAGCTCCAAAGTGAAGAATCAGGGTGATCGTGAGTTGGTAAATTGATTGGCCAATGATCATCTTCCACATTGTCATCGTAATCAGAGGCGCAGACTTTGGGTCCGGTTTCCTGTCCAGAATGCTATCCGTGGGAGGATCTGTAGCGAGGGCCAAAGCTGCCATAGTGTCCATAATCAAATTCACCCACAGCAGTTGGACAGCTGTTAGTGCAGATGTTTCATTGTCGCTGGATACAGCAGTGATAAATGTGAGCAAGACAGCAGTAATGTTGACAGTAACCTGAAATTGGAGAAATTTCTTGACAGCATCATTGACAGCTCTTCCCCACATCATAGCTTTAACGATAGAGGCAAAATTATCATCCATAAGAATGATAGCAGAAGCTTCCTTCGCAACTTCAGTACCAGCAATACCCATTGAAAAGCCGACGTCGGCAGTCTTCAGTGCGGGTGCGTCGTTTGTTCCGTCACCCGTGACAGCCACAGTCTCACCAAGCTCCTTGAGGCGCTTAACAAGAATGCGCTTGTCTTCTGGACTGGATCTTGCGAGGACTTGAAGGCGTGGGATGATTTGGTCCATCTTGGTTTTGCTTAGCTTCCGGAAAGTAGGCCCTTCCATGACAATACCGCCAGCAGTGAAAATGCCGCATTCGGTTGCGATAGCCTTTGCCGTGATCATGTTGTCTCCGGTAACCATGCGCACAACGACACCGGCATTCTGGCATTTCTTGACAGCTTCGCCAACTCCGTCACGAAGTGGGTCCTGAATGCCGACAATTCCCAAGAGAATCATGTTTCTGAAAACGTCTTCAAAAACAACCTCGTTGCGGTCTCCTTCGGCGGTTCTTGCTCCCTTTGCCGGCCATCGGTCGAAGTCGCGGTAAACCATGGCAATAGTTCGAAGGGATCGGGAAGCATAGTTATCAATCAGGTTAAGCAGGGTTTGGCGGTTGTCGTCGGTCATGGGTGAACTAGATGGCTCTCTGGTAGGGTCGTGGATAACCTCCGAACACTTCTCCAGCAGAATTTCCGATGCTCCCTTGACGTAGAGTCTGTACGATCCATTTTCCAATTTGACAACCACGCCCATGCATTTCCGGCCAGAATCGAATGGAATAAGTTGGACGATGGGAACGTTGGCTCTCTCTTGACTAACCTGCCCCATAGCGAGGAAGTCTCTTGCAAAGATGAGCATAGCAGTCTCAGTTTTTGACCCAACAAAAGTTTTCTCTCCATCAACTTCACCCTCGAAGGCTGTCGAGTTGAGAACAATAGACTGCGTCAACATCTGCTTGACTGCTGGGTCCAAAGAAGAAATGACCTCCTGAGTTGGAACGTTTTCTCGTGGTTCCTGATCAGGTTGCTTGCCTTTATTACTAGCAGAATCGGAAGTATCAGGAATATCAACCGTGCCACCAAAACGGGAGCTTGTCCCAATAGTGCCAGCAACGACTAACATCTTGTTTTGTGTCAATGTGCCAGTTTTATCAGAGCATATCGAAGTGGCATTTCCCATAACTTCGCAAGCTTTAAGATGACGAACCAGATTGTTGTCTTTCAGCATTCTCGTTGTAGCGAACGCCAGAGCAAGTGTGACAGCAAGAGGCAGACCTTCAGGGACAGCCACAACAATGATAGTGACAGTAACAATGAAGATGTTGAGGAATGCCTGGCCCTTTTCAGTAGGGCTATCGGTATTGCCTTTAAGACGGACCAAGAACTCGATGAACAGAACGACAAACAGGAGAAGACCAGCAGCACCTCCGAGCTTCGCAATGTATTCGGCCAGAGTGTTCAATTTCGATTGTAGGGGGGTGACTTCTGGGTCTTCCCGCAAAGACATAAGCGTCTTTCCGTAACTAGAGTTGACGCCAGTAGAGGTAACCAGGAAAGTGCCGACACCTTCAGTGACTTGAGCGCCAGAAAGAATGAATGGATCGAGCTTTCGGAGGCTATCATGGTTTTCGATAGCAGCGTAGACCTGATCGGCAGGCTGCTTGCGGATCAAGTCAGATTCTCCAGTGGTCTGGGATTCGTCACACTTAACATTATGGCCATCAATGAATATACCATCCACAGGAATCATATCTCCAGGTTCCAAGAGCATGACATCTCCAACAAGAACGTCAAAAACGGATATTTCAAGAGTTCTGCCAGATCTGATGACATTGACATCGCGATCCTGCTTTTTCCTGTTGAGCTTGACGAATTGCCGTTCTTTTTGATAATCGTTCAGGGATCCCACGACCACCACAATAACGATAGCCACAATAATAGCAACTCCTTCCACCCATTCAATTTTGGGATGAGTAGGATCATGCTTCGTACCGAATGTCTGGTATAGACCAACAGCTAAAGAGATGGCGGCAGCAATGGATAGTAGAATGAGAACCTTGTCGTTATATGTGATCCACATAATCTGTAGCAAGCTCTTACCCTTCTTCACGGGCAAGCGATTGTCCTTGAAAATGCGCTTCCGGTCAAAGAATGCGTCTTGAGTCGCTGGAGGTCTAGCTGGCGAATCTCTTGACCCCTTCGAATCTATTCTGGTAATTGGGGTCTTGGAGTCGTCACCACAACTAATCGTCGACTTGTTTCTCGCAGCAGCCTTCGCTTCCTGGAATGAGATTGTTCCGTCCAAATCACTTTCGTCAATGCTCAATCCAGCCTTGCGGTCTGTTCTTAGACCTTTCTCCAATCCGCCCAAGCCACCTAAAGCATAGAATGCGGCCAGACTCTTGGGGTTGATGAGCTTGTTCAATTGCCCCTGGGAAAAGGCAAAATTGCTTTCGTCCGTCACGAAATCTTCCTCGTGTCCTGGGTCTGGAGTCAGAGCCTCCGGATCATTCATGATTTCGTGATTTCCAGGTGGCTTTCCGAATGCTCGGTCCTTATCCACCTGCGTACCATTTGCAAAGGTCTCTCCACTGTAGTTCGTGCTTGAATGATTGCCTTCGTCGGACTCAATAGAATTTTGTCTTGATCTCAGTCCAGGTACCGCCAGAAATCCACCAGCCGCCTTGTCACCTCCTCTCGACGTTGGTGAAGATACATTATGTGGTGAAGTAGGTCTGCTATCTCGGCTTTCGAAGGAGGTCGATGCTCGAAGTTCTGGTACGGATATCCGACTTGCGGTGCTGTTCTGACTGGAGTGCTGAGGTCGTGAAGGATGGCTCCCAGTATCGAGAGGGCTGGCTGGCTCACCCTGTAGTGTTGATGGCGAGTTAGGCATAGCTTTCAAAGCAACTGCATCACTGTCCATAGACTGCGGAGGGCTGATATTACTGACAGCTGAAGTGTCTATGGTTATTGTCGGCCTACAACATGGTATCAGCAAGGTGGAATGGTCATCTGTATATCATCTGAGAAAGCTTACGCTCTCTGTCTTCGACCACCTGATCCCGGCTCGGGCGAGACGCCCTTGGAATCTGCCATGATTCAGGAACTTGTATGTTATTGGTTTCAAAAGGTTCGGGATCGTTTGTTGGCAAAAAAAAGCTTAAGGCGCGGACCCTGGCAGGTATTTGGTTGGAATGTAAGGCTGCAGAGTCGTCGGCATCTGAGGGGCTGAGTTGAAGTCCTGAGCTGTTGGAAGAAGTTATAAGTACATGGCTTTCGCAATTGACAAAGGGTTTTGTTGAAAAGAGGCAGGAGCGGTTCGCAAATGGAAAGTGTTATGTTAAGTTGTGTTATGAGCCAAGTCCAAAATCTGCCGCAGAAGCGTTGGAAAAGCACTTGGCCCGTTGCTCATTCACAAGCAGGAATGTTTAAGGTCCCATCATTGTGCGACAAGAAACATCGCTATGGCTCCGGGGAAAAACGATTTGACAACGGGAGAAGGTTCTCTAGAATCTCACCTGTCTTTCTGCGCATCAAACAGCCGCCGTGGGAAAACCTTCTGGTCGTCTTGCGGGGGAAGAGCAGTTCGGAGGATTTCGAGTTACAGGTCCGCTGAGATCGAGCGTAGATTTCAATGCGCATTCAGCGACATGCCATTGGAGATGCTGCAGCGTCTTTCGTGCGTCGCAGGACCGAGAACGACGAATAGGACGAGGTTGAAGACAGGAAGAGGGAGGATGCTCGAATCATGAAAACACAAACAACACAAAAGAGTGCCTTGAGCAGGGAAAGGCACCGTGACCGTGCCTATTCTTCGGAGATGGAGCTCATTCGACGACGACTTGGTACTCCGGAAGCAGAAGGGTCAGACCATGGGCCCATGTCGATACAGTCGAGCGCAGACTCGAAGGCAGGGAGGAGCAGAGGTTTACTAGGTAGGCTCGGTAGGGATGTTGGTAGCGCGAAGAGGGAGGCTGTGCTGGAAAGATGTGCCCGCACGCACGGGGATGGGGATCCGACTTTTGTGTTGTTGCAGCGCCTATCGGGATGGGCACGCCACGCAAATCAAACCAGCGCGTGCTGCGAAGGTCAAACAGTGTGTGTGCATGGAAGCTCGAGGTATTTGCGCTGGCCAAGTGCTGGATGTTTAAACTCCCTTTTTGTATTTCTTTGTTCGTTCGTTCGTTTGTTTGTTTGTTTGTTTGTTTGTTTACTTACTTATTTATTTATACATGGTTGTCTTTGTGAATAAATAATTCGCTCCAATATTATTGCCGCTGGAGGATCAGAACAAGCATGCACGATATAAATGGCCTTACCGCAAATAGCTTCGTGCCCGCTGCCGGGATCTGGCCCAACCGACCGGGGCACCAAGCACCATATCGTCTGCTCATATCCGCCGCGCCCCACTGCATGGGCAAGCACCAAGAACCACCAAGACCACCAAGCTTGACCGACTCTTGACAAGGTCCAACCAGTTCAAATACGATGTATTTCAAGAAGACTAGATTTCTTCTCACGACTCGAGTGCTGTCGAGGCTTAAAACGCAAAACAAAAGTGACCAACAAAAGATAGGGAGCAGATCACACAGCCCGCAGATCTTGCACTTCTCATTGGAAGCCATGAAGCCAAATATGATTTCCTCAACTCAAGGCTTCTGCCCTCCTACACATCGGGCAACAAAAAGTCACTTCGCGTGGGCTTCGCCCGGCTGTCTGCCCTTAATACCGACCATCTTCTTTGTAGTAGGGACAACAGTCGTGAAGTCTTCAATTCTTTCAAGTCGGTGAAGTCCCATAAATTGCGGGTACATGTCCACACAAAACCTGCTGTCCTTGCATACGTCGTCGGCCATTTGTAGACCACAAGATCTCAATCGAGCGAGATGCCTCACTAATTGCTCTGCACCAGCACCCTCAGACGCAATTCCATTCCATCACCAAGCAGATTTTCTGGAGATTGCCAAGTCCCGAATGGTGTCAGTAATCCACCCTCGTGGCCCAAGAGTTTGGGAGCGACAGTCACATACTGGAGCTTCTTGATACCACGATACTTTCTCCAATTGTCGTGGCAATTGAGTCGCGGCCAATGTCCGGAAGATCTACATGCGACCACAATCTCGACCAGACAGACCACAAACATGACCATGGGCATGAATACCTGCAGATTTCAAAGCTAAAACCTGCACATGGTACCGTTCTACAGGCTAGTAGCACAACGATCTCACAAGGCGGATAGATGAGGCGAACAACCATAGTCAAACCAGACCCAAGAGATCAAATTACAGGCAATCAATTGTTCCCATGGAGTGCCTCCCACGAGGCTGAGCCTGCAGTTTATCGTCCAATCTTCCCCTTCCAGAAAGCTACAGCCAGCCTCCCGAGACACAGCATGATAACCAAATCGTCACAGCTAGATTACGACATCCTCTTCTCTCCTGTCTCCTGTCACAACATCAAAACTCTCTTTCTTCTTCTGCTATAAGCCTCTTGTCAATACGAGTCCTTATTATCTCTTGGCCTCATATCCGCAATGCCATTGTTATACACACGGTAGTTCGCAGCGGACGAGGGACATCCCTCCGATTCCAGCGGAAATCACCCATTCCGTCCGCTCCACCAGGAGATATATACCCGCCAAGGAAAATACCCCTTATATTGCCCCACAAGCAACGGAGAAGCTCCGACTCCCATGCGGACCTTGGATTATTAGCACGCGACTCAATTTCAGCTTTCGCGAAGAAAACTTACGCAAGCTCAGGAGGGACACGTAGACAACCCTAACATGGATAAATCTATGACTAACACTTCTCATCCTATCACTTCTCGAAACACGAAACATCCAATAATTCAATGTTTCTGTTTCAGCCTTGGCTGTGCGGGACAAAGCCCGTCCAAGCGCAGCGTCTCTCCACTCTTTTTAATTCTCGAATCCACATCTACCCTCCCGAATCAGTCTAGCTCAATATTATTGTCGATTAGCGAGCAACAACAGGAACAGGCATTTGGTGCTCGCTATCGGGAAGGCAAAAAGGGGCTGAGCATCTCTCAACATTCCACGAGTTAATTGTTTGCGATTCGTCACTTTCGTATCATACCATTTTCGTAAGTGTACGATAGCTGGAAGAGGGATGAGAGATCTGGTGACACCTGACCGCCGTCCTCCTCTATTCTCAGGCGGTGTTTTTCCAGCTGGATTCCTGGGGATGTGGAATCAATTCTGAGCTCGCTAAAAGAGCCCGAACAAAGCAGTGCAGTAATTCAATATTGACGAACTCAATTATTCATAGGGCGCAATGTTGGCTTACATAATCTTCGCCGAAGGTTAAAGTCCAGGCTACTTCCTTTAGCTAGCTGCTCGACTTCAGCAGTCTTCGGCACTTCTCTTTCTAAGGCTCTCAATCTCCATGAGAATGCCTTACGGTCTGTCAAGGCTTCTGTTCGTAAATTATTGAAGCGACGAGGTATTCGCTTCCGGCAGTATGCCGAATAATCCAGGTATTGGCAGCAAGAACCACAGCTCTGATAAATTCAGAATAGGTAGGTGTGTTAAGCACATCCATCATACTTTTGGCTATTCACCGCAACTCTTAACTCCAATTCTCTACGGCTTCCAATAAAAAACCTAGGTCTTTCTCTCCTTCAGCATATATCCGACCAGTCGCAGGTGGCTGAAGGTGTTACAAGGTCTCTTTATATAAGTTTAATATTTTCTGTTCATTCTTGTATCTTCGCCTTTGCACTTCATGAAAGACTTCAGAGTTGGCAGACCATCAAGCCGGAGCGTAGATGCAGGAACTTTACTTTCCCTCGATCAGTGCGCCCTGTTTCTTTACGCTGCACCGGGCTCATACAGTTTCTCTGTTCAGCCACCTTCACGCCTCGTTGCACTCCAAGCATCCATTTTAGACACCTACTGCGGCATGGTCATGGAACCTTTGGGTGAGGCTGGGGGAATGGGGGAAGTGTGACGATGGAGAGGCTGAACACGATTGTGATGATGAGGAGGAATAAGCTGGCGGAGACCGTGTAATGCCAAGGATGGTAAGTTTAACCAAGGAGAAGTATAAATTTATTGGAAATAAGAGCAGAGAGGCTGCGTGATGTGCTGAAAGTATACACTGCCAGTCCTGGGTTCGAAATGGTTTGTTTTGACTTTCTCGTCCTTGCTGAGGGGTACATCTTTCTCGTCAAAGTCTAATTTTCTTTGTTCGCAAACTCAAGGACTGATACATCATATTGCCTTTGCAGACTACTCGATTACGGAGCATCAACTCCTCAAGTAAAGTCATCCCCCCAAGGATGGAAATGGAAGTTTCTCAGTATCACCTGATGTTCTGATATCTTGGCTGGCTTTTAGGCAGTTTTAATTCTGATAACGACAGGTACACAAGAGGGAAACACAAACTTGACCTCGCGTAAGTATCTACCAGGGTAATTAGGCGGAAGTCTACATTCGCAGCTAACGATAAATATACTCTGCAGTTCATCTTGGTTTTCTGTATCACGCGCCACTTCAAAGAACAAGAATGTAACGACACGGAAACAAGAGAATAGACACAAGGGAATCCAAGAAGTGACAACTCCCTATGACATTCCTCCATAAGCCAATGGCTTCCATATACGAACCTCAATCCGAATTACTAAGGCAGAATGACGCAGCGATTATTTCTTATTTCCAAAGTCCACCAAACAGTACATACCCCTTCCTCGACAACAAGTCACCAGCGCAGACTCGGCAAACACAGGACTAGCGGTATGGCATGGCTCCAAGAGTTTTAAGGCCATGATGCGCATCTCTTGGCCGCGTCAAGGGCATCTCTCATCAAGACCACTAACTTAGGCCCGGCTCGGCCAGGGATGGACTGTTGACGATCACTTCACTGGTCTTGGCTATCGGGAGAGCTCATGGTACTTATATTTGATTTACTGCTTTCTCTCCTGAATGTCTGTTTGTATTGTAATTGCACTCCGGTCCGAGTTTATGTTCAATCAAGAGAATATTCGCATTTCTAAAAGTTACTGATCTCACGTATACACTCGACATCATGCGTTCCTTACTCTCCGTCGCCCTCCTTTCCCTCATCACATCCCTTGCAATGGCAAGCACCGTTCCAGTGGAAATCAGGCAAACAGACTGCTCTCAGTGCGTCTTTCCTTAACTCTCTTTCTTATTCAACACACCCAATCTTTTTCTAATCGATAATCGACCTATGTACCCATCGACACAGTACCGATAACAGGAAAGACTAATTCTCAACCTGACACAACAGATACGATGTGATGTTCCCAGGCCCAGTCTACACCGGCCCTTGCGAGTACGAGAACTGCGGTGCTAGAGGACAGAATTGTAAGGAGACTGGATGGTCTGGTTGTGTCATTGGTCCTGCGTGAGTTCGGTCTTCATTTTGCTTTTCAAAGATTATTTTGAGCTATCGAATAGACGAGAATATTTTTGCTGATGCGATATTGGATCGTCAGGTTTGGATGCCCGCCCAAGTTCTGTGCTTGTACGAATTACTAGGTAGGGTGGCGAAGGAGTTAGGGAACTTAAGGGAATTCGGGAAGGTGTATGGAAGGGAATACAAGGGCGTTGTAGGATGGAGATGATAAGGTCTAGATTGATGCTCAAAGGCTGTATCATCTCATTTTCGGATTGACATTAATGAGAAAACGTGAGAATGAGTACGAAAGCAGAACACCAGTACCATGAGTGAAAGTCACAAATGGGAACCAGAAATAAATGTTTTTCAACAATTATTAGGATTTATCTATACACACCGTCATTTCTCGTTAGAGTCATTACGATTCTTCTTAGCCGTCAATATCATTCCTCCCCTCACCACCATCCATCCAGTATGATTCCTCCCATCATCACCTCCGTCCCATATTATACCGATTCAAAACCTAGTTCAGATCAAGAAGCGAAAAGAAAACATCGATGATACGCATGGAAGAGACTCAAGAAAGACAACTGCTCTAACACTTGACTGCAAAGACATCGATTGTCTGGTCTGGTCTCGTTCTGTTAAAACAGGAACTGAGAACCAAGAATTGTTCTCAGGGAACAGGTTCTGACGAAGATTGAATGCGTTGCTGAAATGAGATTATTCGGATATCCCAGATACTCCCTAGTCTGTCGAGACAGGAAACGAGAATTGAGAGTTATCCATGAAGAAACTCGTCAAGGCAGAGAAAAAAATGTATGCATGCGTTGGTGGAAAGAATGAAAATGTTGAAAAGCCGGGTACTCTTTTCATATCTTGTTCTGTCGTGACAAGAAGCAAGAAGAAATCAAGAACTGCCTTCAAGTAATCCTACTCTGCCAAAGAACGAATGTATCACCGCAATGTAAGTAAGTGAGGTATCGAAGTTGTCAGTCGTCAGCCATCAGACTAGTTGTTGCGTGAGAGAGGGGGGAGTGAGGACCATTCTTAGGGGAGCTATCTAGGGAGATGTGTGGAGGCTTGCTAGGTGTCTCTGGTTTGGGCGAGGTGACTGGAGAGTTTCTGGACGTTTTCATATGAGCGCAAGTGGGCAACAGCATTATTTGCTAAAACCATATCATTTGTTAATGATTCACATCCCAGCAGAGTTAAAATCCCCTAGGACAAGTTTTTGAAAATTCATGGAGAGTGAGTTTCTGGATGTGATGAATCAGAATAGACAGAGGCTCAGTAAATTTGAGGGTTATGCGTTTGGGTATCATCTCTTGTAATGACAACATGCAACGCTTCTATGAAGAGATGAAAAGTGCAATGAAAATTATTCAGATATCACGACGCTCTCTCTTTCGGTTTTCTCTCTGGCGCATCTCCTTGGCAGCGGCCTTCTTCCTGCCAGTCCAAGCCCGCCTCACATCTCCTCTATTCTCATAGAACCATTTCTGGAAATCACTCTCGGGTTCTGTCTCCTTGTCTTTGCCTTTAACCTTGTCAGATTTTCGGATCGGAGAGCTAGCCACTGCCTCCTCGTCTTCCTCGTCCCTTTCGCTGGGCCAGACAAACTTTTTGTTCGGATGAGCTGTATCTGGTGTTGGAGCAGCGCTTCGCATGCCTCTGTATTCAAAGTCCTTCTGGGTGAAGGGCGTCAGAGGAATTTGGAGATGGGTTTCAGGCAGAGTTTCTTCATCTTCTTCATCCGCGCCAAAAAAGCTGAATGATGATTCCGCTGCTTTAGGCGCGTCCACGGCATTGGATTTTGGGCGTTTGTATAAGGCTTCTAGAGGATGTACTGAGGATGCGATAGGGATTGATGTAAGTGAGTCGGGAATTTTGATGCTAAGAGACGGGCCGCTGGATCCTTCTGATTTATGCGTGACTGCCGACTGTGGTTCTTCCAGTTCGGAATCTGCGTCAGATTCGTCCGAATCTGATTGATCAGACGAATCCGAGCTGGATGAGGATTCTGCGTCCACCAACTTTGCTTCGGACTCTGCTTCGGACTTAGATTCGTCGTCAGAAGATTCATCGCTTGAGCTACTACTTTCTTGCTTTGACGAGCCTTCAGCTGCAAGAGGACTTGGGCTCGCTCGAACTTTGTGGTCCGAGTCGTCGTCTGAACTATCATCGCTTGAGCTGTCATTCTCTTCCTCACCATCAGAGCGGGAGGAACTGGAGTCGCTTGAACTGCCCTTGGCAGCTTTTTGAAGCTCTGCATCTTGTAGAGCCCTACTCTGCTGGTCCGTTTCCGAATCTGCGGCGACCTCCACATCTGAGCTCGAGTCACTGTCTGAATCCTCACTGGAATTAGAATCGTTAGAACTTTCTTCTTCCGCACTGACGGCGGGCGCTGTATCCACCTCCATATGATCCGGCTCTGGCCGCTGATTTTCCTCTTCCAAGGCGCTCCCCACTGGAACCGATATGATCTTCCGTGACTTCTTGACCTGTTCAACTACGTTTCCCTCCTCATCGACCCATCCCTTCCCCTCAACAAACTCCACCATGACCCGCGGGCTATTTGACACTCCGCTGCCGCGTAAGAAGGTCGCATATTTTGTAGTCTTGGCAAATTCGTGCACGATGGCTTCTTTCCCAGGCTTTCTCTTTTTCTTGTCTGGCTTTGTCTCCGCAGTCTTGCCCTTCGACGCAACATTTGGCGGCAGATTCGTCTTGAAAAGACATTCCGGACCTGTAGTGTATTTCGATTTAATAACTGGCTGATCTTTCTTCACATCCTTCGCCGGTGTCGTCCACCCCCTCTTGACCTGCCTCTCTCCAATATCCACGCCTGGTAACTCGTCCCGTTTGCGCTTCGTTTTCCTCTCCTTCTTTGGGCGCTCGGGTTCTTCCTCTTCAATCACAACTTGCTTCTCCGGACGTGCTTTCTCAATGCGAACCTTCGTGCCTTTAAGTATTGTACCATTAAGCTTCTTCTTGATTTTCTCGGCGTCCATGGTAGGGAGCTCCACGTAGCCGTAGCCTTTCTCGGGGAAGGTGACAATGCTGTGGTACGAGATGTTGCGCGCGTTCGGCAGGATTGAGGGAGGGATAACGGTTTTCAGAAGGCCAGCATTGAAGGGCGTGATGTGAAGACGGGTGTATTCTGTGTCCTCCATATTACATTAATGTGCAACGTATCTGCTGTTCTGCGTTGGAGCTCTCTTTGTTGAACTCTCATTGCAGAAGAAATTTGGAGCTCTCGGCTGAGGGCCTGAGGCAGAATCCTCCTCAAAGAAAAATTGCCGCCGGCTGATGGCATGTTTTGTCTGCATTGTTTTGGTAAAGACAACTCTAGAGAGACCATTCACTTGACTAACATGTGGCGAGTGGGACGAATGCTGTCAACGTGAACACTTTCAATACCACTGCTTCCATCTCTGTCAGTACTGTGGTGGGGCTTTTCAAGGTCGAGCCAAGAGTCGCTTAATCATTTAGCTCTTCACAAGACATCGTTTTTGTGTTCCTTTGATGTAATGAAATAAGAAAATTTTCACCAATCAGCAGATTAATATGGGCGACTGGTCTAGGGGTAGTAAGTTGCCAACATTGTTCATCGTTAAAACATCACCTAACAGCTATCAGTGATTTTCGTTTCGCAGCATGTGAAAACAGCTGAATCTATGAAAGGTCAGGGGTTCAATTCCCCTGTCGTCCATTTTTTTTCATCTTTTTGGGCATTGCAAGACCTCCTTGAGCATTTTAGCCGACTTCTCCTGAAAGGGTCTTCCTAGGTACCCACTAGCTTCCCTGGATTCTAATAGGCAGCCTTCAGCGAGCGGAATCTCTATTATTTTCCCAACCTGAACTTGAAGTCGTAGACATCATATATGTTTCACCGAAGGCCAACATCACAGATACCGCGGCCTATGACAGATATCATAGAAGTCCTTATCCAGGTAAGATCTGAAAGCTTCTTTGCCGCTGCAATAGTTTGCATCTGTTCCTAGGCGCCTCCGTCCCTTCCACACCTTTGTTTTGATGCTACCGAGCCATTCTCTCCTATTCCTTGACAGAGAAGCAAACTATCAATTACGTACATGTGTCATGAACTCTGCCCTGGATCCATGTGGAGGTTGCATCGAATTGAGTGACCTAAGGAGTAGGCATATTCGGGGGAACCGTAAGGGGAATGCTTTCCCCGTTTGACAGCGGTCAACGTCTCAGTGTGGCTGTCAAAATGTCCACTGGTTATGCTCTACCATAGAGGGGAGCGCGGGACTGATTACACTATTATACCTACAGTTGTTGTGCAGTCGACAGTTAAGTTACCTACCGTCTGGGGACTGTCAATAATTTCTAGGTGACTGTTGGCAATTAATTTTGAATTGACTGTTTTAGGACAGTTGTACCCAGGGCAGCACTTTCCTTTAAGGTAATCACTCATCAATTTATCGCCTCTCCCGGCGGTTCTCAAAAGCGGCCTTTGTCGTCAAGAGAACGGTGCTCCAGGTGATAGGACGACGTCCAATGGGCTGTTGCTCTTTCCTGTTTTTCTGCGTCATGAAGTTTGCTGGGTTGGTGGCTTCCTCTCTGGACAGTGTGAGAGTCTTGATCACTGATTCATTTCCTATCATCAAACTTTCAACCAAACCTTTCCCCCTCAAAACACCGGGCATGTCTCGGAACATCTCTATGTCTCCTAGCAGTCTTATCGATCCCTAACAATGTCTTCAAGTCCGCCTACCTCACTCCCTATCATCACACCTGTTGCCGCGTCACCAACACCTCCTGATAAGCCTGCACAGAGTCCAGGTGGCGGGTATTTTTCATCCAGTTCCCAGACTACGGGACAGAGTCCATCACCAGGTAACAATATTACAAGTCCAGCACCGCTTTCAAGAACTTCCACGCTCCTCCAGACTCCACCTATCTCCGAATCACAGTCGAGACAAGACAAAGGAGGGTATTTCTCTTCCAGAAGAGCTCGATCTGCATCTAGACATACACGCACAACTTCTCCAGACAACAATTCTGTACCGAGTCTCAGTCCAGGACTTTCGTCTGGCGGGTCTTTCCATTCCTCGGACACAGGCCACAGCCCCTGCAGTTACAGCAGTGGCGAATATCTCTCGCCACCTCAGTTCCAGGGTGATGATGACAAACCGCCGTATAGACCCCGTTCGGGAAGTTCAAATAGTCTCTCGATGATGAGGAAGAAATTGCGAAGAGCGGACACCATACCAAACGATAGGAAAGTGAAGGTGAAACGGCGACACAGGAGGCACCATGGATGTCGGCACCATAAATGCAAAAAAGAGGAGCATCACGAGCAATTCGGCTGGGATCACTTAGAGTGTCAAGTTGCGCCAACAGCACCGACAGGGCAAAAGCACCTTTGCAGTGGTCATGCTGGTCATTTCGTTCCCAGGAGAACTAGGCATGGTAATACTGATACCTTTGGACGTTTGATGCCTAAGTCCACGCCAGGCCCTGCACCACGGATTGTGGCTAGACGTTGGAGCTCTGTGGAAATTGGTGCACATCAACCTCGTCTTCAGACAACCATAGAAGCGAAAACTCGTGGCTCGACAGCTGGAGATAAGATTGGTAAATCCATTGCAGAGAATCTTGGCCACCGTTATAGAAGCTCGAGCTTCACGCGAGGTGGCCTAGATCATGGCATTGTTGAGGCAATACGGGAAAAGTTGACTGTTCGCAAGCTCGCCACAGCTAAAGTCGAAAGCCCGGTGGCACCACCACTATCAATTACCCTCCGGCGAGCAAGTGGTGCTAGTGGTGTCAGTGACCACTCCATTAGAAGCCCGAATGATCAAAGTAGCTACTCGGCAGGGAATTCTGGACTTACAACACCCCTTGCTGGACGGCGACACGTCCCTCAGAATAAACCGCCTTCCGCTGCATACTTGATCACGAGCGAAGATATCGAGTCTATAACTCTTCTGATCGCCCAAAACCTGCGACAGAATGTTCATTCTTACGACCGCAACAGCATTCTTGATGACACGAGCTCGACGGCCCAGTCATCTCACAATACTCGAACGCCAACCATATCCAGCGTCGGAGCTGAGAGGCCAGACACCTCCTCTGCAAACCCGGGTGTCAACGCCGTGGATTCCCAGCCGATCAAACCTCAGCTTTCTGATCAAAGCGAATATCTGCAGGTAAATGAATCCGATATGACCATGAAACGATCGGGCTCAAATAGGAGTGTACATGAACTTTTGTGGAAAGGTTCAAGACAATCGTCTGGAAGATTCTCCTCGACCACTTACGATACATCTTCGGAGTCTGGGACTTCCCCGGAATTAATGTCCGAAAGACGTGAAATGGACCTAGTTACTGATAAAGGAAATGCATTCGATCCAAAGAATGCTCGTGAGTCTATCAATGAATGGTCTTGGAAACTACCACGGAATGATATCGCGATGGTTGTTACATCTTCAGACTCAGATTCGAACGAGGCCCATTCAAGAGAGGAAAGATTCAAAGCAAAAAATCGTCCTCCGCTGAGGTCTGCGGCATCGACACCTAAGGAGCGCATGGCGACCCGAGTTCGACCGTTCCCGAGATACGCGGCGTCCCATGAACAGCTGCAAGACGTTGTGTCCTTCCCTCCACTCTCTAATAGAAAGGCTACGAATGAGTGGATTTCACCGCTCCCTGATATGGAGATAATGTCACCATTGACAACCCCTCCATTGACCAATCTAAAGTCGCTCTATGGTATTGGTGTCGACGTAACAACGGGATCGTCAGGTGCTGCGATATCTAACCCGCCTTTGACTTCATGGATCCGCTCTGTAGAAGCATCTCCATCTCAGACACCAGGAATAGACTTTAGACAGGACTACGGCTTCGGTGGTCTGAGTGCCGAAGCAAAAATGCATGACGACAGTCGTCGGAAGAGCTCAGTGAGACCTCATCCTAAAGCGGCACCACGGACTGGCCAAACATTTACTATGGGTTCTTCCATAGGAGTCCATGCAAGTGAACGAAGAAAAAGCTCATCACCTCGCATTCAGCGCGTTCGTACGATTGACAATATCCACAAAGGCGAACGTGACGAGCCCGCAAGCCGTTGGAGACCACCGTCTGTTTGTCCACCTCGACTATCTCCAAGCCAACTATTCCCAAGTGCTGCCGATGCCGGGGAAAGTACGGGAGAGGCTCCAGAGGATCGAATTCCTGAAATGATGAGTCGGTTGCACAGGCTCAGAAGTGGATTCACAGATCGGATCAGTTTAGTAGAGGCTAGGACCCCGCCACAGCCAAAGTCTGATTGTGCAGGCATATATGGAACGATTACGGGTACACTGAGAAGAAGTATCGGAGCCTCATGTCAAGATGACGCTTCCATGCATGACTGTGATGAGTGTGCGAAGGACCCACGAAATCCTAGTGTCGACTGGATCGGTTGATTTGCCGGACGAGGGGGAAGACAGCAGTGCTGGATTTGTTGTCGCATAGAATAATGGATACCAAAATAGAATGATAACGCTGAGAGCGTCTTGGCACTTGTGACCTGCGTTGCTCATAAAAAGATCTTCACGGTTTATTCAGGAGCAGCCCTCATCCACGTAATACTGCCTGTGCTCGTTCCCGTATCTTGATACTGATGTCTTTGAGACGCCCTGGAAGCAGAATACTCTCCTTTACATGACACGTCGAGAGAAAGAAAGGGACCAACAATCCAAGAGCGATGACAGAACTGGTTGCATGATTTATAGAAGCTATTGCTGTTAATGGTTACGAACGTAACAAACCTATCCGTGGGTCACATCTAGTTAAGACCAACAGGCAAATCATTGAGCCCCATCAGAAACTCTTAAAGAAAGTCCAATTCTCGAAGACAACCAAGCAGAAACCAGACGGGCTACATTCTGCGACGCTTGATAGTCTTGCGAGTCTGGGTATCCGGGAGTTCGGCTTCTGTCCAGCCATTAGTTACTGCCTTTCCAAGACACCCTGGAGGCTAGTACTTACCATCTGAACTTAAGTCCTCAGTGCTCTCATCTTCCACGCCGGTACCTATCTTTCTCTTTCCCCTCCCAGATTGAACCACCTTAGGTCTCTTTCCTCCTGCTCTTCGCTCAAGCACAAAGCAAATAAACCATGGCCCATCATGAATATCACACCTAAACTTCAGATACCTCCAGTTCGGTGCCCACTTTGCTTTCCTTGAGCTAGCAGCCAATGTTGTGGATTGCAGCTCGATAAATGTGGTGTCGAGCTTGGGATGGGGCATAAAGTGTCGAGTTTCGTCCTTTTGGCCGTTCATCCATCGCTCGAAACGGATCACATAGCCTGATTGCTCTAGGAGTATTGGGTGGGCTTCTGGGAGGTATGTTCGGGTTGTAGGTGCGTCGACGATGTTGACCACTGGAAGAAGAGGACTGGTCAGCGTCATTTATCCCAGAAACCAATCGACACGTCGAAAAGTGAAAAGTGATTTTTATCGTCTTTAGAGATGCTAGATGACAGTTGTCGACAAAAAGGGATAGGAAATACATGCTTACTGTAGTATGCAAAATGGTAAATGGCTTGTTCATGGGGTCCCATCGGGCGTGTGAGCGGATAGAGCCTATCGCAGCAGAATAGAGCTGTACTGCATGTATGTGTGGATCTACGATCTGTCAACACCTTCCAATGACTTCGATCTTGGGTAGATCGAAACTTACCTCGACGGCGGGGTGGGTATGGAAGAAGCTGCTGAATCTGGCGGCCGTTGCTTCTGAGGAGTGATGAAGGCAGAGTCAGAGGTGACTGAAGGCATATCTTCAGTGGTGAGCTGTAATGAGCAAGTCGCAATATTTTTGTTGCTGAGATGCTCAATTGTGGAGTCGTGGAATCGGTCAGGACGTAGCCGAACTGGTGAGGTGGAGAATCAACAATACGAAGCGACAGAAGCAATCGAGCAATAAATTCACCAGGATCTCAAACTTGAAGAATCAGCATAGCGGCAACGATGGCAGTTGGCAAACAGATAGTTGCATCTATCAGAGGCATCATCTGGTACAGATTCTGCGTTTAAGATTTGATAAGGAAGTAAACAAAACATCTTTTGAGGATCAAACTCAGAGTTGCGTCAGTCAAATACCATGAGACAAAGACGCCAGCCGATTCTGACCTCTGTATACCTACTTATTACATTTTTGATTTGATTTGTCCTCCTTCAAACAATTGTATCACCTTCTCTGCAACCCCGAACGAATAGATGTATCCGGCGCCTTCCACACCGTATGCATGGATCACATCACCTTCACGCTCGACTCTCAACCCTCCCTTTCTGCCTGGGCGGAATCCAAGAACATCTGTGACTCCATTCAGATCGATACCGTCAAAGGCCCCTTTGGTCAAACGATTCACACGCCGAAGGATGTCACTCTTCAGAGTGACGTCTATCTCGGCATCAAGCCTGTCGGATTTGATACCTCCCATGATTACCCCACCTGAACCAGCTCTCGGAATGACATATGTGTACTCAGATCCCTCAAGCATCACGAGCTCGTTGAAATCTGTTTTAACAAACATCGTTTGGCCTCGGACCGGGACAACCGCTTCGTCTCCAGCCAAAACTCTTGCGCCAACACCTGATGCGTTTACGATGACCTTAGCTTTTGTGATTGAGCGTGCATCTTCAATGCTTTTGACTTCTTTCCGAATAAATTTGACACCTCTTGCGACAAGCTTGTTCTTCAGCCAAGGCAGAAAGATCAAGGGGTTGATCGCAAGCGTGGTGTACTTGGCACCTAGCTTTATCTTCGAAGGCAATTCTGATATAGGCAGAACTCTATAATCAGGCATCAATGACCGATACCAGAGATCTGCTTCTGTTGTTTCATCATCTAAATACTCAGTCATGGGATACAGCTTCACGCCATTCGATGGTTCTTGGTTGGCGATATCCCAGTAGAATTTGAAGCAGTCTCGTTGCATCTGTTGCTGAGACTTGTTGGCGTGCCGCTGAGGATGGAACACAGCTCCTGCCCTAGTTAACTGTAAGAAAATCTATTGCTTGAAGTTGAGGGGAAGTGAGCTTACCAAGGACTTGCCCAGTCAAGTCCCATGTCTCCTGGCTGATCTCGTGCCACAATCGTGATATTGTATCTAGAAGACAGGACATAGGCAGTAGCGAGACCGGTTATACCAGCGCCAATGATCCCAATTGATCCATCCATGTTTTGCGCGATCTCCAGATGGCTTCACTGCCTTCTGGTTTGACTATATATTATCAAGACTTCAGTCTACCCCCACTTTCGATCCGTTTTGACTCATTGGGTTTTGTCGCTAACACCTTGTTAGTAGAGATTTCTGTACAATGCTCTGGCCGAAGCTGTCCGCTGTTGGGTTTTTTGCCTCAACAAATTACTGTTAAAAATAGCTCTGAATGATGGAAGAAGCTTGGAGAAGCTTGTCGTACGGGAGGGCGCGATCACGTGGAGACCAAGAACCGATGATTGATCCCCCCTTTCGCCACTTTCGGCTCGTACGCGAAGATGAACAAACAAATCTTGATCTTGAGGAATACGTTCAACATTTCAATTGTCAACATTCCCAAAATCCAACTGGAATTCTAGTATAGTTATGTTCCGGTCAATCCTGTCAGCCAAATCGAAATGAGTAAAACTGAAGCTGATTTGGAAGGGTTCACCAGCACTGGTGATCTCATCGAGCATGGTGGTGGGCATTTCACAATTGGGGAGAATCTAGGAGACAACCTATTTCTCCACTAGACAATTCTACTTCTTGTCTTAATCATGGACAAGTAGACCGCCAATGGGCTGCCTATAGACTACGTGGTACGTTTGTCTTCGGCAGCTGCCCAATATTCACTCGACGGGACCAGCACTACGCTGACTGACCCTCCTTCACAAACAAAAGATTTGGAGAACAAAATAAATATTTATTATGCAAGAAAGCAGCATTCAAGATGATAGAGACGATGCACACTGTCAAAGGTTCATTTTGATGTCTTTTATTTTAAACAAGTTCTCAGTCAGGCTGCCAAAATAGATGAGATACGAGGAAGCAGCAGCATCTGAAACCGTATTTCTGCCTGTTGTGGTAGCTTCGAGTCCATCGCAAAATTCTAGCAAATTTCTAGAGCTATCGTACATACATGAAGAAAAAATCTCAGCGTGATTTCGCTAGGTCAGGAGTCTGTTTATGTTCTTAGCCTTTAGCGAGAGCGCGAAAGCTTCTTCTGGATGCCTTTCCAAGACCCTCTTAACATTTAAACGAAAATGTGCATTCATGTACTAGACTTATTGAGTTACTTAGCGCAACTCGGTTTCACAGTTTCTCATTTTTAATTGGAAATCTCTGCTGTTGATAAACTCTACAGAATTTCTTGGGCGGTCGACTGGGAACCATGGTGTGACCTCTAAGCTCCCCCTGCACCACATGTGAAGACAAGAAATCTGAAGACACATGTTTAATATGAGATCGAATCAAAGGGCTTTGCTGTGATTTATTCTGTCAAGTGTTCTGTCAGGTACTTAGATCAAGTAGTTTCCGTTATCCAAAATCAACTTAATTAGACCTGTAAAGATTGTCTTCATGGGGCAGAATACATTTTTAAGGGACATCATAGACTTCGGCGATCATTCCTCTTCATCAAAAGCCCCTCGTGCCCGCACCCTATTGAAGTTGAGTGGGAAACCTGTCATGCACGTGACAGACCTGAAAGGTGACCACCAACACTTGGCCAACATTCCAGGGGTCAATTACATGAACCTTGATTTTAAAATCAAGCACTAAGATTTTGAACCAACATTCGACAAATACTCGTTAGGCAGAGTCGTTCATTCTCACGTTGTCAGCTTGTCATGAGGATTGAAGACTTGCGGTCTTCGCAAAGAATTTCAGGTTCTAAGTGAACAATTACAGCATTGAAGTCTCGTCTTACCCCACCGAGATTTTCTGCAGATGTTCCAAAGTCATTTCATATACGATTAAATTGGTGGCTTTGATGTAAGCATGTCGCTTCCAATTTCATGCCCTGCTTGGGGCGCAGTCAAGTCAACAAGACCATCTCGTCCAATGGATCTTTGAAATCCTTCGAAACACCAACATTCTGGCTTGGCTTTCTCTCCATTCACGTGGTTGCCCCTAATTTCAAGCTCAAGAGATGTCATTACACTGGTATCTGACTGTCCCACTTGTACTGTCTTTCTTTCGTTCCCATCGACGTGAGGTTCGATTTGTGGGCTAAGTTCAGAAGCTCTGGAAAATGAGTCAAACCACGACAGCTCTGGATCCCATTGTTATCAAGGTCTGGGATCTAACTATACTCGGTAAGAATTATTCTGACTTATACAGGGGAACCAATTTGTTTACAAATCAACCGGTGCCCGATTCCTTGCTCGCGGCGTGATTCTGATTGGACAAAGTCAGAGCCTTGACAATGGAGCAGCACCTCAAGATCCTGATTCCGCGCTACTCTGGGAAGGTTTGTGTACTAAGGAAATCAAGGGCTTTCTAGCTCTCGGTGTAAACGTTGTTATGGTTATCATTGCCGATACGTCTCAAGATCGATCGAGCTGCATCAATCAACTTAGCGATGCCGGCATTTATCTTCTCGTGGTGCTTTTCAGGGAGCATGTAGACTCTACCTCTGATGCCTACGCATATCAAACTGCCGCTATCGACTCCTTGTCGCCCTATTCCAACATACTTGGATTCGCCTTACTGCTTGATACGGAGGAGCCAAATATTGACCCGATTGATTCCGAGCCTCTAACATTCATCAAAGCTCAGATACGAGACATCAAAGACTATATCACAACGAGTAATTACAGAGATATTCCGATTGGGATTTTTGCATATTGGGACACCAGCAGCTCAAATGGCACCATATCCACGGAGTACCTCAGATGTGGAAATTTGTCAGACGGAATGATCGAATTCTATCTGCCAGCTATTTGTATGAACGGCAGCATGCAAAACAATCCAACCGCCTTGCAGCATCCAACAACGGCTCTTCAAGATTTCGAAATGCCGTTAATCTTGCTAAACGACCACTCGTGTGATGTCTCAAGTTTCTCAACAAGTTCCCCTGATTATACATGGACAACTTCTCTATTCACACCTCCGCTTTCCTCGGTATGGTCAGGCGCAATATTTGATTACTGGTTTCAGCGTGAATATGGTACAGGTTTGTTCCTCATGCGTCCAAAGACAACTTCATTGATCGTTCAAGTTTAAATCTGACTTGACAAACAGGCCTGGTCAATATAACAGAGGATGAAGGATTACTATTTATCGACGAGTCTATTGCATACTCCGCACTTCACACTCAAGTTGATCTCATTACTGCCAAAATTACACCCACATCCGTATATTCGCCAACATGGAAAATATCCAGTTGCCCTACTATTGATGCAGGCTTTCGTAGGTCACTGAACTTCTCTCTTGGTAAAGGCTAACTGGTGCTCAGGCGCATCAACAAAGTTACCGCCCCGTCCAAATCCACAACTGTGTAGATGCATGATGAGCTCGCTCTCTTGTGTTGTTCCGGAAGCCATTCCAGCTGTGGCTGTCTCCGACCTTCTTGAAAAAGTTTGCCTGGAAGACCTTACAAGCTGTATTGGAGTTTCTAAGAATGGTACTTCAGCTGTATATGGTGCTTACAGTGGTTGCAATATGTACCAGCAATACTCATGGGCACTGAACCGTCTAGCGATTACTCGATCCAGCAACGGAAAACCAACGAATTGCAGTTTCTCCACTTGGGAGAGAAGCCAAAGCCCATCAATCAGTCCCACATGCTCATCGATGCTGCTGCAAGCAGGTGTCCTCGGAGACGGCACTGTCAAGCTACAGACCACATCTCCAACATCATCGTCAAGAAGCTCGGTGTTTATTGGCAACCCTGGCAACTCTGGCAACTGGGGATCGGAGGGATCTGAGCTCAGCACGGGTGGCATCGTTGGGGTAGTAGTTGGAATTGTCGTGTTGACATGTATCATCATTGGATCCATTCTGCTTTGGCACCGCAAGAAACACCCAAAGAGCTCACTCAGCCACAATCCGAGCGCTGAAGGTCTTGAAGTAGGAGAAGCACCCGCGGGAATAGGCCATCATGCGGAACTTGGAGGTGAAGATCGACGCTCAGAGATGTGGACGAAAGGGAACACGAGCGAACTCCCGACTTCGGTACCACTTCAGGAGCTGAGCGATGGTATCACGATGCCAAAACAGTCAACTCCAAGATCGCTGGGGAGAGGAGAATACGCTGCTGTGCCGAGAGTGGATATCGAAGTTGAAGAGTTGGATGGGATGAGTAGGGTCGAGGGAGATGTGGTTGCTGGAAAGGGCATCAGGCGGAAACCTTTGGCTTTAGAGATCGCGCCATCATGGGCGGGTGCGGCTTGGTTTGATCCGAATGATCCTCGACAGGTCTTGCCTGGTGATGATACAGTGTCTCGTGGTGAATAGACTTCTCTCAGGGAAAGTTTAGTGAATTCTGATATTAAATTGAAGTGGGGAGATACAAGAAGACTGGACATAATTGGAAGTTTTGAATTGTTGTTGACGTAGTGGGGCTCGCTTAACGGTAAGTTAAACATCGATCAACATATCAACAGTTCCGTTTCCGCTGCTTAAAAAGTGATTTCGCAGCATTATAGTTCTGGTGAAAACAAGAGCTCACAAAATAAAAGGAGATTTCGTCGCCAAAAATAGCAAAACTCCATTGGAAGCCCACACTCGAATGTGCGTGAGGTTCCAATCTACAACCTAATTGAATAGGTTTTCCGATTCGCGATATTATTATTCGATCCGCAGGATGTTGGTGTTCGTATACGAATCGCTTTAACCTGAACCACATCGACGTGGCCGCTCACGGCTATGGAAAACATCTGCTTATTTAGATACATGAATGGGTTGAGATTTGATTTGGGTTTGGGGAGGTGCTCACCATGTTCTGGCGCGGAATCAAGTGGACCGTCTCTCCATTACCGTGCGGGGAATCTACCCGTTACCTGTACAGGGTCTGGAAGATTTACATTTTATACTGTGGCTATCAGTGTCACGAATAGTTTAGAGAGCCGAGCAAGTAAGCCAAAGAGGCAAACCAATACTGATATCCCATTTGGGCTTAGTGCTCGGCTAAGCTAGGCAAACACCAACGTCTATCTTCCTTCTCGCTCAAATGTATCTCGCTGCACGTCTCCTCCTACGTACGTACCTAAACATACATCACTCATTTCTACAGCATTGAGCGCGCTCATGATGGCCGACCACGATTCCCAAATACAGACGTATCCTCGGCCGCAATTGACATTCTTCGACCTTTCTCGCGAGCTTCGCGACCAGTGTTACATCCTGGCCTTGACGACCCGAGAACCTCTGGTTGCATGGTCCGGTATCCAACCTTACAATTCAGAATCGGGCTATGCTGAATGCCACTTCGATAAAGAGTTATACAGCGCTAAGCAATTCAAAATTGCGACTTCTGATGAACGGGCTACAGCCATCAGTCTTTTTCGCTGTAACCAAACTATTGCAAATGAAGCAGCAACGATATTCTATGGCAAGAACAACTTCTTATTCGCAGCCGACTGGAACTGGGAGACGGTGGCTACCTGGTTTCACGGAATTGGATTGAAGAACCGCACATTCGTGACTTCGATCGAGTTGTGGCAATATCCGCCTGCTCACGCGTGGCAGCTGGCCAATGGGGAACGCATTAAAGTGAACGAGTTCAGTCATTATCCTTTGGAACCACCTTTCCCGCGAAATCGTCTCCTAGATCGCGCGCCAGGCTCGATTTCCGAGGGGTTGGTTGAGACCATCAACCCTGCCATCGAAACGTTCTTCGAGCTCGTAGGAAAGGGAAGGCCCAAGACGTTACAGATCTCGATAATTTTACGAAATAAAGCCATTCCTGGGCTGGAGATCGAATTTGACCAGGATGACCGTGCTCACGAGTATTGGTTTACCATGGACCTTCCGAATCTCATCGAGAAATTACGTACTATGCACACTGCTGGTGGCGTGGATGTGATATGGAAAGGCGAACGTTTCAAGCCAATGTTTCTAGAGGCACGAGAGGGTATTGAAGCGCACTGGGAGATTGTGGGTGTGGAAGATTATGACTTTAAACGGAATAACCGCCCTGGGACAAAAAGTTTCCCATGGGTGCGCTTCACATTGAGGGTGAAAGAGGTTCCGAAGCTTTTGTTGGCTCACGAGGCAAGCTCGCATTGGCATTGGGGATCTTACAGTATAAGGGATGATCTCGCTCTTATGCATTTTCATGTGGCATAGTCTGTATTATATACAGTCTTATCATTCTTGAGTCATTGCCCTTCCAGTAGAAGAGCTGTACTCTCACTCTATCCCTACTTGGTCTCTATCCCTACTTGGTCTCTATCCCTACTTGATATCGGTAACTTATGTGGTCTGATATGAGCTGACTCTGATACTCACGTGATGTGCCTCGTTGAGTATTGAGAGAGATTTCTGGAACATAGCACTATTCAATTGAAGCGACTGTGAAGCGAAACCCTATCAAAACTACATGAAACAAGAGCGGATCCATCAAACGACTGACCACCATCCAACCATACTTTAGAATCTAGATGCCGTGCCTGGGTGTTACTCAACCAACCCATACATTGCCAACATCTCTCTTGCGGGCAGCTGCTACTGCCACCTCCTCGGCCGCGTCGGCAGCAGCTTCAGCCGCTTCATTTTCCAAGCAAGCGTCGTCGTCTGTACCATTATCGAAACACCCAACCTCGCAGATTTGCTTGAACTCGATATCGCCGTGATCACCACAACTCCACAGAGAGTTCTTCTGGTGGTAGTCACTTCTAGTGATGTGCTTCGCCTGCAGACCAGTGTTGATTTTGGTGATGTAATTGCCTATGAAGTTTTACGAATCAGTCTTGGGTATCTTTAGATTGGCGTACAGACTCGCCAAGACCTACCTCTTTGCATCAATCCGAAACCGCAGTATATCCCGCCATTGTGGCAACTGCTAGCAGCAACTAAGGTCGAGATGACTGAAGCGAGGACAATGACGATCTTGGAGAATTGGGCCATGCTGAAGTTGAAGATAATTGATGTAATTTGTTGTAGGTGCTAGGTGTAGAACTTGAGAATGTGGGCTGCAGTTGGACAGGAGAATGAAGATAGGTAGATGTTGTTGATAAACGATATAGAAGTCTTTGAAGAGGGGGAGCTGTGGTATATATATACTTCTCCGGTCCAATGTCACTCAGCTCACAATACATGTGTCATTGAAAGTGACATGCTAAGACAAGAACGCCTCGTTCTCGATGTAGAATATGCTCAAGGCCTGATCATCGAAGAAAGGAGTGCCATGGCAGCCCGAACACGCCTGAACAGCTCGGCAGCATCATCAGAACAGATTCAACGACCAAAGCAGGTTTATCTAAGACTGTTGGACCTCTAAGATCCTAAGTGAGAGTGTTTCGGAACCTGCAGTTATTCTTTTTTTGAACATGGTACCCAGAGGCCGACCGGCAGTCATTAATGATGCTGAAAAGTGGAACCTCGTCTCTAACACCCACATCACCAGTAACTCATCTGACAACGAGGCAGAATTGTAGCTCTGAGTATAGATAAGGGCACCATATCTGGGCTCTCTCAATCTTTGCTATATTCTTCTTTTGCTGATAGGACAGCAATGTGATACGAAGGATCCCGCTGAAGATGACCAGGCTACCTACCATTTACAACTCTGGTCTCATTACTGCGGATGTTAGCATGCATTCCTGGCGCCTATTCATATACTCCAACTAACAATAGTACAGTGGCAACCTATTGACACCACAGACCTTCCAGGTCTATCTCAGTCATCCCTTCCAGCGCTCTGACACTGCGTGGATGAGCCACTGTTGGAGGTCGATTACATGGACAACACAAAATGTCACTGCTTTGTTGGAGAAGCTGAAGTGAGCCAGCGGAGGGAAGGGATTCAAGAGAGTAGTGATTGACTTTTGCAGTAGAGATTGAGTATATTTACGCGCCGAGCCTTGCTTGAATGGCCTAGAAAGGCCTCCCACCTTCCAGCCCGTGTTTGTTGGCGATGGGCTCTCCCTCAGTTGGAATGCGTGCTTGAGCAGTAGCGGCTGTAGTATGTGATTCTGGAAGTGAGATCATGAATTTAATGAGAAGCAGGCCTATACAATCTGACCAACATCGGCAGGCGACAAGGCGGAGTAAGACTTGTGTGTGCGGATCGAGCAGTAGTCGTTTCTACCCTCGTCGTTTCAGCATTTGGATCCTCCAGCCAGGATAATGGGGCACTCGAACTTGAGAGGTCTTTTTCAGGCGAGCAGCCATCGCTCTACAGATCCTCTTGAAATAGAAAAGAAAACGTATGTAAGAGCGTATAAGTTCCTCACATATTCCGCATCTTCCATAGTCTCCAGCACAAACAAGAAAAATCAGCTCTACGATACTTCGACAAACCCTCTCCGAAAATCATCAGTATTTTGCAGTCAAAAATCATCTATCCACATTCATCACTACCAAACATCAAGCACCATGATTTCCACAGTCAGAACCAGCTTTCGATCGTCGTCCAACCTCCTTGCGGCTCTATTCTGTCTTCTATCCATCTGCAGTCTTGGCATTAGTCGATCAGCTCCATATCACGGACAACCCGTTGTTGAAAGTTCCCCTCATGAGCTTCACTAACTTTCTAAGCGGGTCGTCACCTTGACGAGGATATTCGGCCCCGCCGATCCCGTCTGGGGAATTGATCTCCAAGTCGAGCCTCCAAATTCGAATTGGGGACGAGACGACATCGATCGCTGGGTTACAGAAGGTTGGAATAGTGTTCCAAACAAAAGCGACGTATTCTTGATAGCAGCCTTGTGGATCCCTGGCTACGGATACACTATGTCATCATCTCCCAATGCCTACAAGGCTTCCCGTGATATCCTTATACACAATGGCGAAGCACTTGCCCCTGCCTGGTCGCAAAAGGTGGAAGAGCGAGAAAACGCGTCTGGGGCAGATCCAGGATTTCATGCTGAAGACGGAGCATGCTTTCTCTATGAGAAAAGCTTGCAGAAGAAGCTAGGCGCAATCGACACATATCCTTCCACTGCTACGAATAAGCCATATATGGTTGTTTATGGGAGGAGGTGGGTCGGGGCTGCTCCAGGCTTTGTTGCTACCTGCGCAAAGGGTAAGAAAGGAGGCTCACAGCTCAATCCTGATTGTTCGTGGGTCATGAGTGAACTTGGAATTGATGTGAAATTATGAAGTGGCTCATGAAGGGAGCTACGGCTGAGGAGGAAGTGTCAAACGGGTCAAAAGACTTGCCAGCGTATCCTTGGGATTTCATTTGTCCATTCGTATTTACTCTCGCTATGTCATTTTGGGTACATGTGGTTACATTTCTACTTTTGATGTCAGTTTAGTTAGAGCCTGTCGGATGATGAGAGTCTTACTGGGTTTATGTTTTGGATGGGTCTGCTTTACATAGAGCAAATATTGAATGTCATTCGTTTCACTGATCAAGGAAGAAAATTGAATTGCTTCAAGCGAAAGACTCCCTGCAATTGTAGTACCAGAAGTGGGCAAATTGCAAAGTCCAACTAGCACGCGAAGTCTTAAGTGTACATGTCTCAAATTTTATGGTCGTTTGGGAACCACAGATTATGTGGACATGGGTAAGTCAGAAAGTCAACAATCCAACCTTGGCGGCTCGCTTATGTTGAAGGATCGTTGGATGACGAAGGGGTGCTTCTTCCACTTCCTTTACAGGGCCGAATGCAACAATTTGTCTGTTCACGAAACAGGAAATGATGACATATTCGATGCACGATGGTGCAATGTGGAGTGTGGTTGAGGCGCAGAACAGAAATTCCAACGCTGCGCACGAGACCTAGCAAGTGACCCGCATGAGATCGACCAACTTAGCCGCGCGGTGAGAACAATGATAGAAGGAGCCGGCCACTTCGGGTGGCAATGCTCCCAAAAAAACTATTTCTGTGCTACTTTCATCAGCCCGTTCAGATAGTTGGATTGTTTCAAAGACGCGGCATGAGTCCTAGGTTGTATACATGTGCGGCACACAGTCAACATCCTGATTCTAAGTCCCGTCCTAACAGCGACGCGCTCAGGCATAATATCAAGAAGCTGTTAGATCATGATAATTCTGCCTACGACACCTCATCAGTTGGTACCTGAAGGATTCAAGAGTTGGTCAGAATTTGCAGAATGTAGCTCGTCGAGTATGCCTTGGGTCGATAAGCAAGTCGACCTACTTTCGAAATCTGAAAGCGTGGACCTCGCATCCCGGAATATGCAAGAACGTGTTTGAAGTGCAATCCTCGAGACCTGGATGGAAACCCAGTCTCGCTGGAGCTTCGCGAGGTTGAAGGCATCCCCCGAAAATAAAGCACTGTCCTACTTGACTTCCAAATGCCCCTTTCTACGAATCTGGTCTTCATGCAAAACTTACTGAGACTTTCTCACATCATCTGTTCTTCATTGTTTGTTTGTTCATTATACCTATGTACGAGTCTGTGATCTTCAGTCGACGCAACAATCATGGTACATATACAGCTTAGTGCGACCAACTCTTTGAATCTTGTTCAAGCTCAGTGCTGATACGTGTAGCACGGAGCAAGTCTTCATATGCTTCCTCTGAGTCCACATTTGATTTTCATGAAGACTTGGGGAATCATTACTGGAAACGCTTGATCAAAGCCGGACAGAAACAAAACAAGTATTCTGAGCCATACACTCCGAAGAAACGCCTGCTCCATATTATTGTGTTGATGATTTTTCTTGGGTTCACATCCGGATTGTTAGTATTCTAGTTCCTTCTTCTCGCTTTGAGCTTCCAAGACTGATATTTGATATTCCAGCATCTGGCTGTCGTTGCTCATTACCCTTCCCCGACACCATGACCCCAAGCCACCCTCCAATCGAGTAAGCTATATCGTCGACAAGTGGAAGTCACCCTTAGACTCTAGCAGACTGCTATCAACGTGGTCCTCAGACTTTACTCGGGACATCACTCCGATGTCATGCCACTCGCACAACGACTACAAGCGTACAGTCCCTCTTTGCGAAGCCCTAGCCGCTGGGTGCACTAGTGTAGAAGCAGACATATTCCTCCCCACAAAGACAGCCAGCAGAGACTTATTAGTAGGACATAAGTCGGAGTCGCTTACACAGGACCGCACATTGCAGTCTCTATATATCGATCCTCTCATAACCACTCTCGAAAATCTCAACAACTCCACGGAAGAAGATAGAGGGCCAAATAATTGGAGTGGTGTATACCAATCGAGTCCAAATACTACACTCACTCTTCTCCTGGACTTCAAGTCGAATGGTGCCGCACTCTGGCCATACGTCGATGAGCAACTTTCGAGTCTCCGTTCCAAGAAATGGCTTACTCACTGGAGCGACACATCTGAGATGACATGGGCACCGATTATCGTCGTTGCGACAGGAAATGCGCCATTCGACATCTTGAGCAATAACAGAACCTACCGCGATATCTTCTATGATGCTCCTCTTGACGACATCTCAAACGCTATCTACAATAACACGAACTCTCATTACGCGAGTGTTTCGATGTCACGTGCCATTGGGAGACAGTGGTTTTGGAGATTCAGTTCAAAACAGCGGGATAAAATCGGAGAGCAGGTCAGTGCCGCGCGTAGCAAAGGGCTAGTGGCGCGATACTGGGATACTCCGACTTGGCCTGTGACTTTCAAAGATTATGTGTCGGAAGTCCTCATTGAGAAGGGTGTCGGAACACTAAATGTAGACCGATTTTCTTCTTCTCTTTACTTTCCGTTGTTGACTGGGTTTGGACAAAATAGACTTGCTTATTGAATGGGAGACTTCTTGTTGCCACTACAGACAGTGCATGAAGATAACGATGTGTACCAATATAAAGCAGAGGTTGGGATGTGACTCGCTAAGCGCATTGCTGCCTTTGAAGTGAGAACTGGGACACACGAGATTCGTTCTGGGGCAAACCGTGTTCCTTGTGTCCGAATTATACTTCTTATTGATCAAAGGGATAAATGGTGATGCACCGCTGCGCGTTTATAAACAATAGCCTTTATCGGCACGAAGATCACAAGTCAAGAAGGACTTTAATGCATCATCAAAGACACTCTAAACTTCACATAAGTACGAGGAAAAAAGTATAGCTCGAATAATCAATTCTCGCTACAGGAGAACACCAATAATAAGCGGTGACTACAGGATGCCATCGTTGCCCTGCTGCCGAAGGAGCCCAACATGAAAACTCTCGACACCCATTTTTGAACCCCAATATCCAATCCGTATCTTTCTCGTCCAATATACATCAGGGATAGCCAGCCGTCCCGTCTAGCTATACAGTATGCCATCGTTGCACTGCGCACGAGACCATCTCGAGCCCCACCACCTGCAATAAAATACCAAGGAATACACTTCGTCTATACGACGAAAGTGTACTATAGGATGCCATCGTTTCCCTACAGTTGACAGCCCATCATGAAAACTGCCGACCCCTTCATTCCCGCAACTGCCAAGAAGCAAAGATTTATATCTTGATACCTTCCAAGATAGGCTTTGCCTCGTCACTCTTCCACCATCCACCAGGTCCACCAGGGAAGCTGAAGAGATCCATGCTCTCTGGCTTCATCTCCACACTGTACCCGGGCTCCATAGGAGTCTGGTAGTAACCACCCTTAATGACGGAAGGGTGGTTGAAGTGCTCATGTAAATGATCAACATATTCCAAAACGCTCAACTTCCCACTGACGCAGACATAGTCAATGGTACTCAAATGCTGAGTGTATTCAGGTAGACCAACACCGCCGGAATGGGGCACAATAGGTACGTTGTACTTCTTGGCCATGAGGAGCACGGCGAGGACTTCGTTGACACCTCCCATACGGCAGGCGTCGATCTGGCAGACGTCGATGGCGCCTGAGGCGAGGAGTTGTTTGAAGATCACGCGGTTTTGGCACATTTCTCCGGTGGCAACGCCGATGCCGTGGGGGCGGAGAGCCTCGCGGATGGCCTTGTGGCCGAGGATGTCGTCGGGGGAGGTGGGCTCTTCGATGAACCAGGGCTTGAATTCTTTGAGGTGTTGCATGTACTCAATGGCTTCGGGGACGGACCAGACCTTAAAAAAAACCGTCAGTTCAGTCCTCGAAAGGCGATAATCGAAAGCGGGGGATCATACCTGGTTAGCATCAACCATCAAAATATTGCCCTTGTCGTAACCAATAACTTCTCTCGCAATAGTCAACCGCTTCCTGTCCGCCTCAACCGACGTGCCGACCTTCAACTTGAAATGTCTGTACCCCTTCGCCAGCGTCTCCTCCAGCAGACCTTTCATCTTCTCCTCTCCATATCCCAACCACCCCGCACTAGTAGTATAAGCCGGCACAGCCTTACTATCCAACGCATCCTGCAATCTCTTGGCCTTACCCCCCTCCTCAGACTTCAACATAGCAATTGCCTCCTCAGGCGTAATCGCATCAGTAATATAGCGGAAGTCAATGCAGCGGACGAACTCCTCGGGCGACATGTCCGCCACGATCCTCCAGACGGGCTTGTTCAGCGTCTTGGCCCAGAGATCCCAGATGGCGTTCACGACGGCGCCGAGAGCGAGGTGGATGACGCCTTTCTCGGGCCCGATCCAGCGGAGTTGTGAGTCGGACACTAGGTGCCGCCATGTCTCGCCCCAGTTGGCGACGAGGGAGGAGAGCGTGCGGCCCTTGATGCGGTCGGCGACGTTGTCGATGGCTTTGCAGACGATGTCGTTACCGCGGCCAATTGTGAAGGTCTGGGGGTGAGGGGTTAGTGGATCTTCTTCCTTATTTATTGGCATTTGAGGAGTGGGGGGAGGCGAGGGGTGGAAGAGGACGGAAGAGGGATTTCAAAACTTACCATGCCGTGACCGGAGAATTGGGAGTCGGTCTTCAAGATGCAGTATGCGGCAGAATAGTCTCCTGCTGCGTTCATGGCATCTGAGCCAGTTTTGTCGAGAGAGGTTGGGAATCGCACATCGCGAGTGTCCCAGCCGGTGATGGTAACTTCTGCCATCTTGATGGAGGGGTAGTGGGGTATGTGTGGATTATGCTGCTTTATGCCAGAACTGTGCAATTGCAAGTATATAGAACAGAAAACAGGTGAAAGTAGAAGGATGGCAGACGGGAGAAGAGGAGAGAATGGAAAGAAAAGAAAAGTCGGAGCAAAGCCGTGGGGTTTCTAGCAATTATATACTCCGAGTTCGCGTTGAGGAGAAAAAACAGTCTGGGGGTTCCTGCCAAGGGATAATTCAATCCGATGGCGTTGCGGTGGGGCAATGGAGGGGTTGTGAGGGGAGGCGAGCAGCACGTCTGATTGATGGAGAAATTTATCCGGATCCACGCGAGAAACATCATCCGCCGAGAGAAGGCAAGCCCCCCTGATCAAAATATTCGTCTAACTTTCCGTAATTGTCGAGAGATTCCTGGACAAGCTTCAATTTTCCTATTTTGATGCTCTAGATGCTTTGTATGGACGCCATTCAGAAATACTGCTAGCTTCTGGATGAGGTTCTCTTTTTTGCATTTAGCAAAGAGCTTGACGCTTAAGCCGAGACGACATCATAACTCACGAGATACATCTAGTGCACGCTTTTGTCAGCTCGGTCAGGTCTTGTCATCTAGACACTTGCTGACTCTTGCGGTAATGACGCTGCAATCAGCTTGATATCAGTGTCTTTTCAAACAAGAATTTCGGACACCTCGCGCAAGTTGGTTGAAGTCACTCCTATTCGTTCCTGTTCTCAGCCTTGAGAGCAGTTCGTTGGACCTATGTGTCCGGAGACAAGAAATGAAATTCTGAAATGTCAGTGGATAAAAGTCACTCGCCGACGACAGCAGCCACGTTCCTGACGAACTCAAGAGAAAGTTGAAATGCATCGCGATTCTCATGTTTCAATTGCGCTTGTGTCTATCTTCAGATATACTTATGTGTAGCCATTTCGAATTCAGCTCAAGTAAATCATGCCTCAGCTTCCATGAACACCGAGCTTCCATTGCAAGAACCCATGCTAGCATAGAGACCCATCATGTTGAACGCAAGAGCGCAAAATGTAACGAAAGCCCAGAGTCGACCACAATCACTCAAAAGGCGGGAAGAGATCAAGCACTTTCTGAGCCTCCACCATCTCCCTCTCCAACACAACTCTCCGCTCCTCATCCCTAATAACAAAATCACACTCAAAAGGTTTAGGTCTAAGAACCATACCACCCTCATACGCATCGACATCGTAGATCTCTCCCTCCGTAGGCTTGACATCAAAAGCCCAAAGCAGTTTCGCAAGAACGATGAACAAACTATTGGTCGCCAAATCCGCACCAGCACAGGCTCGTCGTCCGAATCCGAAAGATGCGTGGGGGTGACAACCTGGCGGGAATGGCCTCGCCGCAATCTTGGAACCGAATCGAGGGTCAGAAGAAGGTAGGTAACGCTCAGGAGCGAAGCTGTTAGGCGAGGGGAAGTATTCTTCATTATGGTTGAGACCCCATGCTGCTGGCCAGACGACGGTGTCTTTGGGAATGCGATAGCCATTGTAAACATCAGCTTCGCTGGTTGCGTGGGGGACTCCGAATGCGGCAGATGGGCGCCACCGAAGGATTTCCTTGATGATGGCATCGATGTAGGGCAAGTTGGCTTGGTCGGCGAAAGTTGGTGATCTGTGCTTGCCAATGACTTTGTCGATCTCAGCCTGGGCAGCTTCCTGGATGCGAGGGTGTGTGACGAAGGCTTTGACTGCTGAATGGAGGGTGGATGCTGTGGTGTCTGATCCTGCGCCGAATATGACTGCCGGAAGGGCGGCAAAGTGAGCTTCAGACAAAGTGTCTGCGCTTGCTTCTCCCTTGTTCTTGAGATCCAGCATAGTCTCCGTCAAGTTGACCTGGATAATACCTTTCTCTTTCTTCAGATCTTCCTTGACGGCATTAACCAGACTGATGTCAAAAGCCGCGAGCTCCTTTCCCATCCGAATTGGGTATTCCTTCCACCGAGAGAGGAAGTCAGGTAGGTGTAGAAGGAAAGGAAAAGTTTCCACCAGATAAGCGCCAGGTGCCATGATTTTTGCTGCAACACGGAACAAAAGCTGTCTCTTTTTCAGAGCTTTTGAGTCTAGAGAAGCAATGCGGCGTCCGTAAGCCAAGCTGAAGACCACACTGGCGGCAAATCTGTCAATACCCATGCTCCAAGAACTCGGTTTCTCTGCAATACCAGCAACGAGATTCATAGCTTCTGCTTCCTGACGGGGTTTATAGGCAGGTAATGCAGAAGATTTGAGAGAGTTATGGAGGAGCTTGCGCCGGAGAGACCATGCATTTCCATAGGGTAGAGAAGCAACTGAAGCTCCATCATTGAACAGTTCGCCAAATACGATCATTCGAGGCCGAGAAGAGTACTTGTTACCTCTGCGAGACAGAAGTTCAGAGGTGATTACAGGGTCTGTGACGATGATTCGAGGTGATCGACCGATCCAGATCGTATATATAGGGCCGTAGATATGGCTCCATTCTTTGAGCCGTACATAGAATTTGTCAGGGGTGATTGAGAGGATGTTGCCGATGAAAGGGAGAGGCAATGGTCCTCGTGGGAGATAGTACCATGTATATATGTCGGACAAGAGGAGGTAGATGGGGATTGCAACCAAGATCCACAGACCGATCAAGACGGGGTGCATGGTGATGGACGTGAAGACGTCCATAGCCTTGATCTTGCCAATGAGACAAGCTTGGATTGCGTTTTGAGCGTTTGTTGTATTGTTGTAACAAGATTAAGAGAAGGTGACTTCAATAAGAAATGAGATAAGACTGAATATCTTTGTTGAGAGTCGCTAATCGGATCAGGACCGGCCCCGGACCTTGCGAATTCACTTGTTTGGGCGGGCTGACCAAAAGAAGTAGAAGCTGTGAAATAGGAAGGCACCATGTTTATAGGTACTTCATTGTGTTACACCAGCCAAGTACATCTTACTGCATGAAGAGCATGATATTCATAGCCCACTTTGGTTCCATTGGGAAGTGTTCGTCCTCGCAGCTTCTGCCTATTTGCTTCAAGAAAAGGTCTTGGTGAAGGTGCTCGTTCAATGATAAGCGACTTGGCTCTTGGATGCGCCGCAACGTGAGCCAGTAAAATGACATACTCGGGCATCACCTTCTTGCGTTCGTGGCTGCTTCAATACCAAGGAGAGACCCAAAAAAGGGAATGAGTGGTACACACAACACAAATCGGGCCATCGCTTGTGAATTACAATGCATGAGACCGAATGCGAAAAACCAATAAATGCGATAAAGAAGTGTGTATGGTGTTCTTTCCAATTTGTCTAGACCGAGACCGCAACGCCGCTGATATGCATACAGTCTTCCCACCAACCAAAATCAAGCGCTGTTTACTCCGAACGATCGAAGACCTTGCTTCCGAACTTCCAGACTTGATCGATTATCAAAGTCTTCTTACCAAACTCATCAACCACCTCATCGATGATCACTAGATCCGCGTCGGCGTCTCCCTTCAAGTTGCCCTTTACATCACTCAATCCCAGCATTGCGGCTGGTGTTGCCGTAACTGCTTTTAATGCCTGGGGGATGCTCGCTCCGGACCAATTGAGGAAGTTGGTCACGCACTCAATGAGCGTAATGGAACTGTTATATGTTAGCCCAGGCCTTCACTTCCTCTCCGATAAATTTCCTTACCTTCCAGCAATCTTGTCGCTTCCTTCCAGTACCAGTTTTGGGCCCGTCTTTACAATTCTCTCTCCATTCGTCCACTCATAGACGCCATCTGGCAGTCCAACGAGATGCATGGCGTCCGTTACGAGGATGAATCCGTCTGGGTGTGCATTAAAGGCGATCTTGATACTGGTTGGGTGCAAGTGTATCCCATCCGCGATGATGCCAAAATACGGACGGGGTAGCGACTCGGCAATTCCAAGTACCCCATAAACATTTGGATTCCTGTGATGCAGAGGTCGCATGGCGTTGAAGAGATGTGTGATCATGGTAGCACCTGCTGCAACCGCTGCTGACGCTTCCTCGTAAGTGGCTTCCGTGTGTCCGATCGAGTACAGTATGCCTCTCGATGTAATATCTGGAATAGTTTGGGTCATGGCTGCCACTTCTGGAGCCGCAGTTATCATCTTAATTTGAGGAGGTCGAATGGCTCCATCGAAAGGAGACAGAGTAGGATTGATATTGCCTGCTCCATAGCAATCTTCCAGATCGCTGAATCCATTGATTGCGGGTATTATGTTCTCGACCTTGTGGATTCCATTTTTGCTAGGACTCAGAAACGGACCTTCACAATGGGCTCCCAGAGATTCAGCTCCATTCTCTGCATTTCGAGGAAAGCCTGACGGGCCAAGGTAGGGCAGCGCCTATTATTTCAATCAACATAGGCCAAGAGAAAATGTCAGAAATTCTTACCTGTTGGTAGACTTCCTTCCGCTCTGAAGTCATTGTTGGGAGATATGAAGTGACACCCGTCTGAACCAGCAGCTTGTTGACTTGCTTCAATGTCTTCCCATAAGTCGAGGCATCGTCAGGTATTTGCGAGAAATTGAACCCGAATGCGCCGTTCAGTTGCACATCAATTAGACCTGGCGATATGATCTTTCCCCCGAGGTTGATGGTGACGTCTGGTACCGAGTGGTCCCCATAGAATGCTTCTTGACTCCTCACGATCTTCCCCGTCTCGGAGCTGACCCACAAGTCTTGCTCTACCAACTCATCGCCCTTAACCAGCCGACAGTTCGTGAACTTCGTGATCGTCTCTCTTCCAGTGGGAATTGCAGATGGCATGATTGGAGTATGGATGGCAAACAAGATTGTGAAGTTTGAAGATGTATTTTATTGTGGCGTAGACCACAGTTTCCCTTGAGCTCTACATTATGAATGATGAAACTCCACAAAGCTACGCTACTACCTACCTGATATTATGCTTTCGAGACGTCGAATGTCCTCGGCCATTGATGATGACATGACCCATCCAGGCGCGAGGCGCTCAAAAGTGGGTGGAGCCATGATTCAAGATGGCGATGTCCATGGAATGGAATGTGAGGTGCATCGTCCGGTACGGTAGGTACAAGTTACAGAGAGAAAGTGGAGATGTAACGTCCCATTTGATTGCCTGGCCCCCGACAAAAGCCGAGTACCTAGTAAGCTGGCCAGCATGATACTCGTAGCGAACATTAAATGGGCAAATAGGGCATAGTCTTGTAAGCACGCATGAAGCTTCTACAGTAGTAGAGGCTTGCAACAATCTTTGATGAGTGATCCCATATCAAACTAAAAAAAAAAAAAATTGAGATAGGATGGCAAAGGCAAAAGAATGTTCATGACATGAAGAAAATGGCCGATGAGACTTCCATTGCCGAAGACGTTCCGTCCACGTGATTTGCCCCACTGCACCCTCACTGCGGCATTGCTCCTCCCATCCCATCGTTACACGCCTTCCACTGCTTCCCCACGAGGCTGATGATCCACGTTCCTCTCCACTCCATGGCAAAGACGTTGCACCGTTTCGTTTTCGCTGAACATGCTCAGGTGTCATGAGAGGTTGAAGAGAGGAGCGAAGTCGTGCCGTGTTCACAGATAACCCCACCAGCACCATAACCGAAGGAACTGCCACTGCCCCAGGCAGGTCTTGTGCAGTACCTGGCTTGCTTTGGGTTCGACAAGCCGTCACGGCGTGCGGCAAGGTGCAAGTTAAGATGGAGGTCGCGGAGAGTGATGAGCTGGACCCGCTATGGCAGGATCTGGATTGGTATGCATCGTATCAGATCTCGTGATAGATAACGTGCTGATGTGACTTGACAGGGCTATGGGGCAACTGTTCTTCATGGGTACTTCTCCTATTGATCTATTTTACGCTATACAGTCGGCAAATACCCATATGACCATGCCTATTATGAAGAGCGTTTTGCATTGAGCAATGCTGATGACAGTATCTTCTAGGTTGGGAAGGAACCGAAGTCACGCCTCAGATCCGCACGTTGATCGAAGATCACCATCTTGGTGCTATATTGCTAACCACCAAGAACCTGAAAAGTATTGTGCCTTTCATTCTGCCATCATATATTTTCTGCTTATGTTGGGCTCTAGTCAGGCCTTCTTGGTCAAATGCTCTTTGCAAGTGTTGAGGTGGAAGATGAGTGTTGAATAAACACATAGATCCAAGATTAGAAGTTGCCTATTCTGTTCATAGTTTTTTCAATAATCTCTTCTCTGTTTAATATCATTTACAGTCACACTGACCTCTGCAGCCGCCCAAGAAACCGCAAGACTTGTTCAAGAGCTCCAAAGTATTGCTCACCAGGCTGGCCACCCGGTCCCTCTCCTGATCGCACTTGACCAAGAAAATGGAGGTGTCAACAGTCTATTCGATGAGGACTATATCTGTCAATTCCCCAGTGCCATGGGAGTTGCTGCAGCTGGTTCTCCGGAGATGGCATATGAGATTGCCAATGCAACCGCCAAAGAAGTCTCCGCTGTTGGGGTTAATATGATTATGGGTCCTGTTCTTGATGTCTTGACCAACGCTAGATACCAGCCTCTGGGAGTTAGAGCAACTGGAGATGACCCTCAGGAAGTGTCCCAGTATGGAATTGCTGCTATGAATGGGTACAAGGATGCCGGGCTCACTACTTGTGGGAAGCATTTCCCTTCGTACGGGAACTTGGACTTCCTTGGATCGTCACTCGATATGCCTATCATCACCGAGACTCTTGAGCAATTGAGCTTAAGCGCTCTTGTTCCATTTCGGAATGCCATCCGGGATGGTTTGGATGCCATGATGGTGGGTGGATGTGCCATGGCGAACACCAGTGAGTAGATTCAAAAAGCTGGTTGCCGTTCACAGACTTAATTCTAAATAGGTATGAATGTCATGCACGCCTGCTTAAGCGATCAAGTCGTTGATGATCTGCTTCGAAATGATCTTGGCTTTAACGGAGTGACTATCTCTGAATGCTTAGAGATGGATGCGCTAAGCCACGATATTGGAGTTCGCGGCGGAACAGTCATGGCCGTGGAAGCAGGTTGTGATCTCGTCCTTTTGTGTCGCTCATTCGCTGTACAACAAGAAGCAATATCTGGTCTTAAACTCGGAGTTGAAAACGACATGATTTCTCGGGAACGAATTATGGTCTCTCTCAAGCGTGTTCTCAATTTGAAGTCAAAATGCACTAGCTGGAGCAAGGCTTTAAACCCTCCTGGCATCAGCCTGCTGGCCACATTGCACCCGAGCCATCTCGCATTATCAACGAAAGCATACGATAATTCCATCACCATTATGAGAGATAAAGGACATCTACTACCACTATCAAACACGTTGTATCCGGACGAAGAATTGCTTCTTCTCACACCTCTCGTCAAGCCTCTCCCCGCTTCTGCCGCCACGAAAGCACTTACAGAATCTACTCGGTCAGCAGCCAACGAAAATGATAAATGGCAACACCGATCATCTATCATGAGTGGCGAAGGAGTGTTCCGCGAACTCGGACGCTCTCTCGCTCGTCAAAGGCATGGCAAACTTCTGCATACATCATACACAGCGAATGGTGTACGGCCTGTACATGAGAACCTCATCAATAGAGCAGCAGCAATTATCATTATCACTGCTGATGCGAACCGAAATCTCTACCAGAATGGGTTCACGAAGCATGTCGCTATGATGTGCTCTATGTTATCGGCAGGAGGCAAGAAAAAATCCCTCATCGTCGTCTCCGTGTCTTCACCCTACGATTTCGCTATGGACAAGTCAATAGGAACTTATGTTTGCACATTCGATTTCACTGAAACAGCAATGAGCGCCCTAGTACGAGCACTCTTTGGGGAATTTGTGCCTCAAGGAACACTTCCTGGGACTCTGAGGAAAAGTAGGAAGGTGCAGAAGTCGAGACAGAACTGGTTGGTTGAGAGCTGGAACAGGGATCGTGATCACAGGGGTTTGCTAGCACTCATCAAAACTATCGAGAAGACTATGCCTCCAGGAACACAGTCAGGGCTATCGGGCGCAACGGCTGCCTCCTTCGAGATCGTAAGTCTACTACACCAATGTCGATTCTTGTATTTTTCTTAACTAATGTGACCTCCAGTCTCAAGCCCTTTCCCCACCCCACGATACAATCCAGCAGCAACACTTCGTAGTCCGTAATTCCAGTACACAAGCCCTGTTTGGATTCTGCTCAACTTACTACCACGTACCCACCTCCCACGGCATAATCTCATCCCTTTTCGTCGACCCATCTAAACGCAACCTCTCCATCGGACACTCCCTCCACCAACGAGCTCTCCGCTCCCTCCTCTCCCGGCCCTCCATCAAAACCCTCCAACTCGGCTCCTCCCTCCCAACAATCTACCCCGGCATCCCCATGTCCGACCTCACCGAAGGCGCCCGCCTCAAACGCTGGTTCGCCGCCAACGGCTGGGACATCTCCTCCCCACGCCTCCTCTACACGCTCACAATCCGCAACCTCCTCACCTGGCAAGCACCCGAAGGGCTCCTCCCCTCCATCCAACGCGTCAGTTTCAAATTCGACCTAATCGCCGGCCGCGAGAACGCCGAAACCGTCCTCGACCTCGTCAAAGCGAATGCAGGACCAGAAGTCCTCGCTCTATATCACCTCGCGCTGGCGGACGAGTCGTGCGGTATCGTGAGGGCTAAGTCACCCGTGGATGGGAGCCTTGTAGGCGCCGTCATCATCACACGTCCGAACTCGAATCTCTCAACATATATCCCAGTGCTCAAACCATCACCAGCAACCACTTCTCCCTCCCTGAATGGAAGTAGTGGAGATAACATGAACGGCGTAGGCGGTATCCTCGCACCCGTCGTGCCGAATAGTCCTCAAGCTGCTATCGTGCTGCAGGGTCTGGCGCTCCTAGGTATCAGGCAGAATAAAGCGCATCGGGCGGCGGCGTGTGTGTTGTGCTGGGTGCAGGGTGAGGAGAGGGATGTGTTGCTGGGAATGGGCTTTGATGTGCTGGATGCGTTTGAGGAGGTTAGGTGTCCTGCTGAACGGGTATGTTACCTCCTTTCCTCTTTCTTTCTTTCTTTCTTTCTTTCCTTCCTAATCTAGAAACACATAAGTGATTGAGTCATGCCATGATGAGAATATACTAACGGGATTCGACTCTAGTTCAGCGAGTTGAGTCTCGGTTGAGTGTCCATGTTTGCGAAACAGAACTCGGACTCAGGTACTCGATTCGGCTGGGTTGGGCTGGCTGGTTGGTCGGTTAGCGAACCGAGGGAACAAAGGGGAAGAGGAAAGGGGCTTGCATTATTTACATGCAGTACCCGGAAGAAGTAAATGAACTTTCACACTGGGACGCGGGGAATCTTATCGTGGCACTTTGATATTCGCAGTAGAATAAGTCAGGTTCTGGTGCTGTTGATATGATACTACTCTGATCCGTGAATTCGTTTCCATCTTGATATTCAGGATCTCACGTTCTTCTCATATCATTTAGACATTCACATCCCTGACCCTATTCCAAGTAACCATTTCAGTTAGCTGTCTGCAAATGCTCGCTCTCATTTCATTAATAATATCTTCATCTCCATCTTTATTCCATTCCATTCGTTATCATTGTTGGTATCAAAGCCTCCCATCCCATTCCATCCCTTTACTTCCCTGCCATCGTACACGGTACTTGCTCAGCTCATGAACCAACTTCCTCTTCTTACTTTGGTATCGATACTCTCATAGCTCATTCAACCATTCGCTTCCCACCTCCCAACTCCCATGCTTGTAAAAAGCCTTGATTGCATGGAACCCCCGCCTCTCTCCTGATCATGCCCGTGACGCGATGACTTCTCGCCATTCATCGAGCTCCAAGGGGAACACATCGATCATCGATATCGCGGTCTGCAGAATATCGGGCTTTATTCTCCAAAAATACTGCAAGCCTCCAATGCGCTCGCCCGAGCCCCCAAGTGTACATGAATAGCAAACAACAATTCTTTGCTATACATCTCTCATCAATCATCCGCAGAGAAATATCTCTTCGTCTTGTTCTTGACTTGTTCAGCTTTCAGGTCCGGCGGGACGATAGTGTGATGCACAACATGCGGTCTATAGATCGCGTCCACAGGCGGCATCCTATTAGAATACGAGTCAGCTTCCATCTTCAAGTTGTCTAGCAAATCTCATCTCGTGATTATTTCCTTAAAAAAAGTTGAATGTCATGGAGAAAGGAAGGGAGACAAACCAATCGTCCACACTCAACGGGAAATACTCATAGAGCAGATCCGCATTCTCAATCGGACTTCCCATACCCAGACCAACGCTCCTCCTCATCCTATCTCTTTCTAGCAATGGGCTTCCTGGTTCGGCTCCGAAACTACCTCTAGATCCTGCACGGCCATACTCGTCGTCCGCTAGCGAAAGATCTATAGGTGCGGATGCAGAGTTTAGCTTGCCAGACGATGAAGAACTTTCTGGTTTCCAGCGGGCCTTTGGGATTGGAGGTCGTGTAGAGGTGCTAGAAGAGGTTTGATGGGAAAGAGTTGGTTTCTTGGTTTGTCGGGGGAGGTCGGCGGTGGCCGTTGATGGGGACGGGGTTGGGATGGGGTTGTTCTGGTTCCATTCTGGAATATCAAGAGGGGTCTTCTCAATCATTAGCTATTGCACATAGGAGTTAAGCAAGACAGCTGTCTACATGCTGGGAACTTACCGATAAAGCATTCAGAGCATAGTGCTTATAGGAACTATACGACGCTGACGGGTCAACCTTCACCTGCGGCGCCGCTGCATCGCTCGCCGTTCTCGGCTTCGAGTCCAGCTTCCGCTCACTCAGCGATACGTCCTTCCTACTGTCGAAATTCCTAGGACTCCTTCCCCGCACGATAATCGGTCCGCTTTGGATCTCTGCCAGTTTTACACTCTCCCCTGTGGGCATTGTAGCCATAAGGTTGATCTGGATCACATAATGCTGCTGCAAGCCTTTCCGCCGTCCATTATTTGCAGTAGCGTGTTTAAATTGCAACCGCTTCCAGGCTATAGGTATAGAAACCAGTGTAGGGTCCAGTTCCGGGTTCATGCTCAAATCCAGCGGCCATTTGGGAGGCGCGGCTCCAGCTCTCTCTTCAGATGTACTTCCCGCAGCCGTTTTCCAAGGTACAGATATGATTTCAGTACTCTTGCCCTCAATGCTCTCTATTGCGGTGATGCTGGCCATCAAGTCGTACAGAGGCACTTGCTGTCCTTGCTCGTTTATCATGCCCTTAATCCCCCGACTCAGCACCACAGTTCCTGAAATCTGGAACAAGTTCCGTCGGTAGCAGGTCAATTCCATAGGTCTGCCCGCACCGGTTGGGTTATCCCCAAATACATCTTCTGCGACGAAGAACATGCCATACAGCTCTGCCGACATGGCTGGCCACGTCTGGCCTGCATCGTCAAATATAGGTGCTTTGAGAATTGGAGCCCCGAAGCTGAGGAGCTTGTTATCGAGGTCTGCAGAGTTGCTGGAGGGTTCATTGTTGGCGTTTGCGCTTGTGTCTTCGAGGAGGGAAGAGAAGTCCGTTCCAGCGGGGTACGAGAAGGGGTCTTCAAAAGTCGTGGAGAAAGCGTCGCCAAGTTCGTAGGAGGGCGTGAAGGGGGGAAGGGAGTTCATGCCGCCGGTGTGCACATCGTCTCTACTATTAAAGCTGCTGGTCAGCTTTGGTTCCAATTGCCAATTCCGCCCCAAATGTCTCATTTCTCCAAACGGTCACATTCGCTCGGAAATAGGCAGGCAGGTAAAGCAAAGTACATACAACATGCTTCCATCCCCCTCGAAATTCAAATCATGGTCGAAGCCATCCATTATGCCTCCTCCTCCACTACCAAGCAGTTGGTGCTGTCCGTTGTTGTTCGTAGCAGTCAATCGCAAGATGTCGTTGGGCGTAGCAGTTAGAGACGAGATTGTCTGACTGCCGATTTCATAACTTGCCATGGTATGATTATGGCTATGGCTTTGGTTTTGGGTTGCGCCTTCCTGTGGTTCGCCGGGGTAAGAGGAATGAAGCATGGGCCGAGGAAGGTATGCGCATTATTGAAGTCGAGTCATTTGCTGTAGTTCAGCTACTCTGCGGAAGGTAACGAGTGTTGGCAGTAGATGGAAAAGATAGAGGTTTGTAGAAATGCCACTCGTAGATACAGAACGTCGTCGGACAGGCCGTTAGATCTCGACACTAGAAGCGGCGCTGGTACTGTAATTGGAGGAGTCCAGAGCCTTGCTTTGGCGGTGGAGAGAGTTTCGCTGTGGGTGAGAAGTCAAAGTGGTAAATGGGGGTGTCCCGTGGAACACTGTCAGCCTTCCGCTGAAGCGCCATTGGCTAGGCTGCACCGCCCTGGAGGTTTAGTGGTTGGTTGGTCCTCTGCCGGCCGGTATCTCTGTTATCTCTCCTCTCTTCAATCCCAGCAGTTGCAGAAGTGGATCTGAAAGGTATAATAGCTTAAGCTAAGATAACGTTCAAAGTTCTTGAGGCCTTCCAACTTCTTCCAACATGTATTCTTGAAAATAGCCCTGTTTATTGTCATTTGCTCCAGTTCAGTAATGCCAAACTACGGAAACATCGCAGCAAAAATCTGTCTGGGGTCTCCAGCTGCTCGGTCGTACTTTGTCACTAGTCTCCTTCTCCCCGCATTTGCAGCTGGGGGTGGCACGAGATGAGATGAACATACAGACGCGGTTAGATAATGGAAATGATGCTGGAGCGGACTAGAGTCAGAATTTTCACGAAAATTACAGAGCTGCAGGTGGAATAGAGCTAGAGCGACGAAACTCTTCAAATTCCATCTCATGAGATGTTACGTGCCAGCATCGTGCTTTCTGGGCCACACTCACGTGGGAATACTTCCCCAACCTACTTGTGCAACCCCAGATGCAAGTATGAATTATGTTCATTTCGAGATATTCTCGTGAATAAGATATGCCCAGACTCCCCTATGCTTTATACACTTAATCCTGTCCCTTTGACATATCCATGTAAAACCGACTCCTCTATATACCTATTCTTCTGACGAAGCAACTGCACCAGCAATAGCAGCGCCTAACAAGCTGCTCTCTTCAGCATATATCAATTCTACAGTCCCCTTCTGAGCGCCGCTTGCTTCAACAAGACCATCCAGATGATCTTGGCAGTTCTCCTTGAAACTTGGGTAGTTCTCCATGACCGATCCATTATATGCCACCACTGTGTGTGACGATTCTGCTGCTCGAATAGCTTCCGCGTCATTGCGAAGCTGCCATAGACCATGCACACCTGCTGCAATAACACCTGATGCTCGGTATGTGACGGCTGAGGAGATTACTCGCAATGCTTGCATATCGGCATGTGTAGGAGGAGAAGTTGTGGGGTGCCGCGAGATGAATAACTGCTGCGCCTTGGTCAAACCTGGGCTTTGGTCACTGTATATCGTTAATTGATGCCTCTGTACAATGGCAGGGCTAGAATTAACTTACGATTCAATACGGGAGATGGTTTCTGTTTCCAGGGAGTAGGCTTCTTTCAAACTAAGCGGAACCACTCCACCAAATAAGCCAGCTGTTTGAATGCCATCAATCAAGACTAGCCGAACGATCTCCCCAAGATATCCACCACTGACAATATGCTCCAGAGGCTGGAAATCAGGTTTTGGATGTGCGGCGGTCAAAAGTTTGTCCCACTTTGTTGTAGGCAAAAAGCCGGCGCCGAACATGGACAATTCTGTATTGACAATAACATGTTTGGCAGAATCGTGCCACTCCGAAGGGCGGACTCCAAATTTCTGAGGCGAAAACACATGGATCGGAAGATGCACAGCAGCGTTGACACCAGTCCCATGGATGAGTCCAAATCGAGTTGTTGAGTCCAGGTAGGCTTTAGACAAGAGAGTAGCAGAAGAATCGTTCACGATAGCGTCAACCTGTACGTTGAGGCCCCTCTTCGAACATGAACTCTGGATCAGGTCCCCAAGATCTTGTCCCAGGAGTCCGTGAGCCGCAAGAAAGCCTTTGCCCATTCCTTGAAGGAGACCGCTTCGAAGCGAAGTTTGTCTAAAAGTGTCAGCTGACTTCGAAACCGATGGTAAACTTGACATACTCGATTGGAAAAGACCATGCAAGTCCCATAGACAATGGCGCTTCGGAAATTTCTAGGCTCTGCTGTTGTCCTCCCAGAGTCTGCTCGATCCTCTCCGCCATCCAGTCGAAGAAAAGGACTCCTTTAAGATTTCTCTCAGGTGGTCCAATTTTGAAAGAAGCCATCTTCAAGATCTGAGTTCCAACTTCATTCTTCTTTCCCGACAACTCGATCAACGCTACTCTGAAAGTTGAACCGCCGACGTCCAGTGCCAGGAAAGTGCCTGTCTCATTCCCAGAGGGCAGTTGGTGATTGTATGAAGGAAGCATACATAATGGATTGTCAACCAAGCTCTCGACGAACTGGCTTCTCAGCCCATCCGATAACGCAACAAGCCTCTTGCTTTCCACTGAACCGCGGAAGATCGTCTGTATCCGGTCCAGGAACTCCTGGGATCCTAGTCTTACGCTGCCATGCTCCAAGACGAGCTCCCCTTCGACAGTTTCCTTTTTGATAACCGATGGAGAAATCCATATGTTCAGGATGGTCTGTAGGAGATGCTTCGTCCTCAGCAAGCTCCTCAGAAGGGCAGCGAAGAAGGCCTGTCGTACCTTTTTCATTGCAGAAATGGCTGGCGGTTGCATGACATCGGGAGTTGATACATATAGGGGGGAATCTGTTAGGCCAACAGCGCTATAAGGCGCGGCTAAGGCAGTAGCGCTATGCTGGGGATCGACTGGTTGTTGCATCAGTCGTGAGTATGGCAGCTTGTCTTCTCCATGTTCTGGTGGAGGTTGGACGTTGCCGTTCGTGTCCGAGTTGAGGTTCACCAACTCGGTCGTAGCAGCGGGGAAAAGTCTGACACCAGCGTGAGAGCCGAAGCAACCAACCTGGGAGACGTTGAGTCCGGGTACGAGGTCGTCAGATGGGAAGTGGATTCCAGTGTTTGATGTGATGGAGCGGTGGTGGAGGCCAAGAGTAACCTTCAAAAAGCCCGCGGCTTGCTGGGTTAGGATTGGGATTGGGATTGGATGCTGTGAATTGCACTGCACTGGTGCACCACGGGAGAGCTGCTCGAATCAAGAATTGACAGGACAGGACAGGACAGGACAGAACAGAACAGGACTGAGTTTGATGAACACAAGTTGGGACAACTATGTCGCCATCAAGATCCGAAATGTGATATGGTGGAAAAGAGTGGTCTCGTCTCTTCGGCAGGTGCAATCCTAGAGAAGCTGCAAGTAACATCGGTTGATCTCAGGTAGAATGGATGAAACTAGGAGGCGAATTACCCCCTAGGTACGGGTACTTTTGAACACCACTCACTCTCTTCTCAGCTAGCTACTCCAGCGTACTGGAGACCACGTACCGTACCTCAGCATTTGTGGGTGTTTGTCCGTACTGTACTGTACTGTTCTCGCTCACTGGACTGGGTCTGGCGCGCTCTTCCAGCCGTCAAAGCCACTGTTGGCCAACACTGCTGAAAAGGATGGAGATCATGCCCCATAGTTGCGATTTCCCCTGCGCTGCGCTGGCGCGGCTTACCAGGGCTCTAGCAGGGGGACGACTGCGCTTCTCGTCCCCTCGTCTTGAGATTGACGGGCCCACGGTGGCATCGGAGCCCTGCGCTGGCGCAGGGTTGAGTGATGTGCCAGAGGTGCCATACAGTAGAATGCGTTGTGGTGGGAGGAGAGCGAGAGCGAGAGCGAGAGCGAGAGGCAACGTTACAGAGTGCTGGATACATCCAGAGGCTCCGAAGTCCTCTGGGACACGCTAGAGGAGTTTGCCCCGCGCTTGCTAGCACCACATCATCTTGACTACCTCCGCGGGGCAACTTTGTGGCACTTCAAGCACGTATTCAATGGTCCAATGGACCAAGCCGCCCAGGGTATCGCAGATGTAAATTCACTCCTCGGTCGCGATAAGGTTTCGCTTGCTTATCGTTGGCCGACATGTCCGGCTGAGATTTCCGACATTTGCCTCGACAGACGACGATGGCTCCATCCTCACCACCACCAACATTCATTCTGGGCCAGTATGAACGTCAGACCTGAGACGGTTCATGTTATGACACGTCAATTGGTCGTGCCCCAACGGTGATCATGGGCCGCCCCAGTGTCCCGGTGTCAAGTGGAAACCTCCGCAAAGCTACGCTGTGAATTCCCGAGTCTTCCAGGAGGCGTGAGAGAAAGTAAGAATGGGATGGAGTTTGGTGACGTTCCATGCCCTCCATCCAATGAATGGAGTCACGCCTGTCGGCATGCTTCTGTTGCTGTCATAGAAGGTTTGGCTTGAATCATGCAAGACTTAATTTCTCACTGTTCATATTGCTCATGGCTGCCATTTTCCTTCATTTCAGATATCACTCACTGCAAAAACCACTGCCCACAATTCACTACAATCAACAACTGAACCTCAAAACCCTCAGCATCATCATACACCATGAGACTCATCATCAGAGAAGACCCGACCTCTGCGTCGTCATACATTGCCCACTACATCATTGGTAAGTCACCATGCCTCGGGGTGTTACCTCCATAACTTACAAATTTTCAGACAGGATAAAGGCATTTGGCCCAACACCTACACATCCCTTTGTTCTCGGCCTCCCGACTGGATCCAGTCCCGTTGGAATCTACAAGATCCTCGTCCAAGAATACAAGGCCGGCAATATCTCTTTCGAAAATGTCGTCACATTCAATATGGTACGGAACATCGCATACCCGGTCCGAGCTCTACAGAAGTCTATCTGCTGACTGCGTTTGCCGTAGGACGAATACATCGGTATTCCACGCGAGCATCCCGAGTCCTACCACACATTCATGTACAAGCACTTCTTTTCACATGTCAACGTACACCCACGCAACATCCACATTCTTAATGGCAACGCTCCAGACCTAGAAGCCGAATGTGTAGCATACGAGGCTGCCATCAAGTCGCATGGTGGTATTGACCTCTTCCTTGGTGGTATTGGGCCAGATGGACATATCGCATTCAACGAGCCAGGATCGTCGCTGGCATCGAGAACTCGGGTCAAGACACTGGCATATGACACAATCATTGCCAACTCAAGATTCTTCGACAATGATTTGGAGAAAGTACCAAAGATGGCTCTTACTGTCGGTGTGCAAACCGTCCTGGAGGCTAGAGAGGTGGTGATCATCATCACTGGGGCACACAAAGCGCTGGCGCTTCAGAAGTGTATCGAAGGAGGCGTGAATCACATGTGGACGCTCTCATCCCTACAACTGCACCCACATCCCATGATCGTGGTCGACGAAGATGCCACTTTGGAGCTTCAGGTCAAGACCGTCAAGGTTCGTTCTTACTACCTAACTCTCTAAGACAATCATAACTAACCTCCCACAGTACTTCAAATCCATCGAGAAAGTCGCCGCATCCCAAGGTTTCGAACAGATCCTCCCATCGGCAGTCCGCACCGGCCCCCGCGTAAACGGACATAAGTCAATCGACCCAACCCCCGAAGTGAAAGAGGAACCCAGCATCCTCTCCCCAAAGCCAGTAACCAGCACTCTCCTTTCCGCACCAGCAACCGAGTATCCGCTCCGAAGCGTCAGCCCTGACTTGATCCCGGATCGTATGGCTGCGAGAATTGCTGCTTACTAAACAGCATTTGAGTGAGTGAGTAAGGGAGAAAGAGAGACGCATTACATAGATCGAGAAAAACGATATTTGGAGTTTAGGGTCGTTTTGATTTGGCGCTGGATTTATAATAGGCTTTTCGATGAGATTGCTACACGATGCCGGTTAGATGGTTGGATTTATTTCGTTACTGTAGTCTAGCAAGAATAAACAAATTGTATGAACAGATTTTCACTTTTTGATACTGCCTTGTGTGACCCCGACTTCACGCTGCAAACAGGCCGAAAAGTGTGTTTACAAGCCCCTGCTTTAAGCGAGTTTCGTAATTTATTCCCTTTCTTTTAGCTGTATTGTGCCTCTGCAAGGAGCCTGAGTGTTCTAACCACACGGTAATTTAGTTCCTGAACTTGAACATTTGCAAGCTTCCTGTTCAAGACTTCTAGATATAACAAACCCCAGTTTTTGGTGCCAAGGCCTGGCTAACCGCAGAAAACAGCCCAAGCCCTCCCAACTCCTCTTCTCCTTCACGTCGTTTTCCACAATACACGTTGTTTCCACTGCAATAGCAGCTATACAATGATGAAGATCGTCCTAAAGACCCATACAAGTGATGACAAGAAATCCAGTAAGCACCGAGCCAAGCCTTTCCCTTACACCAACAAAATACCACTTTAAATACCACCCACACCTTCCTAAACAGGCGATTTCAAGTTTCAACTGAACTGAGACAATTCTCGAGCATTTCGTCCTGTCTTTATGAAAGAATATCCACACGAATATGTATCAAGCATGGTAAATGTGAAGGAGAAATCACAAGAACTAATTGAGAATATCCTCTCTCTCTCTAGATCTTTCTCTACCATTACAACAGCAAACCATACAAATCACTTCAAACAATGCTATCCCCACACCTCACAACTCCCCATAGCTACCTTAACAATCCTATCCACCATACTCCCCACCTCTCTCTCCCTCTCCCTCTCCCTCTCCCTCTCCCTCTCCCTCTCCCTCTCCCTCTCCCTCTCCCTCTCCCTCTCCCTCTCCCTCTCCCTCTCCCTCTCCCTCTCCCTCGCACAAAACTCACCACCCCTCCTCGTAGCAGTCTGCACAGCAAGTAACCTCAACGAACTAATCTGGTCGACCCGGAAATAGAAAGACCAAGGCCAAGGCCATCTCTGCGGCTTCGCATTCACCACACCCTTGAGATTTCAGCTCGTGTTGTGGAGTGGGTGAGGTGGTGAGATATATTGATTCATGTGTGTGAGTTACCTACAGGAGCCTTCGTATTGTGTTGTGTTCAATACATTTGATGATAGATTATTTAATTAATTCACTGACTAGGCAACATTGTCATGTTGATGAGAGTCAGGTGTTTGGATTCCCGGAGTGTGCTTGGGATGTGGCGCAGGCTAGTAACTTGACGATGGGGAGTTCGGGGTGCTGGGAGGATGGTGCGGTGAGGAGTAGAGTTGGGAATTTGGGGGGTGTGGTGGTGGGGTTGGAAGTTGCTGCTGTTTTTGGGTTGGTGATGGTTATGTGAGATGATGAGATGTGATGCGTGTGGGTGTGAGCACGTACGTGGGAGAGAAGAGTGAAAGGGGGACTAGAGGCGGTGGTGGATATATTTTGTGAAGAGTATGATGGTAAATCTGCCATGATCTAAGGGAGGATTTGAATATGTTTTCGTACTTAGATACCACACTCAAATGACGGACTGACGAACACCGAGTCTGTCTTGACTATGTGTGCTTTCGATCGGCAATACCCCTCACGCTTCTTCTCCCGCGCTTTAGACATTCGTAAATTCAACCACTGGACCTTCCTTCTTGCACACAAATATATCTCTAACCTGATACTCCGACTTCCTCTCTCTCCCCACCCCCTCCCCTTTTCCACCCTCGCCTAAATTCCCCACGGCCCTCATATCAAACAACAACAACATCCTCGCTAACAAGATCATCATCTCCATATACGCCAGACTCCTTCCAATACAAGCTCTCGGTCCGACACTAAAAGGCGCAAAATACTTGAGGGTGTCTTCAGCTTCGGCGTCGAGAAAGCGTTCAGGTCGATACTCGAACGAGTCGGGGAAGTACGAGGAGTTGTGGTGTAGTGAATACGCTGATACGCCGACTTCGACGCCTTCAGGGATGGAGTGTCCGTGGATATCGATACCGCCGAGTAGGACGACACGCGGAAGAATTCCTGGTAATGGAGGAGTCATGCGCATGGCTTCGTCGATACAAGCTTTTAGGTATTTGCAAGATGTTAATGCTGGACCGGATCGGACATCCTCGATATCCATGCCTGCGAATGCGATCTTTAATTCCTCCTTGACCTTTTGGAGTGCAGCTTTGTTATGTGTGAGGTAGAAGACTGTGGCAGCGAGAGCTGTTGCTGTCGTGTCGGAACCGGCGATGATCAGATTGTTGGCTTCAGCAAACATTTCTCGCAGGGGAAGTCTCTCGTCGGTGTGTGGGTTCTTGTACTCCATGAAGTAATGATAGAAGTCTTTATGATCTGAGCCTGTCATCTTGGTACGCTGTTCTGCCTGTGAGATGGCAAAGTTGCGATATTTGATGCGGCTTGCGGTGAGGTGGGGAAATAGGATGCGTGGTAGTAGAGTTCTTAGAGGTTTGGCTGTTACCCCAGACTGTATAGAGACATCAACAAATGTGTCCAAGCCTTGAGAGCCATTGACTCACAATCAGTGCATATGCCGCAGATCCATTGAGAGCATCTAGGATGTATCTGTTGTTTTCCTCCACCAAAAATCCAAATGGTTTCCCAAATGCCAGCTCCCCAAGAATATCACCAGTCAAGTAGCTGAGCCAGTTCGAAACATCCATAGGCTTCGTTGTCGTGGATAGCTTCTCACAGAGACTCCGGATATGGATCAACAAGTATTCTTCCATAGACTTGAGAGCTTTGTCCGTAAATCCAGCAGCTAGAATTCGTCTCTTCTTCGCGTGTAGGTCTTTCGGAATGGCACTGACGATATTGGGACCAGCTGGCGTTGATAACATGTTGTAGAAATCTGCTTTCCTAACATTTGATTTGACCGAGTATATATCGGCCAAGGCTTCATGAGAATTGAATGACAGGCTATTTGGGCCATAACGAAACACAGAACCTGGTAAGCATCAGTACGTAAATATTTCGGTTGGTCGAATTCTGTTGCACCATATTTCTCGTGGCATCTGTGGAAATCTAAATGACGGTCTCCCGTCCAAGCAGTGTAAACAGAATAAAAGTCAGAAGATTTGGCGAAAAACGGCCCCGGATAGTGAGCGAGTGGATGAAAGAAGATTCGGTAGATGACGAGACCAGCAACCTTTGACGTTCATCAGAATCAAAACGGCCATTAGGTAATGGAGAAGGGTCACTGACATATACTGCGATTGTAATAACTCCATAAAGGACAAGAAGAGTGGCTGAATTGCCGCTATGAGCACGCATTTTTGTCCTTGCACCTACCAGACTTTCTTGCTCGAGTCTCGTTGCTGGGCAATAGGTCTATTTATTTGACCTTTCGCGATTTTGAGAGTTCTGGTAGCCATGGTGGATCTATGTACGGACCTTCGTATTCACCTTGAAGCCACTCGGTCTTCTACAAACCCCGCGAAAGATATGATGCTCACAGTGGAGACCCATAACATGGAGACGAGCAGCTAAGGTCGCACAAAGTATCGAATCAAGCACTGTGAAAAGAGAAGCGCTGGATGGAAGTAGAAATCCCTGTACGGTACTCGTACTTACTTGGAACTGATTGGTCTCTCCGTGTTAGTGGCGCATGCTGACCAGTTAGTGGCTCTGTGCTCACTTTGACCAAGCTGCAAGCCATGAAGAGAGGGCTTTCTGAACTTAGTTTCAGGGTACGTAAAAAAGCTAGTATCAGTAATCATTTCCAGAGAAATGCAAAAGTAGCCCGGGAAAGAGCCTCAGAGTGAGGGCATTTCCAAGCAGCAGAGAGGGGAAGGACAATGTGCAGTAGACTAACTCACAGATCAAAGAGATGCTAGAGTCTGAAGCCTGCTGCCAGTGACATGCAAAGGAAGATATCGAGTGCATGAGATAGGACTCACGTAGGAATCCAGGTAACGAAATGAAAATTCCTCGGAGTTGCGTTCAACTCATTTCAACACCATTTATCTGTCGCAATTGAGATAGGAGACACGTGGAGCATTTTCCGAAGGGATGAATGAGCCAGCCAGCAAATGGAGAGTGTCCTGCACCATTGTTACCCTCCATGCTTCAAATGAGGCTCGCTCTTGCACTTTTTCTGAGCTTACACCCAGCTCTGGTCTCTTGACATCCGCACAAGTGCTGAACTGTGCCCATCACCACCATTATTATCTGTTTTCTGTAAGATCTCCATTATCTGAGCGGGTTGAAAGTCACAAATTCTTTTCACGACCATGGAAGAAACTCCCATCTCAAGTTCAAGATTCATCTCCGGTATTGACATCCGCGGCGACGAAAGACAGAGACTCGATCCTCAAAGATCCGTATCCACCCCAAAAAGACATGATACAGAGAAATGGATACCACTCAATCTCAGTCCCCGCGTGATGTGAGCTTCCATATTTCCAGCTGTCACGGTATGCCGCGCTCGCAGCTGACGGGACCAGGAAAAAGTACATGTTATATGACGACAGGTGGGCCCCAAATATGCAACCTGAACGGCGCGATGGGTGCACTCGGAACTACGTGGAGAAGCTGAGGTGAGAAGTCAACTTTCAGTATGTCGCTCCCATACTGACGCCAAGAACAGATCCCAACTGTGGTCATACTTCGGAGAAAGACAACTTCCACGATGTCGATCATGCTACATGACTACGAAGCACCGAGGGGTCCTCCCGACATCCAAAGTACCGACAGGGTTGGAGAAAGTTGAACTCATGCCGTGCGGATGTCTGCCAATTGTAAGCGCAATGGCTACTATGAATATCAAGCCCATCTTAGCAAAGTTGCGGACTGGATACACGGCCTTCGAAGAACGATACTCGTTGTCCTGAATATTCCCAGACCTATTCTTACCTTCAGTAGGACGGAATGGCCGAGGAGATATTCGTGAGGAGAGGGTTGCTATCCACACTAGACAGGAAGCTGAGGTATGTATGGGATCTCGTAACGCTTCGTGGACCGACAGATCCACCAGCCGACAGAAATTCTTCCACACTTTCGTGACATTCGTGACATTCGTGACATTCGTGACATTCGTGATCCAGAACTAATGTATTCTCATTAGGCTCGCGGGCCGTCGGAAACCACACCTTGATCATGAGTCAAAATTGACACACCTGGGTCTCGTTCACAGAACGCTATTCATGCGATTCCTGGAATGGATCTTTGGCGGCAACCTTGAACCAGAATTTCTGGTGTCAAGAAGAGAGCGGGCTCTGGCAATGCTGGCAGCATCGGACCTTCATCATTTCGTTATCTTCAACAAGACAGTATGCATTTCGGATAAACTTTAAAATTTCTGGGGACATGCCTTGTTCTCTCCTCAAAAAGATTCATTTGTGCCATTTGTGGAAATTGCTAACTTCTCCGTTATCCTAGACCGAGGAAGGAATGGAAATTTGGAAGAGATTCAACGAATATCGGGAAAAGATCGATTCTGCAAACGATGGATGGAGGGCGTACTCGGTACAGGAAGTTGATGAGGAGGATGTTTACATCAAAGTCGAGCCTTAAAACTTGGAACCCCTTTTGTCCATTCGAGGCATTGGCGGAATTGTTGGCAAGGTCTGAAAGAGCCTGATATCCAGTACCTAGGATACCTGGGACGGTTGCATTCCAGTTGTCATATATGTCTTAGTAACAATTGATAGTATTGGTCATCGAGAACTGTTCTATACCGGAGTGCTACCATTTTTGCTTCAGGCTGCTTCAAATTTGAATTATCTCGACGATGACTGGTCGAATTCCTCGAATGTTTTCTTTGAGCAAAACTTGAGGGACGAGGCAAGCCCCACCTGGTCAATCGCCTCGGGGAAGCTTAAATTAGCGAGCCAATAAAACCGAGGCCATATCAAATCATCGCCTCCTTCCCGCAAGGCTGAGAACTACATAAAGACAAGGCCAGCATCGTCATCAACATTTCTTTTCCCAGATCTCTATCCCACAACATTCAAGCAGCAAAATCAAGTACAGACTTCCTAAAAGTCTCCTCAAACAATCACTCCTCGGAAACAATAACTTCAATAAATCCATCCCCCACAATGCCGACTCCATCAACCTGCTGTGGAAAGAGCGGCCAAGGCTGCGTCTGGTGAGCTCCCTCGTACTTTCTTTGGAGCTTCTCATACTAATGAACTGTTCAGTGCATCCCAAGCCAAGTGCTCATGCGGAGAGAAGTCTGCCCTTCATTGCAGCTGTGATAAGGCCGCCACTGAAAACGAAGTTGTTGGACCTCGCTGCTCATGCCGTATGTTCAAACCCCTCGATGACATCAATAGCCAGGTCTAACACAATATTCAGGCGCACGTCCAGCAGGAGCTTGCACTTGCGATCGTGCTTCAACCGAGAACACTACTCCTAGCGGCTCTCTCTGTTCATGTGGTTCCAGACCTGCTGGTACGTTGCAACGATCCTAGGCAGACATTTGAAGGACGTCTTTACTGACACTTGCGCAGATGCCTGCACTTGCGAGAAGGCATCAGACGGAGGTCTTCTCCCCACCGAGACTGACTTCACAACCTCTCACTAGATTTTGCTACCGAACAAAACGAGAATTGATGCGTTGATTGTGCAATTACGACATGAGTTTTTGGGCGGCATTGGGTGGGGCTTTTACATTGCTTTTTGAGCCTCCAATTATATCGCTCGAGTCACTTCGGAATGACAAGTGGAAGAAACATTTGACAGTCAAGAATGTCTGCTTTGGTCTGTTTTGGGGGGCAGTGTTCAATATTGCTACGAGTCATGGAGTTTGGTGGAGATTATGGGAACACTTGCTTGTCGATGCAAACACTTTCTGCGAAATTGCAGCTTGGATGTCCAATTACGAATGGTTGATTATCGCATTCCTCATAATTGTTTCTGTTTCTGGCTTCGTGGTCGCATACCTGTACGCAAAATGTCCTCACGAACGCGAGCGCCTCCACCAGGTTATCGACAGCACAGCCTGCTTCGTCAAATCAGCATGCGAAGTCAGGATCATTGCCAGGCCTGTGAAAGCACTATCAGTTTTCGGGAAACAGCTGCGTATGAATTGTTTTCTCACTCGCATGACAGATGATGATGGAGAAATCTTGATTATCGAGGGTTCGGAGGAGAAGTCTGACAGCAAGAAGTCTGACAGCAAGAAGTCAAAGACAAAGCTTGGTGTTCCGAAATCTATCAGGGACCAGGAGAAGCGAGCTATCGAGTCTGCCCAGTCAGTGGCCAGTAGACCGAATGGCAATAGCTCTTTTTAAAGCTACAGGTCAAAAATGAAAAAGAAGTAGATTTCGTGTATCAGCAATGACATTGTCCCTTTACAGTTTCTGTTCATGATCTGCTTCATCCATTGACCTCGAGGCCAAAAGTTAGACTCCATTCGCATCATCCAACATAACGCCAATAGCCCAACGCCTTTGTCCAATTCAAACCCTCATCGTCCTCAAGCCTGACCTTGCTATTCAAACACCTCCATACAACAATCATACAAATCCACACACCCTTTCTTTCTTACACACATTACTTACCCCAACGAAGTCCAAACCCCAACAACCCCACTTACAGCCAACATAACCCCCCTCCCCAAATTCAACACCCCCCACCAATCCACAAGCTGATGCGCACTCCTCTCCGCCTCCTTCATCTCCGCCTCCTCCTCGCCACTCAACTCCACCTTCCCCAGCACCTCCACCTTCCTCAACAGCTCCTTATTAGTAGGCATCAGCACCGCAAACGTATATGGCACGATGCCTATACTGAGCACGCCGGCTAGGATGTATGCTACGACTTTATTTGGGAGCGAGGAGGAGGAGGAGGCGGCGATGTTTGTGCCGTTGGAGATGCCGTCGAAGAGGGAGGGTGATACGTGGGCTTTGTACGCGAGGTAGAAGAAACTTGTGCTGGCGAGGAGGGAGACTGGGGGGCCGATTTTGGCGCCGCGTTTGCTGGGGGTGGGCAGAGGAGTTAGTGTTTCTCTTTTGGGAGATAATGAGGTATTAGGATGATGCAGGAGATGGGCCAGATTTCTGAGGATATGGAATAGAAGGCTTCTGAGGATTGAACACTTACTACATGTTTCCCCATTGCTGGAGCAGCAGAGAAGGTGGGGATTCGAGGAGGCGGGGAATAGTGGTCAGGGATGTGGAAATAGTGAGGCCAGAGAGCATAAGGGAGGATGTTATCCCCAGTGTTTGGGCGACGCGGATGGGAAGAGGTCTTTCGGAAGACATCTTGAAGGCGTGCTGTATACGTTTCGAATTCTGTGAGGTGATACTAGTGGATATGGAGTTGTAGATGTTGAGGGTTGGACGAAGGGATGGGAAGGAGCTTCTAAATTACCCCACAATGTACCCCGCGTCCAAGCGAGCAATATCACGTGTCAGAAGATTTGTTTACTTACCTAGGTAGGTAGATACCTGAGCTGAACGTAAATCAGGAGCTTAGTGATCATATTTTACCTAATATTCTGCGAAAGAGTAAATCACTGGGTGTGCTGATATTCGACAAGCAGATTAGTACTATAATGTTTGGCAAAACCCCCTACCACAACTTAGAGAGAAACACTGAACGTTGAAAAGTACTTGCGAACGAATACATGTAGTATTCTTGGGTGTGACGTTCAATTAAGACGCTCGCTTTTTCAGAAATATGTTTCCACCACTTTACCTCATTCATCACCCGAAATCTCATAACCATGATAACCATCCCCACCAAAAGCCTTCTCACCAGCCATAGTCCACCCTTCCCTCTTCTTCAACCAGTCACCTCCAAGGAACTGTCTAATACAAGTATCTGCAGGCTTCTTTTGGGGACTCTCGAGCGGAACCAGTTTGTAGAAATTCTCATCCATCCTCGTTGGTTCGCAACTACACTTTCCTTCTCGATGAGGAGGGCAGTGGTGATTGATATCATGCTGATACCCAATATCTCGAAAGAACCATACCTCGCTCTTCGGGAGGAACATTGCAACACTCAAGGTATGGACTGGGGCATCTCCAAACCTTTCATAGTAGAATCCCCCAGCTTTGTCGAGCCAGTTGAAATATGCTTCATTCGCTTCACCTCGCCAGAAATTTAGCGATCCGATTTCAAAGTTGGAGAAGAACTGGCAGTTGTTATACTCGCCATCATTTTGGGGATCGAGCAGCCAGGCAAGATCAGCATCTGGGTGGATGAGGCTCGCATGAGCTGCTGCAAAAGCTCTAGTGCGGGACCAAAGTGAAGGGAACGAGCGAGCGTCGTCGAGAATATTCATGTTGAAGCCATACTTGAGATTGTTGTCTCGCATGAAGCGGAAGACATCGTAATCTATATCACAGAAATAGTGAACCTGAAAAAACTCAGCACTGCTCAACAGATTTTGATTGCGGTCAACATACATCTGGTTCCACTCTCCAGTACCAATCGTAATTCCTGAGGAAAGGGTGCTTGTAGAAGAACCCACTGTTCCATCGACACATATGGTGGTAGCTGACCATCCATCCTTTACCAACACCGATAGTGCCCAGATACTCCAGGCTATTCATGAATCTGCTTTCATCGATCCAGCTCGGGAGAGACCAATGTTCTTTCGGAACAACCTCGTAATAGCATCTTGCAGAAGTAAGATTTCTGGTCGCTGCTTTGAACTCCTCGGTAAATGGCTCATCATTGAAAAATATCCATGGGTACTGCAACTTGTTAGAATCGTCATTCTTTCATCATAGAAAAAACATGCTTGGTATCTTCTGTTCCATCTGTATTCCAACTGTTGCATACTGTGTATCATACCCTTCAACTCCGAGTTCCTGACAAGACTGATTAGTGCCGCTTTCGGCCTTCTGTTGATTATCGAGAAATGCGGTAGATATCCTCTTGGTACAGCATATTTGTTTTCCCCGTTCTCCTCAAGCCATTGTACTGGATCTGGTAGGTTTCTCTCTGGTTGATGAATCACAGGACGTATTGGTGTATATTTCGTAATCGCATGGATATCGGGGGTGTTAGATCGAGTCTCAGACAACGATACGACTAGCAACAAAGCTATTACCACGCATAGAAAGACAGGAAGCAGCCGGCGAGAGTGAAAACTGCGAGTCTCAAGTCAACATCCTCCAAATATCAAGATCTAGTCGGCTCACTATTGACGAATGACTGTAGAACTTGGCACCGGGAACCTCCAAAACCCGCGAAATGAAGCTCTCCATGTCTTTGGTGGGGTCTTCCAAAAAGATGTAGAGTCTGTGCTAGCTGATCTTTTGGAAGACGGTACGGATCGGAAAGACCAATTACTGTTGGTTGACGCAGACCGAACTGGTGTGTAGGGAAGTGAGCGACTGCTGAATGACCGAAACCCTCGATCAGGCATGGTTGGAGTGTTCATGGTGCTGCTGACACGATGAAGCGCGAGATTTGGAATGTTTTGCTGACTTGAACTCCTTTGCTGGAAGGCGCGGGAAGATGTTCATGTTGCTGCCCGATATGGAAGGAACGGCAGAGGAAGAGATGGACCACCCAACACATAATTACGGGTAGTCATTATCTTAATGCCTCAAGTGCACCTAACACTGATAGTCCCATCTTGAAAGCATTACAGATGCAAGTTGATAGTATAGTCCATATGATCTCAAGTCACAGTCGAGTCCTTAGTCGACAACGAACTCACGGGCTTAACCGTAGCTTGAAGAAATGACGGCAGTCTTCAGCAGCAATCATCGTGCTTGGAATATCAAATCATGCTGAATATGACCCTAATCTGACAGAAGAATTTCGTTATTACTGAATGACCAGAAAACTTTCAGATGGGCACTCGAGACGTCGAATGGGAATCGATCCATCGTACGAACAATTCAAGCTTCTCGCAGCGAACAAATCCAATATCCGCTCCCAGCAAATCCTTGACTTATTTGTCTAACAAGTCAGCATCTCCTGATATCCATGTCTCGGCTGGTGTCGGAAAATAGGAGGCTTTGCACGTTGCTGGTAACACAAGGCTGGCACCTGCGCCCCAATACGAGATTTCCAAGCATCAGCCTTATCTTCGGTAATGCACGACGCTCGCGTATGATTGTGAGTGTTTTCTGTTTTTGAGGCTTATTCCATTGTGTCATACGAGCCGTGATTCTTCTAGTCAAAGCATGGGGGCTGTCGTGATGAAGGTGTGACAAACTGACACAGATTCTCCCTGTCGCCTCCAGGCTGTAGTTACGTGATACTCAGCGTCAGTTGTCAGCATGGGTTGGTAGATCCAAACAGAACTATGTTTGGCACAAGTGACGTACCTACATGTTTCAGCCCTACGCAAAGTGTTCCGTCCAATTGACGTGGTGAAATATGCTCTCATTCTCAACAACCGAAATCCTTGGACGGCTCGAGATTGAACGAGGACTTATCTTTGGGAATGAGTATCCCGGATCCTTTTGGAGTTACTTGAATATCGGCAGGTATTTCTAAGATATTTGGCAAGTGACAAAAGCGGGAGCCATTGTACATGGAGTCTCGTCTGTCATCGATCGTTTCAGCCTGACCAACAGGCTTGCTGGGAGGCGAATTGTATTGCATTTCCGACACTGGACGCGATCTTACACATACGGATTTGTGTTTTGGTCGAATCATAGAGTTGTAAGCAGGTGTGGTGTAACTTGAAGATAACAGGTGACAAGAGTTCTGGTGTCAGTAAGAGAGAAATGATGGTAAGAGGAACCCTTTCCGTTTCTAGCTTCACGAGCGTTTTGGTGGGTCTTTTTCTCCCATCAGATCTCAAACACAGTCAGTCTTTCGAGAGCAAAAACTTTATATAAAGACTCACTGTTCCCTCAATTCCAATTCCATTTTCATCATCAATCACTTTCAAATCACAATAGTTTCCTATTGCAACACTTCCACTTTCAAACCCTCCAAAGTCCCAGAACTCGATAAATCCAACAAGTCGCCAAAATGGTCGCCATCCAGTCTGTCCTCACCGTCCTCGCCATGACCGCGCTGGTGAAGGCAGCTCCTCAGCCAGGTCAATCCGTCGCCACCTACCGCTTCTTCAACCTTCCCGGCTGCGACTTCGGCGGTAACGACCAGCGAAAAACTCTCACAGCCATCGTGCCTGGCGGAAGTGCTCCTTCCCAGCCAGAACAGAGACTCGTCGGTACTTGTTTCTCTGAAGATGCCTATGCTTCGGTTACAATCTTGAACATTGAGCCAGGATGCCAATGTGAGTAATCCTTGTTTCCGCAGATGATAGATTTCTCAAGCTTATCTCTGGATAGGGGAACAACACACCGAGGGCTGCACCGGCACTCCTCTCGCAATCAAGAACAACAACAACCCACCATGCCTCACTGTTGACGGTGCCGCTCCACGAAACTTCTACAAGATCACCTGCCGCTAACTAAACTCACTTTGTCTACAACGGAGGCTAGCATAGATGATGGATACGACTAGAAGGAGACCGGCAACGGAAAAACTTAAATTTCATTGAGCAAACGTCTATGTTTCTGTTTTGTTTCCTTCACTGTGGTGGTAGATGGTTTAGTGATTCTTTCTGGCATCTTGGCAGGTAGATAGAGTGGCAGCCGCTCATTTATTTAGACGAAAATTAGGGATGAGTCAGAAAATTCAACATTTTCCCATCCTGAAAATTCGATATACAGACTTCTGTGATGTGACTAATTACGCCAAAGTTCTATACGGCCTGAGTTGCATGATGTGCTTGTGAAACATACACAATTGTCGTACAAGGAGGAATCTCGCTTAATTCGCTAACAACAAAAGGCTTTATACTGAAGACACAAAGGAGTCGAGCAGATAGACACCTGTCAAATTGCCCACTTGGGTGCAGACGATGTTGACACTACTGATTCCTCAAGCCTATCGGCCAAGAGCAAAAAAGGGAGCGGAAAATCAGCCAGTATCCCTCATATCATTCAAAACACACATCACAATGTATTTTCATACATTTCCAATCCATGCATGTAACTCTATTCAGTCTCAAGATCTCTCGCTAGCTCGACGATTTAACTCTGATTACAACATAGTAGACTTACACATTCATTGTCGCTCTCCTCCCCAGTCGGCAATAAATGGACCTCAACGCCATCTCCTGTCATGCAAAGCCAGCCCTAGCTCGGGCTGCATACCACATATCGTAGCCATACCTCAAGCAGCCCATCCACGAGAAATAATTCTTGCTAGCCAAGCCGGAACGCCATCGCAAAGTTGTATCAATCAATCCAGTCAACATCGCAGTCCACCAAAGCAAGCAAGTGCTTGGTCATCAGCTGCGATCAGATCTTGATATCTGATTCGACCAGATATCTATCCCGGTTTATGCCCCATTTTCATCATCATCCATTCCAAGGACTCTTGCATATTGCACAGTCAGCCGCTGCAAGTCGCGGAATTTACCTGTACAGCATTAGCTCTGTCCATTGCTTTTAGTGGGAGAAAAAACTTACCCAATATTAATACAACTTCCTTCAGTAGTTCTTTTCTATCCCATCCACACAATCTCTCCGTTTCTGGATCTGTGTCATCGTCTTCATGTAAGATTCCACCCATGATACTGCGTAGCAGCTCTTCGACTTTGGCTTTGAGACCTTCTGCACCGAGTCGCTTCGCATACATGAATAGGTAGATCCGGAACTCCTCCTTGGCGTCTAACTGCATAGCAGCCGCGACACGGTTCTCCAAATGGGCGATACTGACCCCTGATTCGAAGCCCTCGAAACCTTCCTTGGAGAGAAGAGTCTTGACGAGTCGCTGAAGCGTGTATGCTCTGCCTTTGAGAAGAACCTCGTTGGTGGTATGCCGCTCGAGATGAGGAATGATCCCAGCAGAGACGTTGGAAGAATCGACTTCACCATCACGCTTGGTATCTGGGCCAACTCCTGTAGACTGAAGACTGCTAATGGACGAATCGTTCGAGTTCCAATATTGGCTGCCAACAGCCCACCAAGCTTCAGAGAGTCGTTGCCAGACGTACATCTTCGGCGAGTAGAGATATCCATCACCGTTACTCAGAGTGACTATAATATGACCTGTCGAGTTGAGATGTGCTGACGTTACTCCAGGGGCGCTCGTAGTATGAACGCCGAGGGAGTGCATTGCAATCTCCAAGATGGGAGCAAGAGATACCGGCGGATGGGGCGAAGAAAGATCCTTCAGATTCCACACATAGCACATTCCCACCGCAGTAATGCACAGGAGCCACCATCCTCTGCACTCCAATATCACGGGTTGTGCTTCTAGAACAAGAGCGTTGATGACTCTCCTTCCTGCTGGGCTCCAGCTGTAAATGCTGCCATCTTCGCAAGCTGCTGCCCAGAAGTTCTTGTTTCCAGTAACAAGTATGACTGCTCTGGGAAGATAATCATGCCAAACAGTAGCACCCCTTTTCGAAGCGGAGATGCGAGAAGGGTCTCTGACTTGGCCGATCACGGTTATAGGGTTCTGAGCTTCCAAGATGATATCATCTGTCGCCTTAGCAGATTCCTCCACTCCATTCGTGCCGTTCGTTCCAGATGATTTTTTCGGGGGTAGGGTACCACGATCCAGTGATCTCAAGATATGAGTCCTGACTTTTGGGACAGCTAACCGTACTTGACTGATGGACAGTGCTGGGTTGATTACGGCTGGTCGCAGAAACTCAGGGGTTGGAACCAACCCAGTCACTGGTGGAGCTGCTGATGCCGGCTCTACGCCATTGATACCGTTGACCATAATCGAGACTGGGCCGGATCCAAGGGTTGCCCGTTTATTTGGCTGCTCCTCTTCTTCCTCCCCATCGATGGCAATGGCTTTTCTTTTATTGCCAAGAAGCATAGCAGCAAGACCGCCCCTCGGAAGACCATCGTAAGGCTTCGAAAGATCTAGTATCGCTTGTGGAGCATCATTCTGTACATTGCTCGAATTTGCAGCCACAAGCTGTGATTGGGGGAGAGATGAAAGACCAGTTCCAGATGAAGACACAAGGAGTGGCGCAACTCGCTTCTTTCCATCCTTTGTAATGGTAACTCGACTCTTCATGGCCTCGAGTTTGGCAGCATTTGGGTCAACTGCAGGAGCTGGTGCTGGTGCTGGCACGGGAGAGTCTTGTGCTGATCGACCATTGGTTACTACAGGAGCTGTAGAGGTAACACCAACCATAGGTGTTGATGTTCCTGTCCCTGAGCCGTTTCCATTCACTACTGGGACGGGGTTAGAGCCCACATCACCCATCAAAGCTCCCATTCTCCCTTCGGTCCTTTGCAATTCTCCGGCTTTGCTTTTCTCTTCCAGACGCAGTCCAGCGACATCTTCTACGACACCCACACCTCGGCGACCGACGCCAAACTTTTGTAGTGCCTTGTCATTTTCTGACCATGGTGCAATGAAACCCAGTTCACCTCTTTCAAATTCCAATGCAATTATGCTACCATCCAAACTTGTCGCGAAGATAGTAAGTCCATCAGGCGTCCAAGCCAAATCTGAAATTGACTTTCCGGCCAAATCCTGTAGGACAACCAAAGGTCTTGAAGAACTTGTATTCCAAATACTCAGAGTCTTGTCTTGTCCAGCGCAAGCAATGACTGTCACTAGAGCCTGGGTACTGTAGCCGCTGTTGTCCGTAGTTTCTGCACTGATCTCCTGCTTGCTGAACAATCTAGGAGAAAATGTGCAGACTTCTGTAGGTCCTTCGTGCCCGATCAGATTGATATCGCTATCCCATCCTCCGCGATTGATAATAGCAACTGAGCTCACAGGCCCGTTCACCGCATTCGCTGCTGCAATGTGGTTTCCATCTGGTGACCAAGAACATCTTCGGAAATACGTCGTGAGGGGCGAGGACGTGAAGGGACTAACAATGGTGTGCTCGAGAACAAAATTGTTTATCGAATCGTAGGAGGTCGCATTTGGAAGAGGTGAGGTAAATCGAAAGAGCTTGATTGTTCGGTCGTCGCTGGCCGTAGCAAAGTACTTGTTCGCAGGGTCAAAAGTGATGCCCTTGACGTGACTCTGATGCACAGATAGTGTCTTCAGCTTCTCGAACGTGTGTCCTGACCAAACCACAATCTTCGAGTCCAACCCGACAGACACCAAGATCGAAGAGTCGTAAGCCCAGCCAAGATCTTGAACATCATTATCATGCCCAATCAAACGCTTCATGATCTTCCAATTTTCCACAGGAGGGGGTTCAGTAGTTCCTAATTGGGATGTCAGCAACTCCGCAGACCGTTATAATTCTAGGAGAGCGCAAACCAAAATTGGCCTGGTGCGAGGGAGGATTCGCATCGAGGGTGTATATGCAAATGATCTTATCGTCTGCCCCAGATGCTAACCACCGCCCGTTTGGAGAAAATCTGACTGTATGTATCGTCCCGGAATGGTAGCTCATATGGCATAACTGCTTCGGCTTGGTGTAATTCACGTCTCCAGCCTGGAGGATAGCTTCGGTCGACCAAATTCGGACATGGCCATCTGCAGACACAGTCTCAGCATTATTTCCTCTTCCTTCGCATCCATTAGGTCCTTACCTCCGGCAGCTGTGGCCAGCCTACTTCCATCGGGCGACACATGGCAACTATAGACCTCGAAGTCTTTCTGCTCCCCTAGAAATTCCGGCGCAAATTAGCTTTCGTTGCGCATTGCCGGAAATCCAGACCGCAGAGCTTCGCATGTACGTACCACCATGTAACAACCAGGAAGGTTTAATTACTTTCATCGTTGTCACCAGAAGGAGGGTTGATTCGCATTGTTGAGTTGAAAGACAGCTCTGGTATGGAAATCAGGAACGCGCGACGAGACAGGACCGCGACTAGTTCGATGTGAGCACTTCGCTTCTCCGCGCGCGCTTGTTCCAAGAGCCGGGGCAAGCTCTTGGTTGAGTGGCTTCGGCTCTGTGTTGATGTGTCATAATGGGACTTGTCACGCTAGCTCCGCTAGAACATTCAAGACCAAGACTTCACTTCCCACCTGTCTGCCACAGAATATATTTGAGTTAACAGAGAGAGACGAAGCGTAAAGTTTATTAGAGACTTCAATTCATGATATAATTCACCTTTGATATTCTTTGAAGGTGCGAATTAAAATTGCAATGTTGTGATTCCAGGAGAGCAGGCCATCAATCTGGATACAAGCCAAATATCTAATTTATGTACTGGCTCTCAGCAGTCGAAGCTGCTATACCATTCTCGATGATGCCGAATCATGAGTTCGGTCCAACGCAACTTGGATTACTTGTTATCTTCAATCTTGAAGATATACTTGGTGCCGCTGTTGACACCAGTCTTCAAATTTGAGAGTCCCTTTTCAATGCCATTCAATCCACCGGGTATAACCTCATACGGATGAGCTGTGAACCAACCCTCTTGAAGACCTCGTGAAAAAAGTCTAAAGTAGGCATAGCCGAACTCTTTTCCACCGGTCTTGATGCCAGCCTTGGCCTTTTCTTCGGAGGGAGCAGCGTGAACACTCCCAACCATTGTCGTGCTATGCTCGATGTAAGAAGGAATGGCTGAATAATCTTTGCCTGGAAGGACGAGCGTAATCTTGCTACCCTCCTTTGCGAGTAGCTGGCTGATATTCTGGAAGCTGTTGTGCTCGCTAACGGCGTCAAAGGCGTACTTTACTTCGCTTGCTCCAGTCTTCTTCAAAGCATCTCTAATACCGGTAACAACGGCATCGTCTCCTTTGCGATAGTCGATTATAGTGTCGCCTTTGTCGCGGATAATAAGGGTCTCGACAAAGTCTGAGGCTCGACCTGCAACTGCAATAATGGGATGAATATTGGAAACCTGCGCTAGCTTTATTGCGTATGCACCCTGTATTTGTCAGAAAGAAATACGAGACGAGGAAAGAGCGGATCTTACAACAGCTCCAGAGGCTCCATATACTATCAGGGGTATCGGGGACGAGGCGGGCTTCCATGGTTCAGGAAGACCCAATCGGAGGTAGAGCCCAACAGCAGCTGTCATTGCAGCAAGTGGAATAGATGCACCCTGGGAGTTCAACAATAAGCGAGTACATTTAATCAAGACTTGTTAATACGAACCTCCTCAAAGGATGTCTTCTTTGGAAGATGGAAGGTGGTGTAGTCTTCGGCAATAGCATACTACAGGGGCGGCAAGGTCAGCACTTACTCACTCGAAATTTCCCGAGATCAGTCTCGACAAGAATAACCTTGACCAAAGATACGCAATGGACGAAATGTATGAGGCCGCTGGCTAGTATAACCTACCTCGGCGAAGGATCCGTGAGGTGCCATCATTTCATGAAAAGCCGCAACACGATCGCCCTTCTTGAATTCAAAAACATCTTCACCAACGGCCTCGACGATTCCTGCGATGTCATCTCCAGAGTTATGAGGCTCGCCACGCTCAGGTCTCTTCCAATCCTTTGGGTTAGATCCTGAGTACACCACCTTGACAAGGACTTGATTGGCTGATGGCTTTGGAATAGGAACTTCATTGATAGTGACCTTGGGTCCCTTGGCAACAATGGCGTTCTTCATACTCAAGTGGTAAGATACCGTGAAAGATCTCTGCAGTATGAAAGACGGTCGTTGAGAGAGGTTGACAAAGTTGCAACTGAGAGCTGCGTGTTCGAAGTGCTGTCTTGTGAGGAATTAATAGTCGGATGGGTGGTCGAAAAGATGTGGCATTCATATTATCTAATTAATTCTGGCATAGGTATGCTCTGTCCAGTCTGTTTCCCTTTATTTGTATTTGTCAGTCGATAGCCTAGTGCGGAATGATGAAATATGCCATGACGAAAGAATCGCGGGGTTAAGCTTCATCACAACCGGCAGCTAGCCAGGAACACCCGAGATACCCCACGCTATGCCCGCCCGCAAAAGAAGGAGCAAGAAGAGAAGAAATGACTACCTTTCAATTTGATGAGAACTGCAGCAAGAATCTTGGTGTGGGTCATGAAAGTCTCCATCGTCTTCGCGTGCGCTGCAACTCCTCGTCCGACGAAATTCGCTAACAACGATTTCCGATCCATGGAACCATCTCCGAGTAATTGCTTATCATTGCATAGAATTGCTGAACCTTTCGAGGTTTGTTCCTGCAAGGGATGCCATTCAAACTATTGCTTCCCTCTTCTGCAACAATTAACAGCCAGGAAGCCGGGGTGTGGTATCTGATACCTTGTGGCAATCGTATATCTCTGAAGGCCTTCCAACATTTGATCGCAGACAAAAGCCTTCATTTCTGGCGGATATTCTTCGCTTTCCGCTTCTTAAACACCACTCCTGAACAAGCTTGCTCATCTGCTTCCTGCTTGAGGCCTTCAACAGGAGGCAGGGAATCAAGGGTCTTGCTATCTACTTCAGAGAGTTCCTTTTTGATGCCAGTGGGTTCCGGAACATCCGTTGATTGTGTCTCTTCCTTTGGATCGCTGGCCTCCTCTAACTTTGGCTCACTGGTTTCTCGTTTGACTTCTTCCTTAACCTCAACTTTCGTAACTGGTTCCTTGCCTTTGCGGGTCGCATTGCTTAATAACGCGTCCAGATCATCATCTCCGTCTTCTGTCGGGTGTGTTCGATATGCAGAGCCCCATCTCCGCTTCTTTGCCTCGTTCAATTCTGCCTCGTCTTCATCGACCACCCGCTTCCGTACCCCCAAAGCCAATGCCTCTGGTTTCTTCTCGGAACCCTCAGGCTCGATGATGCGTTCTGACGTGACCTGCCATTCTCCGGGCATTGCCATTCCTGACCTCAGCTCACCGGGTATACTGATGCCCATCTCTGCTAGTTGAGCCAGCTGCTTCTTCCTCGACGCTTCTGTAGCCTGCGGCTTAGGTGCTGATGGCGTGGGTCCTCTTCCAAATGCTGAACTTGAAGAACTTGCTGCTGAGCTCGATCCGCCGCCGGATACCAGGCCCTTGAGTCGTTCCACCTCCAACTTGGATCGCTCCTTGTCCTTCTCATCCTTCTCGTGGCCTCGGTGAAGATCGCGCAGGAAACGCTTCAGGTTACCTTGATGCTTTGGCGTTGCTTCATGGTTCGTCTTCTCCAGCTTCGTGTCCCGGATATAGGTTTTGCAGTGCTTGCACCAGTATTTGGGCTGTTATACAATCAGTACAAGCTTCCACAGAGACGAAATTTACCTACCGTCGATTTCCAGTATTCGGACATCGTGTGAATATTAGGAAGGCTGTGAAGTTGTATTCAGTGCGAAAAAGCTTTTCGTATAAGTATCAAGCTTCGAGATATTTTGCAGCTGGTCTTGCGAGATTTGTGTAGAAGTTTGGTTGCGAAAGCGACAAGGCGGAGAGGCAGGCGGAATTGAAGCCTTCTTGCCTCGCCTAAAAATCTAGCCTCGACCTCGGAGCCGACAAGGCAGAGAGCTCTTGACGTCCTTCACTGCTCGCCTCCCCCAATTCAACATTCACAAACCGCAACAATGGCATTAGAGGTGGCATCACGAACGGCATTAAATGGGCCTCTGCTCAGCAAATCTGTCACATCAGCACTCGCCACTCGATCCCTCCCAGTAGCACGAGCTGCCACCCTTCCCATCCTCAGAACCCAGCAGCGAAGGCAGCTACATGTCACCCCGCGATCAAGAGCGCCGAGTAGCGGATTGATGGGAATTAGCAATTCGAGTGTACCTTCATCCTATTTCCAGAGGCCTCGCTTGCCAGCAAACACAGTTGTCAAATTCGTACCTCAGCAAACCGCATGGATTGTGGAGCGCATGGGAAAGTTCAACAGGATCCTCACACCAGGTCTCGCTGTTCTGTGGCCTTTCTTGGACAGGATAGCATACGTGAAGAGTTTGAAGGAGGCGGCTATTGAGATACCTAGCCAGAGTGCTATCACAGCAGACAATGTTACGTTGGAGCTTGATGGAGTGCTATATACTCGAGTTTTCGATGCCTACAAGGCCAGGTACGCCTAAGTCAAAGTGTTTATTGATGCTGAACTAATAACCGGTAGTTACGGTGTCGAAGATGCGGAATATGCCATCTCTCAATTGGCGCAAACAACCATGCGTTCGGAAATTGGTCAGCTAACTCTCGACCACGTCCTGAAAGAGCGTGCAGCTCTCAACACGAATATCACAACCGCAATCAACGAAGCCGCGCAAGACTGGGGTATTGTCTGCCTGCGTTACGAGATCCGGGATATCCACGCCCCAGAGGGCGTTGTAGCAGCTATGCACCGCCAGGTTACTGCGGAACGAAGCAAGCGTGCTGAGATTCTCGACTCAGAAGGTCAGAGACAGAGTGCCATCAATATCGCCGAAGGACGAAAGCAGAGTGTCATTCTCGCTTCCGAGGCCTTGAAGAGCGAGCAGATCAATATGGCAAGCGGAGAGGCAGAAGCAATCCTGTTAAAGGCAAAGGCTACGGCAGCTGGTATTGATGCTGTTGCTAAGAGTATTGCAGCTGGCAAAGAGTCAGCGCAAGGAGCTGTCAGCCTGAGCGTTGCGGAGAAATATGTCGAGGCTTTCGGCAAACTTGCCAAGGAGGGTACTGCAGTTGTTGTACCAGGCAATGTAGGAGATATTGGAAGCATGATCGCCAGCGCCATGGCGGTCTACGGAAAGGTCGGCGATGCACAAGCAAAGACCATGGCCGCGAAAGCACTCGAAGCACAAAAGTCGCAACATAGCGAAGCTGGAGAGACACATGTCGCTGAGTCTGAATCTCCTAACGAGGAGATGAAAAGGACCATGCTGGCTTCATTCGAGAATACCAGACAGCGAAAGTGAACTGTATTTACGTACGGGGAAGGCAAAATGAAAATGGAAAGGGGATAAAGTAATGTAAATTAGCAAGCGGATGTCATTTGATTTATCAGGCGAGCGCAGAGAATGATGGCGTCCATGCTAGGGGGAGAGTGATTGACGGAGCCTTTCCTCGTGTCTTACTATGGTGGAGAATCACTCCTCAGATTCAGTACCAAAGCTCTTTTGTAGCGGTATAGCAGTGTAAATGATAAGTCTCAGATCTACTAAAGAACTGCACTCGTTCTTCCCCCGATGCAAGACTTTCCGGGCCTTTGTCTGGCTTATTGGGACTTGGCAGGTGATCTTGGGCTTGCATTTCACGTTGGAAAAAAAAAATCCCATCAATATCCATTGAAAGTCATTCTTTAGCTTGATGGAACTCTTTGATGTATTATTCTGGAAGCCTTTCTAATCATAACACTATGAGACACAACTACAGTACAGCCAGCTCGCCTCCCAAAAATTGAAAGAAAAACAACATCCTTATCCACCAACACCAAACTCACCACCCACAACATCCAGCGCCCTGCCCACCCACTCCAGTACCTCCGTATCCCTTGCCGCAGCCCGAACGGCCTTTGTTAACAATGGATACAACCAAAACAGATGCTTCTTACCCTCGCTCTCAACACCTGGCGAATCAGGAATCGCTTCTGGCTCGCAGCTCAACTTGACCAGCGCCTGTAAAAGATACAATAGCTCTCTCCGCTGAGATAGCGGCTGTGGCATGCGACCCCGAAGAGGCTGATCCGCAATATAAGCACGAAGAGTGAGCCCTGCGCGAAGGATGAGGTAGGGTGCTGCTGCTTGTGCGAGCTTGATCCTAGGAGCTGAGCTGTCGTGCAGAGCGACGAGGGAAAAAAGTGTATCCATGCAGACATAACTCATTTTTGCTCTTGGAGATGGCGCAGGATCGATGGTCCGACCTTTGCGAGTTTGATAGAGTGTGGAGAGGAGCTCTTGATTCGGTTGGGGAAGCTCGTTTGGTAGTGGGGTGTGAATAAGGGATTTGTGGAAGAGTGACCTGGTATATGCCATGCGTGTTTTGTCAGGGATAGAGGGGGATCCGAGGGCAGGCGTTATGAGGTCGCGGATGGTGAGGAAGGACGCTATGTCGAAATCTTGGTCGGCTGATATGTTGACCGTTGAAGGGATGGAAGAGCAGTCTGCAGCAGTTATGCCGTTGCCAATGGTTACAATTGATATCCACAGAGAACGAGAAATTTCTTCTTTGATAGGGGCTTTCGTAAGAATAGGGAGGATAGATTTCAGGATAGCGAGAGCTGAAGTTGTCGCTTGACGCCATGGCGATATACTCCTCGTGACGAGTGGGAACGAATATTTTAGGACGATTGGACGTGCCAGTGCGTTGAGAGCAGACGCTAATGCTCCACTGGTATAGATATCATGGTCAGAAGAATGGGCGATTATTAAACTTTCAGACAGGGCCATAGAGGCCTTTGACAATGCAACATACGTTGGCCGTTGTGTGTCAGCTGCATCTCTGGGATCGAAGGCAAGGCTAACCAACTCTGCAACTTGGCCGATGAGAGCCGCTGGAACCCCTTCGATATCTGTTCTGATCATCTTGAGACATTCCAAAACCTGTGTTTGCAAGGGTGTCAGATATTCGATGTCTGCAGAGTATGTTGCAGCACTAGCTTGCTGGATGGCCTCTCTTAGTAAGACGAGCATTCTCCTAACTTTCTCATCGTTGATATCGACTTTTATCAACCGATATAGCTCTTGGAGCGCAGCTGAATAAGCAAGCAAGTAATTCTGATTGTCGAATCGTTTGTTAGAAGGATCTGGTTTGACGATTGGGAGAGAGGTCGACCAAAGGCTCCAGACTAAGTCAAGAGCAGGACCATCGAAGTTGGGTTTCGGATTTCCCTCAAGGTTACCTCGAGAGAGAATTTGCCGAAGTGATTTGAAGATAGCTGTGTTGATCTCTAGTATGTTGAAGTCTAGCAATGCTTTGAAGTGGCCGAGTAGAGCTTGCCAGGATTCGCCAAACGATGAGTGGCTGGATAGCACATCCAGATAATCTGCTAGTAGGTTGGTAATTCCAGTCAAGACAACGACTGTGGTTTCGTTCCAGCCGCTTTTGTCTTTATCTGATACACTTGAATCTTCTTCATGCGTAATCTGCAGTTGTGTTTCGATCGATGAGAGAAGCCTGAATATGACCGTTTTGAGGCACATTGCCCAAGCTTCTGGGCTTAGCTGGTCCCCATAAGCGTCAAAAATGCGAAGAAGAGTCTGGATTGCGCCTGGTACTGGTTAGATAGATCGCTTTTTGGGTATTACCGACTCACTATTCCTTAGCTCAAGTCTCTCGTCTGTTGTGACGGCGGTCAGCCGCATGAGTAAGAGCATCCAAAGCGCTGCATCGGACATTGCGAGGTCGTCCCCAGAAGCCATGCTAACAAGGGTTTCGTCGCTGACCCCTGTCATGAGATCGGGGCTCAGAGAGAAAGAACTTGTTCTACCTGAGATGAAATCTGATAGCACCCAGAAGAAGGTCACAGTCTGAGCGGAATTAGTACGCAAGTTTCGGGCATGGGAGGACAATCTTACTGTTAAAGAGATGTTCAGATCATCGTCCTGGGTACAGAAATTATAGAGAGTATCGACGAGTATTATAAAACAAGAGTTGGGTAGCGAAGACAAGAAATCGGAGCAGATGAGCTGTAGAGAATTGAACGACGATCGAATAAGCCTGGCTGATCTCGTTGTTGAAATTCTGGATCCCTTAGCAGTCCCTTCGTCTGGAGCATCGTTCTTCACAAAAACACTTCCAATGATACTGAAAGCTATATCCCAGCCAACGACGAAGGTCTCGCCGCATTGCTCCAGGATACTCTTGAGGCCTTCCAGCACAACTTTGTGGACATCAACATCGGTTGCATGGATTGCCACTGACATTGTACGTTCACTGGACTCCAATGGAAGAATTGCCTTCTTCAAGGTTTCAAGGAGACGCAGCTGGATATCGCTCCGTAGCTCGTCAGGCAGTGACAAGGTCGCAGTTGCGGCTTCAAGAACAAGTCGAACGAGGATTTCTGCAGCTCTCAGTCGTACCGATGATGGAGTGGATGGAGAGCAAGCAGCAGACGTCAATTCGGACGTCAGCATTGCCCATCCACTGGTCTCAGGGTCGTAGTTCATCAGACGACCAATATTGATGGTTGCCACATCTCCCAACTTCGCTAAAGCAAACAAGTCCTCTTGATTCTGCGTTGCAGGCGCCGTGTTAATGCTGTGTAGCCTTTGGTGTCCAAGAGAAGGACGTCGAACTTCTGGCGAGGGAGGACCGGACACGTTTGACACTTCTGCTTGATGTTTCTGTGGCCCTTCTCTGCCAAATAATGCGCACAGCGCAGCAACGACTTCTGCGAAGGCATCATTTGGGAAGTCTATGGTACTTTCAAGTAGCCGTGAAGCAGCTGTCTCCACAGCTTTGATCTCAGTCCCAAAGTTGACCAATAGTCCAGATCCGTCAGCAGAAGACTGACTTTCTGGCTTTTGGGTCGCTGTAGGAGTTCTTGCGGACTTTGAACTGGAGAACAAAACCAGATCAGCTTGCTGAAGGGTGCCCAGAATTATTGCCCATGCCGAGTCCAGTGTGGGGCCAAGGGCAATACCAAGATTCAAAAGTGCTCGTAAGCAAAGTAAGTTTCTGGTATTAAGTGAAGTTGGTCCAGCGTCGACGGACGGTTGTCGGCCACGTTCAGATGAATGACTGACCAAACTATCGACACTTAACAGGCCTTTGGCATTACTGAATATGCTCTGCTTCTCCGCGCTTGGTGTTTGTGGTGCAGGCGCCGTTGGCGTGTTCGCTGCCAACAAATTCGAGGGTACCGCCGCCTTTCCTAGTGTCGTCAAGAATGCATCCCGAGGGGTAGCAAGACGGAGAAGTCCAGCGACATGAGTGAACTTCTGAAACGATCTCACTAGACCGTGGTAGTACTCGGAGTCCAACGCTGCGTAGAGGAAAGTAGAGCATGTGGCCAGTATCGCCGGCCAGCAATTATCCACAATTCCAGCACATATCTTGACTTCCTCGTACAGAGGATGATCCTCAAGAGTCAGCGGATTTACCGGGATGGGATTCTTCTTTATCGACGTTCGCCTTTCCAACTTCATTCTAGGGTCAGGACTCCCCGGAACGGAATCCGACGATTCGAATTCTGATTGTCGTGTTTTCTTCCGAGGCCTCTCTGGTACTGTCAAAGGCAGGATGAACTTGGCAAGCCCCTCGGAGAATCCGCTGATACAAGCCAGGGTCAGGTTATAAATGTAAGACTCCGGGACTGCAGGCGGCTCAGTTTTGTCCAGCTGATCAATACACGGCACTCTCATCGTACTCCACTGAGTGCTTACTCCAACAGGCGGCTCATTTGAGCCGACAGAGGTACTTATGATTCCACTGACACCACTGGCTTCGAGCATTGCTTGATCTGAGCCAGAACTGTTGTCTTGACCAGTCGGCGGAATTGTGGATTGAGACCCTAGGCCTATGACTGACGGCTTTTCCGTACTCAGTCTGACGAATGCAGCAACTAGGTCGCGCAAAATATCTTTCCGTCCATCTTGAGCATCATACATGGCAAATATACGTCGAACAAGTGCCGCATCGGAGAATATACCCCTCAAAGCTTCCATACATAGAGAGCGTTTCCATAACGCAGTATCGTGGTCCAGCATATGTGTTAGGAGACCAAGTGACATTTCTCCTTCGGCGGTCAGGATGCTTAAATGATTCCTGAGAAGTGTGTACAGAATACGAACGATTCTGACCGTGACTGCAAAGTTGAGCTTCTCTGAAAGAGCACTGATGATGAATGGCATCACCCTGACTCGAAGGATGTTTGCTTGCTCAGGGTGGTCCAAGAAAACCGTGGCATGATTGGTCAATACCGACTCGATCAGTTCGAGGCCAAAAGTCTGCGGTAATCCAGCAGATTTCAAGAACTGAGGCTTTTGCGATTCGGTCAAAAGACACAGATCATTGAAGACCAGGTAAGCATCCAGCGCCGCAGCGCGAAGTCGCACAGTCCCATCTTCGATAGGGGCTTCACCAACAGTCGGAACTTCAAGAGCGATTTCTTCTTCCAGTCAATAAAAATTTCCAGATATCTCCTATGAAGGAATTCGACTTACTGTCCTCTGCCACAACTTTATCAAACACACTAACAACTAGCTGCTGTAGAGTTGCAGCCGCTGTATTATTCACGATAGCATTCTTGCTCGCCTGCAAAATCGTGCATATATTCAAACTTGCAGCTATCAAGTCGCCCTTCAGATCATCCGCATAATTCTGCAACAACGATGGCAGCGCCTGGAGGATCTTAAGCTGGACATCAAGTCCGGCCGAAGTAGCTTCTCTGAACGCCTCCAGCACTTCCCTCAGGCGTGATCTGGGCAGAGACCGTGATACGACGAGTCTTTGAAGACATACGACAGCTATGCCTGTGAACTTCACATTCTTGGTTCCACAGGCTATGAGGAACGGCGTTACGAAGTTGGGCCGTTGCGTGAGATCTGGCCGAGTTAATCATCTAATCATAACGATTTCTGGGCTCTGATATTTACTTACCAGCAGCAATCTGGGCTTCAGATGTGGAACGCAGTCCTTTGAGCTCCTCGAGCGACTTCTCCGCTGCCTGATATGTCCCTTAGCCACAGCTCACATTCTCGAAGTAACACGTAAGCTCACATTTCTCAGCTCCGTATGTTTTCTCTTGCTCTCCTGGATCAGATTTCCCAGCTCCGAAGCCAGTATCTGCGCCGTCATTGTTACCGTTTCAGCTTTGAAGAGGGTGCAGCCATGGTATGTAGAATGTCACGAGGGAGGTTGTTGTTGATTCTGAGACGGGACTGGTGGCCTTGAGGTGAGCTGAGGATTGGCTAGCCGAGTGAGCGGCTAGAAATCGAGTTTCAACAATGGAGAGACTATGAATATCTCAAGCAAGAAATTGAGATAGAAATCTTAGATAGCTTTATTGTCATCATCTCTTCTACATTAAAGTCAACCCAAATGCGCAGTGCCATCGTCTCAAGTGGCATCGCACAGGCATAAAGAAGTCGATGCCGACCTGATATGACCGAAGTTTACCCGGCAATCAGAGCCACAGCCCACCCCGCCAACGACCTGCATCTTGTATCACTTTCAGCCTCTCTTTCGACTCTACTTTTTTATTCACCACCCTACTCGTACACCCAGAAACGAAGCAGCATAAGAGAACGGTCTCTTCTCCTCCCCATCCACCAGAAAGCAGTTCTTCTGCCACATTTAAAGTTCCAAAAGTGAAGTCAACATGGCAGCCAAAGTTCCCCGCAACTTCAGACTTCTGGAGGAATTAGAGAAAGGCGAGAAAGGTCTCGGGGCTGGTGAGTTTCTCAGACATGCCGTTCAGTTCAAGTCTAATATGTGTGCTATCTGCAGAGGCATGTTCCTACGGTCTTGTAGACGGCGACGATCTATTAATGTCGAACTGGAACGGCACGATCCTCGGCCCACCACACGTTTGTATCCCTCGTCCTTCCTTCCAATTTCACACGGCAGCGCTTGAGCAGGGCGAAAGGAGAGACTAAGAGAGAAAGGATATGATCAAATAGCTAACAGTATGCCGCATACAGAGCGTCCATGAGAACCGCATTTACAGTCTGAACATGCACTGCGGCCCTGAGTACCCCGACAAACCGCCCACCATCCAGTTCATCAACGCCGTCAACCTTCCCTGCGTGAGCCCGCGCAATGGCGTCGTGGACCCCACAAAATTAGCTTGCCTGGCGAATTGGGATCGTAATATGACTATGGAGACCGTCTTGATTGAGCTAAGAAGGTGCGCTTTGTCGCTGCTATTCAATTCATAAAGCACGAGACAGGACTGACAAAAATGGTGATAGATTCATGGCACACCCAGCAAACAAGAAGCTTCCACAACCACCCGAGGGATCGAAGTACGAGTAAGAGCTTTCACATGGGGGTGATATGCTATGGAAGCGAGATGGTGGAAGGGTGGTGGGTGGAATGGCGGTAGAGCTTGGGCGGAGGATATATTTACGACGGAACGAGATAAATATGGAATGGGGGAGGAAGGCTGGCTTTCTTTTGGGGATCAGGATGCATCAGCGCGGCGAAACCGGTTCCTTCCTGTCCATTTCAATCCCTACGAACGACACGCGAACAGATATATGCAGAGCAGAGCAGAGCGAATGAGTTTATTGATTTTGAAATAAATAACAGACGTACTGGAAATGCCGCATATGGATCGATCGATTTGCAACATACGGCTGATCTATACTTATGCGTGATCAATACGCGTTGGAAGGTGGACGGAAATATCTACTTCTACACAATTATACATGGGTATCTTTGACAATTGAAATGGCATGTATGCCTACCAGGCTTCGACTTCTTTCTCCCAATCCTCAAGCCTCTTCTCTCCCTCCCCACCTCTCTTGGATCTCCTTTCCCCATCCCCCTTCTCGAACCTCTTCGCCTCCCTTTTCGCCTGCTTCCTCTCCCTCCTTTCCCGTTCCCAGAGCTCCCTCTCCTTCTCAACCACTCCAGCCAACTTATCGGCCAATTCCCCCGCCCTCTGAAACTCCCTCCTCGACTGTTTTTGAACAAGCCATTTAGCCCGAGCCGGTGCACTATCCCACCTCTCGTCGCCAACCTCATACTCATTCTCATTCCCACCCCCTCCACCCGCTCCCCACCCCTCCCGTTCCAAACCATCGAAAACCTCCAAATTCCCCTCCTCCGCCGCCACCTCAAGAACATTCCATTCCCACTCCTCCTCCAAAGCCCCGACCTCAGCATCCGCTTCCAAGTCGTTCAACCAATCTACCCTCTTCTGTCTCTGCCTGACCTTCTGATTCAACACCCGGCTCAGATACGGACTCTGCCCTTTCTTGAACCGTAGGAATGGCAGATACGTCGCTACAGTTAGGGTTGGCACATGTCTGTTCCCGCTGAGCTTCGGGAGGGGTAGAGGGCGGACGTCTGCGACTTTTGGTGCGTTGGGGTATGCTCGGAGACGGGCTTTCATGGCAGCTGTGGGTCGAGGAGGAGGTTGTGTACAACTCTTTTGCGCGGCGAGTCTCTGCTGGTGGAGAGTATCGAGGAGATCGTGGATTTGGGTGAGGGCTTTGGTGTTGCCTGTGCTGGCTGCGTGGAGGAGTTCCTCGGCCTAAGTATTCCGTACTATTCAGCAATTCTTCTCTACAATCTTCTACCTGGCCCTACAGGTCCATAGAAATAGGCATGAAAGATACGTAGAAACAGGACTAAAAATACAGCATAACCAGCTTTCAAAGCCGGCACGATCAGCCTCGGACTGGAATGGTGTACATTCTGCCGGAACTTCTTCTGTATAAAATGCTTAATGGGATTTACTTTCCCAAAGCCTGTCCTTCCATCTCCAGCTACCGCATCATTCAACAATTTGGCCGGGAGAGGAACCCGTAGGCTTTGCTCGAGGAGGGATCGGTAGAGAGCGATACCTATTGCTGATCGTTAGGAATGTTTCTGGGAGGGCAAAATCTTGGATAGTGTATGTGTCGCATTCTGTTGATACGAGGGACTTGAACTAACATGCTATACGGTGTGGACCCGACGCACGGGGGTAGAACTGGTTAGGAGCTGGCATTCATTTGGTTGTTTTGCAGTTGTGTCGGGCATTGGTACGCGGACGAGCTTAAGATTCGGAAGAGCGAGCTTCAAGGATCTTGGCGTCAATACATTCATCACGTGCTCTAGACGCTCAACTGTCTAAAATCCATATGTACATTGACATTACATCATATCTAGATTGCTACAGTTGAAAGGATCACATGTACGGATAACTTTAGGAACTCGGTTCTGAAACTTGGTCATTTTATTTCGCTAATGGTAGGTAATTCCAACCGCTCACTGTAGCCGAACCCAAAGTAAACACACTAAAAGGCAGATACCAGAGCCGCTTTTCCATCTAGTAATGCTCGTTCAGAAACTTTCAGGTTTCATTTTATTCAATTTCTCATATTGCTTCAGCAGAAATCTAGTTTCAAGAGCCTCCTGTCGCGTACTTAGAGTACTAAGCTAGAGTACTACAAATTGCCGTGCTAGTGACCTTGGTTCTGTAATCCTACACCTCAGCCTTCCCACATCTTGAACTCGGGATGATGATCCAGAGCTTCTTCCAAAGATCCGTAGCATTTATCCGGAAACTTGTCTTCCTCAGAAGAGGGAGTAACTCGTAATCTTCTTAACTTCATCCGTCGCCGAGGTTCCGCCCTATCTTCGTATATACAAGAATCATCGCGACAGACCTTCCGTTTCCTTTTTTTTTGGCAGTGTGCTCCAATTCTTCGCGCAGTCTATTTTTTAGCTCGAAAGTCATCCGTTCCTGGACTTCTCTCATGTCCTCAGGTGTAAAAGTCCACAATTCCCAATTCTTTGGACTTTCCGTAAGTTTGGAGAATACTCTGGCTCGCAACTTTCGTTGCTTCATGTACGTTCGGGTGCTGGGAGATTCGTAGAGGTGGTAACATTCACCAGCTGGGATGGATGTCTTAGAATCGGAAATACTGGCTGGATTCATAGATTGCACCGTGATGGTGGTTGGCGTGGTCCTCTGAGATGTTGTGGGACACCCTTCTGACTCTGACTCTGCTTCGTTGTTCAGTTGTGGTTCTACAAATCTTGGGACTGGTTCTGTGATTGCTTCATTAAGAAACAGCTCAATTGTACCGACCTGTTCGCTTGTTTTGCTTGCTGTATCTACAGTACTAGATACCATAAATGTTCGCGACTCGTCTGGTGACATTGGTTGTGTAATTACGGATCTCGCAGTAAGGACATTGGAGAGTTTCGATTGATAGTCCTCCATGGTAGCATCGTCCAATAAGCTGCTAGGAGCTGGGCCAAGTGTAGAAACATCACTCGAGTGTACTGGTGTAGGTTGGTGGTCGTGGTCTCGGCCCTGCTTTAACTTTTCACCAATGCCCACCAACGGCACCCCGTACTCATCACCGCAAGCATCCAAAAATGATATATCAGAATTGCTGCCTAGGAATGCGTCCACTGCCAGAATCAGCTGAGGTCTCTGAGAATTCATATTCAGGGACGCTGAATGTCATCATTGAATAGTAAGACGTTGAAATGACGAAAGTGGATACAATCAGAAGCAAAAGCAAGCAAAAGCAAGCAACTCACTGTTCTTCCGCCGGATGTACTCTATCTCTGACTTATCCTGCGATATATACGACGGTAGATCGAGGGACAAGGAGGGACTGCGCACATCCGTATCCAAGTCTTCTCCCCGGCATGCAATATCTTGGTTCACAGGAGGTGACCTCAGCTCCCGAGAACCTCTCTTCTCCCGAAAACTCTTCTTAATACTCATTGCCTTGTGGATTACCAACAGTAAGCTGGAGACAACACTAGAACGTCTTCTATTCCTCCCAGAAGACGGGGCTGTTGGCTCAGATGTAGAGCGCAAACTGGAGGGAGCACTTGTGCTGGCGATCGTGCTTCGTCTTGTGTAAAGTGGTTGTTTATCGTCGCTATCAATGGAGGTTCTCGTCGATGATGCTGGAGCGCTGCAAGTGCGTTTGCAGTGATTTCTGCTCGTGGAGGCTAAGAATGCAGGGTCGAATAAATATGTCTGCTGGCGTTGTGACATGTCTTCGCTCTCTCCCAATATATGAGATGCGTTTGCTGTCGAACTCGATTCCGACAACTGCAATGACATATCTCCTTCGATTTCATCGTTTGCCGCAAATCTGGAATGGTCGTAACTACTCGAAATTTACATTTCAGAACTACCGAGAATGTTTCACACATAAGGGAAGGAGCGACGAAGGAAGCTATTTCCAACGGCAAAAGCGGTGGAAGTAGAACAATAGAAAGAAAGCGCACTGTCAAGGAAAAATAGACATCATTTTTGAGAGTGTGCGTTAACCTACGAGAAATAGTCTAAGGGGACCAGACTACCTCCATCAAATGCACCACCTAAAACTTAATCCCACCAAATCTCATAGAGCGCCAGGCAATGCGACGTCATCAAAAAAGTAACACCGCACATCTCATTAGCCTTACAAAAACTCTACCAATAGAAAAACCTATGTCCACGCGCCTCTTGCGACGATAAAGGACGTTGTTGAGCTGTACTCGCTTAATCGAAGCCAGCCTTCACAGCCGCGACAATGGCGGCATTTACGTCGCTTGGTCTGAACCCAGGGGCACGACCTAGGCAGACGCCCTTTTCCAAGATTTCTGTAACACAGTCAGCCGCATTCTTGGTAGACTATCCAGTGATCGAACTTTGCTCACCATTGATCAGCGTCTGAACATTGACCGTGACAAGTCTCTTCTCTGTGAAAGGCACCTATGTGATAGATTAGCGTCAATGCAACAGAATATTCCAAGATGCGAGCAAGACATTAAGATAATTTAGGGGAAATAGAAAAGAAAATGAGAATGCTTACCTCGCCGTCCACAGATTCAGGACTCTGTCGTCTCAGGTTCTCACCAAAATTGGCATTCGGAAGCGTGCTGAAAATTGGGTCTATGTTCGCATCGGCCCCATCCTCCTGAGTCTCCCACTCCCCAAACTTCAATGGCGGGAAAGGGAAGTCTTTCGGCTCCGGATTCGTGAAATCAAACGTGTATGGAACAAAGGAAGGATCGGCAGATCTCTGTCCCAGCGGACTTTCTGGAGTCTTTGGAGGCGACGTATCGAGGCTACTGCTGCTCTTTGGAGAACCTGCTTCTGTCAAAACAGAGATATCAACTTCGGCTGTGATGAAATCTGCGGAAGGAGGGATGTCGAGACCCCGACCTCTCAAATACCCTTCCACATCATTGGAGTCGAAGAATTGGCCTTCGTAGCCAGGGAGGTTGCAACGCATATCTTCGCGAAACAGATCCCGGGCGTCAGTGGCAGCTGGGGAAAATGGACCAATGGAGAATCCAGTGCGGAGTTTAGGCCGCAAATCATCGTTTGATGGATCGGAGTCTGGATAGAACGTCCCTGAGCCGCCGATGTGTACGAAAGGATTCTTCCATTGGCTCAAGGCGTCTTTGTTGGTCTTTGTTATTGCGCGGCGGAGTCGTGCTTCCAGATTCTCTCGAGTTTCGTACATTAAAGTCAGCCCAAAGGCGCGATCAAAGACTTCTGGAGAGACGGTCTTGGATGTTATGAGTCTGAATGCTCTTTCGATAGCACCCCTTTGGATGCGCCGCGCGAAGGTGAATTCATTGTAGGCGTGCGTTCTGGGAAGTGAAGGTTGCAGCTCAGGCATGAAATTCATTGAGAAGTCTTCTATTGATGGCACTTCAACTCGGTATTGTTGCAGGTCCATGAGGTCGAATGGGAAGGATGCATTATCTTCTGTCGGCCGTGTAATAATTTCAAGGTCTGCATGGCGACCTCTGTTCTCATAGTTATGCTGAGGGAAAGTCATGGCAAGATCATCGTCCGGCGGCGTGTCGTCTTTATACATGGTATATCCACCCCATGGATTGACCGGATCCTCCATAGGTGGTTCCTCGGCGCTTCGCTTTTTAGGTGATGATTTGGAACCCTTAGTCCGTCTTTCAGATGCTACATTAGCTTGTTTCACGTCATCCTCGTGAATCTCTTCATGGCTGTCTTCATGCACTGTAGCTTTTGCCAATGCCAGGAACCTTTCCGTTGTTGACTGAAGTTGCTGTCCGAACTCTGGCTCTCGCTGTAAGAGACCCTTGCCGACTGCGAAGTCGTATAGACTAATAAATATATTGCTCATTTCCTCATTCGTCCCTCTAAGATCCTGGACCTGTTTCTCTAGAGAGGTAATGGTTGTCTCCTTCCGGTGCCGGTACGCCCTTTGGGCCATCCGAATCTGGGTCCTTCTCCTCTATACTACTGTCAAAATCTGAAAATGATGTAGAAAGAATAGAATAAAATCTTCCTCGCAAACAGAATCTACAAATCGAGATCTCGAACTCGCTTGAGTCAAAGTCTTTGATATATGGAATCAAGATCTCCGAAGATGAAAAACAAGATCTTGAGACACTGACAAAGGATAATACTAAAAGATCTAAAGGGAATTATCGACTTACATCAGCAGCAGTCTCATCCTTCGTATCAACCCTAGGCCTTCCCCTAGCTTTTTTCCTCGCCTCCTCCTCTTCATCAAACTCCTTCGAACTCGCCTGCCCAGTCGCAGTCCTCTTCTTCCTACTCGATCTCCTCCCAACCTTCTCCCCCTCCTCCTCTTGGCTCTCCCCACTAGCCTCCGTCACTCCAAACGGCATCACCTGATCACTCCTTTCCTTCGGCCTCTCCCTAAGACTCCTCGCCAACCTCCCATCATCATAGCTCTCCGCATTCAGAATCCCCAGATTCCCAATCGTCCCGGTGAAATTCGACGACGACGACGACATGTGGCTCTGTGATGTGGGAACGCCCCCGCCGAGACGTCCGTGGTTACTATACATCCCATTCATGTAGGAATGTGATTGCTGCGTGGGGTTGTATGTAAGAGTCTCCATGTCGGTATTGGTGTGATGATCGGGGGCTTGATGCCCGTACCCGTTCAAGATATCTACAGGTCTTGAATGCGACAGGTGGGCGTTCGGTTGATTAATATCTCGTTGAGTAATCACGGTCGTCGAGAGACTAGACTGGATATTGAATGGTGTGGGCGTAGTAGACACCACTCTCCTGTCAGGTCTCAGGGTCTTGGCTTGACTTGTCGAACTCAAAATACTAGTGCTGCTTGGAGTAGACGTAACCTCGGAACCATGTGTATGGGTAGCAGCAGCGTGTGTGAGGACAGCTAGAGCATAATCATCCTGAGGAAAGTTGAAAGAGTGCTCCATAACTTTCTTTCAGAGGTTAGAAATCAGGTCCTTGGACTCTTGGCCTTATATCAGAAGAACTCTCCGCGGCCGGGAGTGCTGGGGTGCTTAGGTGGTGAGATTCAGTGAGGACTTAGCCGCATTCTTTGAGATCCCGCAAGGCGTGAATCGTCATACTTTTGAGGATTAGGCCCTTGTGATGGTTTCTTGCGCACGCAAGGCAGTTGGAGATTGGTAAGCGCTTGCTCTTACTGTGCGTACAGCCCTGCCATGCAGGTGCCAGTATCTCCTTGCAGGCTGGTACTAACGGGCTTCGAGAATCGAGGTTAAGCTCAAGCGCGGGAATCTGATCTCCCCACGAGGAAACGATTAGTGATCATGTCGTCGAGCCTTTTGGTGACACCGAGACAAAGCAGCACCAGATTGTAGGCTAGGACTACCGCCAAAAACGTACCTGAATATTGAAGACTTGACATTTATCTAACTTTCTTATCCGTAACTTGCCATTCGTTCCAGTCTTTTTTACTCGTCATACTGCAGTTCCAATAAATTGTATAATACAACCCCAGAACCAAATGTCCTATTATCACGAGCTTTGAAAGTCCCAAAAAGCGGCGATGAACATCAACACTAAAATGCGGGATCAGTAATCACACCACAACAAGGTTCAGCTGCTGCTTAATCAGCCCTGTTGCGTTCCCTCCCCAGCCGTCTGGTAAACTCCGAAGATGACATTGCCAAAATCGGGTACTCAAACGACCAATCAAAGAGACAATACCGCATACAGAGCTTGCCACATACGTATCGCATTGGCCTGATGTAGTAGATTGTTAAACTCACTTGGCAATGCGGAGGGTACAACATTTTAAATTGACGCCAGAACGACATTTGCGGTCGTTCGCTTACAGAGAAGCAGTGAAAGGGGTTCGCTAGGTATCCGAGCCGAGGCCGATGCTTCAAAGTTACCCGAGCTTTGTAACAACGTACCTTATATAGGACACTTGATACCAACTTGAGAAAGAAGTAATGGTACATCACAGGACAATCAACCTATCAACGAACTCTCATACCATTGACAGCCACGAGATCATCAGGTTCCGCCAAACAAACCATACACAAATAAAAGTCCCTCCATATTCAAGTCTATAAACATAGGTATCTCACATCACAGCCGAGCCCTTACACCCTCCCTAAGCCCACCGCCCATCCATCCACCCAAGCAAACTCAAAACTCCTCCCATACGATTATCAAACTTGTATAGAAAAGGAGGCCGACCCTACCATGCTATATATACCACCCCCTTTAAGCAATTTCTAGGCAAGCAAGAACAGTCAGGGTCGAGGTCAGCATAACTTAGTATCTATGGCATACACCTACAGGTAAGTCATGGTACAGAGATCAGCGCGGGAGGTACGAGTACATATCTGTAATTCGCACTCATGTGCTTCGGGACCTTACTACGACTTATTACTTACTCTGTGGAGGAGGGTTCGTAAGCTACTTTATATATGCTCTGGCTCTATGGGAGAAGAGAGGAGCATTCCAATCCCTTTCGTGACCAAAGCCCGCCAGTACAGGACATACTGTATGCTGCTCCTCTTTTTCCTATCTCTCTATCTCAGTGACTTGACGTTAGAGTATACGTCCATTTTGCATACTTGAAGGCCTGGACATGACGCTGCTATACCTCCTCCCCGGACTTTCCAGCTCACTTGCCTCTTCTCCGCCACTTCCAAGCAGGCAGGCAGGCGCTTAAGGTATCCTCGCGTGACACCGAGGTCGACCGGAAAGTGCTAGGTAAGCAGTACTGGTCTGCACATCCGAGAAGCTGCAAGGGGGCCTTAGAAGCGTTGACCACATTACAAACCACAAAGCACACGTCAGAAACGTTTCCGGCGGGATCTCATCTCAAATACCCATAGCACGAAAAATGATGATCGATCAGAATCTATTCCCAAGCCCTAACCTACGTACATCCTTACTTTATAAAGCCAACTTCAACAACCCAGCAGGCCATCATTTCCACTCCTCTTCTCCCCGCCTCTCTCTCTCTCTCTCTCTCTCTCTCTCTCTCTCTCTCTCTCTCTCTCTCTCTCTCTCTCTCTCTCTCTCTCTCTCTCCCTCCTTCCTGTAACCGCCCGCCCAAAGCACACAAGCAAGCAAAGAAGCAAGCAAGCCAGCCAGCCAAAACAAGCAGACCCACAATCAATCAATCAATCAACCATTCACTCTTTGACGCCAAAAAATCATCAAATCACTCCACCCATTGATCCATCCCATCCATCTAGGAAATGCAAGCAAAGAAGACTCGAAGAACTAGAAACCAAAGCTGCCCCCACAGACACCAGGTAAATGGACAAAGAAAGGAAGTATGTAGCCGTCCATCAGTCATTCCTAAAGGCAGGAGAAGAAGAGATGCTCGATCGAAGTACGATCTCACTCAACTCCAGCTAGCTCAGGAAAAATCAAGTGACGCACATAGACAGTTGTTGCTCCGTAAACTCCCCCAAATCCCATGTTTCGCAATGCTTTTATGAAAAAAGACAACAATGACGGAAAAAACTAATCGTTTGTATAGCCTGGTTGGGTTTGTTTGCTTGCTTCAGAGGCAAGGGAGGTGATATGTTGGTTCCGAAATAGAAAAGAAGCCCCGGGTATCGTTACGTCTATGCAAAAGCCGAAAGATGTAAAAGTAATCCCCTACCCCATTCGCAGTTTTCATCCGTCCTGAAGCATGAGTCCCATAGCTTTTGTCGTTGTGTATTGGTACAGAGGGTGGAAAGCTGTATATGATCAGATTCCGGAGTGATTGCCAGAGATGTTTTCGACGACATTGTCGGATAGATTGATCAGTAGCTGTGTGAGGCAGCGTTTGGTCGCCGCATCATCTCGGAGGACCGAGGAAAACGTGGCATCGCGAAGTGGTTCCGGCAGGCATTGTCGTAGGGCCTCCCGAGCGCGCGCATTGTCACTAAGACTATAGAGTAGTCAGTACCTGTTCTTTGGTCTGCAAACTTGTTTTTTTACCGAAGAAAGCAGCGAACGACATGCTTAAGAAGTCTCGCGGTCTGCTGCTCCACCAACTGCGACACCATATTGCTCAAAACAGTCCCCACAGCATAGAATCGCTCGTACGTGGCACAGATGTAGTTCAGCCCATGGTCATCGAGGAGAATCTTCTGGACGATGAAGATGGCCACAGTCTTGCTGAGCTCCGACCCTGTTTCCATGATTCTGAGGCACAAAGGAATGATCTCAGTGGTCAAAAGGAAGTTGATAACATCCGAAGAATCGTTCTTGACAAGAGCACCGATGACGCCGAGGGACGTGAGTCGAAGATACTCGAAGGGTCTCGATTTCGAGGTGGTATTAAGGAACGGGTACAAGAAAAGTGGGATGTGAGCTGGAAACGTTAGTATATGGGTACATCCCGCGGGAGGCAGTACACACCGTTGAGGAAAAGCGCACGAGTCTCATTGTGCGAAGCAACACACTGCAAAAGTGCCAGGGCATTGCAGACACGATTGGAGGCCGCTGCAGTGAGTTGCGACGGGTTGAGAAGTGTGTAGACCGAGATGATCTCCTGGAGGAGAGAGGTCATGACACCTAACACATATTAGAATCAAGAGCATATTCTTAGCTTTCTATTCACATACCGAACGAGTGCCACAAGATCAAAGCCAGCTCTGGGACTTGTTCGCGCTTCTTGCTAAGCTCGAGCAGAGCCGCCTCCCTACTATCCTCATTCAACAGATCCGCAATATAGTTCAATGTCCTCCTGTTCTCCTCAGTAACGTTATCCATCATGCTTGTATCCTGTCCATGGCTCTGAATAGCAGGTCCTACGGCGTTATGATTGGCGGCGATTCGATTGTAGTGCTGTTGCTGAGCAGCGGATGCGGCAGCGGCGGCAGCTTGCTGCTGGGCATGCTGATTGTGGCTCTGCTGTTGCTGGTGATGCATCCATCCTGGCTCGCCATGCGGTGTATATTGTTGTTGGTGAGAGAATACGTGCGCCCCTTGGAGCATCTTGTTCTGTCTGAACGTAGCCAGCGAGTAGACTCGATGGCTAGGGAGATAAGGTGGAGGTTTCGAAGGTGCGATCGGTGTCGCACGGAGTATCTGACCGTGGTGAGAGCAAGTTGGTTGCTCGACACGGGCGATAGGAGATGATGGGGTAAATGTAGTGCGTTGAAGAGGGTCGTGGAGGAGTTATCTCAAGGATGAAGTCGACAGCGGTGGCAGTCCCCGCGATCTCGACCTAAGCTTAAGATCAAGCTCTTGGCACTGATCACGTGCGTAGTTTATTGGACCAGATGATTGCTCCATTTCTTTGTGGTGAAAGTCATGGCTTGAATGTCAAAGGCAGAGCAGGATGAGAAGGCTGCATAGACTACTATCAGTATTATAGCCGGTATGAGATAAATGTTTGAAATGCTTCTTCCCTCAGCGCACTTTGTTGTTTCATTGATAGATGCGGTACAATGTTTACAAGTCTTCATTTCTACCCTCCGTAGCGAAGGAGAAGCTTCCAATGAAAGCCGTTTCTCACATGCACAGGCATCATGCAGATAGGAAGTCGTCCGATGCACTCCGATTCATTAATATCTTATCACCTACAACCCACAAATCCAACCCAGCACGCTGCTAACGAATCCCTTACCCATGCAGTGCATATGCTCACTCTCGCTCTGCGGTACGCACGCCAGCCATTATGACGAAGAAAATGAGGAAAAGTCTGAATCCTACAGTGCAACTGCCTTGCTCCAACGCTCGCTCAAAAACACAAGGGAAGTTAAGATATGTGCCAGAGTGTTATGTGTACGTCCTTCCGGCCGTCCGTCCCAAGAAATTGGATACGATGCTTGCTGTTCAATGCTGTAATGTTGCTTTCGAAGAAACAAAGGAGATTCGTCCAGAGTTATTGCCCGCACCTGTTCCCCGTCACATCTGCCACCATCAAACCGTCATTACTTAGAGGCGGAGTTCCCTGAGGATCTGATCCGCCATGTTCTTGTATTGCCAAGTGCCTCCCGCCAGACGCTTGAATTGGATGCCGTGCAAGGATAGGAGTGGGACCTTGACGATGAAGATCTCGAACTCGAGGATCATGCTACCGCCAAGCTCGCTTTGCACGTGTGTGCTCGTTTCGCCAACTGCGCGAGCAGAGGAGCCTCGATGATCTCTGCTAATGCTCTCATCTGAAGCATCGGAATTGGTGTAGCTGTTGTCTCCACGACCTCTTGCTGGAGTTCTAGGGGTCTGAGGTGATCGTTCAGCTTCCCTGAAGTCCTCCCGGTCTCGCTCCGCGCTTCCACCGCCCATAAATCCACCAAAGCTGATTCTCCGCTTGTGTCCTGGAGTATGGTTTCCATGGCTACTCGGGGGCAGATCCACCACCTTCTTCAAATCAATCGATGGAGTATGTCTACAACTGAATCCACCTCTGATTTCTTTGTAGTCAACCCCTAATTGACGAAGTACCCTGATGATATCAGCGCGAATGGCCTGCACTGGCTTTGTCGATGTTGTAGATACGCTGAACAGTCCTTTGAGAAAAACAGGCTTCACATTTTCTGCATTGTCAATGCGTTCGTTTGACAAGCCACTTGCGTCGCCAAGTTCAGCATCTGTTTCCTCTGGAACATTTGCCTCTCTCGCCTCGGCTCTTCTGGCGCGTCGAGCCTGGATGCTCTCTCCTCTGGCATGGCCCAATGACTTGGCTCTCATGGAAGCAGCCGCTCTGGGATTTAAGTGGGACTTCTGTTGCTCTCCTTCTTGAGGTGGCTTTTCCTTCTCATTCACAGTAGAATGGTCCGAGCCAGAGGTAGGTGGAGGTTCTTTGTAGGTGACCCGTGGAGGTGCTGCCTCAGATGCGCCTCTTCGATTCTCCTTTCGTCGAAACTCTGCCGAATTAACACTCGTTGATCGCCCTAGGGCTTTACCACTTCGTGGGTTATCTGAGGACCGAGGTGGGTTTAGGAGATCGCTATGCTGAGGTTGGCTGCTACCTGATCGAAGCATGGATGAAGAAGCGCCTTCCGTTGATTCGCGGGTTCTCCGAACACTGAAGCTCTTCCTCAGACTGGTGTGTTCATGTGGAGATTGAACCGTCACAAGAGGAGGGTGAGATTTGTCTGACGGCTCCTTGCGTCTCCTAGTGCTGAAACGTCGTAATATGCCAGCTGCAGTACTCTCTTTGCGAGCAACGCTAGGTTGCTCAGGAGGAGGCTCCAGGATGGCTGGTGAGACGGGGCCGCTTGCACCAGGAATTTTGAGATTCTTCATGTTCTCAGTTACCTCATCCTCGCCATGTGTGCGAGCTCGAGGTCTTGATCTCCCTCCGGTAGCTTTCTCTCCAGGCATCTCGTATGCCGCAGCATTTGTATGCGCTGCTTTTGGTGGTGCAATATCGGGTAGTTGAAGAGGAGCTTCTCCTGGTGATCGAGGCATGCTTGTAGCTCCAGGATTGGCCGCAAGTCGATCCCGGTCTTGCTTTTCCCTGACCAGGTAGTAAACCGAGATCAGTGGGTGGAACGCGTTGACAGGGTCGCTACCAAGTGCCAGAGCATCTGAGCTTGGAGCCGTCAAGGTATCTCGGCTGTTCGACGAATTTCTTCTTTTGTAAAAGTCGAAACCGAATCCCCTCTTCTTCTCTGGATCTCTGGGAGGCCCTTGGTTCTCTCGTTCTTGCATAGCCAATCGAACTGCTCTTTGATATTCCTGGGACTCCACTACCTCACTCAACTGGGCCTGTATCGTTTCTGGTGAACCAAAATCAAATCCAGTCATTGCCTGGATAACCGAAGGATCGAGAGGCATTTGCAGGGGTTCGCGATTTGGGAGGTAGTTCTCCGGTGGAGCTCCAAATCCTTTAGTCATCCAAGGATGATTCATAATCTCCTGCAGACTTGCCCGTTGCTTTGGATCCGTTACCAACATTCGGGAGATAAGGTTTTTGCATTCTGGTCTTGTTAGCATTGAATTTTCAATAGAGAGGAGTGAAGGTACCTGGAGATAGCCAGTTTGGATAGTCCACAATCCCCTTCTTGATTTTTGCGTGCAAGGCTGGCATGCTCTGATCATCGAAAGGGACTTTCCCACACACTAGAACATATAGGACAATGCCGAAACTCCAGACATCCACCTCGGGGCCGGTATATGCCTTCGCTTGGAGCAACTCGGGAGCTGCGAAGTATAAACTTCCACAGAATGTCTTCAAGTGACCCCGGGGAGCAAACAGGTTACTGAGACCAAAATCAATGATCTTGATATCACCAGTCTTGCTGATCAGAATGTTCTCGATCTTCAGGTCTCTGTGGACAATACTGTTTCGGTGGCAGTAGTCCAGGGCGCTCGCGATTTGTCTGCTGAACTTCCTAGCCTGCTTCTCCTTCAATCTTCCGTGTGAGATAATGTAATCGAGCATTTGTCCCCCGTTGACATATTCAAAAAGCATATACCAATGATATGTAGTCCGAACAACATCTCGCATTGCGCATATGTATGGATGGTCCAACAGGGTAACGATCGCGGCCTCTCGAGCAGTTCGAACCTCCTTCGAGTGATCGGCACGTTCTCTATCTGCGCGACTTTGATTATGCCCTTCATCAGTAGAGCCTCGAGGTACGATCTTGACAGCAACCTTGCAAAGAATTAGTCTCTAGAATATTTGAGCGTCTGGTTCAATTCTTACCTGTTCCCCACCTTCAACTCTCCGAGCTAGCTTTACTTTGCCCATGCTCCCCGCCCCAATGGTCTTTCCCAGGACCCAATTCCCCGTAGCAGCAGGTATCGTAGTCCTCGATTTGCCCGTTCTTCCTGATTGCCTAGACTCCTGTGGAGTGACCACGGGAGCTGGTCCCCCACCATTTGCTGCGGCGCTCGTCATGTCTGATGAATATCGACTGTGGCTCGAACGACGGTGGCCTGCGCCCTTGGACGACTCCGTCCGTGGTGGAAGAGGGCGATCTTTGCTGGAGCTTCTTCTTGATGTATGCGCAACGTTCGATGTCTCATAGTTGGCTTGTGGCAGAACGTCTTCAACTGCTGCACCGTGGCGCAAAGATGACCGATGATGGTGGGTCGAATGGGTGCGGGATGGACTAGGCGGTGGGACGTTACTCTTCGTCCTTGTGGAATATGATCTTGAGGTGCCTGATGATGATTGATGGCGTCGTGAATTGCTTCGTTCTACTGTGGGCGGTCCTGAGGATGCAGTTGTTGCCATGTTCTCCTCTCGTTCCCGCAGCTCAGAAAGGTCGATTCAGCCGCCTCCGAACTTGTTTCGGCACAGGGCCGTTCAACCCCCCTGACCGTCCCCTTTGTACCGTGGCAACGTCACTGTGGAAACGTCAAGCTTTCGAGTGCCGTGATTGCGTCGCAAAAGGCTGGGAATGGAACGCGCAATAGCAGGATAATTTTTGGGGGGTACAAATGAGTTGAGAAAGGGGAAGAAGGAGAAGAAGAAGAAATGGTGTAGAGCAGGTGCAAGGTGGCTGGCTGGCTGGCTACCTTGGTTGATATGACGAGAAGGTTGGGTTGGCGCAACCACTGCAACTAACGAGCGAGGGAGGTTCGTGGCAAGCTCAACCCAGGCAGGGCAGTCAGTTGAGTTCACTTCAGCCCAGCGCGCGGGGGACGAGTCAAAATGGGTGGGACAGGACACAACAACAAAGGACTTTTGTCTCAATATCACGGCGAAAGACTTGCAGCACGAATAGTTGCAATCATATACCATGCATCGTTGTAATGCGTAAGTCAGACTCGGCGAGGCTGTTGATTAGGTATCTACTCTACTGTACGCTATCCTGCTTCCGATGATTCTGATCTCATTCTGATAAGGTAGGCAAGACAACAGAGGCCAGAACGCTGTTGCTTGGGGGCAACTACACTCTATCTGGTTAGGGGTTTTCGGGCCCGAGGATAAGGGATTGGAGTATGAAGTCTCTCCCAGGACGTTTTGAAGGCTTGCTGAAATGCAATGGCTGTATGTGCAGTGCCTCTATTGTTGTTGCCCCTTCAGGACCCTGTCCTACCGCTTATTATTAATTTTCCTTATATCAAGAAATTGATGCAATGCACTGCTGCCGGTTGTATACCGGGTTGAAGTCCAGGTAGGTGGAATCAATCCATTGGCACTGCCACCAAACCGAAGAGGACCCTGAGGTCGCTTGCAGATCTCGAAGCAACATCCATATAAAATGTCTCTTTCTATTTGTCAAATTGCCGATTTTATGTAGCTATCCATGCGAATGCACGGAACAAGCAAGTCTCCAAAGTCAGTGTTTGCTGGTAAGGTTTCGATCTCTTCGACGTCGACATGCGTCAAGTATCGCCAGGACTTGAGACTTGACCAGTCAATGGCTGTGTGTTGTCGGAGCTGAGAGATAATAACATAGAGAATCGATACAGGTCAACAAGTCTTTTGACAAGATCTGCAGTAGATGTAAGTATTTTTGAAAAATATATCTCTTCTGGAAAGACTTTTATTGACAACACGTACTGAAAATTAATGGATGTTTGGACGAACAGCTCCGCTGCCCCACCTGGATTCCAACAATCCAAGAACCTGGGGAAGAAATATCTGCGAGGGTGATGAAGATTTGTGCCCAACAAGGGCCATAGTACCTCACCCGATGCCTACACTTTAGAAGGTGGACAATGAAAACATGAGTAGATCAAATAGAAAGTCCTGTCAATTGAAGAACATTGACGTACTTTTGTTATTAGCCATTGATAGTTTGTAACTGTCTAGAGTACCCGGGACAGGGCGTACGCGGGACCGTTGGCCTAAAATAGCCCCTCGCGGCAGCAAGCCAATAGCCACGCTCCTGACTTTCTGTTTACCACGAGGCTGAAGTTCAACAGAGCTCACAGCCTTCTGTTCGGCCACCACAGAATACCTCCGCAGTGACGGTAACCCTTGCCTGGCCCTCATGTGTTCACAATGTCCGGTAAACGCTCTCGCGCCAACTTCGAGTCGGATCTCCAGGCCCAACAATCACCATTCGTAGTCTTCGGGACGCCTCTGCCTCCTCTTGACCCTGACGTTCGAGATGATGGCTCATACGTACCTGTGTGGAAGCAGGAGGTTAGAGATGAGAGAGGACTGAAACGTCTTCATGGCGCCTTTACTGGTGGGTTCAGCGCAGGGTAAGAAGTCTTTTGTGTGTACAGTTCCATGCAGCTAGACTGACAATATTCACAGGTACTACAATACAGTTGGCTCGAAGGAGGGATGGACACCCTCGACCTTCGTTTCCTCACGTACGAATCGAAAGAAAGATGAGCCCAAACCAGCTCAACAACGGCCCGAGGACTTCATGGACGAGGAGGATATTGCAGATGCTGAAGATGCAAAACGAGTCCAAACGGCTGAAGGCTTTGCGGGCCTCGGGTCAACACAAGACGATGCCATCCGTCGCGGAGGATTAATTGATCTGTTTCGGATAGAAGGGGAAACTATCGGCGTGAAGTTGTTGAAGAAGATGGGCTGGAAGGAAGGACAGGGCGTAGGACCAAAAATACGACGGAAAGCACGCCTAGATGGTGTCGAGAAGCCTAGCGACGACAACAATTCTACACACCTCTTTGCTCCAGAGAATACCCATATGATTAGCTTTATAAGGAAGAACGACCATAAGGGTCTGGGTTTTGATGGGGAAACAAAGCTATCGTCGAATTACGGGACAGGATCAATTACGCCTAAGTCTGATGATGAAGAAGATGATGATCGAGGGTTATTAGCTCCCAAAATATCGAAGAAAAAGAAGAAACCTGTTCGTGGCGGTATAGGTATCGGTATTCTAAATGATACAGGGTCAGATGATGAGGATCCATACGAAATCGGCCCCAAAATATCATACAATCGGGTCATAGGAGGAGATAAGAAAAAGAAGAAGGCAACCAAAGCCGCTATCAATCCTCTGCTTTCCTCCAAGCCTGTTTTCATTTCGAAAAAGGTCGCGATGGCAAAAGCTGCTATTGGTTTCCGTAAATGCCACGATGGCCGTTTACCGCTTGATGGCTTCATATTGAGCAGCAAAGATGAGTTCTCATTGGTTACTCAGTCTACGGGCGAGTATGAAGCACCCAAAATACCCAAAGGGTGGACATCTTCGAAAGTACCCAAAGACGGTACACAAAATAAAGCATACCTCTCCACAGCAGATGCAGCCAAAGCATCGAAGCTCGATCCGAAATCTCGCGCATCAATACTTGGAGAAGCTGCTTTACCAGGAAAATCTGTTTTTGATTTCCTCAGTCCTGCCGCTCGAGATAGACTTGTTTCTGCGTCTGGAAAGTCCAATTTACCTGCCGCTTTGGGTGAGATTCCCAAAGGGTATAGCATCACAGAAGAAGAGTGGCATAGAGATCTTCTCGCGCAGATACCTAAAGTCGACAAGTACACCGCCGATGCCGCACTCAGTCGTGGTGCGAGCGGATTCATGCCGTATGGTGAAGATGAAGCAAAAAGGAGTCGCTATCGAGCATATCTGGAAAACCAAGCCGGAAACAACCCATCTCCCCCAGAAAGGGGTCCCAGTGTGTCGAAAGATGACTGGCTGAAAGAGCTCAGGGAGTTCGCCAATTGCGCCCAGATATTCAAACCGATGTCGGGCATGATGGCAACACGATTCACATCTTCCACTACCGCACCTAAGCTTGCTTCCGATGCCCCTGATTCGACCTCTCTACTGAGTAAGCCCGTTCCGAAGGTAGAGGACCCAGCCGAACAGGCGGCTAAGCTGGGCATGTATGGCCCAATGACGAGGACCTCACAGGAATGGTATCCATCAAGACTGCTCTGTAAGAGGTTTAATGTCAAACCACCTGCCCATGTTCAACCAGGTGCTACGGATCATGGCGAGGAAAATGTAGCACCGAGGAAGTCGGCGCCAGATGTGGTCTCTCAAAGCTCTATTGATGAGATGATGAGGGAGAGTTATCAGCAGAGACATCAAGGAGCGGGGGATACAAATGCTGAGACTGTCCCAGCTCCTGTCGCAACACCAAAAGAGGTCGTCGTGGTTGACGCCGACAGAAACGATGCACTAGAGGGTCAAAGGGCTGGCGAGGCCGTCTTTAAAGCCATCTTTGGAGATGATAGCGATGATGACTGAGGCATCTTTGAATAAATAAAAGCCCTTGTAGACGAAATACCAATTTTCCATGTACAGGAGGCAATGTTTGTCTAGGTACTTATTTATCTACTTCTGCACTAGCTCTATACCACCAAGCATTCACTTCTTCAGAGTTGGCCCAATGAAGTCGCTAAATAGGAACCGATAGATCCTATTCTACATTACATGCTTACAGTGCTTGCTAGTTTTGATCTTCCCGATATTTCGATGATTCAAACTTCCAAATCTCGCTTCACTTTACTATTTTAGACCACCCGCTTGCTTCCACGGTTCGAACCAAACAACCAGCTCAACCCGTCGGCCCACTACCATCGTCCAAGGGAGCAACTGACGTATTGCCATAAATTTCTCAGAGTGATGCCACTACACCAGTCCAATGTACTAGCTCAAGGCACACACAAATTTCTCTGCTTTCCTCATCCTGTACCCTCATTCATATCTCATCTCATAGATTCCCCGATATTATGTTCATCGCCAGCCATTTTGTTTAGAGTTAAGATCGCAGAGATCTTGTAGGCAACTATGATTAACGAAAGTTCACGGTCTGGCAAAGTGGCCAGTTTCAATATCTTCAAACGGTTTGTCATCTCCTTCTTTTCAGTTAATCCCATAGAATAAGCCATAAAGAAACATCACAACTAACTCAACTCCCCAACATAGCATACATCTCCGCCGTACCTCTAGAGACAGCAAGAGCACAAGCACATGCACCAATCCCTCAACCACCAACCCAAGTCCTTTCGATTCCCACACAGATCTCAGCTCAGCAGACTCCTCCTACTCACTCACTACCGCTACCCTCATAACCGCGATACAATCCTCGCTCCTCGGAACTCCAGCCGAGGACCGCGTATCACACATCGAAGCCCTCCAGAAGCTTCTACACACCCTCACACTCCCTCTCCCTCTCCCTGAAGACGGCTCCGAATCCAAAGACAAAGCTAAAACCAAGTCCAAGTTCAAGTTCAAGTCCAAGTCCAAAATCAAACCCAACACCGATACCGATCCCCTAACAAGCGACCACCTTTCGTCCCCATCCTTCTACCAAAAAGCCTACAACTACCTCACCAGCGGTCACAAAACCGACAACCTATCCATAGCACACATCCGCGAAAGCACATGTGTATACTGCTTCATAGCCAGCAACAGGCCCGTCCACAAGCCGAACCCAAAATCAAAATCCAACAGGAAAGCTCCTTCTCAATCTCATCCAGATCCCAGAGAACAAGAACAGACAAAAGTGCTCTTCATGAGCAACATCGAATCTGATGTTGTGGATGTTGAAGGCTGGAGGAGAGGAGATGATTGCTGGTGTGGTGGTGTTGAGAGGAGGGAGAAAGAGCGGCTTGAGAGAATTGAGAGGGAGAAGATTGAGCGGGCCGAGAGCACTGAGCGGGCTGAGAGAGAAAGGGCGGAGAGACTTGAGATGAGGAGAATGCAAGCGCTTCAACAGGAGGGGATGCGGGATAGAGAGTCAAAGGAAGATGGTAGTAGAAGGAGGATGACGGAGAGGGAGATGGAGATGGAGAAGGAGAAGGAAAGGGAGAGGCAGGAAAGAGAAAAGGAGAGACAAGTTATTCGTGACTGGACTACGAACGGATCTGGGAAGCTGTATAGAACCTCAGGAACGAACAGCCAGGTGAACGAACCACACAACGAAGGCGCAAATGGAAATCAAGACCTACCACACCACACATCCCCATCACCAACACCAACAACCTCATCATCATCAACCACATCCCAAACACCAGACTCAGCATCCGATAACCCCACCACCCACCCAACACCCTTCCCCGTCCCCCGCCGCTACGCCCTCAAACCCTACGAATACGAACAGAAGCCCGGCCTCGACGGCTACAGCGCCGACGATGAGCGACAAGAACGTTTCGGCGAAGATCATAACCGATACCTGTCACAAATCCAAAAAGAGGAAGAAGCAGACGCAAAAGCAAGACGCGAGCGACACCTCGAAAAATTCAGCTCAATGCTCGGACCAGAGCACGACGTAGATCGCGGGCGCAGAAGAGAGCGGACTGGGTACGGCGTGCCATATAATAACAACCCCAACAGTCCCAGCAGGAGCGTAAACGGTACCAATACCAATACAAACCACCACCCGCGGCCGGCAGGACACAACGCAGGAACAGGATCGTATCCATCTCCTTCTCCCTCTCGCTCCCGCTACATCAACACCCACCCCTCCTCCCAAAACAGAAACAGAAATAGAAATAGAAACAGAACACCCAGGACTCTAGACCGGTATATCGGGACCGGGACAGGCTCATCGTCGTACATCTCGGCTTCGCGCTCGTCTTCGTACGCTGGTATGCGTAAGGGAACAGGGTTCCACTCCTCGTCGTATATCGCTCCGGTCCGACTCCTCCTCTTCCTCCTCCGCCAAGGAACGGTAGTACGAATGCAGAGTCGAAATGAAATGAAATGAAATGCAGACTTGACGGGAGCTTTATAAAGTCGGCCGGCTTTCAATATAAAGAAATGTCGAGGTAACGAGTCGCGTTCGCGTCCTCGAGTGATATTATTTTTTACGAAGATCGAATCAGTACCCGGTAGCCGGTCGTATCGAACGCCGCCGCCAGGAGACGAGAACAGACCATGGCGGAGCGGAGCTACCGTGCTGTACTAAATATACGGGACGGGGACGGGGACGGGCCAACAACATGCGTGGGTAGGTAAGCACTTGTGTTGAGGCATTGATTTAGTGCATGGCTGGCTGGTACCTGACCGTTATCCGTCACCTAAAAGAGAGTTTGAACTTTATTTTAGATAAGTTACCAGATAAATCTACTGCCGTGCTTACTGTACCAACCGTATTATTATTGCCGGAGCGCCGGGAAAAGGAATGTACCAATAGGAAAGTTCGGGTCGAATCCGGCAAGGGGTTTGATTGTATGTAAATTAACATACCTGCATATATTGGTAGCACAAAGCAAGAAAATCTAGAAAGAAGAAAATCGTATTCTATTGCTGGTCTGATCTCGTCTTTTCCTGTAGCTTTCCTGGTATAGTACTGTACAACATCGACAAGTTAACCCACCATCTAATAAACAAAAAAAAAGCACAAAATCGTAATTCCTATATCGCAACGCAGCACAAAAAATCATTCCCAGTGTCCATGGAGGAACTCCCCGTCATTCAAGACCCGCTCCTGACATTCCTTCATGAATCGCGCCTGTCGTCCCACCTCCTCTAATCTACTCAGAACCTTGCCATTGCACTCCACAAACCCGTACACCTCGTACTTAACACCCACCTCCTTCGACCAGACCTTGACCTCCTCGCTTGCCTGGCGCAGGTTGTGTCGGGGCAAAGTCGGGAACAGGTGATGAATAGTCTGGAACTGGAGACCGCCGTGCATCCAGTCCAGCCAAGCCGGGCAGTCGACATCCATAGTCGTGCGCAGCTGTTGCAAAGCCCATGGCTCGTTGCGACCAGGCGTGATGGTCGACATGGCGAAGTGGGAGAGTGTGAATTGAACGTGTAGTGGCATGGTGACCATGTGTGAGATCATGAGGAAGAGGAAGCGCTGCGTCCAGGTTGGGATGGAACACCACATGATTAGGTAGCCGAACCAGAACCAGAAGAATACTTGGCCGGAGAGCTCGTAGAATCGGTGCCATCTGTTGGACTTGGGTCCCTTGTCCATGAAGATGAATTCCAGAGAAAGCACGTAGAGGTTGAAGCGTCCGAAGCAGAGTAGTGGATAGTATAGGTACTTTTGGTACGGTATGACGGCTTGGGCGAAAGAGTTGTAGGCCATGATACGATCATGGTATGTGGAGTACAGGGATTTGAAGAACTCGGTTGAGACGGCCATGAATGGAAGATGCTGGATACCTTCGTCGTGAGCTGGATCGTTTGTCACGATATGGTGGATGTTGTGGGATCGTTTCCACCAACCCATTGATAGACCACCCAAGTGATTGCCGATGGTCATACCGATGAGAGTGTCGATGTGGTAGTTGTGAGTGATACCTTTATGACCAGCATCGTGGGCAATGAAGACCATTTGATGCCAAAAGCCACCCATAAAGAGCGATGAGGTGACATACCAGCCTTTGTGGAGAAGGAAAATCATGGTAGCAAAGATAATAGTCAGTCTCGTGATGTCACTCATGTAGGCCCAGTAGTTGCAGTTGTAGAGACCTCGATCCTCTAGCTTGACGATGAGATTGCGGAATGATTCAGCAATGGCGTCAAGCTTTTCTTGGTCCATTGGCGGAGCGGATTCGGTTGGTTCTGATGTCGGCTCGGGAAGCTTGGTGTCTCTCTGAATTTCAGTCTTCGGTGGAGCAGTACTTTCAGCATCCGAGACTGATGAGCGGGAAGAGATAGAACCATTCCGAGTCCGGCGGCGAGTTAGGGCTGGACTGACGAGGTCGTCGTCAAAAATATCAGAAAGGTTTGCTGAGCTGCTAAGAGATTCCGTCTCGGAGCTGTCGTCGATTTCTATCTCGACAGTTTCCTTGGTCTCTTCTCCATATCCTCTTTGCAATGGTGGAAGGACATTCTCCCATCGGTTTACAAGAACACCAATCTGATAGCGAAGCATTTGCTTCCTCACATCGGCAGGATGGAATCTTCAAGATTGACAAGTCTCAGCATCATGATTTCAAGATTGGCTGTACATAGGCAAACTTACGCAACGATTTCATCGCTTGCATCTCTACCAACCATATGTAGGATACATTTATCTCCTCCTGGATGATATTGCAACCACGAATCCAACTTCAAGACTTTCCGATCGAGAATAACGATTGCGTGACCATCGTCGATCAGCTGATTGACCTCTACAGGACACAGTACGGTCTCTCTTTTGGACGGCGCCATGTTCAAAGGAATGTGAATGGCAGCTCGGAGAGTTATGAATGCGCAAACAGGAAAAGAGCGAAGAGAAGGCGAAAATCACAAGAGAAAGCAACAAACCCACCAAGAAAAGTCAAGGCCGGCAACCTCCTCATATAAGAGCAGTTTGTACCCCTAAGCCAAGGACTGAAAAGCACGATCTTTTGAAGGAGGACCCGAATGGGGAAGGTGTTCATTGAGATTGCGCCCCAGAGAGAACCCTGCATGTTACGCGGACCCTGCCCCCGACAGGCCGAGAACACCCAAAGTTCTGGGGAATTCAGAATTTCAGGTATTTCGATATCCATGGGAAACTTGGCGTGCAGAGATCGCAAGATTGGGTGCGTCTGGATTAGACCTATTGTGGACCGCATAGTTCTGTCGAGGTGCTCGGATATGGCAATTCGTTGGACCCCTATTTGGACCCCTGGTGAGACCGACCCCATCAGCTGCCGAAAGCCAATTTGCTGGAGACTCAGCTCAGATAAAGAAAAGAGGCAATTCTTGTGTTCCAAAGCCTAAATAAGAACGGGGCTTCCCGAGGCAAGCAAGGTCTGTAAAGTTGAGACTGTTGACCCCCCCCCTGATCAACCCGAATCTTGATTTGAGTGTAACACTTGGCAACCAACTTTCTGGAAATTGCCTCGGGCGTTGATGGCACGACTTTAGCCACAGGCAACTTTTAGCATGTGTATGTGGCAGAACCCCGTCGAGCATGCGCTTCCAAGACATGATAGTCGTTTTCGATACGCCACCATGAGTTGTGTTCATGTGTAAACAGGCCGGCCGGCCTATCGCACTTGATGGTCGAAAAGGGTTTGGCGGCTATTTACATTTTCGCGAAACGAGTACGGTAATCGACGGGGGTCTGGAGAGTGGATTCAACAGATGGGCTGTGCATGGACAGGGACGAAAGAATGAACACCACGCATCGTGATTGGGTGAAAACATCGGATGAATGAGAAAATTTGTCCGTGTTGGAACTTTGAGCTTGAAGTTTCGCCGACATAGGACGCCAATAATGAGCTGACAGGCTGTGACAGCGGGAGGAATAAATTCACGAGCCTGGCCGCTCGGCGACTTCTTCACCGGATGGATTCGTCTGCTCGTATCGTTTCATCGTATGGCGAGCTCTTGCGTACTCCTTGAGGCAGGAATGGTGCCCTTTCAATCATCCTGCGTTACCTCTTGATCTCATGCAAAGACCGACATGTGTGGAGTCTCGTAAGGTGGTCGTAATGCGGCACGGGTGATTGCGTGGAAGCGAATTAGGGACGGGATCACGGAGATGGGGGTCGGTCCTAAAAATCTTGGAACGGATTGCCGTCTCAATGAAGGTTCTGGTGAGGTGATCGAAATGTTGAGACCAATTGAATATGCAGCATAATTCGCTGCTAAGTTGTAAACCTCGATCGATAGGTGCGCATCCATCCATGGTCCGCAAAGCTCCGCATTTCGATACAAATGCTCCAATCTCATCCTTCGAAGCAGGATATGAAGGCAATGAGGCGTTCACGATGTTCCTCCTTTTCTCAAGCTCTAGTCGTTGTGGCGAGTGCGACGCGCATCTTCCTGGTGGGTCTATGTCAACTGTTTATCGCGTCTTTCCCATGGAGAGAAAGTCCATGCAAAAGTGCATACTCAAAGTCCTCTAGATATGGTCCTCGCAGGCCATGAGAAAAATGTATGTCTTCTTGATCGAACTGAAAAATATATCCTGAGGCAAAACTCGACAAATGTGAGGTACTGCCATTGAAATAACACGAATAAGGTCAAGCTGGATACAAGAGAAAGTTGAACAAGTAGCTTCGGCGACTGGCACTACACCAATATTCCCACTGACGAATTCAAGTTCTAGAAAGCTAACGGTAGCTGCTTGGTTACACCAAACATAATAAGTAAAAAGATAAGCAACAACATGACTGTAGCTGGGGTAACACAGAGGCAATGGCTTTGGAAAGGTCAAAGATATGCTCAATACAGAAGAAAACATGCGTGATAATCGAGATGGAAGAACAAAATGGTCTTGAACTCGTGGCACAATGACTCTCGCCACAAATGGTCTTTGGGCTGGTGCACTAGACATGTGCCGAGATCCTCACTCGCAGACAGGAATCAAATCTAACCGTATGAAAGGGACATACTCAATGACTGACAGCTCACCTTCATCTCCGACATCAACTTTCAGAAGTTTGCATTGTATGCCTGGAAGCCCTAGATGATGTTGCGGATACATGGTCTCGGGGAAAGAGCAGGACAGGATGATCCAGGTCAACATGTCGCTTCCAGGAACATCCGCTCGATTAACGGCAGGAGCTATTAGAAATGGTGGACTGCCTTCCCATTTTGAAGGAACTCAGAATCGATTTGAACTGAGAGAAGGCCGAAAGTGTCGAGTGTTCGAGGTAGGCCAGCATCAAAGGTTCATGATGCATAGCAAGGCGGGGTGGCGATCTGGGGATTTACCGTGCAAGGAGTGACCAGGAACTGAAAGCAGGGATGTCGATCGTGGAAGGTGAAGTCTAAATCGTTCGTTACCAGTCCCAGTCCTTAGGGATCGTAATTTTGGATCTAAGACATGGAAATGCTTTTTCAGTCCATGGGGTAGTGAGATTCGAGAGAATGGAGGGGTGCCGGAAGGTAGATATGTGGGCTAGTGCTGGCATTGGCGAACGGTCTTCGGAACTCTCGGATCAAAAACACTTCGTGCCCAGGTTTTCGCGTCTTCGTTCTTTTTGAACATCTTCAAACCTCCAAAGTAAAGTCTGGGACAAAAACTTGCGCATCTCGATGTCTACTCGAAGTCAGCGCTGTCTCTCGGTCGTCCCATCAGGGGCTTCTCCTGGATCTGGAACCGAGCTGACCCTCAGGTTCTTGAATTGTCAACACAACAAACAACATCGCGTCCAAATAGGCTTTCGGAAAGCTCCCGAAGTATTTCAGGTGAATGAAGACTGGGAAATGGGGAATAAGACAATCATACCGTCAATTCATGCTCTTCCGGACTTCCCGCTGCGAAGTAGCAAAGGAACCGCTTCAGAACGACAAGTGAACCGAAAGGCGTGTTGGGTCGCGCCGGACGATGTCTGCCAAATCTGACGATGATTTCATTCCGCTGGAGTCTTTCAATGAGTATTGTGTATGGTTCTTCGAGTATCAGAAAAGTTGGGGAGAAGTCCGATATTTAATCTAGGACTTAAGATCCGATCAGGAGTCACTTAGTAATCCCCGGCACGCTTTACCGTAACAAGAAAATGCTCAGCATTAATGACAGAAGACTTGCAACTAACTCATTTGGCAAATAGAGAAACGGTCAGATAACTTCTTTGCTTCATATTTATCATGATCCTGACCATAGGACAGATATCGATTTTCCGCTCAGAGCGCACTCTATGTTCACGCTCCTCGAGCCTTTCGCTCTTTCCTTCGGATATCGGCACCGAAAAGGGGAACTTCTTTTCCGGGGTCAAGTTCTGGGGTCAAGTTCTCGGCATTTCTGAGTCGTAGCAATATTTCATGTCATGCTCTCGTTGGCTGAGCATGAAAATTGCTCTGGGGGATAATGTGTGAGTTGTTTACCTTCGTGCTGATCGCTCCCAGTCGTTCTAATGCAGGAGAACTCCTCCGTACCATATCCAAGACAGCAGTCTCACCCACATTTTCTCTCTCATTCTCCCAGCTTTCATACTCATCCCACCACCATTGGTGCGTCACCCCATCCCTTCCCAGATATCCAGCGATACCGTCACTCCCTACACGTTTGCTCCAGGGCTTGTCCACAATATAATGCAAGTTTCTGATCTCCTCATCCCTCCACATTTCCGGATGCCAGTACCGCATTGTCTTCAGCGCGTTGTATTGGTAGCCAACAGCTTGCCACTTTCCCCGAAAGAACTCAGCGAGAAAATCCTGGTCAGGGAACATGAAGTCCTTCACAAGCGGTGAGGTTTCCAGAAACTGGAGCATATCTGTCCACAGCTGCTCGTACGGAGAGCATATGAAGAGTCCACTATTGAGGAGGGTATGCGTCCTAAGACCTTCCCCACCTCTTGGAACACGAACGGGATTGTCCAGACAAGTCGGATGGGTGAGACCAGTATACGCACAGTTCTCCTTGACCCAGTCGCCAGGAGCCCATTCATCTTTATCCAGATTACACACACAGCAATGATTTGCAGCAATCCAATCTTTCCCCGGCAATTCGAGATCAAAGAGCTCATCCATGTTGCGGAAAACCAACATATCTGCATCGAGAAAAACCAGCTTGTCATAATCAAACAATTCAAAAATACGCAATTTAGTCCAGGTATCCTCGAATCTCGCTGCTATCAAGTTTCTCTGTTCTTTTGGAACCAGAGGTTCCGTTGGTCTGAGAATTGCATTGCTGAGTGATGCTTCATGGCGAAGTGCTGGGAGGCATTCCTTCGGCAAGCTCGGAGTGTAGAGAATGATGAGTGGATAGTTTGACTTGTGCTTTTGGAGGCTATGTGCAAGTAGGACTGCTCCTGCGATGTAGTTTGTCCGAGTCAAGAGAGTCACCCAAGCCCGGCTAGGAAGTTTCGCTGCAGGACTCATGGTGATAGTCTGATTGCCATATGCCACTTTCTGTAATCCGTGACAGAATCATTTTTTCTCTCATTTTATCTTGTTATACCATGAAAGCGGCTAGTGCGTAGCGGAGAAATCGACGCATCATCAATATAAAGCAGATGCCTCGCTTCGCTTACGAAACCGAAAGACGTAAAGACTCAAAAGCCGGTTTCTACCCGCAAGTGTCTCCTACTGTAGCTTGTCTGCCAAATTAGCTCAAACTATTGAACGGCATGATGAACTATTATCACCTGATAATATTCCCGCCGTGCTTGAGATAAATAAATGGATCCTTCTTGGGCAATTTTTGACAACCTCCATCGTGGAAGAAGAAAAGAGCTGTCTTGACTTACTCCCCGAAAAAGCCTCACATTGTAATTAAATTCCTCTTTTTGGTAAGCACATAAGAACCATCAGACAGCTAAGAATGTTTTGAAGAGACAGCAAGTGCTCCAATAAGGGGAACAACTTCGCAAAAGGCATTCGACGGTAAAAGTCACACGCATCTCAAGTATCGATACAAAAGTGCAATGGCTTTGGCAGCATTCTTACTCCTGAAAGTGTTTTTGGCTCAAATCGATCAGACTTCAGTATTTGCCTTCCATGAGCTCCATATGTGCATGGTAATATGTACAGGTAGAATACCACCACAAACGCATCCTTCCCGGGCAGCCGTGAAATGGAGCAGTTGGCAACTTTCACAGACTCCTCAACTCTATGCCCACATTTACACAACCTTGATAGTGTATGCGGAGGTTGTGAAGACAACATTTGAGCCTAGAAACTTCAGCATTGCAAAAGCACACGGGAACCTGAGAGAAGAACTAACCTGTGAAGGGCTCGGTACCAGACTGCAAGCTGGTGACAACAGCAGAGGTGGAAACACCCTGGCTGCTGGTCAAGTAGTTGAAGAATTGCTTGAGATCGCCGCTAAAGTTACCAATGTTGGATGGGGCAACGAAAGAGAAGACAGTGGTGTCGCCGTTTGGTCCCTTGAACAGCTTCCAGGTAGTGCCCAAAATGGTAGGGCTAGCGATGGGAACAGCATTTCCGGCAGCGTTGTAGGTCGACGAGATTGGACCAGCTCCTCCGTATGATCCTAGCCAGACCATGATCTCGTACTGGTTGTTGGCTCCGACTGAAGGGGCGAGCCAGAGGTCATAGGACACATCGGACACGACGTTGGAACCGGATTGTCTGTGGGAAATTAATATTGCTTCTCGCGGTTCGGAATACTGATGTAATCTCACCTCCATGTCCATGTTGATGGAATGGACGAGATAGCTGAGAGCTGCTTGTTCACCTTCTCGAGAGCAACGTTGGAGTAGGACTTGACCTGATTAGCTCCACCAGCCCAGGTCCAAGTAGTTGACCAGGAAACTGAGCCTAATTTTTGAATCAGTATAAGTTCTTGAATATCTAGAGGCCAATCCATGAAGGCCTGAGACCAGACTTGGAACTTGCTTACCGGCCGAGCTGATTGAGTTGAAAGTGGTGCACTGAGAACCAGAAGTGGCACTCCCAGAACCCCAAGTGTTGTGATAAACTGTAAGTCCACCAGTAGCAACTGTGCCCCAGTTTCCACACATAGTAGTAGCACGCTTCTCAAGCTCCGTTGGAGTTGGAGTTGCCACAACTGTGGCAGCCAAAAAGGCAGAGACAAGGGAGATGCTGAACTTCATGATGACGATGTAGAAATGACTTCGGTACTGAAAAGAATGTGTTTGAGAAAAGCAGGAAATGAACGAGTGTAAGTACGAAGTCAATGAAGGCAACGTAGGAGTCAACAGCTGATGGGCTGCAGAAGAATTTCCTTGGTGGGAAATAGGTACTTTTATACAAACCGGTGCCTGCGGAATAGCCTCACTTACCTGGTCAAAACAAGAAGTGCGGAGTAGCAAACGCCGTCTCAGATATATTCGAATTGGCTGAGAGCCATTGCTTCTAGAAGAAAGAGGGGTCGAATTGTTGGAGTTTTGATCCATAATTCCTCATGCGGGCAGATGCCGAAATTCAGATCGATCAGGCGAGTGATCGTCGCATGGAAAAGCTTCTTGGAATAGATGAAGGGCTCAGCTCGTTTCCGCCAATCAGGGATTTTCTGGTAACGAACCGAATATTTTTGAGTTCTGAATATCTCCACCTGTTAAATGATTGGCTTCGGAAATCGGGTCCCAGGTGTTTGAGACAAAGGCCGAGATCTCAGGGGATTGTGGATGCTGTGGTAATCTGGTGCAAGATAGAATCTGGCTTGCGGCTCTTTCTTGCTTTCAACGTTGCACTTCAAGAACTTCAAAGCTACACTTTGTGTCTCATTTATGGCGCTCGACTGCATTATGACATGCATGATACCGAAGATCTGGTTCACGAATTTGCATCGGAAAGTATTGTAGGTGGCTTCGGAATTGCCGTCTCGGCAGCGGAGGTGCTTAGCTGTTTGATCCAAGCTCCACTAAGCCACCCGGAGTCAATTAATATAGAATAGCCTCCAAAATAACGGGGCCGCTGTTTTTCGCTACCAAATTTCTTCCATACGTACGGAGGTATATCAGCTAGCTGATACCGAAGTTTGTTGACATTGTACAAAGCATCATCGAATGAATCATCAGGGTAAGCGAACCAACATTCCAATTCATAGCTCAGGTTTTCCGTTTCAGCAGCCCCTTAAAGAAGTCAAAGCTATTGCTGTCACTCTGCAGCTCCCAGATCTTGCCCGTCGGTCGATCTTCCCAGCCCAATTCTTCCGCTGTGAGCAAACCCCAGTCCCTCGTGATACCCTTCACTCGGGCCCTGACCCCACCTTCTGCCTCCAAAGTCACAATTTGATCGGTATGTAGCCAGTGCTTGTAATATGTCTCTTCCAATTTCTGGTCGAATCCTGTTCGGCAGAAACCTTTGTAAATGGTTTCAAACTTGGTGAGAATCCTCGCAAGCAATTTCTCGAGTGTGAATGGCGTCAAGCCGGGGCCTAGCAACGCGTTGAGGGATGTCGTCGGTGCCGTGTTGGTGGTATTGAGACCAATGCCTACGACAAGATCATAACTCCCAGATGAGTAAGAAGAGTTGACTAAGATGCCACCAATTTTGACGTATTCTTTCTTGCCTGGTTTCGTAGGGTCCTGCGCGTCTTTCCATCGTTGTTAGTACAATCGAACAAACACATAATTTGCGAATCAAGACTTACAAATATCGTTGGGCCACTTGAGCTTGACTGGCACATCTTGGAAACCTCGGTCATATGAATGAATACCCTCAGCAATAGCGATCGCAGCCAGATACTGGATGAACACTACAGGTGCAGTGTTACTTAATTCCATGGGATGCTTCATCGTGGTTGAGAAGATCAAACAGCCTGCTGGCGAAACCCAGACGTTGGAGCCTCGACCTCGACCGGCTACCTGAGTAGTGGCTGTGACAGTAAACCCTGGCGGTAAGGTAGAAAGAAGCTTAGGATTCCTAATCCGTATCAGCATTGAAGAGAGTACGCATACTTAGCATGACTCACTTTTCAAGCAGAGTGTTTGTACTAGTCACAACCTCACCATATATCAGATATTTTCCATACTCTTCTGCTTCGCCTCCCCTCTCTTCTTGGTACTTTTTCAGGTTCGCGTAGAATGCATGATGATTGAAATATGGCGTCTCTTTTGTGCCAGGCCATTCTGTCTCATGCGGTATAAGACGCTTCATGATGGCGTTATAGTCGACAATTCTGTCATCAGATGCACCATCGACTTGATCAGCCACAGGCTCTTGTCCTTTAAAAACACCAGGTAAAGGGAGGGCTTTGGCAATTTGGTTTAGAGACCAGCGAGACTCTTGTTTTTCCAAGTGGAATGTATCATTCTCTCCTTTGATGTACTCCTCATCATCCTCTCTTGTGATGATATCTTCCCAAGAGGCTAGTAGCTCTGGGACCAGATAGTGATACATAGATGAGAGATGTAGACGAGAAAGGGATGGTACCGAGGATGTCTCTTCGCTCACTATCAGCCCAAATTTGGCCAAACAAGCCTTCAAGAAGTTGACGCGGGACTCATCGTCCTCCGCTAAGTCTTTGACAAGCGCCGGGTAGTTTGGGACATTTGGTTTTGGATCAAGGTTGACCGCGGCAAACCTGCATATTGTTAGAGTGCGTCAATGGTCGATACACCGAGGCGCGATCAACTCACTCTGGATGGGGTCCGGTCAATATTGCTCCCCCTTCGCCAACTTTGCAGTAGACCACAGCGGCTGGGCCTCCTTCAACATCCACATCGGCTGAATAGTTGGCAAGAACCTCAACACCTTTCTCCGTAAGAGACTTTGCATCAACGAATATTCCGCCGCCATTGTAATATGACCGGAACGTTTGAGGAACCACACCAGCCTTGAAAGCTTCCTTGTCAACTTTCACTTCTACTGCTTTGGCACCAGCTTCGCTGTGATATACGAAGCCTTTGAAAGCGCATCCCCGACAAATTCCCGGGAAGAAAGCGAGTTCTCGATTGCCGATGACTTCCAAGACTTTATTTCCTACTTCGAACTCGCATTTTGAGCTTCCATAGTAACCTCCTGCACAGAATCCAAGGTACGAGCCACCTCGACGGACGAATTGTTCAATACGTCGATTGCCTTCACCATTCAGAGATCGACAGTAGCCCATATCAGCACCTCCGGGAAACACCAATAGAGCACATGAGGAGGTCCATGGCTCTTTGAGAATCACGTTGTCAGTCACGGGAATGACAGCGTAGTTGGGTGAAAGGAGACGCCGTAAAGTGTAGAGGCAATGCCTCACTGATTCAATTGTACTGCCATTGCCTAGAAACGTCAAAATGATTGCTTCAAAATTCAATTGTTCATTTACCTGAATAGACCAGGACATTCATCTTCCTCGTCGCCATCTTTGGGCTTAGTATGTAGTGCAACCGAGCTCAGCCCAAACGATATCTTAGAATCTCCTGATCCTCTCAATCACGACATCAACAATGTCGAAGTCAGAGAGCGACTCGAAAGTGGCGGCGGCGGTGGAAGATGACGATGAGCCGGATGAATGGTGAGATTCAAGCCCTCAACAGTTGGGCTTGCAACCACTGACAGAGGAATTGTAGGGACAAGCGTATCTTCAGCACTGGCTGCGCTGGTGAGTCGTGCAGTTTGAGGACTTATATCAGTACAGCTTCTCATGCAGACACAGCGGAGAACACCAAAATGACGGACTGCTATTGGGAGAAGAAGGATTGGAGACTTTGCAAAGACGAGGTGAGGAAGGAGGCTTTCTCCAATTAGCGATTCCAAGCCATATCACGTGTACATGGAAACCATTTGATGCTTTACTGACGCCGTTGGAATGATTTATAGATGGAGAACTTCAAGAAGTGTTGGAAGCAACATCAGAATGATAAGAGGACTGATTCGAAGGATGCTTAATGTGGCGGCGCAATGCCTCGGTGGCCGATGTTGAGGGAAGTTCGGCGGGTTGTCAGATCATTTGTAGTTATAGCAATACCTCTCTGCTCTATGCATGAAGAACTGAGACTAAATTATCTCCGCTCAAAATACCAATTTTCGATGCTTGATGTACAATCCAGTCATTCTCGTGACGTCGACTATGTGGCTCGGCAGATCGCGACCTCGAGGTGCATCGCGAACTTCACGTCAACCCTCACAAAGCTGCATCAACGATGGCGACCTCAATACCCAGAGCAGCACGCTCTGCCCTGACGAGGAATATCTCACCAGCTATATCTAGGCAGTCGAGCTCAACCGCATTACGGTCAAGAAACGCAGCGAGCTCTGTGCGATGCCTCTCAACAACTCCCCAATATGCAGCTGTCCCAGCATCAAGCTATACCCGTAAGACTGTCGATGCAGCAAAGCCAGCACCCCCACCACCAACAAAGCAAGACTCTATCGATGATCAATCGCCTATAAAAGACATGGCTGGTGGTCTCGCAGACGAGCCACTGATTCTCGACGAAGAAAGCAGGCAGGTAGACTGGACGAGGTCATTCCACGGCCTCTCTGCACAGCCCTTCTCGAAGGAAGCTGCAGAGATTCTGTTGGCATCGATCCCAGCAGACGATGTAGAAGTCAAGCCAGATGGAATTATATACCTACCGGAAATCAAGTACAGGCGGATATTGAACAAGGCTTTTGGTCCTGGTGGTTGGGGTCTGGCGCCTAGAGGAGAGACAATTGTTACGGGGAAGAGTATCACAAGAGAATATGCGCTCGTTGCCCATGGAAGGTAGGGAAACCTTTCAAATTTGGTACGGATAGCTACAAGTACTAATATAATTCCTCTGCAGGTTAGTATCTGTTGCGCGAGGCGAACAAGATTACTTCTCGCCCGAAGGCATTCCAACCGCCACCGAAGGTTGCAAATCGAACGCACTCATGCGCTGCTGCAAAGATCTTGGCGTAGCTAGCGAGTTGTGGGATCCTCGATATATCCGGAAGTTCATGAAGGATTATGCAAAACAGGTCTGGGTCGAGCATGTGCCAACAAAGAAGAAGAAGCAGATGTGGCTGAGAAAGGATGACGAACCCAGATACCCGTTCAAGGAATCCAAGTTTGGTGCATAGAGTACTGGGATAGCGTGGAGTTCTGGTATGTGTAGAGAGTGGGATTATATTTCAAATTATTGTACGATACATGTACAGTACATACGGAAGAGGGAATACCAATAAATCACATCTCCTTCAGGCAGCCCTATCAGCCGTACATTGCTGGACCGTTTCAAATCGAACGGTTTATGATATTCGAATTTGGGCACGGGTAGTGTGCATCAGTGCCACAGCTTCTCGGTCACCGAGCTCATGAACCAGACATTAGCATCAACCAGAAACCCGAATGTTGGTAGAAACGCCAGACATTCAGAGGAGCAGGTCTCGTTCTCGCCCTTGATAGAATGATGGAGAAAGATCCTCCGGCTTCTCATTCTTTCTGTATGTATGGTGAGCTCATGTATCCATCAGGATCCAGGTCAGTTTCAGTAAGCCTGACAAGAAACAACGACTCACAAGCACTTTCAACGACCTCTTCTCGAGCCTCAATCTATTTCCAGATCATCCCCACTCAGTGGAAGCAAGGCTTCTTCAAATCCTGTTGAAAGCTGACTGCATTTCATTGGTTCTGCGATGCGGTCGTTGCTGGACCCATGCCCCGTTGGATAGCCTTGGAGGCTGATGAGGCAAGGACCACAGCCTCACAGTACTGGGCCGCATCCCTCGTTCCACGCAAATAGCGATTCGAAGAAAGATGTGTGTTGATTTAAGTATGCCGCTCGTGGCTTCCATTGAAATTTCATGTACGTTCAGTATTTTTCCAATTTCCTTCCTTTCTTAAACTGCGTGTGCGTGTTTACATCTTACAATCTTTCCCAAAACACCACAATGCCTGCAAACGTAACAGGACTCGAGGGCACTGCATCCAATATCACATCTCTAGATCAATGTACGGTCGAATTATGCTCACTCGACCACGCCATCCTCAGATATGTTCCCAATTTTGGAGCTAATATCGCATTTGGAAGCATTTTCATTACTCTTCTCATAGCGCAGGTTATCTTATGGTTTCGCTCGCGAACACACAGCTACACGATCTCCATGTTCTGTGGCTTGATCTTAGAAATCGTTGGATATGCGTTCAGAATAGTGATGAGGAAACATATGTTTGATGATTGGCCGTTCCTCGTGTAAAGTTTTTTCCCACCAGACAGTCGCTTTTAATATACTGACTCTGTTAAAAGTCAAATCATCTCTATCACAATCGCACCAGTATTCTTCACAGCAGCATTACACCTCACTCTCCCCCGAGTACTCGTCCACTTCGGCGTCCACAATTCCCGCATCTCACCTAAAGCCTACACCATATGCTTCATCGCTGCCGATGTCCTCGCCTTAGTCCTTCAATCTGCAGGCGGTGCTCTAGCCGAAACAGCCAACGATCGAGCTACGTCTAAGACTGGAACCACCGTCATGGTTGGAGGGTTAGCTTTCCAAGTTGCCAGCCTGGTTGTGTTTATTGCTCTTGCTGCTGAGTTCTTCTGGAGAGTGAAGGCAGATAGAAAACACATCCGCGCAACGAACTGGGCGTATGGCATGCCTGAGAAACCAGCAGGTGACATTGATGGGCTGAAGACTTTCTTATATGGTTCGTAAATTTCCCACCGTCATCCATAATCTGAAATGTACTGACAGCAAAGCAGCATTCAGCATCGCAACCCTCCTAATCCTCACACGATCCTGTTTCCGCGTCGCAGAACTCGTCAACGGCTTTCGTTCCAGACTCGCTAATAACGAAGTACTATTTATGACCCTCGAAGGTGGGATGATCATCCTCGCGACGCTGATCCTTACCGTCTTTCATCCAGGGAGATATTTCGGACGGGAGATGTGGGAGGAGGATGGGTGGGGAGGAGATCTACGAAATGGGAGAAGTAGTCCGGAGCTTTGGAAAGTGGAGAGTGCTGGAAGTAGTGTGCATGCGTCATATGAGAATGTTGGTCGGCCTTGGCCGCTTCGGCTGTAAATAGGGTGCAAGCGTTGGCCGAATTGCATCTTGATGGATGTTTCAGCGGGGGTTCGGAGTCTGGAGTTCTGGATACGAGATACAGGAAATTCGCTTTCATTTCGTGGGAGTCGAGTAAGAGCAAGTTACGGGTTTCAAACGCTGGATATTACAACGTTGAGTGATAGGAAGGTCGGCTGTATGGAGTAAACGAGCTTTCGCTTACAGCAGTGCGAATCTCTCGAATTGTTGATAAAATACTTTATGTTAAGATGTTGCGGAGGCAAATCTATGTAAACCTCAGCTTACCATCGCCGAACCCTGAGAATACCATGTTCTCCCATCAAATATACGCCCCATCACTCAACCAACGAAGCAGCCAACATAACCAACCCCCCAAACCCATCCATCCCCAAACACCACTCCTCCCAATTCTCTCTCCCCCCCGCCGATCTCCTACACGACCCGAGCGCCTCATAAAGCAAAGCCGCATTCCCGCAATACTTCTGCCCTTCCATCAGCTTGACCAACTCCCCATCGCTAGCTAATCCAAACTCCTTTTGTGTCTGCGGGCTATCTAGCTCAGCTTTCCAGGCTATCTCGGTGGTGGCTTCCCAGAGTTGTTTCTTGGCTGGGAGGGGTGCGAGGATGAGATCCGATTGGAGTTCGCAGAGGCTGGAGGGCTCGAAGTAGATGAGCATGTTGAGGGCGCGGTAGATTATGGAGAGTCTATATAGAGAGAAATCAGTTAGTCAAATCTCGATTCGGATTGTTGGCTATCAGGGATGGAATGGGGTAACGACTTGCCTTCGTCTAGATTCCTCATGTAACCATGCCTCCCAGCTTGATTTGAGATCATGGCCCGAAGAGTCTAATTGATTAAAGCCAGGTGGTTTGTTCTGGGACAGTTGAATGTAAATGGCCTAAGTACGTTGTTGTCAGCTGGGTTGGATTGAGTGAAGACGGAGAGTTGCACTTACAATCACAGTGGTCACTAAAAGAGAGTCCAAGTTATTGTCGGCTGTCTCTCCTTCATCCAGTCGAATGAGCATGTAAATAGCTAACGCTTGCATGCCAGCAACGAGTTCCACACTGTCAAGTTCCCGATGCTACACCTATCTTCAGTGACTTCCTCTCAACTTTGTGAAGAACATACCTCTGCACACAAACGCTCACACTCCAACCTAACATTTTTCCAGAACAACTTCCTACTCCCCTGAATCCCACTACTAATCATATGCACCAAGCTAATACAATTAGTAAGCGGCTCAACATGCGAATAGCCCCCATCAGACGAAACCATTTTCGGGTGAATGAACGGCGGGAGCGTCCCCTGTCGCGACAACATAAGCGGAAAAGACTTCAGATTGTGGAAGAGGAGATTAGCTATTCTTTGCGTGCTGGGCTTGGGTCTTGGTCGGATGGTCAGGATTCGTATAGATGACGCTGGTGATGGTGGTATAGAGAAGTTGAATGAGTTTGTGGATTGGCGGGTTTGAAGGAGGTGGGTGATTGGACTCGAGGATCTTTGTGCTGGAGATGGTGGATCCAGGATGGGGTCTTGTTCGAAATCGTTGATGGTTTGAGTGTTTAGTAAGTCGGCGAAATTGAGGTGTGGGAGATCCCAGGGCTGGTAGATATCTCCGACGTTGAGAGAGTTGTGGTTTGATAGAATCTCATCTTGCTGAATCACCTGACCATAATGACTCTCTTCCAATTGCGTCTCAATGATGGGAGGCTCTGGAGCCAGAAACGAAGTTATATCTTGCTGTACAGTCGGGAAATTGTTTTGATGGATCTTCGGTAAGCTCTTCTCGGCGGCTTTCGTTGGGAAATGACACTCAATGCCATTGAGCATACACCTCGAGCAGGCCGGCCGCTTATTATCACAGCGTGCTTTCCTCTTGGCACACGATATACAAGACCGAACTCGGCTTGCTATTTTTTCACCTTTTCGAGACCGGCAATAGTATCCGTGTCTCTTAAGTGTAGATTCTTTTCAATAGATGTCAGCAAAGTCCAATGATGTTCAAGGAGCTGAATCTGGGATTGCTTCACCCACGCTTATCAAAGGGCTTGTTACACTGCCCGCACCTTAAAACATTTCCTTCAGACATTTTAGAATGAGAGCGGAGCAGGTTGGACTGTGTTCAAGATTGTTACTAGATGAAGTAGCGATGTCTATGTGCAAACAGGGTTGAGCTGCCACATTTGTCAGCAATACATAGGAGGCGGGCGGAACAAATTGTAAAATGCCAAGCATCCCGTCTTTGTCAATATCCTGAATTAAGCGAGGGCGGAACATTTTGTGTAGGACGTCGATTACAAAGACTTGGAATTTTTTCATCTCATGAAGATCCAAGTATGGTGACAGAATGGAGTTCATGGGATATTGCTTGTAGTTTGTAGTCAAGTAAAGATCAACAAGTATGGCTTCACAAATTGAAGAGCTCCGACAATTTCGCCTCTCAATTCAAGTATAAGTGAGAAGAGATTCCTCTCTCAAGTGTAAGTTCTTCATCAAACAGCTCAAACATTCTTCTTCCATCATCATCAAATAAGAAAAAATCCTCTTGAAATCCACACTTACATCCTCTCCCAACAATCCTCACACCATGGCCGCCCCCTTCCCATCCCCAACCCCAACCTGGCACGACAACACCTACCCATCCCTCTCCCCCAGCCGACCAGAACTCTCCGCCAAAGGGAAAACCGTCCTAATAACAGGCGGCGGCTCCGGAATCGGCGCCCGCACAGCCCTCTCCTTCGCCGAAGCAGGCGCGTCACGAATCGCCCTCCTCGGCCGCCGATCCCAACCTCTCCTCTCCACCAAATCCTCTATCCAGGAACAATACCCCCAAGTCGAAATCTCCACCTTCCCCACGGACATCACGAACCAAAAAGCAGTCCACGCCGCATTCGCCTCATTCCTCGGCAGCGATGGCAAACTCAACATCCTAATCAGCAACGCCGGCATGGTCGGGACTCAAGACCCCATAAAAGCCGTCGACGTCGACAAGTTCATGGAAGCAGTTGACCTCAACCTACGAGGGGCTCTGAACGTCGCTCAGGCTTTCCTCCAGTACGCAGCAGCAGATGCGGTAGTCGTCGAGACGAACTCGTCTGCTGCGCACGTGAATTTCAGTGACAAGTTTGGGGCGTACAGTGTTGCGAAGATGGCGTTGTTTAGGATGTGGGATTTTCTGGGGGCGGCGCATCCGGGGTTGAGGGTCTTTCATACGCAGCCTGGGGTGGTGGATACGGATATAAATAAGGAGTCGGGTGGTGTTGATGCGGTGGGGTTTCAGGATGATGGTGAGTCTCTTCGCTTTCCCTTCCCTCCTGTCTTTTGAAAGTGCAAATCAAAAATGAACGATGAACGAATAGCTGATCAAGGTTTGGTATAGTCTCTCTTCCAGCAACCTTCAATGACTGGCTCGCTAGTCCAAAAGCTCGCTTCCTGAAAGGTAAATTCCTGTGGTCGAACTGGGATGTAGATGAGCTCAAGGCCCAAAAGAAAGAGATTGAGGCGGGTAAACTTACAATGGGGCTTGTTGGGTGGCCGTTTTCACCTGAGAATGCTAGTTGGAAGGCGACTTGGAACTCTAAGGATGCTTATTAATAGAACTTGGGCTTTGATTATATTTCAAGCTGGTGGCAGCTGACTCGAGGTGTTGTTTAGGGTAATTATACAGGTTGAAATTTGAGTATTTACAACTCCTCATCCTCTTCCACTTCTGCGTAACTCATTCTCTTGCCTCGCGCTCTTCCGTTCTGTCTTGAAGACGCAGCTCGTTTCAACATCGGTTTCCGAAGCTGCTCTCCTTCACTCTCATCGTCATCAGAAAGCTCAGGCAGACTCAAGTCCTCGCTTTCCTCGTCATCCAGATTCGACACACTCGGCGTTGGGACACCCTTCGCTTTCTTCGTCGACGACTTTGTTACTGACTTCTGCTTAGGGGTAGATTTCTTGTTTGGCGTACTAATCGCTGGTACAGTCTTTGTGTTCTTAGCCTTCACAGCAGGAGTGGCATTCTCCCCCTCCGCATCTACAGCGGCACCCTCTTGCTCCTTGAGCTCATCCAGTACTTTCTTCACATCCTCTACGTTCTTAGCTTCAGCCAACTTCTCCTTGACTTCTTCACTCAGCGGCTTCCTATTACGTTTCGTAATCTCCTGCCTCGCCTTAAAATTCGCCGGCGTAGGATTACGAAACATCTCCTCTTCGTCCCCACCTTTATTCTTCTTGGCCATCTCCCTCTTCTTAGGTCTCAACCACTCTTCCATGCCAAGCGGCCAGTACACTCTATTCTCTTTACCGCCCATACCGATCTCCTCGTCTGGAATGACGTCCTTGATGACTTCATCTTCCTCTTCTATTTCCTGGCCGAACTCCTGTATTTCAGCTTCGATTTGCTTCTTCGTTTTCTTCTTCTTGGCTTTCTTCGGAAGGGGTCTATTATCGTCATCTCGTTCGAAGGGAACGATATTGTTGAATGTTTCCCAGCCAGGTAATTTGAAGGTACGCATCAGTTCGAAAACGGCCTGTTCCTTATCCTTCGCCTCGATCATGAGATCCATATCATTAGGACAAGGCGGCAGGGTAGCTGGTCGGGGATTGTGCTTTCGTCTCTGTCGGCCTGTTATGGCTTCGGGACAGGGCTCGCTGTAGTGCATTTTCTGGGTGATGTTCTTTCGTGTCCAGGTGGCTTTGATGCGTGGGTAGAGAGTGGTTATGTCTTGTGTGCCTTCGCGAAGGTGGGAAGCAGAGAAGATGATGTTATGGTGGTGGAAGTCGAGACAGAGTGGGATGTTAAGTTCTTCACAAACAGAAAGGAGATCGTGGACCGACCAGGAGACGTCATCGTTTTCTAGGACGAGGCGGGCTTTGATTGATGGAGACAGTGCACTGTAGTTGGCTCTGAAGCGTGCGAGTGTTGCGTCCTTGTCACCGAACGTCCCGCCCATGTGGAGAATCATGACGGCGTCTCGATTGGCTTGTTCGGGAAGTTTGAGAAGTGAGAGCATCTCGTCGTGGTACTCAAGGTCGCGAATTGCATTTGCAATTACCTCTGCTCGTGGAGATCCAAGTTGTGTGAATTGTCCCGGATGCGTACTGAGACGATGTCCGAGTTGGCCAGCTACACGTCCTACTTCAGCGAGTGCTTCACTTGCGAACGGAGCGAGTTTATAGCCATATTCTGCATGACTGGCGAATGGGAATATCTCAGATGACAGACGCATGAATTTGATGCCGTATTTGTCGTTCCAGCGAAGCATTTTGGGGATATCTCGGATATTGGCAAGACATAGTTCTTCTACATAACGTTGACCTCGCTCTATGGATGCGGGCTTGGTCTTGTCTGGTCGGTTTTTGGTTGCATGTTCGGGTTGAGAGGGGTCTTTGAGTGGATGGCGATGTTCTAGGATTGATGCTATGCGACAAGTTCTAGAAGTAAAGATTGGTGGATTGCAGGAGCGGAGGTAAGTGTTGAGGCAGGCCTGTTTGGATCAGCTCTCCCTCTCTATTAGTAAATTATAGAAGACACTTACATATCCTAACCTCCCTTTCCAAGGTAAAGGCAAATAATCACTATTGACCGGTGGCGGTCTCCTTGCCTCCAGCTTAATCGCATCAACATCCTCCGCAGGACCCTCCTCATCACCATCAGGATCAAGTCTCTTATCCCACTCATCAACATCATCTTCCTTCTTGACTTTCACTTCAGCTGCTTTCTTCGCAGCTTGTTCGGCTCGGAACGCTTTAATTTCATCGGAGCCTTTCTTTGCAGCTACTGAGCTTTTGGTGGGACTTCTCTTCTGTTTCTTCGCTTGTGGTGTACCATTTTGCATTTCATCTCCTGCTCCTGTCTCTTTTCTGAATACCCCATTGGGTTTCGCAGCAGGCTTTGGCATTGGTTCTGGCTCTGGTTCGACTTTCGCCAAAGATGCAGCATCAAACGCCTCTCCCTTCTCATCAGCGTCAGGGCTTGCTCTAAGTGCATATTTGCCATCGACGATATCAGCATTGTGGTCAGGATTCGTGTCAACCTGGCTGCGACGTGAGGCTCGCTTCTTCAGCGGAGGAGCTTTGGGTGTCGAATTTGGCAGGATCGGAGATTCATGTACTCCGTTAGGAACGTTCTCTGCCACGGGTGCTGTTGATCTCTTCCTCTTAGGAGGCATTTTGCTTGACTTTTGCAACGAATGGGAGGAAGATTCGAGTTGACAAAGGAATGAATATCCTCTCAAAAGTCTCGGCTGCAGTTTATTGGAAAAGAGCAATGGGATCTTGGAAGTAGGGGAAGCTCTGCTGGTACGCAGGAAGACACGAGAGAGAAAGAACATCCAACTATGATAAAAAGAATGAACGTTGTTTGAAGATAAAATAAGAAGTCAATTACTTTTGTTCCTTACCTTACACTAGATACATTAGTTTCCGTCGCGTCTCCCGTAGTCACGACGTCACGCGTCTGGACCCATCGAATTGAGCTCTGGGGATCGAGGAGGAGGTCGAGGAGGTCGAGGATGTGGAAGACGTCATGAGCATGCTAGTTAGCTCCTGTGCCACGTGAGACTGTCATAATTACAGTTGCATAAGGAGCTACTATAGAGAGAGAGAATCTCCTATATAAAGGGGTAGCGTACTTAGTAGTACAGCTTATAGTACTAAGTCTACGCTTACAATCCCTATATTTCTAATAGCCCCCCTATTCTCTATATCTGTAGTAAATAGAGCCTTCTAAAGTAGTATAGCGCTAAATATTCCTGAAGTAACGCTAGAGTATCGCTAAAGTATTACTAATAACTTATATTATATAAGGAGCCCCGATTATACCTTATTAACTCCTATAATATACTAGTATATATATAGTGCTTACGTCTCCTGTTTTCCTAGGAGTTCAGTAACTTTATAGTATTAAGGTATATAAAATAGTACAAGAGTATACCTAAATCGCTCCCTTATTAATAATCTCCTGCTCCTACTACTCTTATTTATCCTTCTTTATAACTACCTTGTACCTTCCTTTTATAGCTACTAAGATATTCCTTACTAGCCTTCTCTCTAGCCTCTAGGGTATATAAAAGTTATTCTCTTCTAGTTCTATTTCTTTTCCTTCTTCTTTTAACTACGAAATAAGATTCGTCTTAACTATTAGGTATAGTAGTTATATATTATGTTTTACTTAATTCGCAGTTATATATTATTATTAAGGAAGATATTTATTAAAGGACTAATTTTCCGCAAAGAATATTCTATTTTTTTATAAGTTCTACTACTAGAAATAGCCTTAATTTATACAAGTCTACTATTAATTAGCTAACTATTATTAATCTTAGAGTTATTATTAGAGAATCAGTTATTACTAGGTAACCCTATATATATCTTATATTATTTAAACAATTCTAAAGGTAAAGCCTTTATAAGAGTATCTACTATATTATTATTACCTAGAACGTGTTTTACTACTAACTTATTATATAAAACTATATCATCTTAAATATAGAATTAGTAGATATTAATATACTTTACCTTTAGATAGAATTTCCGTTCTTTTAAGAGAGATTTAGCTCTAGTGTTATTAAGATATAGCGTAGGAATTCGGGATAGCTTTATATTAAGGTCTTTCTATAGCTTAAGTAACTAAGCTACTTCTCTAGAGCTATTACTAGTAGCTATTATCTTAGAATCTAAGCTAGAGAGAGCTATAGACTTTTACCTATTAGTAGCTTAAAAGATTAGACTCCTTGTCACGAACCAGGCTCAGTCTTGGTACAAGTCACGGGTTGGCACCATAATACTGATGGTACTACCAAGTGGATGGCACCAGTCGGTGTTTGGTACCAAAGGGTTGATGGTACCATTGAGAGAATGGCACCAACAAGAGAATGGTACGAATTAGCGAGTAGTACCATACTCCACGCTCGTTGTCATAATAATAGTTATGTTGATCACGGTGGACATGGGTCACGTGATGTGCTAGCTTGCTAGACGGGCTTGCGGGCTTGCGCGCCCTGCAAGACGTCTTGCACGGCTTGCACAGGAAGTCGGAAGTTCTATATAACGAGTAGGTAGTTTCCTAGATAGTAGAGCTTCGTGCTCAAATCAAATAGCAAGTTTACACCTAGTTTACCACTGCTTGTAACGTCTCAATTCCTATTGAGAAACGAGCGTCTTGTTACCTTACTTCATAGCTGATACCAACCGACGAGTCTGTACTCACGACACCGACCGAGTTAGAAACGTTACACTTTGAGCACCTCACTTGAAGTATCGTCAGCAAGACACAATGGCCCCTAAGGAAGGATCCGTCGTGGGAGAAAGCTCCCAGACCAGTAAGAAGGAAGACAAGGTTACTCCACCCCGAGTCAACCTACCGGATACCTTCCATGGTCAACGATCCAAGCTAGGACAGTTCGTACTCCAGTACCAGATGTACCTAGCCTTCAACGGAGACAAGTTCGAGGCCGAATCCCTCAAGGTCTTGTGGATCGCCTCGTTCCTCCGCGACACTGCAGCACACTGGATCGAACCAGCCCTCAGCGACTACCTTCTCAACCGACATGTGACCGGAGCTTGCTCCACCACCATGACCGAGAAGAGTCGCGTCATCTTCCGCACCGTCGCAGGATTTACCACGGCTATCAAGGGAGTCTTCGGAGACCCCAACGAGAAAGAACAGTCCGAGAAACACCTGCTTGGCATCCGCCAACGAGGATCCGTTCACGAATACACTGCCGAGTTCCACCGTCACTCCATGCGACTGGACTGGACGGATAGTGGTTTGAAAGCCCAGTACTACAAGGGCCTAAAGGACCATATCAAAGACGAACTCTCCAGGGCCGACAAACCCGACAGCCTGGAGGAAATGATCAAAACGGCTACAACCATCGACGAACGGATCCAGGAACGACAGAAGGAAAAAAGAGGGTATTTTGCCCCTACTCAATACAGGAAGCCTCAGTTCCCGGAACGACATGGGAAGAGAGGAGGAAACTTCCAACCCCACCCCAACAATAAACGGAGTCATCATGACCCGATGGAAATGGATGGGGCCGAGAGAGGAGGCAAGGGCCAGGCTGAGAAGCAGAAACGACGAGAGAAGGGCTTGTGCTACACCTGTGGCAAGGCCGGCCACCTCGCCAGGGACTGCTCTCAGAACAAGAACGGAGGGAAAGCCCCTCCTAAAGACAAACGACAATTCGCTTTGGCCGAACGAAAGACCGAGCGCCGCGAAGCGGCAGTGCTCGAACGAGTCAGCGAGGACGACGGTTGGGAGGAAGTCCTGACCGAATCCCTCGAAAACCAGCGAATCAGTGATATAGAATCCCTGGACACCCAACAAGAAAGCCAGGTGACTAATGATCACTGGGCAGACCGGCTGCCCATCATCAACGAAAATTGGGCCCTCCGCTCTCACAACGGAGAACGACGAGTCTGGATGCACGTGGGAGATAAGCCAGACCTAGCGGAAAAGCGAAGGACTCACGATGCCCCAGAGCGAGGCCTTAGTTGCGTCGTTGTCTACCGAGACGCCGAGATCATCGTATTCCAAGAGAACACCGAGTATACAGACCAACGATCTAAAAGATACACGGCTAGCCTTGTGGAAGAACCCGAGCCTCGGGAATATGGCCAGCTAGACGACTATCTGGAAGTCAAAGATACGTGGGTCGTGACCGCAACGACTAGCGGAAAACGGTATTGGAAGCGAAGACAGCAAGTATGGGAACCCCTCCGATTCCAGAGGACGAGAGAGGAACCCATACAGAGCCAGGTCAACCTTGAGGAGGATGTCCCGTACACCCTCATCAGTTACAACCAAGGCTTAAGGAAGTGGATGGACGAGACAACGGGAGAAATCGTCGAGGAACAAAGGGATTTACCCGTAAAACCGCAGGAGTACCCCGATCACCTCGATTACCCCGAACTCGCCGCCACCGGAGAGATGGACCAACTAGTGGTCCAAGTAGAGCTGAATGGGAATACAGCTAAGGCCCTGATCGACTCAGGAGCCATGGGAAGGTTCATTCACCCACGACTGGTGGAACAACTGAACATACCCATTATACGCAACCCACGCCCTTACAGACTCACCCTATTGGATGGGAAAAACGCAGGGGTTGACGGGTGGGTGCGAGACAAAACGGCGAGCATCGAAATGAAGATGCCTGATGGTCACACGGAGTACTTATCGTTCGACGTTGTCCCAGTTGGACGACACGATATCGTCCTCGGAACCATGTGGATGAACAGCCACAACCCCAGCATCGACTGGAAAGCAAGAACGCTTACTTTTGATAGATGCAACTGTCGCCGCAGTTGACTATCCGGCGAAAGGGAGGCTAGCGCCGCCTCCTTAAGGATGACGCCGATTGACTCTACACGAGAGAGTCCGATTCCCAGCCAGAAGGAATCTGAAGGTCATCCCAGACAGAAGGATGACGTACGGGAACAGCTGCCCGTACCCTATAGGAAGTACGCAAAGATGTTCGAGGATCCACAGGACATGAGGGCATTGCCTGAACATCAACCCTGGGACCACGAGATCAACTTCAAAGAAGGGTTCATACCCATTGCAGAGAAGCTTCGCTACCATAATTACGCCACCACGAGGACGCTTGAGGAATGGCGGGAACAAGGAGTGAAGAAAGGATGGATTCGGAAGTCCAAATCACCATGCGCGGTCAACATGTTAGTCGCCAAGAAAGCAGGGGATCCTAAGGGAAGACCTTGTGGCGACTATCGCATGATCAACAATGGGACGATAAGGGACGTGTATCCTTTGCCCAATGCTCAGTACCTGCGGGACAGGCTGGCCAGAGCAACGGTATACACCAAATTGGACCAACGTAACGCGTTTAATTTGATCCGAATCAAAAGAGGGCACGAATGGAAGACGGCTTTCATCCTACCCTCAGGCTTGTGGGAACACACGGTGATGCCATTCGGACTTACGAATGCACCGGCCACATGCCAAAGGCAGAATAACGAGATTCTGAAGGACTTCATCGGAAAATTCGCAATATGCTACCTGGACGATATCCTGGTCTACTCGAGAACCATCGAGGAACACCAAGGACACGTCCTACAAGTCATGGAAGCCCTACACAAGGTAGATTCTAGACTGAAACTATCAAAGTGTGAATTCTCGGTCAAGCAGGTCACCTTCCTGGGATATGTCATAAACCCAGGACGGATGAGCATTGACCCAGAAAAGGTCAGAGCGGTGAAAGAGTGGGAGTCACCCAAGAACGTCAAGGATGTGCAATCCCAACTGGGATTTGCCAATTTTTGTCGACAGTTCATCCGAAACTACTCCAAAATCGCCGAACCGCTCACCAACCTGACCAGGAAGGGTGTCTCTTTCACCTGGACTAGCCAGTGCGAGGAAGCCTTCCAACGAATCAAGAAGGAATTCACCAAGGAACCAATCCTTTACAGTTTCGACGAGGAAAGGGAAAGCATAATCGAAACCGACGCTTCGGATACCTGTACTGGTGCAGCCCACCTACAGCGAGACGAGGAAGGCCGACTACACCCAGTCGCCTACTATTCCGAAAAAATGTCCCCAGC